TACTCTAATTTTTGTTTTTGTTTTGTATAAATGAAAGAAAGAATTTTATAATTTTGTTTGTTCGTCGAACGTGGTGAAAATACACCCAGACATGTACAAGGCAGAGAGCCAACCAATTTTTATTTTTTGTTAATTAAAACGCCATGAGCCGTAATTCTTCTGTATAATTTCGACATGACTAACCGACATAAACCCTCGAATAAATCCCTGCTCAATCAAGAATAATTTCGCAGAGATTTAGGGGGGCATTGCAAGGTAGCTAAGGGGTCGAACAGCAGTCGGCACAGAAGAAAACCACGTTTCATACCCGCGTACGATAAGCCGTGTGTAAAAACGCGTAAATCGAGGATTCGCAGGAGGAGAAGTCGGGCTACCGCTGCCGATTCCCCCGCCACGCACATGAGAACAACGGGCAGGACCCCCCAAGAAGTGATATCACGTCAACTCTCTTTTTCGCACTCGCAAGGGACCGTACGGCGCTCGCAAGCCGCCGCAAAGCGGAGCGAGGCGGTGGGGCATGGCGCGCACCTATAAAAGCCGCGGCGCGAAAGCTACTCTAATCTATTCTTTTTCTATTCAAATCTCAAGACGAGCTCGAGCGAACTCGACAGCCTGGAGCTGAAAAATAGCCTCCGGGCATAAGGTAATTTTTAAGTACAAATGGGAACTTGCTCTGAAAACAGACGAGCTACCGACACACGCCTTTGCCGGATGCAGTTATGCAGAAGCAAGGTAGTACGCAATCATTAATGATTGCACGGTAGCCAATGCTGTGTGAAAGTGACGGCATAAATGAAACGCTGTAAAGCACCAACGTTTCATGTGCTCACGATCTTCGGGGTTTTACCTCAAAGTATCAGTCACTATCACATCAGATCCCCCCACACCGTGTGTACGATCACAGCAGCGAGAATTAAAGCCAAATTTGCCTCGAGATTACTCGGTGATTACGGCTCGATATCGCTTACGTGAACGAGCACGGTGCCGCGTGTCGTATGACCGACACTCCGAATTTGCCTCGAGATTACTCGGCAAATACGAAGTTGTGCGTCGCACTGCACACGGTGATTTGTGATGTGTAGTGTAAGTGAACCTCAATCCACCGAACGCCTTCTTTCTGATGCAGAACGTGAATAGCCCAGTAGCCATTCGACGACCTGCCCCTCATATACGACGAGAGAGTGATTGAAGCAGAGGAGATACGAGTTCGACGAAATTACCCGCACAAATGCAAGTATTCTTTATTCATTTATAAGCGCGCCCCATCCACTTCTCCATATTTCGGCGCATCAATTCAGTAAACACGCGACCGATACGCGAGTCACGCGCTTAACCTGTAAGCCGTCTGCAAGCCGAACTTTACGCGGCAGCAAATCGCACAGTGAAGAGCACGTGGTGCCTATCTCGACAGTGTTTAACCTGCAAACAAGGCAGAGCCCCGCGAGTGAGAACTCCCCTTCCGTCTCCTCACCGTAGCCCCGCCTCCAAGTGTAACGCGCTCGGAGCAGCAGAAACGCTGTGCGATCGCGCCACGCAGACGCGCGGCTATATGGGCGAGTTCACGTAATTCGTGGACAGTCAAGATACGGTATTACAAGCTTCTGCTATATTAAATATTTTCACTCGTACAATACCACTAAGGCGGTTATGCGAGGGTAAACATTTGATCACGAGCGAAGTCGGCGCAACTCTTTTTCTTTCTTATTTGTCATAACATAATTTGTTTATTTACCGAGTCTTAAAAATTAATACAAAAAATAAAAGAATTATAATATTTGAATTTCAGTCCTAAAGGTGTTTCACGAACCCCTCACTTAAATTAAAAATAAAATTGTATAAATTTTAATGAAATTGCAACGCAACTCGTAGCGCGCGCCATCGGGACAGTGCCGTAGAACGCACAAGTACGTGAGTAAGCGAGTGGGAGAATAACACACGCTGCGAGTGCTCTAAAAGGAGCCGCGTTACCTTTCAATATATGTGTACGCGTGCCGCACGTGCCACACAACCCGCGCACGGCTCGCGCATACATGAAGCAGTCCATTACGTATACATAATACGGTGCATTGAGTGAAACAATAGACTATGAACAGTTTGAACCCATGGCAAAAACTCCATTCCAGCATTATAAGCTATTGATCTACCGATCGACTTAACGCTCGATTTCTCATTCATGGCCATTTTTCATCGGACGATTTTTGTTATAAATTTCGCAGATTTGCTTTTGATGTCGAGGTAGAGAAGAAAATCCTTGACCAGTAGAGCCGAAAAAATGTATAAGATGTAATAAAACAGGAAGGTAATTAGGTAGTTGATTTAGCAATAGCAAGGGAGTGATGCTACACGCACTTTGGAACAAGCCAATCGTCTCAAGAGAGATGAGAAAAAAACTCGATAGGCCTCGACGGAGCTCGTTCGGATCAATTGCAACCGCCTCGAAATCAATCGTCCAGCCTCATCGAAATCGTGAACGAGCTCGAGAAGAAAAAACAGTAATGCTTCAAACGAGAAAGAGAGAGAGACTACTGCGAGTTCCGACAGATGCCGAGCTTCTAGCCCTAGCAGCTATGTTAAGCAATTCGATTTGCGTCGACTGATTGGAGCAAAAGGACGCGCTACACGCTGTACTATGTATTATCTGCTGTCTATACACTCGCAGTTGGTGTATAGGGCGAGCGAAGACGTCGTCGGGCACATTCTCGGGGATGCGCGTCTGCTCTCGACGGGAGGGAGCTTATACCAAATCTGTCTGCGCCTTTGCCCGCAATCAGTGTAGCCGCGGGCTTTATTTGGCGCCTATTGCTTGCCGAACGTAGCAGCAACGATCACGCGCTGTTCTTTCGAGTTTAGTTGGCTCGCGTTATATACGTAGGCCACGGTGCATAGGTATACCCAATCTAGTCCCCGCATACATACAGACGTGAGGACAGCGATCGAGCTCGAGTGCGAGCCCTTTTTTCGTTGCCACCACCGTCAACAGCGACGACGACGACGACGACCAAGTCGTTCGTGCCGTTTCACTCGACTGATTCACTTTGGTCATTTCTTTTTTCTTTTAATACACGATAACCTGCCTTGTTTCGTAGAATTTTCATTTTATAAGGACTCATAGAGCAATATCGTTATGTAACTTGATGATTTTAATTTCGATGGATATCGCAAAATAAAATAGTCCAAGAAAAAAATTTACTACTGCTGATAATTTTTATTAATAGTCGAAATTTTACGAGTTGCGCTAATGATCGCATGTTATTTCATGATGCATTGCCAGTAAAAGCGCTATTGTGCTTTCCGAATCAATCTTCGCTCGACTAACTTCATCGATTAGTTGGACCCATCGGCATTAGTCATATACCAAGCCTATCAAGCTTACCAAGCCTGACTAAGCTGTCGATTACCTCTTCGACAGGTGAAAACTTGAAGAAAAGAAACATGTGGTCCTCGTAATTGATCGACTACGATAGCTGTGATTTAAAAAAAATGTCAATACGTGTCCAAATGGGATTTTGTCCATCTCGTGCTTGTCGCCGAGAGGTGCGAGCTGCCACATGTATATATAAAGCTTGCTACAACTATATAGCTATACACAGCAGTGGCAGCGATTGAATTGGAAGTAAACACGTATAGGCTACACTCGTTGTCGGGTGCGTAAAAGAGCAAAGGTTCAGCGGTGCGGAATGACGAGTCTTTTGATGTACTCTCATTGTCAGGGCCGGCGCACACTTTTCTTAAGCACGCATTGCAGTAGGTAGCAGAAAGAGAGAGAATCCTATAACGGGATTAGACCGCCTGCCACGTAATTGCTCGTGAATACAACAATGCCTCGGCTGCTGCTCCGATGCTGCTGCCACTACGGCTGCTGCTCGTGTGTTCCAAATTCACGCACCCGTTTGACCCGGCTGCCGCAACTCGAAGGAGTTATGTATATGCCTGGCTTCTTGAAAATCCTTGCCACCTTCTAGACATACATTTTCGAGCTTTCTTCGAGTCGCAGCGACGAAAAAAATAAAATAAAATAAAAATAAAGGAGGTAGAAATCAGCGAAACGTCCTCAAGGACTCGGATTCCGAGTCGAAGTTGGCGCCCGATCGAGCCGAACGCGTTTACATAAACTCGTGCCGCACACATCGCTGCGCTTGCTTACACGGAAATCCTCTTCGATCGGATTCTGTGACGCTCGAGCGCGCTGCTGACTCTTCGATTCATGACCTATAGTCCTGTGTATATGTGTTTCTATATACTTGTGTATGTGTGTGTCTACATTATAGAGTCAGCTACTCGTGGAACTCGATACGTTCTCGATCGCGTACGTTTCAATGATCATCCCCCGATTATTCCACAATGTACTTTTACCCGAAAAAAAACTAAATATCGTCTCGGCCGCGATATCGATATCTCACTCGTCTTTTCCATTTTAGTACAGTAGGTAAAAGCTTTTTGTGTAATCGCATGTTACTAACGAAAAAAACTCATTTTTCAGGGTATGGGAGTGGCCTGTCGAAAACAGCGTTGGATTCACACTCTCACCTTCGACAACCAGGTAATTTGTTTTGACGTATATTCAGATATATTATTGATAATCCTTGTAAAAATGAAGAATTACACCCAAATACGAAAACATTGAATAATCAATTTACGGTGTTTGTTGGAATGACAATGCTTGCAAATAACGAAAATGTAAATTTAAAGAACTTTAGTGTCAGGGGTCATAGCCCCTGTGTGCTGATACATTTCGACGACACCCCTCGTTCAGAAAATGAAAACGTCCTCAATGTCACATCTTCGAAAAGCACATGCTTATATGAAAATTTGAAGTAAATTCTACTAGTGAGTAGCTACAAAAATACTGTACGCGCCACCAATTGGAAATATATAGAACTTCATATGAATTAACCCGTGAGATTCCAGAATTTTTTTTAGACTAAAAAATTCAGTTTGATATCTCGATTAATTTCGGTTGATCGGTTAGATTAAAATTTTAATTGATAAAATGCAACCCTGATTCATAACGATTTAATTCTCTGATTTCGAAATGCTCGGCGTTTTTGTTTTTTAATTATTTGCATAAATCTTTTTACAAGAGATTTAATCAGATGAATCGACTTCTCGTTGAATGGGTCGATATATATTAATCGAAAAAAGCACACCTCAATAACTTTGTTTAGAGCCACGCCTACTGCCTATTATTTTCAGAATACCATTTGTAATATTTATCGATCTCATACCTACACGTCCACCAATTAAATAGAAATCACAAGTCTCTTTTCTCACCTTGTGAAATTTATGTAATTTTCATACATTATTATCAATGCGCCGAGCTGCTTTAAGTCATTTCGTGCTTTAATGATCCTTACATGATATTAACTTGAGATTTGCCTCACCCTAAATTCGAATCGAGCAGCTGGTCTTTGTCGTATCTTCGTGTAAATAGCTCAAACGAGACTTACACATTTCTGCTTGAATAAAGCGGTAACTCTACCTCTGAAAAAAATTGAAACAAATTAATTGATTTGAAAAGAGTCAAAATATAAAGTATTTGAGTAAAATTGAGGTTTAAAAAACGTCGACTCTTGGGCTCGGCGATCCCCCGAATCGCATCGGAAGACCGCTGCAAATGCTCGTGTGCAACGAAACGAATGTGTTTCGTATTTGTATATGGTTACGCGCCGTTAGCCAGTGGATAAATGGGTGCGTATAGGCAGGCAGCACGCCTCCCCATCATTATCAAGTCGTAAGTGAATTACCATTCGATCGAAAGCCGATCGCCGCTCCATAGTGTATATAGAGCCACTATTAAGCGCGAGGCGCTTCTCTTTCTCTTGATGCGCGCCTGTATATGGCGAGCTCTGGCTGCCCCAAACACACAGACAGACAGACACACGGAATACAGTGCAGGACTATCTATATATGTCCAAGGCTATTACCAAGGGGGCGAGCACGGCTGCACGGAGAAAATGATGGGAAACTTCAACGACGAATTGCGACGAAGCGTAGGGCTGCGAGTTTTCGCGGATCGTGATCGCGAGAGAAGGTAAAACGATTCACTAAGTACACGCACGCGGCAAAGTCGTTATATCCATTTGATTATGCGCCGAGGCAATCCAATCGTGGCTCATAACGGTGCCAGTACATTACTGAAACAAAAGGACAGCAATGATCAGTATTATAGTTATTTATTGGACTGCGCATCTTTTTCAGCCGGCAGTCGAGGAAATATACTAGCGAATACGGAACAAATCGCTGCATTTGCGGCTATATACGCGGCGGTGTATCCCCCTCTCGAAAAAGGGCTCGATATACAATGCGTCATCAGAGAGCCGTGCAATAGTCGTAGTCGTCGTCGTCGTCGTCGTAGTCGCTCAAGTGTCCGCCACTATACATGTATACAACTGCACGTATAGTATGTAGCGTAGCGCCTCGCCGCCGAGTGCAACACAAAAGGACATAATCGTAGCTGCTACTACTTGTCTCATTTATACAATGGAGAATGGGAGTTCGTTTGGATCGCAATAATTTTCGAGCGCCCTTTTACTTTTTTTTTGCGCTCCACGCGTCTTAATTGCGGCCTCGTCGTCGTATATATCCACGCGCTCTCGTAAAACAGCCCCGACGACGACGACGACGACGACGACGACGACGACGACGACGATCGAGTAAGCGACGCAGGGGGGGCAGAGCCAGCAGCTAATTATCAACGCGCGCTGCGACGCTTTAGGTTTACAGACAGATATATAGGACTTTTGTAGCCGTCGACTCGCCCGCACTTTTTTTGCCCCATCGTGTCGCGCAATTGGCTTATACACTTTTGTTTTGAGCTTTGCTTAATTTTCGACTTCGAACCCGGACTTGTCCTCACAAAGTTAGATCTTTCCTTTCTGATATAATAAATATTCTTTCGCATCTATGGTAGTAATTTTCAACATTTTGCGGATAGTATTTGATCAATAAAAAAGTTTCTTGGACAACAAATCATGGACTACATTCTTGAATTGGTTAAAATCATGCTCTGACTTATACAATTATGTTTATTTTGACACTTGCAGATTTATAGGTTGAGGTATTCGCCATCTAGTGGGCTTAAATGAGTATTAAAAGTGGTTGAAAATTGATCGACATTTTTTGAGACAGATAAATTGTGGTTATCAGGTTATTTCATGTTTCTGCCATAATATAGTATCAGGCAAATCGTTAAAAACAATCCAATTGATAATGTTATGCTCATTCGGCCATTATTAATATTGGGCATTTCTAGTCCGATTGCGTGCAATTATTAGCTGCGCAGTAATTTATCTATTAATACTTTTTCATTGACACTATTTTTTTATAGTATTTTTGTTTAGCACTGAGCTTATAGGAAAAATGTAAAAATTAAATCATTTTAATTTCTACGTAAGTTGATACACATAAAAAATGCGAAGCTTCATTCGAGTCATTGTTTCGGAGTTGGCACGAATATAGATTTAAATTTAAATTTTATAAAACAATATTTGCACGTGAACATGAATCGAATTTCTCGTATGTGTCCTTTAGATCCTTACCAGATGTTCGGGGCGACGAGTAGTCGCTTGGCAAGCTCGGGCTCCGGACAAATTCAGCTGTGGCAATTCTTGCTGGAGCTGCTGTCGGACTCATCGAACGCGGCCTGCATCACGTGGGAGGGCACGAACGGCGAGTTCAAGCTGACCGACCCGGACGAGGTGGCTCGACGATGGGGCGAGAGGAAGTCAAAACCCAACATGAACTACGACAAACTCTCGAGAGCTCTGAGGTGAGATAACAATTCTTTTTTACTTGTCATAAGATTTGTTCGTAAAAAATTTAGAGGGAGGGACAGAGCAATAGAGAGATGAATAAACAAAAAGAGAGAGAAAGTGCGAAGAGACGGTAGACAGGCGGAGAAGTACAAATTCACTTGTCGGCGGGATGCAGCAATGGAATGAGCAATTTCAATCATCGAATTTCATAAGCGGCACGACGATCGTCTCTACAGCTATATATATACGAAGTGTGCCTATATAGCCACCAACAGCAGGAGGGTAGAAGGACGCGAGCCCGCGCGTCTATTATTTTTCGATCAGATTCCCTGATTGCGTTATCGACTCGTGCTGCTGCTAATGCTTTTGCTGAACTCTAATTTCAGATTTTGCTTTCCCTCACTCGGATTCCCGTCGATAATCGTTCTTTCTCGTTGCTTTAAAAATAACACGAGCTTTAGCAGCAGCAGTAGCAGCAGCATTCCATCGTCAAGCTGATCGAATTTTTCCTCTCTCTCGGCATGTACGCAGCGGCGACACACGGCTTTATCTACTAATAATCCAGTTAAACCGAATAAAATGTTTCTGTAGTGAGAGAGGGAGAGAGAGAGAGAGAGCTTGCAGTCTTTAATCGATCTGCCAAGGCAACTTTTTCTCGACGCAATGCGAGCCAAGCTCAACAAACCTCGCCGGAAAAGCTCTTAATCGACGATCTTTGCTTTGCTCCGCTTGTTCGCAGGTATTACTACGACAAAAACATAATGACCAAGGTCCACGGCAAGAGGTACGCGTACAAATTCGACTTCCAAGGCCTGGCGGCGGCGACGCAGCCCGCCGCGGCCGATCCCACGGCCTACAAGTACCAGAGCGAGCTGTTCATGTCGGGTTACGGCCACGCCAAGCTCAACCTGATGCCACCTCCGGCGGCCTCCGTGGCCGTCTCGATGCCGGGCGGCCTGTTCCAGTCGGCCTCGTCCTACTGGTCGACGAGTCCCGGCGCGAATCTGTACGGCGGCCACCACACGAGCTCGGGACACGTACCGACCCACCTGGGCAGCTACACGCATTACGCATGACCCACGGCCGCCGAGCACTGGGGTGCGGCTCTGGGGACGCCGGCGCGCTGGGGCCACAGCGTCGGCAACGAGGGCGACAGATGAAGAGCCCCGCGGGATCATCATCAGGCCGGTGGCGGCGGCGCCGGCAACGATCATCATCATCCACACTACGGCGGCGGTGGTGTCGGTGGCGGTGGCAGCGACTACTTGGCACCCCAGTAAACAATTATCACAAGTAGGGACAGGGCCCGTTCTCGTTGTCCACTTTTTAGCTGACTTTAAAGGCTGAAATTTACACTCGCTTGTCGCTTGATGTTGACGTTGATGATGATGATTACGATAACGACGATAAGACGTGATTTACTCGCGCTATCCCTTCAAATCTGTGCCATACGAATGAATTTGAATGAGATAACAATTTTTATCCCGGTCCTCGAGGGGTAGGGTACGCGCACGAACCCTAGTCTTGTACAAATGTATTTCTCGACAAATTCGTTGGTCGTCTTTTTTTGAAAATAAATCATTTTGAAAGCGATATCATTTTTCATCTGTATTATCTAATTAATTTCGGAGGATAGCGCACCAAGAGTAAATTTCTATGTGAATTTGCAACTTGTGCAGTTTCGGTGAATCGCAGCGAGATGATTTATTTATATTATTAATGAATGGTATTTAACGTAATTTAGACGCGCGAGGGCAATAGTCAAGTTTGGTCCTAGAATCAGCAGCTAGGCCTGCATCGGAAATCGACTTTGTAAATATTATGTAGACAAGATTACGATATAAACTATTAATGGGTCATAATTGTAAAAGGATATCGGCCAACGGGTATATATTACACGATCGTGTATCAAATGCACCTTCGTGAATTTACGAATTTCGAGGGGATTTTATCGAAGGTAAACGTCAGCTTAATACAGAAGAGCCGTCACCTTTTCTCAACTTCGTGTCGAGGCTCGACACATACACACACACGTATGGATTGTATAATACACGCAAGTTGAACGATACGATTTGTTAAATATGTATACGTGGCAAAAGCGATAATATTAAAAAAAAAAGTAGTCACTAAAAAAATATAACACGATCGAGATACTATTGAAAAAAAAAGTAATACCGGCATGTATAAAATGTTTATCCGGCTCAGAAATCCAATGAATCTATAAATAAGTCACGTATAAGTCTGTTGTCGTAAAAGTGAAACATAATTTGTAAGTATTAACTCTAGGTAAATGTACGATATTAATTTAATTGCAATTTATACAAGTACACTTCTATCATATAGGAAGAGGGTTGGCTTGGTTATAGTCATTTAAATTTTACAGCTACTTTGATTTTTTCAAGTTGATCACTCGTCAATCGATTCGTTAATTTTTCCTTTTTCCGAGTCGATATGACCATTCCATGAACTTATTTGTTTCATTTTGCACGATAATTTTCGTTTTTCTTACATTTAATATGAAACTAATTTTGAATATTTCAAGTATTACTAAAGTCTAAGGTCCAAGGCCGCTAGAGGCAATTATTGTAGATAGGATATTTTCACGTGTAATGCACAGCACTCCGTATAAAAGCTGATTCTTTCCTTCTATTTTATAGTAAAAAAAATGTATTCTAGTCCTTTAATCCACGTGTATACATGGCTGTGGCGCGAGCGAATGAGAAAAATATTGAATTACAGTAAATACCAAAGATGAATTAATATTGCACAAGATACATAATGTCGAAATCTGAGACATCGTGGCGTGTCTAATTATATTATATATAAAGGAGAAAATTTTAAAAAATAGACAATTCGTATTTCTATGATATATCAGTGTATAATGCGCTAAATATTAATGTGCATCGTCGTTTCGTCGTTACCGAAAAATGTTGCGAACGAATTTATGTATGTATATGATAAACAGTATTTATTAATTGTATAAAAAGGCAAGAAAATTTATTTTAATTCTCGAATTATTATTGCTGGTAAGTTTGATAGAAAAAAATTCTAAAAAAAAAAGAAAACAGTGAAACTTTTTACGACTGTGTGTGTATAGATCTGCTCATTTGTGCAGGCAATATAAGCCCAGTATCAAAAAAAAGTGAAATACAACTCTTCGTTGTAAGTGAAAAAAAACTCCTGTATTGTTTTACAATCTTTGCCCATCAAAACGGGAATTCATAGCAAATAAGAAATGACGTGTGTGAGAAAACTGTGCACTGTTTAAGAATAGCGCAAAGTACGAAGCAAGCATAAAATAGATCCAGATGTTCGTTGCCATATCGAGAGGTTAATTGAAAAATTACTGTTTACCGTGAATAATAACGAGAGAAATAAATGTGATTCATCGTTCATCAATAAACATACCAAGTTTTACTGCAAAAGCCTCATGGACATATTTCATTACTTTTTTTGTTTCTCCTCCCAAGCTCTCCGACTTTCTTAATTTATGTGCCTGCGCGAAGATGCCAATCTAGCCGAAGGGATAAGAACTCCCAATGTATACAATGCAAACGCGTACATAAGGTATATAATTACGCCATATAGAAACACGCGTCGAAAATCAGTGACGCGAGTCAATGCATATAGTGGCCATATAATGCGAGTACGAGTCGATAATATACGTGTGTGTGTGCACGCGTAGGGCACAGGGCAGTCCATGACAATTTGATGGATGAGGACGGCATGTGAGGCTCGCTGTATAGAACTTGGGCGCAATGATCATAATACGTAAATATGCAGAGGCCCGATAAAGAGACACGCCCATAATACTGCCTGTTATGTGTACGTAGTAATACTACTGTACACACGCGTAGGGGGCAAAAGTCATCGATTAAGAACGCACACACGTAGTACTATACGGGAAAGGAAAGTAGGCGTTCTAGCCTGGGACATTATACACACGCGCGGCATCCGCCAAAATAGCTCTAGCCGGGGATGATTAAGTGACTATTTTTGATCGTGTCGCGCATAATTATCAAAATGTCTCGATTATCTTCGAGTGAGAGGTCATTGCAGCGGATCAGGTTCAAAAAAGCTATTGACGTGGTGGCGGTAGCAAGTTCATGTTCGATCAATTTTTGTGTATCATGATTAGTGTTACAATTGTATTCTATAGTGTCCCAATGACGTAATACCCGATTGAAGTTCCTATATTAAAACACACCGAATTGATCCTATACTTTGCTTTTTTTACTGAAGTCATTGAAAAAGATAAAAAATATTCGAAGAGAGCTAAAATCTCTGCCTTCCGTCGTAAAAGCAACGTTCAAGAGGTCAACTAATCGTTGGACACGAATAAACCTGCGAGGCTCTCTTTTTGTGCTTTTTATCTTTGTCCACAGCCTAGCGGTGCTTTTGATAAATTGGCGCATCCAACGGCTGCTTAGCCTCGAGACAAATGCCGCAAATGCGAAAGCGAGCGCATCGTTTGGTAAAACAAAACAGAGAAGAAAAAAATAACAACATCAAGCTCCGAGACACGCAAATGCTCGGTGTAGGATAGAGGCAGCTCGCAGCACCTGTAAAGCTCGCAGCCGCAGCAGCAGCAGTCTCGGCTCCCTCCATGCGGCCTCGAACGGCTTCCCCGTACAGCGAGGGGAGAGGCGAAAGCTCGTCGTTGGCCGTTGCCATGGCAAGGAGCGAACGATGGCGCCGAGCCTCTGGCCGGGCGGGGCTTTCGCGCCTCTCGTCGAGCTTTCGCCTCTCCCTCCGTCTACCTATGTGCGTGGGTGTATGTGTGCGGACGCGCAAGAGCTTGCACAAATACTAGACTACGGCGCGGAGGAGGTAGAGGACTCGTTAGCCAGATATAGGATTCGGTTTTTCTGGACAAGAGTGCCAACCAGATGGAGTACCGCCACGCTCTTGCTCTTTTTTCACTCAGCCAACGAGGAGTTTGTTTTTTCAGACTTAATTGGAAGAGAGAAATGGGATAAAATTGGTTTTATGTCTATTTAAGTAGAAGAATTTTTATAAAAAAAAACTCGAGGGTTTGATTGTTCTCGACGTAAATGAGAATTCTCATGCACTTGCGTTTAATAAAAGAGGATTTCTCGGGGTAAGGGCTTTTTTCAATAAATTTAATCAAAATGAATAATTTCGTTGGATCAAGTTTCAACGTTCGAATTTCAATCTATGATACTAAAATAATTTTAGATTTCACTGCGAACGGGTGACTAACTTGAAACGTAGTTCGAATCCTCCCGAGGAAATCTGCAATAGCTTGACAATTTGTGAAAAATTTTTTTGGCGTCAGGCATGGCTCATCGCTCGACTTATGAAAAGTTTCCGAGGTAGCGGCCTAGACGCGGGCGAGCGGAATTGCTATGGTTCTACGGGTTCGTGTGCGTGCAGGGGCCTCTCTCCCTCACGGGTGTCGAGGGCAGGCACGCGCACGAGAGGTCCTCTCCGTCTCGAGCGCACGAGAGAGAGAGCTAATCGATAAAGCCACCAATGCCAGGCTGGTTCCATCCCTTTGCGCGCCGAGCTGCGCTGCCCCTAGTACGTAGCCGGGGAACGAAAGGAGAGAGAGAGAGAGAGAGCGAGAGAGTCCGTGTGCGCGCGCGCGCCACTAGCCTTGCGCCCGTGTATCTTATCCTTCCTTCCTTCCTTCCGTCCTTCCGTCCTTCCTTCCTTCCTTCCTCCCCGTGTTTTGGCTCACGACTCTTTAGCCGCGCGTCCGCCATATTGCTGCCGCGGTACGACCGCGCGAGCTCCGACCACGCACTCGCAGCTCGGTAATCATTACTCCGAACTCTGGCCTCTGACCCTTTTTTGCCTCATTTTAGAATCACATTTTATTCCACGTCCTACGTAAATATATACAAGCCACCGGGAGGCTCGTTCGCTATATCGAGCCGAGAGAAATTGCCACACCTGACATCGCTCGCTGCCGTCTCTACCTACGCTTGACACACGTTCGTGCTCGATGTATGCGAACTTTCCAGGTCTTGAATTCTATACTCGAAACTCGGCAGCCACGATTTTACAATTTCAAGCTAATTCAAGCTTTGCATCGTCTTTTTTAAGGTTGAAAAACAACTCGGTAAGAAAAAAACTATCAATGTAACTGCATTTCTGATACCTCGTTATTTATATTTTTATCCGAGGCACTATTCTATCAAAGCCAGAGCGAAAATGAAAATTTTCAAACACGTTTTTCTAGATTATCGTTGAATATTTTTCTATAAATAAAGCTCAATAACCCACTTGGCAACTTGATCAAATTATTTTGTGGAAATATGTGCTGATATAATTGATCAACATTTTATGACTATAGCTTTTGGCCAATGAAAAATTTTCTTGAACAAACAAAGGCCTTCAGAACTGGACATATGCTAACCAAAAGTTTAAAGTTTTTTACAACATTTTATGGTCAAATAATGTTCCACGTTTTTTATGACCATTTTTTAACTATATAAAAAGTGTGCAAATTACCACTGAAACATACTTTCACCAATCCTTTTTAAATATCTACATTTAAAATGTAAAACGTCAATTAAATTAAATTTCTCAATTTGAATTTAATAACATTATGTGAATATTTGTACTAACCCTACTGAAAAAAACTGTATAAAATTCCCATGCATTTCATATAACCGATTTACGTAAAATTTATGAGAATTCACACAGATTTTACAAAAAAACTTTTTATAATTCACATGAATTTTGTCCAGTTTCATCCCATAAATATTATATAGACTTAAAATTTATGTAAAAAATGTTCCTTCCATTCTCTTCGTAAAATTCGATGTTAGTTACAAGTCGAATGAATTAATATTACTTATAACTTTCGAAATAATGCATCAATTTTCATTTAAAGCCTAATTCTGAATGAATGAAACACAAGAATTTATCACTCTCTTCTAGATTCTGTCGGAGTGACCTAAGGAAGGTTAAAGAAGAAAAATTAATTTTTTCAACGTTATACAAATGGACAATCAAAATGCTCGTTGATCGACCTCTAAAAATTAATTTTAAGAGCTGAAACTCATTGAGGCTTCCTATTTTGTGATATTGCTGTCAGTAAATTGATACATCGAGATTTTTAAGACTTTAAATTTTTTGAACCTGCCTATTGTAACATACTTACAAATAAATTTCTAAAAACACATTGACAAATGGTAATGTAATTAGAACCATTTTAAAAGTTCATTTTTTATTCATTATAATGAGTGAAAATCTACAAGTTACGAGAAATAAAAATCTACTGGAAAAATAAATAAATAAACAGCTGTATAAAACAGCAGTTAAAGTAAAACTTTGACAAGATTTCACAGAAAAATCTTAATTCAATGGATCATTTTTGATTTTGCAGTTTATAAGCATCTTTTATAATAATATTTTTTACTAAATTATCCTCATCTTATCTAGTCTAAAACGGTCTCCCAAAATTTAATTATAATCGGCAATCATGAAAAGTTTAATGAAAGATTTCTATTTGTGTGTTTCACCGCATGTTCATACACATATAATTATCAACGTAGATGATTTTCAAAAACTTCTAGATCGAATTTTTTGCAATTTGGAGCACTTATTAAAAAATGAAATTAAGAAATACATTCAGCTCATGAAATTATATACATCTTATAGAAAAGAAATGCAGCAAAAACAGTTGAATTTTTTTTGGTAGATTGAATATTCTTAAGTAGATAATATTTGGAAAACTTACAATTTATCTTATTATTATAAACTTCGAATTAAAAATTATGTCAACCTTTTCGTTGGGCTCATTGATGCTGTTAGAAATAAATGTCAACCATTGAAAAAGGTTTCCTCATGAAATGAGATTTAAAAGCTGTAGATCTACAACTTCAAAAACGTGACATGCGCAGTAGAAGACGCAACTGTACTACTAACATGAGTCAGATTCTTGTAGTAGAATAAATGACACAGTTTTCAAGCCCGGATAGCTCAGTCGGTAGAGCATCAGACTTTTAATCTGAGGGTCTAGGGTTCAAGTCCCTATTCGGGCGTTTTTTTGCTGTATCCAGTAAAATTTTTGATAAATTATGTGAAAGTATTTCATTATTACAATATAAATTTATAAAATAATTCATGAAAAGTTCAACAATTCACAAATTTATTTTTGACAAAATAAATGAATTTCAAAAAACGGAGACTATTATATCATATTTCTAATAGATATCATTACGAATCTTGTCATCAGTAGCTTATTATGATCTGTCATTAAATATAAAATGATTGCAAAAATCATGCAATATTCATAAAGTGCATCAACAATAATTTCGAAATAACGCTCCATTATTACCAACTTATCTCCTTGCTTTTCATTGATAGTGGTTGGTAGTTCCACTCCGGTTAGAATCGAGAGTACGCAACTTCTGGGCAGTACGTGAAAGTCATAAAGATTAGTTCTGCTTGTGTCATCTGCTAGTTAGTTGTTAGATATTAGTATGAGCTGCCGTAATATAATTTTGTTAAATTTACGTTGATTGTGGTGCAGATATGATAAAAATATCACTCTCGAAAATACGAGAAAGTTGACAGTAGTACGATGAATAACGTCGAATGCACTGTATAATAAAGTCTCAAAATTCGTTTGTTATATTCAAAAAAGTGTGATAATAATTTAAAATAGTATTAGATCTTTATATATGCGTGTATTTTTAAATAAATTTTCATAAACCAATACACGAGATATGACTTGTTGGTTTTGGTTTATTTTTGTGGTAGTTACTATTCTTTTTCGCATCGATGCTAAACCTACTCCGACACGACCACCGAAATTGCTAGTTGTATCCTACGATGCATTCAGGTTTGTTATATTTCATATTTTAATATTCATACATTTTAAAGGTCATAAAGTTAAAATTTTGATGAATTATTGTAAAAAATATTGTCCTTGCTAAAATTTGATGCAGTCATAATTTTATCATTACATAATGTAGATCAATTCATCAAAAATTGAACATTAGGTAATTCTAAGTGGAAAATGTACTTTTATCAATAAAGTTATCGTGATTTTTTCCAGAGTTAGATAAAAGATCCCGCGTTGTCGATAAAATGAAACGTGAAGACAACTATAAGTTTTACTCAAAAAATAAAACAGCGTCACTTTATCTATTTTTAATACTTATGTATATGATTTAACTATCGTTTGCATATTCTCTAAAACTATCCAATGAAAGGAATGTTTAGTAGAATATTTTTTTTAAAATTGAATTTTTCAGATAGTGAGAAATACTGCACATACGATAAATTTGAGTTAAGTGCGTTTATACGAGCGAGTAATCAATTTTCATGAATTCCTCGTCATTTTTTAATGATTCAATATTTGACTTATGCATAGGCCAGCCTTTCTTATTGATTTATGTAAATTAAGGTCAAATACTAAGTAACAATTCAATTTCAGATACGATTATTTTGATCGTAAGGTGACGCCGTTCATGAATGAGCTGCGAATGAAGGGTATTTTCGCAGATCACATGAGAAATGTTTTCGTTACCAAAACGTTTCCGAATCATCACACCATCTCAACCGGGATGTACGTGGAAAATCACGGAGTAATAGATAGCGAGTATTTGGACGTAAAATCTAACAAAACAGTCAAATATTCTTACGATTTGTACCATTACAATAATGACATACTTCCTATATGGGTGAGTTAAATAGTAATTTATTGTTTAAATTTTAAATTAAAAAAGTTGTTATCATTGAAACATTATTTAATTGACTTTGAAATTTGGTGAAACTTTTTTTAATACACTCACAATATTTTCGTATATCATTGTATTCGAACGAAAAAAAAATAAAATTTTAATTTTCTAATTCAATAAACATTTACAGACTTTGAACGAATTGAACGGTGGCGAACGTCGCAGTGGCGTTATGATGTGGCCCGGAAGTGCTTTTGAATACCACAAGAAAAATGCGACCTTCCGCGTGGTAAGCATTGATTGAAATATTATAAGCACTTAAGTTATTGAAATATCGAGAGCCGAGTTCTATCATCTTGATTTTACTCTTGTTAGCCATTCAACACGACCGTGCCATGGAAAAGCCGAGTCGACGAGGTGATATCTTGGTTCAAACACGCCGCTGAACCGATCAATTTTGGCATGATGTACATCGAGGAGCCGGACTTTCATGGCCACGGAATCGGCATCAATGGGGCGCGCTTCGACGAGGTACTCCTCAAATTGGACGAGATCACGTATTATCTGCACGAGAAGCTGAGGGAGAACAACATGACCGACGTCAATGTCATTCACCTGAGCGATCACGGAATGGCGACCGTCACGATTGACAGAATCGTTAATTTGACCAACTACATCGATCCGAAAGATTACACTACTTCCGGATTGTCGCCGGTTATTCACATTTACCCGCGGCCTGGTATGAAGCATTGAATCTCGCGAGTAAAGTGTTTTTTCAATGATTCAATAAAAACCTTTTCTTTTCTTTAGGAAAGAAAAGTGAAATTTACAAGAACCTGCAAAAAGCGTCGCACGATACGAATAAATTTGACGTCTATCTCAAAGAGAATATTCCCGAGCACTTCCACTTCAAGAACAATACGAGAATCGGACCCATTTTGGCCGTCGCGAGAGTCGGAAATTCCTTCGAGACGCTCTACGACAGCTTCTCTTGGTACGAGAAAGAATTCAACATCACGATCAACGAAAAGTCCGAATTTGGAGTTCACGGCTACGACAACACTCAAAAAGAGATGTGGCCCTTCTTCTTCGGCGTCGGTCCGGCTTTTTTGCCGCAATGCGAGGTGCCGGCTTTCGACAACGTCGATCTGCTGCCGCTATTTTGCGAAATTTTGGAAATCGAATGCCTCGAGGTGAATGGCCAACTCGGTGAGCTTCGAAAATGCCTCGCTAAACATCAATACGAAGCAATTTTATACAAAGGCATATGTAAGTATCATTTTCCATTGATCGAATTCGCCATGTCATTCAGCCTTAAGACCCAGAGTAATTTTTTTACATGTTTTATGTACAATTTATAAACACACCCTCAGACATAGGAGGTATCATTGTATCGATATTGGGCATCCTTGCCTTGTTTTTGGTGTACTTAAAGAGAAAACGCGCCGAAAGACATAATGCCAAGTATCGGTGAGTAATACAATAAAATAAAATAAACGCATGGCCCAAGTGTCATACTTGATATTCCTTAATATAGACATTTTTTAATTGAAAGGCACACAAGGCTTTGTAATTTAAATTAATGGCAGATTAAAAGAGATGGCTATTCGACGCATAATAATTTTTGTTTACAGGGTATCTGACAAACGAGCTTCTTAATCAGTTAACAATGCAAAGTATATTTAATAGTGCATTTATAATACCTACCTGGAGTATTTTTTACATTTAATTTTAATTGTTGAGCCTCTTACTGATCTTTACTTTTTTTGTCTGCACTAAAAATTATTCTGAATAACTCATACTTACTTATTAGCTTTAATCGAAGAACTTCATTCTTGAAGTTTTACTTTATAATAACTTAATGATTTGAATCGAATTTTTTATTAATAATACTAATTTACTTGGTACATGTTTGGCGTTTTTACCCAAAATTGTTGCATGAATTATCAATAATTTTCATTCGTAATGTAAATAAATGATGTGGCAAGATGCCCACGCTTTCTAATTTGTTTCCTGGAGTCTAATTTTGTACTCTCTAACTATCTTAAAGAAGACGAGGATAAATATTTTTCTAAGCGAAAATAATTACACCACACACCACACTTACGTGAAATTTCTGTAATATTATTTTCTAAAGTTTGTAAGTTTTATTTATTATTTTTTATTTTTTATTTTTTATTTTTTATTTTTTATTTTTTTATTAACACAATACTAATTATTATTAATAGCATTAAGTTCATTTCATATTAACGTACATCAAGAGTAGCAAATAATTTCAATTTAATATATTTTGGTTGTAAATAATTTATTTTGCATTGATTGATAAAAAAAATTCGCACTTATCATATCATCTCCTTTTCATATCACTAATTCTTAAAAACATTCTATATAGGGTACTTATACCAGTGATTGACCGCTTTCGACCAGTAAATGACCACTTTTGGATGTGCAATAATTATCGTTTTTCCTTATTAAATTATGATCAAACATAGAAAACAAGATGCATCGTTCACTACAGAATTGAATTACGTCCATAGAAATATATTTTTAATTGTTTTTCATATGATATTTTCTAAAATGGTCATTAACTGGTACCCGGTCATTGATTGGTCTGACTACCCTATACCTGCTCACAATTTAAAATTTTAATTTACAGAATATTAACAGAAGAAACTTTCCTGGAAAATCGACTGTTGGACGATTGAGATGTATATGAAGACTATTTAAAATGATACATCACTCACCAACCGTGTCAATTGTCAATTAAGAAAAATATTTTCATTGCGAATCACGAAAATAACTGTGTAAAATGTACTATAGTTCCTATTACTTGAGTCGCAAACTCTTTGCCATTGATATTTTATATAATTAATATATTTTCTTATATCATGTGCGAGCACTGCTTAATAAAGCAGTATTTTGTAAATACATGTCAGTACCCTCCAACGACTCTGTTATATTTTAGTTAAAATTGGCTATAACTTTCAATTACTACTAACATAAGAACGAAATTGTGATAAGACATTACTCTTATTAAGATTGCAACTGCGAAAAATCTTGCATAATGTAGGTATTATAAATATTTGAAGTAAAGATGAAATGAAAAAAAGAAAAGAAAAAAAGTGTCATGTTTACCATGAATTATACCGCATCCCTTCTTCTCTCGAAAAAACTATAATGGTCACATGTTACAAAGTAAAAAATCGCAGCGTCATTCAAACTAGCTTATGCGAGCTTTAAAAATCGCCACCTACATCTCACGATGCAACTAAACTTGATAACAAAGAGTCGCTCGTTTAGCGTCTGTCTGCTGCGCCAAACGTCAATAACATGCCCAAACAAACAATCACGCAGTCGTTCGTTCCGCATCGTGGCATATTTTAATCGTTTTTTGTAAAATTTAGTTGTAAATCTATGCGCTACGTTCTATTTTTGTTTGATTGTTAATGAACATAAACGAACAAAATCGAACTGAACAAAAAATTCGAACGAAATCATGAGCAACACAAAACATTTGACAATCGGTAAGTCTGCGCTGGTGAAGAGCTCATGCGAGTCAAAGAGAGAATCCGTGTGAAGGGAACACTTTTATTTTTATTTTCCGCACAATTTTTTTATTTGTTGATCGTGTATATTTTTTATTTGTCGCATACGATGACAGGCTCGAAGGCGCCACCATTGCAACCGGGTAAATTAAGACTTTACAGTATGAGATTTTGCCCTTATGCTCAAAGAATTCACCTGGTTTTGGACGCAAAAAATACACCGTGAGTAGCATGGCATACTTCTATTCTTCTACATTGTGTCATAACTAAATCAAAAACTATTCTCACTGAGTTTTATTAACTATATACTCAATTTTATTAACTATACTCAAATGAGTTTTATTAACAAAAACTTGAAATTTCCAGGTATGATGTGGTTTATGTAAATCTTAGTCAAAAACCAGAGTGGTTGCAAGAAAAAAGTCCTCTAGGGAAAGTGCCATGTCTAGAATTGGAGAATGGAGAAACTTTATATGAAAGCCTTATTATAGCTGAATATTTGGATGAAATGTATCCTGATCATCGCTTGTATCCAACAGATCCACTGTATAAGGCAAAAGACAAGCTTTTAATCGAGAGATTTAATGATGTTATAACTAGCATGTATAAAGTATAATTTACTAATTCATATAAGAACTTTATAATTCATCTTTAACAGCTTAAAATAAATAATCTATTTCTAGTTGTATTTAGGAAAAGTTGTAGATAAAGATTTATTTGAAGAGGCTCTAGAAGGTTTGGATTTATTCGATCAAGAATTGATAAAAAGAGGAACACCCTTTTTTGGTGGTTCTCGACCAGGAATGCTAGACTTGATGATTTGGCCTTGGTGTGAAAGAGCTGATATCATACAAATTTTAAGAGGTGATCAATACATCATTCCAAATGATCGATTTTCCAGATTGGTAAGTCACTATAACTATTTTATTATTTGAATAATTCACTAACAGATTTCACAATCTAGCTTCAGTGGAAAAATGCTATGAAAGAAGATACAGGTGTTAAGAAGAGCTATTTAGATTCAGAAACTCATGCTAAATATATGAAAAGTCGCCAAGCTGGAACCCCTCAATATGATTAAAAAAATGTTGAAGAACATAATTATCGGATAGCAATGAACAATTTTGACACTCCAAATTATTTGTGATACAGCACAAGCTTTTAATTTTTTAACTTTTAATACACTTCACACAATATAAATAATGTAATTGATAGTTCTATTACTTTAAGGACGGAAAGTAGAACACAGTTTAAGATCAACATCAATTTTTAAGATAGTAAAATATAGCATTTATAATGTAACTATTTACACTTTTATAAATTCTGTTATTAAACAAATCTAATTAAAAAACATAGAATATAAACCATAGATTAAGAAAATAATAAAAGTCAAACAAGCAGCAACAATGTATGTTTTGGAATTATTTTTACGCAAATTTGACAATTGCTCTTCTTTTTCGTTCAGATGTTTTCTGGCAACATACAAACGCTCTTGTAATTCTTCTCGTTTTTCAATCGTTTTTTCTCGAGACAATTCTTCATTCAACATATCCATACGATAACGTAATTCGTCTATCATTTGCTGACATTTGTAAACCTGAAAGATTTGAGGCATAAAAAAATTAATGGAACATAATTTAAACAGATTCAATAATAAATAGTACATAATACTTACCTCTTTCATAAGCATCTTTTGTGTTGAACACATTTTTAAAATAAAAATTTGAGATAAAAATTGAAATAACTCGATCTCGTTGAGAATTTCTCACGAACTAATGGAATCTATCTGAAAGGTTGTAAAACAGGATTAAGGAAATGTGATTGTATACAGTTGGAATTTCTATTTACGAAACGCCATTTTGAATAATCAAATGATAGATGTCGCTGCAGTCTGCTTCGAGTGCAGAAATTCATACTTTGCTTTGACTTCAGAGCGTAGAAAGTGCGCAAGTTACGTTCTAGAATATCCCTTCTGCTGCACATTGTCCGTCTTCATACCGCGTAATATTTTGCAGCTTAACTTGGCAGTGCTGTGCAGCTTTCGCACGATCAGTAAACTGTGGGAGCTCAGAGCTGCCGGATTCGTTACTCGGCACGAATAATAAACCCGACTGCTTAGATAATCATGTGAGTTATTTTAAACACGCAAGCTGTTTAATAAAGCACGACATCGTGCAATTCTCCTCGACTGTTTCTGACTTATTAAACTTTCAATTGCAGTAAGTAGCAGCCCAGCGAGTTGCTCTTCGCTCCAAGAGTTGCGCGTTATTGCGAAATAATGGCAAATTTTCACAAGCTAGCCCTCGTTACGAAGAATCTCAATGGCCTGGAGTTGTGCATCAGCAGGCCATTTACCACCTCGCTTCAGGCCAGCAAGGCAGCAGCCGCCCCGGCCGCAGCGGCAGGTAGCAGACTGAAGACCTTTTCTGTTTACCGCTGGAATCCCGACGAGCCAGAGAAGCAGCCCTACATGAAGGACTACACCGTCGATCTCGACGGTTGTGGTCCTATGGTGCTCGACGCCCTCATCAAAATTAAAAATGAAGTTGACCCGGGTCTGACCTTCAGGCGATCCTGTCGGGAGGGTATCTGTGGATCATGTGCTATGAACATCAATGGCACCAATACTTTGGCCTGCATCAGCTCTATCGACTCGAATACTAATAAAGTTACCAAAATCTATCCGTTGCCTCACATGTACATTGTCAAGGATTTAGTGCCGGATATGAATAACTTTTATCAGCAGTACAGAAGTATTCAACCATGGTTGCAAAGCGAAAAGTCAAAGAAACCAGGAGCAGAGCAGCACCTTCAAAGCGTAGAAGATCGTAAGAAGCTTGATGGATTATACGAATGTATATTATGTGCTTGCTGCAGTACTTCTTGCCCATCTTATTGGTGGAATGGTGACAAATATCTTGGACCTGCTGTTCTTATGCAAGCATACAGGTGGATCATTGACTCAAGAGATGAAAATGTTAAGAAGAGGTTGGATAAATTGAAGGACCCTTACTCTGTGTATCGTTGTCACACAATTATGAATTGTACTAAGACATGCCCTAAAGGCCTCAACCCTGGTAGAGCTATTGCAGAAATCAAAAAACTACTTGCTGATGTTACCCAAAAAGGAAAACCAGGACTTGCAGCTAGTGCATAAAAGTACTTAATAGATTATTAATTTGAGTAAATTTTTAATAACCTCAGAAGGTATATAGAATGTATTATAATTTGTGATATAATGATATCAAAGTTACAATAAAGTCTTTGAAACACTCGGTTAATACAAAAAGTATAAACATTTGTAAATCCTATTCACATCATTACACTTTTCAAGATTGAATTGAATTTATATAATCTAAGGAGTCATAAGAAATCAATTTGACAGACAGTTACTAAATCCATTATTTCTAGTTCTTCATAAATACAATAATTCGTTTTTAGTTGCACTTTTACATATAAATGAAATTAAATCTACACAATGCTTGAGGAAGTGAAGAAATTATTGGTCCATATCCTTGAGAATTATCGTAGAGTTCAAAAAGAGGAGCAGCAACTAATTTATAATTCTTTGGTACTGCTACTAATGCTGAAATTAAAAAAAAAAAAAATTAAGTTTTACTTTGTGAAATTAATTAACTCCAATTAAGATTATTAAATGCCAACCTTTTTCTTGAAGTTGTACTAAAAATAATTTTTTGTGTTCTTTCGGTTTGGTGATGTGGGGAGGAATGTAAGGGTATTGAGGTGGCTCAAAATTTGGTCTCCACCAGTTACCAATGGTATCTTCAATCAACCATTCTTGTTTCACACCATCCTGACGTCCAAGAATCTAAAATAATTAAATTACATTTATTTCATTTTTTATTTACACTAAAATATTTATTTTGTGTCAACATCATTTTTTCTATAAACAGCAAACTAGAAAATTATGATATTATAAGACTTGTAGTTTGGCCGTGAAATTATTCCAATTTTTTTAAACCCAAACTGTAAAGGATATAATAAAAGTTTTCCACCAGTTACAATAATATTTTACATCACATTACTAAACCTAAGATCCATACTGACAAGTAATATCAGTTTAATGCTTTGGATACATCATCATTGTGAAATAATGAGTAACCTATGTATAAATTGTTGTTATACTCAGATGTGTTAAAATAATTTATCCTTGTTACTGACAATCATCAAAAAATTCTATCATAAAAATAGAAATTAGTTACATAATTATTCATACAAGTAAACAGCACTTTACACTTGAGCTAATTAATAAATGTCTTAGCTTTATGATAGATTTTAATCACATGTTGCTCAAACCAATTGGTGCTACATAATTGATAAAAGTTGAGATATTTGAAATTTATTTTGCTGAAGGGAAGTAGAAATAGTTACTCAAAAAAGTTAATAAAATCAAATACACCCAAAAAAATAAGATCTAAGTTGAGAGTACTACAAAAGTTTTTCAATCGCACATAGAAAATATTCAAGTTTCCTATTTAATAAATTATACAATTTTGAGTCAAGTTTTGGATGCCCAAAACTTGAAATTTTATACATTTTAATTGATTATAAAATACTATTTATGTTTATTATATAAAAGTTTTTAAGTTACTGCATTGTTGGTTACCTCCGTAAGAAGCCTTTTTAATCCTTCTACTTCATCTTCACCTGCATTTAATTCTCCACCAGGCCTAAAAAGTTAAAAATTGTAATATTTTATAGATACATATCATACTTTTTAATAATGTATAATCTAAGAATAAAACTTACAGTTTAAAAAACGTTGTCCCAAGTTGAAGCATAAGAACATGAGGTAGACCGTGTTCATGAACAAGCAAAACTCCTTCAACACTTCTTCTCATTCCAATTTTATCAAATTCATCCCTCATTCTTTGGAATCTTGCCGGTACAGATGGATCTTTTTCAAACAGTGGCTCTTTTGTTCCAAACGTATAGTTTGTCAAAGGATATCTACATAAATCATTTTTTACATTTGTTAACTTATAGTTTTGTCTTTGTTTTAGAAACTTAAATTTATAGATCTAAAATATAAAATCCAAGCACTAACATAGTTATTTACAAAAAGTACGCAATGATTGACATTTCAAAAATGTGCTTGGAAGACCAAAAATTCAAAAACTATTGAATGCATTACATTCATAACTGAAGACATTGTTTTTTCATGTTCGATAATAGACTTTTAAAAGTCTTGATTTTGTTTACTAATTAATCTATGGATCTAACGAATATATAAAATGTATATAAGATTTAAGTACATGAGCCATAAGGTAATAATTTAAACAATAACCTCACGTATACATTAATAGTCGAACATCTTGCATTTTTTACCAATATTCACTCAAGTTTCATACTCTTTCACAAGTTAAATATTTTGATTATTTTTCTTAATTCATTGTGTGCATAAAACAACATTACAAAAAAATTTTCTTTTACATTGTTTGAAACTCTTTGATATGTCTGTACCCAAAAGCATTACATACTGAGAACATAACGAGTGTGTATAATGCATTATTGAGGATAACTTTGACAATCAAGCGCAACAACATCGCTAATAATTTCGCTAATAATTTCGCTAAATAATTTACATTGAAATATCGTCAACATGATTGACAAAACGATCATTGCCATCAACCTAAAAACCTCTTTTGAAATGCAAGTTGCGAGGACGATGTAAAACTGAAAAAAGAAGTGGGTCTGTACAACAAACTGCCATTGGTTCATACATTTGAAATTCTAGCTGAAGTAAAGAGGATCGTGTGTATGTGTGTGTGCGATAAAAAAAATAATAATGCATAACAAAAAACGTGTGTTTTTGAAGGAAAAAAGCCAAGGGGCCGGTGCAATGGCGCCGGCGTCCTGGGCGCACAAATAAGCCGCGTATACTCACAAGTTAATAGTTCTGTTTATGGTGACCGAAGGATTTGGGGTTATCTTGCCGTCGAACGAACTAGTGGACGATCTCCTGGGCCAGCCGCTCCCTTTCACTTGGTTCGTCATGTTGATGCTGCGACTAGGTCGTCTCGGAGTCCTGCTGACGAGCAAATAAAACGAGCACGCACTCACTAAACACACTAAAACGTACTGATATGCTGGCGAACCGTTGTGTAGACGCCAAACGCCTCAGCCGCGAAACGGTCCTGTATAATAATATGTATGTCGCAGCAGAAAGCGAGATAGCAACGCCGCGATTCAACCGTCCCTATCAATAGAGTTTTTTTGTTGAGACACGAGGTCGAGATTCTCGTTGACTCGCTCACACGTCGAAAATCTAAAAACGACTAATATAAGAATTGTTTGTAATTTGCGAAACAGCGCCACGCCACCGGCACCGCAGTCGTTCTCGTCAGCGCTATAGATGCTCGCAGCATGGTGATTGGCGATGTGACCACAGTACCACACATATTATAATTATTGTTGTTATTACTGCAGCTCTGCAGAGCAAATTCGCACGCTGCTTCTGAATTATGATTTTTTATCACTTGTAAAATTAATGATTAAATATTGGTTCATGAGGAGATTTTGAAAGGCCTAGATTTTTATGCTACAAAGCATGGTAAAAGTAATAAATGATGTTTGCATAAGTTATTTTAATAATTGAGGGCTCAAACAAAGTAGAAATAATTAAGTGTAAGAGGAAAAATGTTGGTAGTCGATAGTCGATTCAAGCATAATGCAAAAGACAATTTCGATTGAGCAACAAACTGTTGGTCGTGAATTAGAATTTACATTTTCAAAAACGGGCGGATTTCAAGTTCCGCGGGGTGGCCGTGGCGCTGAGTGACAAACTTCTGTCGTGTTTGTGACTCGACAGTCGACGCGTGCATATCAACGGAGAGCCACATGATATTATTATACTATAGTCTATACGGTTATACTGTGAGTCGCTTGCGACACATTATACATAGGATCGACAATTAATAACATAATATGTTACACAATTACGATTGTTATCATTGCAGAGAGTGAATAGTGATACGTGTCTGGCGGTAAAGTCGTAACTCGTATCGTAGCATTTGACATTAAGGTATCGTGTCTCAAGGGAAAATAACTGCGCAATAAGAATCATCAGTCAACAAAGTCTACAGTAAAATCACCAAACTCGCGCCTCGAGCGGCCATCTTGGATGCAGGCGCCTCCTCAGCCTGCGATTGCGCGCATGCAAGACGCATAATAACATTCACGCAGCAGCAGCGCCTGACTAGCTGCTCTCCATTCTCTCTCGCCTATTTCTTCCTTCTCTCTGGTTTCTGCCCTCTGCAGCATCAGCCCGTGAGACTCGCTCATTCGGCGACCAACATCATCACAAAACTCGACATCGCACACGCGGGGCTTCGCAAGCGCAACAGGAATATCGTCGTCGGCTCGACTCGACAGACTCTCGAGGCAACGGACGCTGGACGCAGCACACAACCTCGCATGCACTGCGCGGCCGCCTGCTGCTTGCTACCTCTATTCATGGCTGTCGAATCGACGGGCGACATTGCTCGCTTCGCTCTGCACGAATAAAACGAGAGCTGCTGGATTACCCGCTTTTCTAACGTATAAAACGCGGTTACCCCGAAGAAGAGACAGTTCACCCATAACCGTTTTCTGTAAGTACGCCTATATTCCTCAAAAAAATAGTTGTTTTCACGAGTTGTCCGAGAAAATATTCCGATCGATTAAACCTGGCCGCCATGATGAGATTGTACAAAGCTAAATTGATCGCAAGTCCGTCGCTTGCTCTAAGGTCGCCGTTGCCGCCGTCGTCGTCTACTTCATCATCGTATTACCGTCGTTGCCGTCAGGACCGTTCGATTTTGGTCTTTCTATCGTCATTTCGGTCTGAGTCGATTAACCTAGTGACCCCATGCACGTGTTTAATGTCAAAGTCTGTACAAAGTTGAGCACCATATACCAGTACTCAACTATACTGTGACTTGTGCAGTCTTCTATATTACGAACAAGTGCACATGTGTGCGTGTTGTATGCAAGTGTGTGCAAAAGTCGATGTGCAGAAGCCATTGATTACGTGTCTAATCGCGTAGAGTCAGATTCTGTCATGCATTTTACTCGTTCGACAACATAACGGCTACTGACTTTCCAGCAATATCAGAAAATTTCTACACCGATTTATTCTAGTTTTTCTCAAGGTTATGTTCAAACTTATTATTGTTTTCCTCAACTTCTTTATAACTTTTAAGTTCTGTTTACATACGTTCATACACACATATGGATATCTATGATAGACAGATCATTGGACTATTAACGTTATCCATATACTGCTAATACATTTTATAAGCAATAATTTAATTACTATTTCATCGTGAAAATTAAGTTCATATGTTGAAAAATTAAATGAATAAACTACGACAGATATACGACGAGAAAATTCATCTATGTTGCAGGATTATGAACTACGCTCAAGTGTGATTTTTAGGTGTTCAATTGTTGAGGTGCCGCCATGGCTGGATCATAAAAAATATAATTGTTATAAACATCGCAAAGTGCTGCAGTTAAACTTAAGTTTTTCTCTCTTGAAAATTACAAGTTAGACACTACGACTTACATATTAGCAACAACTGTTTGCACCTTAACTGTAATCAAACTCCATCAGGACAAGAAGAAAGGGTTAACCAGTTTCCCTTATAAAGGTAAAATTCTACAAGTTCTGTATTAAATAGTTCGTAATTATGAAGAAAGTCATGTGACCTATAATGTCGCTGATTTCAAATGCTTTTTGTGGAAACTAAATATTAAGGTTACGCAATTTTAAATATTTATTATATTGACATAATCTAATGATAACGTTTCAAGTTACCGAGTGAGTGGTAAGTCAACAACCCAAATATATCTACTACTACAAATTTTTCCAACCCTAACCCAGTAAATGTATAAATATATCTTAAATTAAATACCATCAAAAACACTATTCTTAAAAGAATAAAGAGTACAGATACGCATAGGCTGATAAAAATCAATTCTTTTGCATTCCCTTGGTTTGTTTCCTTGAATCTTACATCAAGGTTACCATGAAATGCCTGATATTCAAGATATCATTATTATAAACATTATTTTTGTATTGAATGCAAAGGTAAGTTGAGTTATCTACCAGGATTTCATTTTCAAAATTGGATTGAAAATGACCACTTTGAATACCATACCATCACTAAAACAATGCAAAAAGTATATGATCAAGATACAAGCTTACCTTATTCTCCAGTACTATATTTTGAATAAATACTTATATCCCAAATCAAAAAAATGGATCAACATCGTTGCAGTAAATTACCTGAAGCTGAAAGAAGAAAATTGCATTTAATAAGATACTCTATCCAGTCTTCGTTGCGTCATGTCAATCATCAATAAGTAAACATGAAAAGTTCAGAGAGTTAATGGAAGCATACTCAAACACCATGTTTGTGGAAAGCTAACTTATTTATCAAAAAACATGACATCTAGTGAGTGTTGAATCATCAACTTCTTAATTCAATTTTTTTTTAATTTCATTGGACACAAACTACATCTAGTCTTAACAATGAGCGATGCTTACATACCAATCACAAATGAAAATTAAAGAAATAATTTCTTTGTTAATTTTCATAAACCCAACCATATTACTTCCCAACAAATAAGAAGAAAATTTTCTCCTTGAAAGCCCTGAATGTCTACAACTCGAGACCCTATGGAACTAATCCCAATTTTTTCACAAAGCTGATTACAATCTGAAACAACCTATCAAGTTGTGAACAAAATCTATCAAACACTTATAGTGAGGATCAATCATTTGAAATGATTGAAGAAAATAAGAAGTGTATTTTAATGAATTCTTGTTGAACTTGCTGACTTCAAAATGTTTGTTCATCAACAAAAAAAATAGCGATTTAAATTCTTTTTAAAACGTTATTTCATAAAATCAAAATTGAACTGATTTTTTATACTGCTATTAAAACTCAACCTTAACAAATCTATTTTATGCTGATAGATTTGATAAGATATTTTTAACAACTTTATGCACAACCTTGATTAATTTCAAGTTAATAATTCAAAATCACATGCAACATACAATTTGCGAAAGTAATGAAAAGTGTAGAAAAATAGTTTAACATTTTAACATTAAATCATTTGGACATCAATCAGTTAAAAAATACGCGACATAAATATGTAATTGAAAATTACATATTTTTTCATTCCTATAATTTTATTATAATAAGGTGCAGAAATTTCTTGCTATGTTCGGCTGACCCGCTTTCAACCAACTTTAGTATTTTCATCGAAGCATCAGAGAAACCAACGATAACCTACCCAAAAGAAGTAACCTCGTCTAGTTATGTTACGAATCTACAAATCTTGTTTATTCATGAGCTACAATGAATTTACAAGCATAACAAAAATACGTCCCGAAAAATAGCTTAATAAGATTTCATTCAACGTTATGATCTATTCGTACGTTCAAAAAAGCTTCAATTATTCATTTAAAATAAATTAAAATATTGACTTGAAGTAATTCTCGCATACATAAATTAACTAAATTACAATTAGATGATTTTTAATTGTTATGAATGTTCAGGCTTTTGATGAAATTTCTTTATAAATGGTCCAAATTTTTTATTTATTTATTTTAATTTGAATGAACTCTTGAAGGACGAGCGTACGGCCAATTGTCGTGCATTCATTGATCTTTTAATACTAAAACATGACTTTAGCACAATGTTATGAACTTTGGATTGCTATTCTATAGTCTCTTCTGGATTAGTCTTCCAGCACTTTTTTGAAAGAAAAAATAAATTTTTTAAATTCCTCAAGTGTCTTTTAAAGGTCAATAAGGTCAAGCAAATGACAATCATCGATCGATCTTTGAAATCTTATCAATATTTTTTTGAGGTCGTCGATTTTCTTAACAATTAATTTGTTCGTGATATCTTGCTGCTCTTTGGTTCGTAATGGATATTTTTCCATAAAAGATGGAATGTTTGTAAAAATTAATCAACAAATTATATGTACGAGTAAGCCCATTATGAAATAGAGCAAAGTAATGTATCAACTTGCTGTTTTTCATAAAGTTTCACACATGAAAATCATGACGCCCTTCTCATCAGCGTCCATACACAAGAAATATGTTGAATCGTTGGCAAGTATTCTCGCATAGGGTTAGACGCGCATGCGTATTCAAGCGTAACGGTATAGATCAGTTTTGCACCCGCCAAATTTTAATTAGCTACCGTTTTAATAGGTATTACTTTGCTGTTCGACAAGAATATTTTTTATGGAAAAAATGATAATTTTCTCAACGAAACTTTGAAAAATTTCGAATATAATACGTATCTAGGCTGCAAATAATTAACCTCAGCTGCTAATCACACGTGCCTTTGGACTTTCTTTTTTGGTGGCTTAGGAACTTTCCCCTGCACATTGTAAAAAATTTCTTTCACGCCTCAGACCTAAATATTTTACTTTCAGCTTAGATTGCACGAAATTAGTTTTTTCTTTACTCTAATAAGAAATTCTAAAGATTTACTTATTACATTATGAATTGAGAAAGAAACAACGTTTTACGTTAATTCGTGGTCTTTTTTCTTTTACGGAATTTTATTTTTCAAGCGATAAACAATTGCAATAATTATTTAATTCAAACTGGATTCGACGTCTAAAAAATATGACTGTTCTAAAACACGTAATAAAAATAATAAACATGATTATTGTTTAGTGATCATAGCGCAGACTCGTTATGACACTAGTCTCGCTGTTAGGTAAATTAATTAATTTTTAGAGAATCTTGCACTCATAGTGATGCAGCAGCACGGTCATTGATCCAAGAATATTTGAAATGAGTTTAGTCGAATGGGTCTCTAATGGCTACTATAGCAAAATTTTATTTTTAATTTTTTTAAATGCCGGTCTTTAAAGGATTAATAAATTGATGAATTAATGCTTAATATTTTAAGAAAACTTTGAAGTAACTTATCTATTAGTTCGAGCTTATGAGAAAAACGAAAAACTGCAACGTTACGTTTTTTTCATAATTACTTTCGTCGTAAAAATTTAAAACCCTAAACGTCCCAAACGCAGATGAAAAGTTTCGAGTAAACGGAACGTAATAATAAACAAAAAGTGATAAAAACTATTAAATTGCAAGTTTGAGAATTCAAACACTTAATAAATAACTGGCTATCGCGAAAACTTGCCGGTAACATTCGGGTCGGCTACTTTGCTGATCGAGCTAGACAAATGAACTTCTATTTATGAATATTTCATCAATTCCCATGACAAAATTATTCACTCACTCGGTTTCATGAAAATGTACCTGAAAATTATGTCGCAACTACAACTCCGATGCTACCAGTAAACACGATGACAAAACAGTGGACGTCTTTTTTTTCAGATTGAAATTTCAAAATGAGCGTAATAATCCGCCTGCAAAATTTGGCGTGGTCAGCCAACGCGCTGGACATACGCCAGTTTTTCCGTGGGCTTAGTATACCGGAAGGTGGTGTACATATAGTTGGCGGCGAATTAGGCGATGCATTTATCGCATTTAGGTATGTTAAATTTTATTTGATTTAAAAAAAAAATTGTTCGTCTTTTCTCACCCTCGAATCACAACGTTCGATACAACTCTTTTTCTTGAATGAAATGAATTCTCAACGCCAAGTCGTTACTTTAAAAAATGAGATTCGCTCCGTAAACGATGAAATCTTTGACCCTTTCTGCTTATAAAGCATCGTCCAAATGACCCATGAATTACTTATTTCAGCACCGACGAAGATGCTCGTCAGGCCATGATGCAAGATGGCGGTAAAATAAAGGAGGTAAAAATCAAGCTGCTGCTGAGCTCAAGAACGGAAATGCAAAAAGTCATAGAGACGGCGCGCCAGCAAACGCTGAACCTGCAGAGCGCCCTGATGCAGACTCCTGCGCCGGCCACCGTGTCGAGCACCTCGAACGCGGCGAGCAAGGGCGGCGACAACGACTCGACGAGCGGCAGCAACAGCAAGCGCGACCGCGACGACAAAGATCGCAAAGATCGCCGCGATCGTTCGCGCTCGCGCGACAGATCGAGATCCCGGGAGCGCGGCAGCCGTGGAGGAGATCGCGACAGACGCGACCGAGTCAGTGGTCGAGACCGTCGGGGCAGCGGCAGCGGCCGCCGCGACCGTTCGAGGTCGAGGGATAGAGATCGTCGTGACCGTGACAGGCGCAACAAACGCGACCGATCGAGGTCCCGCGACCGCACCAGATCGCGCGACCGCGACGCCAAGCGACAAGGCGACAAGGGCCGTGGCGGTAAAGACGGCCACGACGAAGACTCCAACAACGACGTCGTCTGCGTCGGGGCGTTCCAAAAAGCCGATTTGAAGGCCGCCGTCGCCATGGCCTCGATGAAGAACATCGGCATGGGCGACAACAGCAGCGTCTGGGACGTGCCCCCGCAGATGCAGAACAACTTCATACCGTCGCTATTCACCCCGCAAGCGCTCATGTCCAAGGCAGGCACCTTCAACATGGGCGGCCAGAGACCCATGATGCCCGGTGGCAGAAACGGTATGAACGGAGTCAGCGATATGATGACCTCGCAAATGTCAGCAATGGGTGGCGCCATTCCGAACCTGATGTCGGCCAACATCGTCAATCCTATGTCGGGTGGTCCGATGGGCCGCGGTAACAGAGACTGGAACGATCGCGACCACATGGACAGGCTCGAGGGCATGAACGGCATGGACTCGAGAATGGGCGGCGGTGGCTCGATGCGCATGGACAACGGCAGCGGCCGCTTCCCACCGAGGGACTTTGGCGAGTCGCGTTTCGGCGACTCCAACGTCGGCAGGAACTTCGGACGATCGGGCATGGGCAACAAAATGGGCGGTGGCCAGCCGTTCATGAACGATCGCATGGACAGCCGACGCAACAACAACGCCTTCCAATCGGGCCCGCGCGGGTCCTTCGATAACGACGGTGACCTCGACTCGAGGCCGGGCGGCCGAGACCGCGACAGTCGATCTCGCAAGGACAGCCGCGACGACGACAGAAGCAACAACAGCGACAAGGACTCGAAGGGAGAAAAACGAGAGCGCGAGTCGCGATTCTCCGACAACAAGAGCAACAAGCCGCCGGGCTTTTGCGTCGAGGTGCGCAACATGCCGATGAGCTCGAATTACAACGACGTGCGCCACCTCTTCCAAGGCCTTTACATTCGCAATGACGGTATTAAACTCATAACCGATACCCAGGGCAACAGAGTTGGCATTGCTTACGTCAAGTTCGGAAGCATCGAGAGTAAAGAACTCGCCATGAAAGGCACAAAATTCGTTCGTGGCTCGGAGGTCGAGGTCCTACATTTGGATGAGTCGATATTCGACAAAACCGACGACAAAGGCCGGGACAAGTCGCGTCAAGACAGCAAAAAGGACGACATAACGCCAGCCTCGTGCTGCGTCGTCGTCTCGAATCTGCCGTCGTTCACCAAGGAAATGGATATCGCCAATCTCTTCCAAGACTGGAAGATCAACGACCTTTTCATCACGGCCAAAGATCTCGACGGCAACGATCGTCTGGCTTACGTGCAGTTCGCGAGGCTCGAGGACGCCGCGCAGGCCCTCATGAAGCCCGCGAAAATCGGCCCCAAGTCCGTCACCGTGACCTCCATCAGCGAGGACAAGTTCGATCGGGCCAAGAGCGACCACGAGCAGATGACCAAAGGCTTCGCTAGCGCTATGGACTCGACGCCGTCGTTCGATTGCATTCACATGCGAGGCCTGCCGTATCACACTGTCGATCGCGACGTGCTCGACTTTTTCTCGGACATAGGCCTCATACCGCACAGAATACATATGCTCATGCAGAACGGCAAGCCCGCCGGCCAGTGCTTCTGCGAGTTCAACTCTTGCGAGGAGGCCGTGCGAGCCACATCGAAGAACGGCCTTCCGCTGGGTAAGAGCGTACCGACCATCGAGTTGGTCAATCGACACAAGATGCTCGACACCCTGGGCATGAACGACGAGAACAACTCCAAAATCACGTCGGACTACCAGCGACAAAAACGCATGCCGCACCATATGCAGGAGTCGAGATCGCGATTCTCGCCGATGAATCCGAGGTTCGGCGGCGGTATGGGCAACAACAATGGTTTCGGTGGCAATGGTTCTGGCCCAATGAGGGGTCCACCGATGATGGGTGGCATGGGCATGCCCCCACGGCACATGATGAACCGTCACGGGGGAGGAATGCCTCCACCATTGATCGGGGGCAGCGGCCTCGGTGGAATGATGCAAGGTGGTCCCGCTATGCCACACATGGAGGGCTTCGGAAAGCCCGGCTGCGTCATTTCCTTGGAGAACGTACCCTTCAAGGCCAGCATCGACGAGATCATGGACTTTTTCCGAGAGTACAACGTAACGAGAGACAATGTGATACGTCGGTACAACGACAAAAGCATGCCAACGGGCGACGCGCGCGTGGCGCTCTCGTCACCGATCGAGGCACAGCGAGCTCTGTCCGAATTGCGAAACGGCAAGATTCGCGACAGAACAATATTTATGAAGCTCGCTTGAGACATGCTAAACGTCGAGAGTGACTCCGACGTCAATGATAAATCAGACAAACCTTTTCCTAGTGCATTTTCTGAGCTGCCGGATGCGCTCAAAACTCCTGAAAACATTTTAAGTTTAGTTTCTTTGCTCGGTTCAAGTAGCGATTAAAAAGCGAATAAATCAAAGTCTGTGCTCCTGATCTTCGAAAGCTGCTTGATTTTTTAACGCATTGGTGATACAAGAGAGTAATTTGAAATGCTGAAGTTCAAATAAAAAATGATCGAATCGAGTCGAGAAAATTACTTATGAACGATACAAGCGTAGCAAGTATAAAATCATATAATTGTGTGAGAAACTGTCTATTAGATAAAGGTAATGTATGAATGATTTTGGTGTTCGAAGTGTAAAGCGCTTTCAATTGCTTTCATAGAGCAATTAAAATGTAAAAATAGATAAGGATTTAGGTAAGAAAAAAAAACAAAAGTATTACCATTGAAAATTGTTTGTTTTTTTTTGTATATAAAGTTGATCTAGAATTAAATTTAAAAGGCGTTAAATTACTTATGAATTAATTGAAAGTTAACAAGGTATGCGTAAACCAAAAACTACCAAATTTTCAAAACCGAAATGACGTTATTTTACGTAAGCCAATGTAAATAATTATTATAACTTACAAAGTCGAATAGACAGTATACTTGTACGTCATTAAATTTGGTTTTCACTAGATAGTTTTTTTTACTCTTTTCACGACTCATTGTAAACGTGGTTGGTTTCAAAAGAATCGGTGCCACGTCAAATGCGTGTAAGTTTTACGCGTTTTACTTATTTTAATTTTTTTCAATATCTCGCACTGTAAATATAGCATATTTAAAATTTATTGCGAATGATTAGTAAGTGTCAATAATTCAAACAGCACACATTGATTGCTTCGCCTCATAAGTTTATTGTAAAAATTTAAGTTTAAGTGTTTAAAAATACACAATTTAGAAATATGATAAAAAAGTTACAAACCAAAATTTGTATGAATAAATTTTTATAAAATAATCATGGTATTATAATATTTATTATCAGACCGTAACGATCCTTTTTCCCATTTCAATTATCCTGAATTTTTATAGCTCACTCGTTAGACCTGTCGTGTGGCAGGTAATAAGAACTTGAATTCGTTCAGCTGATGACACTTTCTAAAATTGACTCAAAAATTAAGTTTTTTAAACAGAGGTAAGTTTGACCGAAGTACTTTAAATTTATTCTGCATTAGTCATAAAAATACTTAAATCATACGAAAAACGATGTAATTGTTATGCATCACAGAGATCAAACGTTTCCACTTGAAATTAGAGACACTTTCATAAATTTACTCATCTGTAAAATGAATCGTTAGGAGAGGCTTGTAATCTGTATCATATGTGATATGAGCTTGTAAGTGTAGAGTGAAAATCGGGTCATTCAAGCCGTACGTCAACGAACAACCGCTGCAGAGTATCACATCCCACGCAAAATAACAAGTTTTACTCCTTTACAAGCAGGATAATAACGTTATTGCTTGTTATATTTTTAGAGTATTTTTTAAAATTGATCGTTAAATTTAAAAAATTACGATTATAAGTTTTTTAGAAAAACATTAAGCTTCGCCAAGATAATATTTTAAACTAAGCTATAACAATCGAGACACAGGATGGTCATTGACTCAAGCTTGCAGAGATATTTTAAATTTTCGAAGTACCATACCCGAAGAAATAAATGTACTTCATATAAGCAGCGTTTAGTTAAAAAGCGCGATCGTGACGGTTGTATCGAGTCTTCTGGTTTTTATTTTATTTTTTCATTTTCTCAACTCGTGGGTGAAGCAAAAAATCCAGAAACAGCCCCTCTCTCCACTAGTCGAAAATCGGAGAGAAGAGAGCAGCAAGGCAAACGAGAGATGCAGGGAGAGAGATGGAGCGAGAAAGAGAGAAAGAGACGGAGGAGAGTCGCGGGCTGCACGCGCAAAAGAGAGGAGCCGGTTCAGTCTGGTTGGCGACACGAGCCGGTCTCGAATTGGCTTCTCTCGTGACAAACGAGATTGCCGACGGCACAAGTATCACTGCGCGCTCACTGCTCGGCTGCACACGCACACGCAATTAAAAAGCGGACGGCTTCGTCGGAAGCTGCGCGACGATGATCGTCCTGCTTCTCTGCTGCTGTGTGGCGGGCCTGCTGCTGCAAGCTCCGGACAACGTCGAGGCCCAATTCGTACGCTCGCGACTGTTCTGCCCGGCGCAATGCACGTGTCTCGTCGAGGACACGGTGCGCTGCGTCTTCCAAAGGCTCGCGATCGTACCCAGCGTACCGGCCGATACTTCTGTACTGTAAGTATGTGATTGGCACAACTGCGTATTAAAGATGTTAGATTTTATTTCGCGAGGACAACATTTTGTCAAACCTTGTCTCGGCAGCGATACGCGTGAAAAAAACGGTGAGGGCCCCGCCGCTATTTTCGTCCTACTCCAGTCATCCGTTGGGATTTTTAACTATCGCACACGTGCACACCCCCCACGGGCGAGTTTCTCTCTGCCTCCTACTTGCCTCTCGGTTTTTCGAATATTTTCGAGAGCTATTTTTACCTCGGCCTTTGTTTATCGGTAAAATTCATCGACCAAAGTCCGAAATTAGCTTTGTTCGAGTAATAAACTGGAATAAAATGTTCCACGTTTATACGTTTGCTTACACCAGCGTTTTTAGATCTCGTTCGCGTTTTATTATAACTCAATTCGCGATCTTGTGAACTCGATCGAATAACTCGCGTAAAATTGACCCGAAAAATGCACTCGACAAATCATTTTCTCTCGAAAGCTCGTTATTGAAATCAAGACATCGTGATTGCGTCCAAAACAATAAACTGCAGCTGTGCTCGGGGGTTTTAACTATTACGGTCGGCTACGAGAATACATAAAAAAAACGACATCGAATTCGCGACGAAGCAATTGAGAGCCATAGAGCTTTACAAATTTTTGTTTTGAAAAGAAATGCTTGTCGCGTTACTTTTCAAACAGAATGTATTTCTTATATGAGGTAAACAACAACGAATGATTATTTTGTCTATATTCAACGGCCTTCGAGTTGTCTGTGCATTATTTTCCGAATGAAATTTCTCAGAGTGATTGAGTTAATAGCTTTATTCAATTTTAAACGAGCTAAAAATGTACCGATCATTGATATTGATGTAGTCTTAAAACTATGCTACTCAGCATAAAATGTGCAGCGAAACGGTACGGCTACGTAGCTGCAATTTTATTCAATAACAATTTTACATAATGAAGTGGCCGCGTGGAAATTCTAGCGCACGAGTGTCGTCTTTCCATTGATCTATCAAATGACATATCCTCGACTCTTATCTTTTTTTATATCCGGCCTGGGTTTCGCGTCCCTCGCGTACTTGAGTTTACTTCTCGATACGATAAGTGTAATTGTACTCGCGAGTAATAAAGTCGATTGTCACGCGGGCGCGCGCGAAAAAGAAGTAGCACTCCGGAGACATATTAGCACGCACCAAAAGCCAATTACAGATGTCCCATAGCCCGTCCTCTCTCTCTCTTTTTACTGAATGGGAAGCTTTTCAATTTACGTTTACGTACACTGCGTTTTTTCCCACAGCGACTTGCGCTTCAACAACCTCACGGTATTGCGCTCGAGCGACTTTTCTCACTTGAAGCATCTTCACACGCTCCTGCTGAACGACAATCAGATCGAGCACTTGCCGGCCCACGTGTTCAGCGGCGCTACTAATCTGCGCTTCCTCTACCTCTACAACAATCGTCTGCGCAGCCTAGATCCGCGAGCTTTTTCCAATCTGCTGCAGCTCGAGCAGCTGTACCTTCAATCGAACGGTCTGAAGATAATCGAGCCCGCGACTTTCGGCGATCTGTCGCAGCTCCGGACGCTCTTTCTTCAAGATAACAAGATCGAGCGAATAGCCGCGACGGCCTTCCGCAACGTCGCGTCGATCGCGAGACTCCGTCTCGAGGGCAATGCACTCGTCTGCGATTGCGAGCTGCTCTGGCTGCTCGAGAAAGCCAAGGACGGCTCGGAGGTGAGCGCCGAGTGCCAGGAGCCACGGCATCTGCGAGGCAGAAAACTCAGCGATGCGACACCGGCTGACTTCCAATGCAAAAGTACTTATACACGAGGCTTACTTGTTTTCTTTTCTCTCTCTCTCTCTCTCTTATATCTTCCGCCTCAATTTGACTCTCGATGTAAACAAATTTCGTGTCATTTCAAGAGCGGCCCGTTATCATGGAAGAGCCCGAGGACGTCCAAGTGACGCCAGGTGATAGGGCGGTGTTTCGCTGCCGCGCCGTGGGCGATCCGCAGCCTCGAGTAAAGTGGATGCGAGACTCGAACGAGTTGGCCATCGATGGCTACCGCTACAATCAACAGGCCGACGGCTCCCTCGTCGTCAGCGAGGTCGACGAGAGCGACTCCGGTCACTACTACGAGTGCCTGGCTTCCAACGACATGGGTCAGGCTCGCTCGCGCAGAGCTCGAGCGCTTGTCGTTAATGTCGCGCTACCGACTCCTAGGATCGTCGAAGCGCCGGCCTCGCAGACGGTATGTGAAGAAGAAAAAAATTGACGCAACGATCAAATTGCGCGCTAATCGAGGCAAATTCTGTCTGGGGCAGGTGCTCATTGGTAGCGACGCGCAGCTAGTCTGCCGAGTGGACGGCCCATCAGCGAGGACACTCGTCGAGTGGTTCTTCAGCAACGGTACTCGCGTGCAGGCGAGCTCCCGCATCCGTTTGGAAAATAACGGCAGCGTCTTGAAGATCCTCGGTGTCCAGGCAACGGACGCGGCGCGTTTCGTTTGTCGAGCCAGAAACGGTCACGGCCTGGCGGAGACGAGCGCCGATCTGCGCGTCGTCGATTCCTCCCTGAATAGCTCGGAACCTCCGAGTCCCCCCGTGCTGCTGGTAGAACCTCAGGACATGGAAGTCGAGCTTGGCTCCATGATAGAGTTGGCTTGCAGAGCCACCGGTAAACCGCAGCCCACCATAACTTGGAGACGAGATGGCACGATCGTCCAGGGCAACGGAGTCAGGCTCTCGAAGCACGGCAGCTTGTACTTGTACAACGTCACTGGCAGGGATTCTGGCAGGTGAGTATCAAGAATGTCAATACTCGTGGGTCTGAATCTGACCCTGTAATACGCAACAGATACGAATGCTCAGCGGCAAACGACGAGGGTCGTGCCAGCGCCACAGCTCTACTGCGAGTCCGTCAGCCAGCGGTCGTGAGCGAGGGTCTCGTGTTTCGAGCGTTCGTCGAGGCCCAGCACGAGATCGACCGCGCCGTCAACAACACGTTACGCGAGCTTTTCGAGCCGAGCAGTAGTAGCGCGTCTTCTGGTCGCAGCAATCCCTTTCGATTATCGAGGTTCCCGGACGTCGTGGCGAGAAAAGCCGCGAGACCCGCGGAGTTGTTCGAGCGTGCCCTGACGCACATCCGACGCATGGTCGACTCGGGTGCTCGAGCCAATGCGACCGACGACTTCCACTACCAGGAACTTCTGAGCCCTCGACAGCTCGTTCAACTCGAGAGATTGTCCGGCTGCACAGCCCATCGGCGCGCGGATAAGTGCTCCAACGTTTGCTTCCACAATCGCTACCGATCTTTCGACGGTCGCTGCAACAACCTGGAGAATCCGACCTGGGGCGCCTCCTACACGGGCTTCCGTCGACTCCTCAAGCCCGTCTACGAGAACGGCTTCTCGCAACCGGTCGGATGGGACAGCGATCGGCTGTACCACGGATTCCCGAAACCGGCGGCCAGACTGGTGTCCACCGAGCTGATCTCCACCGAGCCAACGACGGAGGACGCGCAGATCACGCACATGGTCATGCAGTGGGGCCAGTGGCTCGATCACGATCTGGATCACGCGCTGCCCGCCGTCTCGAGCGAGTCCTGGGGCGGCATCGACTGCAAAAAGACCTGCGATAACGCTGCGCCTTGCTTTCCCATGCAGGTACCGCCGAACGATCCAAGAATAAAGAACAGGAGGTGCATCGATTTCTTCAGAACCAGCGCCGTCTGCGGTTTGTATACCAATTACGCCCCTATTTCGTTCGTAATTAAATGTATAAAACGACGTTCTGTTGGACCGGATTTTTCAGGTTCCGGAATGACGAGTATACTCTGGGGCAAGCTAACTCCGCGCGAACAGCTGAACCAGCTGACGAGCTATCTGGACGCGTCGCAGGTCTACGGCTACGACGATGAGACAGCCCGCGAGCTGCGCGACTTCGGCAGCAATCTGGGCCTGCTGCGCGAGGGCCCGAGCTTCCGCAACGCCAAGCCTATGCTGCCCTACGCCAACGGCCAATTCATCGACTGCCGGCGCAATCTCAGCGAGAGCAACGTCAACTGCTTCCTAGCCGGTGATTTTCGCGTGAACGAGCAGGTGGGCTTGACCGCCATGCACACCGTCTGGATGAGGGAGCACAACAGACTAGCGAGAGCCTTGAAACTGATGAATCCTCAGTGGAACGGAGAGAAGCTTTATCAGGAGGCTAGGAAAATAGTCGCTGCACAGGTATGCTTGTCGATCTATTAATTTACCCTATTTACATTTCTTCCACGAACTCGTACCATCCGTCTTTCAGATGCAAGTGATCACGTACCGCGACTGGATCCCGCTGATTCTCGGATCCGACACGGACGAGCTTTTCGGCGAGTACCGCAGCTACAAGGCCGACGTCGACGCCAGCATATCGAACGTGTTCGCCACCGCGGCTCTGCGCTTCGGTCACTCTCTGATCCAGCCGAAATTCGAGCGACTCGCCCCAGAGCTCGAGTCGATTCCCGAGGGGCCGCTGCATCTGCGTGACGCCTTCTTCGCGCCGTGGCGCCTCGTCGACGAGGGCGGCACCGATCCGCTGCTCCGGGGCATGTTTGCCACGCCGGCCAAGCTCAAGAAGCCCACGGAAAATCTCAACTCCGAGCTCACCGAGCAGCTCTTCAGGATTGCCCATGCCGTAGCTCTGGATCTCGCGGCCATGAATATTCAGCGTGGCCGAGATCACGCGATACCGTTTTACCTCGACTGGAGGGCCTACTGCAACATGAGCCGCGTCGAGACGTTCGACGATCTGGCCGGAGAGATAAGCAGCGCCGAGGTGCGAGAAAAATTACGCCGACTCTACGGGGACCCGAGAAACATCGACGTCTGGGTCGGAGGTATTCTCGAGGATCAGTTGCCCGATGCCAAAGTCGGGCCCCTGTTCAAGTGTCTGCTGGCCGAGCAGTTCCAACGGACCAGAGACGGCGATAGATTCTGGTACGAGAATCCCGGAGTTTTTTCGACCGGTCAGCTCGAGCAGATACGAAAGAGCAGTTTGGCCCGAGTACTTTGCGACAACGGCGACAACATCACCAGAATTCAGAGGAACGTCTTCCTGCTGCCCGGTGGAAGAGACAACGACTTCCGCTCGTGCGACGAGATACCCTCGATCGACCTGAAGCTCTGGTACGAATGCTGCGAGGAGTGCGCCGAGCAAGTGGAAACGAACGACGTCGCGATCACGAGATCCAGGCGAGCCACCGATAAGTATCTCGCGCACAACAATTACGACGATTCGGAGCTTAAAAGCTCAGATAGAGAGTCGGCACGAATCGAGGAGATGTTGATCGACGCTAATCAAGAGTACAAGAAGATCAACAAAGTTTTGCTCGAGTTGAGAGGGAGAATCAACGAGATGGAGCAGTTGTTGGAGCAAGTCAGAAGCAAAGAGAGAACGATTTTCAACTGATGCGAGCCAACAGCGTACGATTGTTCTTCGAAGTAAAAGTTTACGCAGCGACTCGCGACTTATCGCATTTCATTGTGTGTACGGTTTTTTGTATGTTTAATTGTGTGACTCTTAACCCAAGAAAGCGATTCTCTGCGTTCGTTTTCAATCGTATGGACTTTTCTATTTTTAACGATTTTAATAGTTTTTAAACGATTGAAAATGCATGCAAAAAATCGCCCTTTTGCTCATTATTGGGTCAACTACTTTTCTATATTGTAAGCCATATCCCAAAAATATCGTGATTCTTTTTTATATTATGCCACTATTGTTGATTATAAATATTTATTTCTCAATTGGAGCATTCATTGTACAAGGTGCTCTCGCGGCCTCGACTCAATAAGTCTTACTTTGTAACAATGCATTCTATTAGCTATGTAAATGAGATTCGCTATTCAGAGCGTGTGTTGCTTTTGAACAGACAGTACAAACGAAAAAATAAATACAATCAAGTGCCATGACAGATGCTCACTAAACACAAAATAATAACAATAGTTTTTTTTCAACAAACTTATATATTAAGCCTAAGACGAAGAGCCTCCGATGAATTTGGTGTGAACTCCGCGAGCAACGATGGAGCCGCAATCCTTTTTGGTTATTTCCACCTCGAGGAAAGCCAGTGTCCTGCCGGCTTTGATGGTTCTGGCGTCTATCGATATTACGTCTCCGGGAAAAGCTGCCTTCAGAAATCTAAAATCAATCGGGGATTCGTTATCTATGTGTTATAGCCCAGTTTACGAAATAAATACGATGCGATGGAATATTTTGTTTACTAACGTGACGTGGAGATCGACGGAGACGCCGGGCACCGCTGCCTTGTGGCTCATGAGCGCGTAAGTTGAGATGCAGTCGACCAAGGTGCTGGTGAAGCCTCCGTGCAACGTTCCGCCGTAGTTCAGATGCTCCTCGTCGACTTTCAATTCGGCTTTGCACTTGCCATCCTCGACCGAGATCAGCTCAACCTGTTTACGGCACGAGTGTCACGAATGAAATTATGAAAGTATATTTTATATATCCTGGCTGAGAATTCACTTACCTTTTTCAGGCAGCGACCGTAGCAGTTTGAATTTTTCGTAGCGTCGAAAACTGTCCTGATGAACTGAGCTACCTTCGACATTGTGATGGTGGAGCTTTCGTGAGCGCGCTCGAGCGATCCCAAGACGACTGTCAATTCGCGTTTTCGTTACATACCGCTCGGTGTATTTCTTATTTTCTATATCGGATCGTTTGAAATTCGTTCGTGATTTTACGAAAAATTATACGATGACGTAATTGGCTTGCGTAACGCACGTCTATAATAGGCACATATACACTTGTTATGTACACATATATAATGGATATAAAAAGCGAAATCGGGAAAGTCTTGAAGTACAATTATGTAGAGGTTAAAATTCTGGCGGAAAAAGCCAAGCAAACTCTAAACTAACAATAGTTATAAAACAAATGTCGAGATTCAAACGATCGCGCCTGTCCACATAAATGCAGCGATTCCGAAATCAACGATCAGGCACAAGTATACGATGTAAAGAACGACAGAACGAGAGAAGTCTCGTTATCAGCAAAATGAAACAACACTTAGCAGACGATAACTGTGGAGCACGTTTCTCCACACTTGTCAGACAGATAGCAGACTCGAATCTTTTGATAAACAAAGCGCTTCTGCTAGGCTTCAAGTTCATAGCGCCATCTGCGCGAACGATGATTTTTGCTGGCAACACTCAAATTGCAAGGAGCTTGATTTTTGATATTCTCAAAGTATTTGAGCTTTCGACAATTTCATCCAGGCGGAAAACGAAAGCTCTGGTAAAAAATAAATAAAAAATAACGATAGCTAAGTTTAAAGCGAGAGTAAAGTGGCCGATGGTAGAGTAGGAATTCCATGTTTGCGCACGCTCGTGGCCTCAGTAATCTGCAATGACTGCAACCAACAATAATCTGCATGAGAGAGAGAGAGACAGAGGGTCGAGCTTTCGACAAGGAAGTCTTGAACGAGGGGAATTTTGGGCTTCGGAAGAGTCGCACTCGATTCGACGAAAAAGTTGCGCGTAGATACGCGGATCAAAACGAATTCGTAATTAGCACTTTTATGTAGTGCAGCCCAAAGGAACATTCGTAAAAATCTGAAAGTCCTTATTTCATTGATTACGAAGGACAAAACGGCGCATATCGGACGATTCAAGATCAGTACAGCGGGAAATTGTGACACAGTACAGTATCAGCACACTTGCACGTGTCCGAAAGCGTCACGCACCCCATCAGCGCGTTAAATACACACGTATAGAGTGGGCTGCCTGTAATGAGCTCATGATTTGTGCGCGCGTGTGAATCCGAGTGCGAGTGCGACTTTTCAAAGGCTATTTACCTGTCGGAGGTTCACCTACTTTGAGCGCACGCCAACATTGAGCTCGCTCGGGCTCGGGCCGCCTCCTCTCCTCTCTCTCTCTCTCTCTAGTCTCTCGGCTCTCCGATACTACATATTACACCGTAACCGCGCGCATACGTATGTAGATGTGTACATGGAAGCGTCGTGTTTAACATCCAGTCCTGGCAGGGGCTCGAGCCCGAGCGAGAGCCGGAGTGATATCGCACATAGGGAGGGAGGAATATAGGCAAAGAGCGTGCAGCTGTTTACTTGCGCCTCGCAGCTATCTAATTCATGCGCTGCTGCTGCTGCTGCTGCTATTTCTGTACAAACACACAAAGTGAAGGGGAAAGCAGCGGCATGGCATTGGATGTGCATAGGTGCAGTTTAGCAGGTCGAGCGTGCACGCAAGGAGGCTGCTGCTGCCGCTGTAGCTGCAGCGGTGGCCGAGAACTGCAGCGGGAACGAGGATAAGCTCAAGAGCACGAGTGAATATAAAAAAAAAAAAAAAAACAAAACAAAAGCAAAAAAAAACAATAATCGCTGACAGTCTATCAGACGAACAAAAGCACGAGCAGCTGATCGTCGTTCGTCAATTTTGCGGACAGCTGATGTGCGTAACAATTAAACACAATTAGCTACGGTTTAGCCCCTGGAACTGCAGCTCAGGAAGCACACCGCGGGCAGGCGGCGGGGGCCGCTCATCGTATGGGAGCGTGCGCGAAAATGTACTATGCAGCATGAGGAGTCGAGCGAGTAGCTCGCTCGCGTGCACGCTACACTGCACGCGCTGCGTGTGTGCGCCTATATATCGTGCAACAGGAGATGGACCAGTTATATAGGTGGCCACTATATAGTTGGCTCTATAATACTACCTAAGGAGTGCGGGATCGCGCGCGCGACGGGAGGGAGCGAGAGACGCGAAGAGGGCTGCTTAAAGGCAGTCAGCGAGCGAGTGCAGCTGCACGGCGCGCACTCCTCTCGCGTCGCGAAGCGCGGCAACTCCGAACTTGGATCGCGCGCGCGGCGCTGGACGACTGCGAGAGGTGCACACGACTATATACACGACTATATAGAGTCGCTCTCTCGCACTCTCTGCGCGGTACATATAGTGGCGGAGAGCCGGCTCGCGGATAGCCAGTAGTCGGTTGGCACTCCGGCAGCGAGCAGCAACGGGAGCGAGCGACTACATTACATAGGCAGCAGCACAAAAGCAGCAGGAAGAAAGAGAGCGGGGAGAGCCCTCGACGAGAGTCGGCAATCGTTGGCTATAAGCAGAGGAGTGCGCGCGTGGTAGTAAAATACATGCCAGTGTCAGTTGTGTTGTTGCCTTGTTGCGAGTAGTGACTCAGTGCGGTATCTCTCTAGCTCTCTTTTACTCTCTCGTACTCTTCAGCTCAGCTGCGACCATGATCCTGACCTAGTGCACGGTGCGAAAATTTTTGCAAACCTCGTTGCCGCCGTGGATGTATAGAGAGATGACGACGATTGGCCGGATGAGCGAGCTCGGCCCTCACACTCAGCCGTTGTAGTCACGTCGCGCGCACGCACAGGTTGGTCTTGTTTTACTCTCTTTGATATATTCGCCAGTCACGGAGCCCGTTCTTTCCTTTTCTCTCTCTCTCTTTCTTTCTACTTGCTGCTCCTCCTGCGATTTATAAACGCAGCTCCACGGCGCGCGAGACCGTGCCGTACATGCATGCATGCTTGCTCGCTGCGCTGCGCTGACTCAGCTGTGTGGCCTTTTCCTCGAGAAATCATATAGGTATACACCCGTGCAAGTGCACCTTCATAATCGCACGTGCTCCGACAGAGACCAGCAGCTCGCGCTCTGCACGCAGGAATATATCGCGCGGCACCCGCGAACCATTATTATTGCGCAAACACGCCGAGTGTTTTGTAGATTAGTGCCGCTCGTGACGATCATCGACGACGGCGAATTCCACGCCAGCTATAAGTACATAATCCTCGATAGTTCGACTGTGTGTGTGTGTGCGATGTACATATATTATACATGACGAAGACGATTGAAAATTGTAGCGATGGATGATCGGGAATATACTATATTTAATATTGTATATATTGGAGGCGCCTGCGAGTCGCCGTGCGAGCGAGCGAGAGAGAGAGAACATATTCCGTATCCGATAGACGCGAAAAAAGAGAAAGGTTTTAGCATGAAAGAGGCAGCGGGGCCGTGTATGTATACACACAACATCCATGAGTTGCTGCTGCCTCGGCTTCACCACCACGTACAATGAGAGATAGGCCTGCTGCTGCCTGCACGTATATCGTGTATGACCGGAATGCCCGCGGCTACTCTATACAGAGAACCGATCGACGCGATCGCTGAGCGAGCAGCATCAGCAGCGCACACGCGTTACTTACTTATAAAAGCGCAGCACACCGGGACACTGCTGCACGCGACTCCGCGCGCGCGCGCGCGACATTCCAAGCGCTCCTCGCGCTCCAGTATGCACTTGCCCGCTTTGACACTTGCACTGGTCGCGCTTCTCTGATCATCCTCGTTGCACGAACGAGTGCAGCTACGCAGTTAGCTCATATCATGTATATAGACACGAAGAGCCGCAAACAAAGGAGCACACATGCGCCAAGCCCTTAAAGTTGGAGCAGCAGCAGCAGCAGCAGCGATGCGGGGGCCCAAAAAGAGCCTACGAGCCGATCGCAATACCGAGGCGAGCCAACGTGCACCCATAACGTGTATACTACGTCGTAAAAAGGAGGAAGGCGTGCAGTTTATATAGCCGCATGCATTATACGTAGTGCCCGTGATGCAGACTCGAGTATAGGCACGAGTGCTGCTAGTGTAGTAGCCGTGGCTCCTCGCATGTGCACTTTATAACGCGCTTCGGATCGTTGGGATCGTGAACGCCGCCGTCGCCGTTCGCCGCCGCGCGTTTCTCCGAACTGCAGCAAGAACAAAATGAAGCGCGAGAGGGGGACCTGTACGCCGCCGTATAATTAAGGGGGTGCAGGCCAGTCGGCTTCTATGCCTCGCTCCTCTTCTTGTTTTCTTCCTTTGCTCTCTCTCTCTCTCTCTCTCTCTTATTCTCGTTTACTCGTGCACTCGGCGTTTCTCCTCGCTTCGGACGCTCTGCTTGTCTCTCCCAGCGCGCACGGAGCCTGTCTTCTGCTGCTCCTCAGCCGTTGACCCTTGCAATGCCCTCGCGACTCTCGTGTGAGCAGCAGCTCTAGTCCTCCGCACGCACGCATCTTTTGCGATTGCGATCGGCTATATTCACGAGGTGTCGTCGTCGTCGTCCTCGTTGTCTTTGTTCGAACAAACTTTGCCTCGCCTTTTTTCGAACCCAACCGATATCGGCTACGAGTAGCACCGACAATAAAACAAAATCAAACTAATTTTCAGAATGTCGTTCCCGCAAAATTCAGTCATTCTGTTTTCTCACGAGACGCAGCGCGGAATATAACGAGGTCAAATCTGTTATGTACGGGTTCCCTTCGAGTTTTATCGTCGATGCTGCTATCTATGTATACTTATTTTTAGCTGTGCTCCGCGTTCAATCAGACAATTGAGATTTCGATTGCACGCGAACGCGCTGCTTTCATCTCGCGCGTTATGATTCTGGAACACACCTGCGCCATCGGCATTATCTCGAATTTTCATTGCTCTACGCGCGCCACGAATTATTTCCAACGATTGGCTTTGACGCGAGCGCGGAGCGCAATTTCAAGATCCGAAGTGGCTATATGCGTACATATAGAGCTCCAAGGTGTGCTGCGCGCAGCGATACCGAGATGATTCATAGCATCGAAGCTCGAATCCTTGTACTCGCGTGAGAGTCACGATGAAACAAAAAAAATAATATTTACAAAGAGCACGTAGCGATCGCTGGGTACATTTTAGTCACTTTCAATTATTTTCATCTTAATGCTCGCTTGCGTAAAAAGAAGAAGACAAATGAGGGAACGATATACGAGGAAGACTTTGTGCGACCTAAAAGTTCAACGACTCGCAGCACGCGGCTCGAGTAGTTGCGACTCGCGCGTATATACAAAGACCAGTGAATCAGTGGATAGATAAGACTCGATGGAACTGACAGAGACTCTGTGGCTGCGCTGGCAGCCTATGTACTTGTCTACATAGTTCGTAAAGACTTGGGTTGTAAAGGAGCCGTCGGCGTCGCCGAAGCGAGAGCGGCCTAAAGGCCATCCCGCGCGATATCGATTGTGCGATGATGGGTGTCGATGTAGGTTAAAGTTAAAATTACCCGCTTAACACTGTTCGAGATGGCCTGGCAGTATGACGTTCGCGTGTGTATGAGTGTGTGTGTGTGCTTGATGGCCTATAGCAAAGACGCGCGGCTATATTAATCCTGGGAGGAGGGACGTCGTTGTTACTTTGAGCGAGCTCGAGGTTTCCGTATATACGTCCCTCGAAGTAAAATTAATTCCACGAGGTCGATCGGATGCTCCTGACATCTCTCTCTACTGACATCGTGTCCCCGCGCGCAAGTCGAGGCCCAATTACATCCATAATAGCCGCTTCGAATATCTTTGCAATTGACGAGTGTACGGTACGTGTTCGTCCTTTTCAACCTTCGATGCCGTTCGTTGCAAAGCTGTGTTTATCGCAGCTTCCTTTGCACCAGGGGTCCTGGACGAAAGCGAAATCAAAGGCTCGACTCGGAAACTCCTTACCATTACAGAGCCAGACGCACCCAGGCCCTGTGCATCGCCGCGAGCTGTGCAGTGCAGGCCAGTGATGCGTTCATCCGGTACCGTATACAGAGCCGCGTCCGTGAAACTATATGGTAGCTGCGAATCGTACGGGTCACGAAGGGGCTCGCGCGGCGCTATGCATTAGACGCTCGTGTTCTCGCGCCACTCGCGCGCTGCTCTCTTATTATATATATCGAAGGTGTCGCATTTCAACGCCTTGCACAAATACAACGCGCATAGCCGCAGACGCGCAAACCTCTTACACGCGACGCATCGATTTCCGATACGCATAGACGCGCGAGCTGTACGAGACGATACAGCAGCGACGACTGCTGCTGCTGCTGCGAAGGACTCAGCGCAGCTCTCGAGCTCTCTCCTCGTGAATCATCGAAACTCTAATACTGTAGCGATCCAATATCCTACATCGCGAGCAGCTAAGAAATCCTAGCCGTGTCCTCGATTTATGTGCTTTCGACGCTTCTTCGGCACCTTCGGCGAAACCCTGGAGTACGATTTCTGAACTACAGAGTGCAATATTCAATTTGTGCTAGCGAGGTTTCGTAGTCGTTTTCAAATTTCTCGTAAATCAAGGTCCTATCTTGGCCCAATGTAGAAAACCACATTAATTACAAACTAGTTAAGCTCTCATCTTTTTCTGATGTAGGCATGAAGTTATAGCCGCGTACAGTTTTGATTTTTTTATAAAAAAGTGATTTGATGCTGCTTTCAAGCTCCATCAAGCGTAAATAAATCGCTCACTAATGTCTTAACCACGTCCGTTTATTTTAGCTTCAATTTTATGGGGACTAATAAAAATAATGCCTCGAAAATTCATTATAGCCGCAGCATACTCAGTTGAACCGAATGATGACCGTTCGGAGTTATTCTTTTGGATTTTAATCACACACGTGTCTCGATTTTTCCATCGTAGTCGCATTTTAAATAATCGCTTTAACGAATAATTTCGAAGTTTTCGAGTTGCTTGACTGAAAAATGCTGAAACTTTTTCTACTCATTGGCTAGAGAGCAAAAAAAATTGCAAGAATCGAGGGAACAAACTTACTGTTCATTACGGGACGGTGAATATCTATCGAGGGAAAAAAGGAGTAAAGATGCGGGCATCAAGAGCTAGAGCAAAAAACCGAGGACGATCAGGAGGAGAGAGAAAAAAGGGGAAGGAGAAAAGTCAAAGCCGCGTGGAGGAAAAAAGAGGAACGAGAGAGTCTTCTCTCTCGGCTTATATTGCTCGTTCGTTCGCATGCCCAGTCGCGAGTCGAGGAAAGCGGATCGCCTAGGCTTAACAAGCCGCGACTCGCTATATAGTACACATTATACGGGCAATGTGTCAGTGCTGCGGAACAGGCCAGTTCGCGCGCCGCTAATAATCCTCGATACGCTTGGTAGAGACGCGAAATGATATATATTGAGAGAGAAAGAGATGAACGTATATAAACGGCGAGGATTGCCTCGTGCTGCGTGGAAAATCAAAGGCACGCGCTACAAAGAAAATCGAAAGCAGCAAAATTTACGCGGTTTCAATTGATACTGGTTTCCCGCACGTGTTTCCAGCAGAATATTAGGCCCAACAATGCGCTCGCTTCGACTATGTACGTTGAAGAATTGAATGGCCTGGCTTCTCTCTGGAAAAAAAATTTTGACCAAGTGCTGCAACAAAAGAGTCAGCTTTATCCTCGGGTGCTTTGCTGCAACTACCGAGCTGCGGAGCGCAACACTTTTAATTGCCACCAAGTCAGCGAGCTCGAGGCGCGAAAACTTTTCTGTACACCATTTATTTCTACAGAGAGAGAGAGAGAGAGAGAGAGAGAGAGAGAGAGAGAGAGAGAGAGAGAGAAAACGAGCTGAGCCAAGCTGTGAGCGAACTGATAAGGCTGCCACACTAGTGTATTGATTTTTCATTCTGCCGTTTCCTGCCGTTCTTCTTCTTCTTATTCTTCTTAGCGGCTAGCCGCGATGTAAGTCCGAGGTATCGTTCACCTATACGCCAATGGCTAAGAGCGCAGCAGCGACGGCTATAGCGGCGCAGCAGTTATACTCGTGTATATTTGTGCGTGCGCGTATATCATTACAAGCGATCGATCGTTGCGGCAGGCAATGAATATTGCACGATTTCGTCCCTCTCGTTGCTTAGCGCACACCGCTGCCGCCGCCGATCGCGACGAATTACACGTAAGCGCTCCCCTCGCTGGTTCCCCGCCGCGATGAGCACGGTATAATATCGTTGTGTATTGCAACTCGTGTTGCAGAGTGCATACTGTAAATCGCGCATCGCGTTGATCCGACAGTCAAATTCACCGATACGTTTGCGTCCGATTCTCGCTTCTTTAATCGATGCATTTCACGGAGGCATTAGGTTTTGGAACGGCTTATTCGTATTTATTCATTGTTCGTCGATGCTTGTTTGCGTTTGGCATACGTGTGAGTGTTAAAAAAAAATCAACACCTTCCTGCCGAGTGCCGAGCGCCGAAGCAGCCGACTTTCATGCAAGCTCACGTGTGCATTTTATCGTTTTCCTTCTATGCTCTCTACCATATCTATGCCTCTCTTATATTAATCCTAGCCTTTATAATTTATGCATGCATTGTTTTGTTGGCAATATTCACTACTCCGAAGCCGTATTAATTCATATACCTACTGTTTCGTCATCAATTGTGTAAACGAAGATTTAGAAGCTTACTCGTGACATATTACAGGCATGAACAAATGCAAGCATGAATTTCCCCTATCTCGCTATAGATGCATACGCACTACCTATGCATGATTTATTCGGACTCTGAGAAAGCGTATGAACGAAATTGCGGGGGTCAATAACTTCTATTATAACTATTCAAGTTTCCTGTAGAGCGTGTTGCTTATATCATATATGACTTCTAATTCTGATGATAATATTTTTGGCTCGATATGTTATTTCTACATGTTTAAACAAATGACATTAAAAGTTCATTAAACAGTTTTCATACACTACGTATGAAAAGTTTTTTTTTATTAAAAATCAACGTAAATTATCCGACTACCATTTTTGACTTTGAGTTTAAAACTCATAAGCAAATTATACACATATTTTACGGAATGAAATATATAATTTTCAATATTTAATGAAAATTGTTGAAACATTTTCAAAACTAACGTACCCCAATTTATGAAAAAAGTAGTCTACAATTCTCATGCAAATTATCTCTCGTTACAAAATATTTAAATGAAAAATTTTAATATTATGTGTGATTACTAGGGTATAAAGCATAAAGTATAAAGTCAAGTTAAATCAACCTTTTCATATTATGCTCTTCTTTCCCTTTTCTGACGAGCACAATATACTCGAACGCGAGTACCTTGCATGTTTTCATTTCATGTCTTTCCCCCTCTTGTCTATAAACCCTGCTTTTTTTATTCCTCATCTTTTTACTTTACTGCCAGTGTGTCTCCAGTAAACTGAACAGCATAAACCTAATATTAATACGATCGAGTGGCACTACGGAGTTTTCTCGCGACCGCAGGAACAAAAAAGATCAATAAAAAAAAGTCGTCTACGCATTATTGCTATTCAGGGTAGTCGTAAAAAAAAAGAATATTCTCAACTTGATACATCAAATTATAAAAATAATGGATCAAGTCTAAATATAGAAAACAAGATAGGGAGGTTCAGGACAATTTCTCATTCAGGATAATCTTCCGTTTGAGGTTGATTGAGTGTAACTTGAGCACGAATCATACAGTGCTAGATAACTGAATAAAATCCACGTAATTAATGATGCTATAAAGTAACTTGATTGTCTGTCAAATGTTCCATTATCAGAGCGTAGCCCGAGTTATAATAAATGTATCCTTCACCTTTGCTGAAGAGCTAGGTCAAACATCGATCGTTTTCAAAATAGAAGGAAAAACTGCGAGAGACAATGTAGCTTCTTGATTCGTTTCTCGCCGCGATCACGAATCTTTTTATATATTTTCCTGCTCGAAAAGTACGATTATTTTTTATGTTGCTTTGATTCTCTGAAATAATCGATCGATTAAAGTACTCATTGTTCGTGTGGCACGTTGTCATTGACCTTTTTTTGGTTCTCGCTTCTTGCAGGAAGAAGATCGAGTCGAAGAATATATAGTCGACGAATGCGGCATTCGGGCGCTTGGGTCGAGCTGGAGGAAGCATCATTATGCCCTCGAAGAAGCAGTATAATCTCGTGCAGAATGACGAAAACGACACGCGCATCCCGCTGCACAGCGACGAGGCATTCCATCGTGGCATCGTTTTTCACGCCAAGGTAAGAATATGATGAATAATGTCGGGTACTTTTTTGAGACTTGCGGCTGGCGCTAACGTGTCAGCTCGTTTAAGTCTGAATCGCTACGGCTTTTTTTGAAGATATGCAAGCATCAGACTGGAAATTATTATTCTATATAAACTTTTGAGTCTTGAGAAAAACTGAATTATCCTCCAAAGAAAATGTCGTTTTATTTGAAAATCTACAACACTACTAAGTATCTTTGGAATCAGTTTTTACTGGTAAAGTTTCAAATGAACGTAATCGAATCGGAAGCATATGATTGCGACCACTTGGATAACTAATATACCCGCGAGTGCGAATCGCGTGCGAATGTATATAAGGGCACCTGCAAACTCGTATAATCAGTACAATTGTCCATTGACTTGTGTGTGTTCCAGTTCATTGGCTCGCTGGAAGTGCCACGACCGACCAACAGGCTCGAGATCGTCGCAGCGATGCGTCGAATTCGCGTGAGTATCATCAGACCCCGATATATGCAGTGCACCTCCTCGTCGTTCTCTCTCTTGCAGCTCACATCCTTGGGGCGCGCAGAAACTTGTTTCTCGGGCTCGCTCATTCTCTCTTTCTCTCTCTATTCTTTCGTGCCTAGTCCTTTTGCTTTCACGATATTCGTTTGTCTTCTCTCCTTCCCAAGTCGCCTCCTCCGAGTCTTCTTCGGCCTCCTCGTGCCTCCTTCTCCTCCCTCGTTTCCTCTCTTTCTCTCTCACTTGTTTTCTACTAATCTCGCCGTACGTTTCACAGTACGAGTTCAAGGCCAAGGGAATCAAGAAGAAGAAAGTCACGCTCGAGGTATCCGTCGACGGCCTCAAGGTCACATTAAGAAAGAAAAAGGTAGGTTTTTCGGACGAAAATTTTGGCTAATAAATTACAGCGAAATAGATTAAAACTGAAAGAAATGATGAAGACGACCAAAAGGGGGAAAAATGAAAATTTTTTAACCTGTTTAAAGAGATTTTACTGAATAAATTTATAAATGACTCGACCGTGCTCCTAAGATAATTAAAACACAATTGACCCTAAAGCGGCCTTGAAAATTATGGATAAAAAAGTCCAATAATGAGTTGGCAAACGTTCATTATTGTCTTGACTTCCTTGTTCCATTGACAAATGCACAAGATAAACTGAATAATTGGGAAATGAGTTTTCAACGTGCTTTGCAATTAAACGAACATCAATAACAAGCGTTTTTTTTCTTTAAATTTTGCAGTTTCCGGTGCTGCAGAAGAAGGAACACAAGACCGACGAGAGCAAGCTGGTATTGATGCAGCACCCGATCTACAGGATATTCTACGTTTCGCACGACAGTCACGACTTGAAGATCTTCAGTTACATCGCCCGCGACGGCAGCGACAATTCCTTCAGGTGCAACGTCTTCAAGTCGAGCAAAAAGGTGAGTTGAATTGCAAAAGTTTGATCGAGCGCTATATGTATGGAAGGCACGAAGCCAGAAACTACTGCGACTCGCTGTGCGTGTTTGCGTGAGTATGTATGTAAGGATAATCCGACGGACGACTACGACGACTGCGACGATAAAGCCTGGAAGTTTACGAGCTCGATAAAGCGCGGACAAGGGAGCGAGCAGGCAAGAGAGCCAGAGCTAGCTATATACTAGCTGTGCTAGCTAGCTGTTGGTCTGCGTAAATCACCGAGGCGCTGCTGCACGGCCCATTTACACAGCTTCGGACGTGCACTATAATAGGTGGACGCCGCGCAGTGCACTTGATAGCCCAGGCCAGCAGTCGTGGTGCTCGATTGCGCAAGTTTTCCCCGGTCCGCTTAAATATACGAGATATATGGGAGGGCAACAGAAATGCGCAGGTTATAGATCTTGGAGAAAAACCAATATAGAGAGCTTTTTGGCATTCGATTTATGTATAAAAGGGAAAATCGACTGCGGAAAAACGTGGCCGACTGCCAAGTTTAATCTTTAACTTATTTATATGGCGTGGATCAAACGCGTAGACTTGGAAATACTGACCATGACACTCCCGAGTGGGGCAATGCCGTGGTGCGCGCACTTTGCGTGCGAGTATATAAGCAAAAAGCTGCTGCATCCTGACGCATGGAGAAAGAGAGACAGAGAGAGGGAGAGAAGCGACGAGTGAATTATTTGCAATAAACGCACTGCACGGCCATCATCGAGCCTATCATAGAGTTGATCTTCGCTGCATATACGTGTGCGTGCATGACGCACACACACAAGCACGGATCGAGCCGCCGGCCGCGCTCGCTTAATAATTCACCTTCCGCCGCGCGGTGTAGGCGCGAGAGCGACCCGCGCGCGCGAACGAGCCTCGCGACTGGTTCAAGTCGGTCTTTTATTATAATGCTCTATACATGTTCTTCTTGCTACTATAAATAAAGAGAGGCGCTGTTGGGCGGCCAAGTGCGATTTAGAGACGGGGGACGCGCGACGACGACTAAGACGACGGCGGCGTCAGCAGCGGTGCGTCGTCGCGTTCCCCAAAAAGAGCCGCGCGCCGACGACGTTTACATATAATATAGCCGAAATTATTGAGGTAGTCACCGGCTTGCCGTCGTCCCTCGACGCGCGACACGAGCAGCGGAGCGACTCTCGCGCGCGCGCACGCTTCCAAAATTTTAATTTTTCTCAGTTATATATAATATATAAAAATATTCGCGCGTTGTATACACGAGAGAGGCATCGAGCGCACGTTTCACGCTCTCCAAATACGTGACTCTCGGATGTTTGTGTTTTACTGTAATAGTTATTTTTCTCAATAAACTTTATTTTACGTTTGTTTCTAAACAAACCAAGAAGTGCGCGAGTGCGAGTAGTTTTAAGTTGCCGATCGTCAAAAGCAGTTGAACTTTGAGTACGACTTTTTTCTCCTTTTTCTCGGAGAGACTTTCCCAATTGTTCGGAGCAACGGATGAGAGAAGAAAGCTTGGAACAAGGTGAGCGTTGTACCAATCTTTGCTAGAAATCATTCTGTAAATTAATCGATAGCCGCCCGATAACTGGATACCTAAGAGGCGTTGAAATAAAAAAAATTTTCCTCTCGCGGGAATAAAAAGGAATTCTTTTATTAAAAGTTTATGGATTATCTCGTATTTACCAAGTGCTTGCAATACCAAATAATCCTCTATAAACTTGGCGTTGAAACTCGTCGAGTGCTTGCACCCAATCATGAAATTGCCTATGAACTTTGAGATTAGAATCGATTTATATATTTAGTCAAACATCGAGATACGCTACTAAATAGCTTGAAAATCAACTTGCTTGAGGCATATAGTTTTGACAGCTAGATCGCCAAGTTCAAATTACGATTCGTGACAGCTGCGACTCCCCAATAATGATCGCCCAGTTATACGAATATTTTCGAGATCTACGATAAAATCTCAGTCATCGCATAATTATTCTCAATTATATGTTTTTCCCAGTGTTTTCGACCCAAACAAACAAATATTTGTCTCACAATATTTTATCGATGACTCGACAAAGTTTACAAGTTTTATTTCTCGGTAGATATAAATGTCATTTTTAAGAGTCAAATATAAATACGCTGTAATTGAGAAAGATCACCACGCACGCCGCGATTGCAGATATCTGCTCGACGTAATGGATTTTTATTTTATGGGCGAGCGTATAAAAAAGTCGCGTAAGAAAATAAGTACCGCGATGCTCGCAAAAAAGCTATCGCTTTGACAACTCAACGCGCCGCGCCCCCACTACATCTCAACGCTTAGATTCGCAAAGTGTGATGAACTCCGATTTCCGAATCGATGCTATTCATTTTGTCACGAAAAACGCAAGTTAATAAACATCTTTCCGTTGGCCATTAATTTAAAAAATTCTCTCGAAAAATCGTTGACGTTTACGATTCTTGTGACGTTTGCGCGGTAACTTCAAGGTTTAGGGAACTAGATAATATAATAAAACGTTATGCAATTCACAATCAATGCTCTACAACTTTGACAGATGAAACTTTGAAATTTAATATATAAGATAGGCCAGTTTTTTGGCCAGTCTCTCTTTGCTATTGCTTTTTCGATGGTCGAATAAACACGTGGTCTAGTAACCTATATTTCACGATGAATATCAAAAATAATATGGACACGTCAAGAGGCTGTACAAGCGCGCGCGAGTGTGGAAAATAAAAATAATATTTTCTTGCGAACCCCGAAAGCCGTGTAGCAGCATCATCGGCAGGCAGAAACGTGCGTGGAAAAGTGACCTTGTCAACGGTATAGGCGCACGCTTGCGGTGATCGCAATTGGTTATAGAGCGCGTCACACTAAATCATATCGATCGAGCTATATGTTATTATGTATTGACGGACTGCCGCTCAAGCTGCTGCTACCCGTGCGAAAATTTGCCCATGAATTTTGCCTCGCGATAGCGACGCATGTGCTCCATATGTCGAAAAAAGAAAAAGAAAAATGAAGTTATGTATCGAGTAAAAAAGCTGCGAGGCACGTGCGAGTGTATAATTTGGGATGCACGAGTATGTAGACGGTGAAGGCTGAATCAGCTGAGAGCTGTATACCTACTCCACTATGTATACACTGGCATTTATTACGCGCATTACAGCTGTATCTGCAGCTAGCCGCGACGAGGCATCCGCATCCTGCGCGTCGGTCCGTTATGTATACCGCGCGAGCCTCGCGCCAGTCGCACCGTATCCCACTCGTGTATATATAACTGACCATGAAGATCACTGCCGAGCAGCAGCAGCCGCGGCAATGCCTGCTGCACTCGAGATTAGGCCGCAGCTCGAATTTTTTCCATCCTCGTTCTGTACTGAAAGGCATATATACGTGCTGGTCGCGCGCGGCTAATCAACTCGCGAGCTCGTGGCGTGTGCTCCTGTATACAGATCTCGTTCGCTCGTGCCATTGAAATTCATCCGTATATGATAGCTAAATATAGGCGCGTAACACCCCGTGTGCATTTCAATTTTCCCGCTGAGCATAATTATACACGCCCGTGTCTATACACGACTCGCGGAACATACGTCCGACCCGTTATTGACATAATTACGCAATAGTCGAATTTTTCGTTTACATAAATTTCATGTTAAAGGCGAAATCGAAACACGCCATTAAAATACCGCACTGCGACACGCATCAATTTCACAAAAAAGCGCCAACAATTGGCACCGAGTTGGCACTGCATTCTGTGTATAGGATACTTGTACGTGCGCGCCGCAGCTTTTGTGTCAATCGAAGCTCGAAAGCAACCTCAGGGCGTCTATCGATTAAAAGAGCTGCAATTATTCAGCCCATTACGGAGCTATCGTAAATATCTTAATTTTTAATTGTGTTCTTTTCCGCAGTTCATCGATCGGGGAAGCGAATCGATTCGAAAAACGAAACGCGACCGTCGAAAGCTCGAGCCGCTTATTAACGCAAGCTCGAAGAGCACCGTCGCTGTACATCGTCTTTAAGAAATCTCAAAAGCCACCAGATCGAGCGGCAAAACGAAAAAAATTACAGCCATGAAGTGGTCGGCGGCGAGGTAGGGATGCAGAGGCATTACCGCCCGCGATTAGACGACTAGATTATGTTGTCCCGGCGCGACAGTCGCAGTGCCAGTCCCGCTGCGCTCAATCTACACCATGGCAATAGCATCACCACGACCGACGGCACCGTGACCGTAGTCGAGACCCCCAAAGGTCGCAAGAAGTTCTCTTTCAACAAGGAGCCCGAGATCATGAGCTTCTTGGGCTTTCGTCGCAGCTCGTTCTTGCGTCGGCGTCCGTCCCAACTTTGTCATTGGCGCTCGAAGAGTCAACCGGCCCCGATGCCGGTGCCACAACAGCAGCAACAGCAACAGCCACAACAGCCGTCGAACTATTCCGTTGGTCCGAGACAACTGGCAGAACTCGAGGTTAGAGCCGATGGATCAGTCGGTTGGATTGGATTTGCAGATGCTTTATAATACGCGCACTAGCTGCCATACTCGTGAATTGGAAAATTATCGTATCACCGTAGCGGCTGCTTATAACTGCATCTATACGAACGCTTTGAACTTGCATTTTTTTCTTCGTTTGTCATAACATACGTTTGCTTCAATTACTAACAGAACTTTATCGCAAAATCTCTTCGTACAAGTTCAAAAATTAGCCACGATTTTTGACGTCTGCATTAGAGCAAGTGCACAGGAAATTTATTTGCTCAAGATTCTGCAGCTCGATTATTTGCCAAAACTTTGCGTCAGACAATAAGGCTTTTAAATTCTTTTAAAAATTCCACTTCAATTTTTAAGCTCTTTGGAAGCTGCCGAAGCTTTAGAAGAGTTTCGCATAGTAGTGAGTCGAATAGTCAAGCTCTATTGCTCATCAAAAAGTCTATGGTACGAAATTGTATAGTGGCAGCAGCAGCAGCAATTTAACTAGCAGCTGCAAATTGATTCGGGCACAAACTCGGTCGTTGCGCGAGAAAGGCGACCGCAAGAGGTCAAGAGGCAAAAGCAGCTTATATAGAATCGCTTTTGAAAATTGTCAGTCCCGCAAAAACTTTGCGCCCTTATCCCTACCCTGCAAACGGCGTGCGGAGATTTGTGGACCAACTTTGCTGCGCACTCGACGTCGTACATGCATGCTCGAGTGATACTATTGCTGCTATAGTAGTAAAGAAGCCCGCGCGTATCCTTTTTTCCATTCGAATGAATATCTAGTTTCGATCGATAGATTGGACTAGGAAATCGATGGTCCAAAAGTTGAAAATGTTGGCAAGGATGCAAATCGAGAGCTTTTTTTCCGTCAGCCATTCAGCCTCGAGCGAGCTTATTTCTATTTATTTCTGGCCTCCGACGGGACTCGATTCATCGACGACGTGCAACTAATTTGTTCCGAATAAGGAGGCGCTTGTACTCGTTAAAGGCATTTGTTGGCATGTTTCCGCGATGGCTGATCTTGCTTGTGACAGCTCGGTGGGAATTATTGTCGAGATCCAAGCGACAATCGTACTTCGAGGTCGGATACTCATTCTTCTTGATGTATTTCAGTAAATCTCTTTGGATCCTTGTGAAATGTGTGCTCAAGAACGTCGATAATGTAAACGTTTGCGATCTTCGCTGAAAATGGATGTTTGCGAATCGATGCGGCTCTTGCTTACTTGTACTACAGAGTAGTGGTCCAATCAATACCTCTTGTACAAACTCTCTCTCGATAAAGGATAGATTAGAGAAAGAAAATGAGAGTATGACGATTCGCAGTGACTGAGAACCAAACGATTTATTATGCAACATTGACTTACGTACTGACCTTTATGTTTTGATCACTTGACGCGTTTTTGTTATTAACAATTGGTTGACTGTGTTTTGTTATTTACTATTAACTGATAGCATATACGAATGATTCTGTACATAAAAGCTCCTCGCGATATTTACTCACGTTTTGGTATTTGTTTGCTTATTCTATCTCTCTCACAGAGCCAAGCGTTAAGAGTCGTGAGGACGGTCGGCCAGGCCTTCGAAGTGTGCCATAAGCTCAGCATCAACGGGCCTCCGAACAGCAACGAGCAGCAGCACCAGACCGACGACAGTCTGGACGACGGTGAATACAGGGACGAGAACTGCGATCTCATACAGACCCAGTCATCTCCTAACTCGCTACACAAAGGTAAGATACTTTCCTTCTATTTATAGAAATGCATCTATTTGCGGGAAAAGCGGCTCGACTCAACGGTAATTGCTGCAAAAGTTTCGCCAAAATCTTGTATCGCCTCATAATCGAATCGATGAAAATAGATCAATTCTGTCGACAACAGAGATGGCCCGAGTAATTGCCTAAAAAGAGCGTTTTTATCGCGAACGAGTACAAAAATCTAGCCGAAGAAAGGAGAAAATGCACGACCGCCGCAATTGTACTCTCAAAAGTTAATACTTTATGCATAAAAGTATTGGCGCGTGCAGTATGTGCAGGCGGCGACGGTGGCACATACATACACACGCTACACAGAGAGTACAGCTCTCGTGTGTAGGCTCCTTTCTCCTTTGTTCTCGAGCCGTTTCACCGCCGGACGTCGATGTCGTCGTCGTCGTCGTCGTCGTATACAATGGCCATATCGCAGCTGCACTCGTCGCGCTCGCATCTATTTATGTTATAGCTTTACGCGGGCTACCTCGCGTTTATACGGTCTGTATGTGGCGTGCATGTGTCCCGCGGCGCAGTGATCAACGTGCAGCGTTGACTGTGCAGGAGTCAATTTTTTCTCTCTCTTTTTCGGTCGCGATACACAATCGCTGTAAAGCTTCGAGACCACATGCGCATTTCTATTTTGCCTTGCACACTATATTACTCGCCAATACCATTGCTTCTGTCTTGTGCCAATTAACTGTTTTTATAGTTAAATGCTTAAAAGCAAATACGTTTACTTTGGCACTGTACTATGTACTTGGTGCAGACAAGCCACGTGTTTGGCCTAATCACGTAGGAAAACGTATTCTTGCAAGCTCGACTTGAGCTTTCATTCAGAGTTCTTTAAATATACACGCTAAAAAAATCATTAACTCTATCAATTTCTAAATTAAATTAAATTCGCAAAATCTCATTAAAATTTATAAATCAATTAACATCGTAAGATGCATAGGTAGTGCTATATAAAGTCCAAATTGTATTACGCAGATATCTCGTTGCTCGGAGACGAGCTGAATGAATCGATCTTGGATCAACCATGCCCGATGCGACCTCTGCAGCAGCAGCCGCAGCAGCAAAGCCACCAAGAGATAGCGGGACTAACGACTGCTGATTTAGTCTCTACGAGCAGCCACGCAACGACGACGATGACTGCTGCTTTAGTGACACCGGCCTCACTTTTCGGACAGACGCCTTTGGTAAGTGCCGAAAAACAATATGTATAACGTTGTATCATAGATACCGTCGACTAGTTTCATATTTTAATCATTCGTCATTCCTGTATCGACTAATAAACTTAGCATTGATTATATCGTAATAAATTTTTTCATTAGTGATGGTATCAATTCGTCTTTGCTATTCGAAAATTAAAATAAATTCAATTTAACGGACAATTTTATTAAAGTCAATTTTACAAAGGTACATTAAAAGAAAAATTGTATTCAAATTTTGAAAAAGATTTTTAATATCATTGCATTTGTATAACTTCAAAATTTTGATTGAAAAAGAAGGTACAATGATTGTTGAAAGCCCGAAGTTCAGATAAGACAGGATCATTAGACGCAATTTTTATTATAATTCTAGGAAAACATACATTTATAAGTATGTATATATGGCCGATTCTTAATTTAATTAATTAAGTTAATTCAATCGTTAATTAAATTTTTCATTAAAGTCACTATATACTGATCTAGAAATTATTTGAATATTTGCGATATTTAATGAATTTCAAAAAAATGCTAAAAATGCCATCTTTGAGCCTCTGGAAAAGTGTGATAGGCTAGTCCAAAAAATCTAAAACAATTCTAAGACATTTTTGAAATTCCAAACACTGCCTTCATCATATTAAATATAAAAAAAGTTTGAGTTGACAAAGAATCGGCCTTAACATATTTACAATAGTCAATCATCATTTCTTCTCAAAATTGTGGCATCTGTATTATGGACTGTCTTGTGGTGACAAATCATGATCCATTTTTTTCCAAATTTTTTCTCGCACTTGTCGTACGCGAAATCTTTCCGACCTTCATGGACTCTTTTGAAGTGAATGAACAAATTACATTTCTGTCCGAACTTCTTCTCGCACTTGTCACATTCGAAATCTTTGCGACCTTCATGGACTATCTTTTGGTGCTGAATCATAATCCATTTTTTTCCAAATTTCTTCTCGCACTTGTCACATGCGTAATCTTTGCGACTTTCGTGGACTGTTTTTTGGTGGTGGAGTAAATTACATTTTAATCCAAATTTCTTCTCGCACTTGTCACATTCAAAATCTTTACGACCTTCGTGTACTGTCCTTTGGTGGACAAGCCAATGCTGTTTATGTCCAAATTTCTTTTCGCATTTGTCACAGGCGTAATCTTTGCTACCTTCGTGTACTGTGCGTTGGTGCCTCATCAAGTCTTGTTTTTTTGCAAACTTCTTTTCACACTTGTCGCATGTATGATTTTTACGACCCTCATGGACTGTGGTTATGTGCCTGCGCAAATATCGTTCGTTTCCAAATTTCTTGCCGCAATTGTCACATAAGTAATCTTTGAAGACTTTGAAAACAACATTTTTCCTATCTTTGTGTACTGTCTTCAGATGAGAGAACAAATATGATTTGCATCCAAATTTCTTCTCACACTTATCGCATGCGTAATCTTTTTGACCTTGGTGTATTGTTTTTTGGTGATAGACCAAATGCGATTTATATCCATATTTTTTCTCGCATTTGTCACATGCGAAATCTTTCTGACCTTCATGGACTGTCCTTAAGTGGGCGAGCAAAATCCATTTGCGCACAAATTTCTTTTTGCATGTGTCGCATACATAATCCTTGCGATCTTCATGGACTGTTTTTATGTCTATGTTTAAAGTGCTTTGACCTCCAAATTCCTTCTTACATTCGTCACCTGCCAAATCTTTGCGACCCTCATGGACTGTTTTTATGTGCAAGAGCAAACTCTGCTTATTTCTAAATCTCTTCGCACACTTTTCACATAAGTAATCTTTAAAAACTTCGTGAAATATTTTTTTGTGCTTAACTAAAGTTGATTTATTTTCAAATTTCTTCTCACACTTGTTGCACGTGAAATCTTCGTGACCGTTGTGTACTAATTTTTGATGCGTCATCAAACTTGATTTTTTTACAAATTTCTTCTCACAATCGTCACATGCAAAATCTTTGCGGCTTTTGTGTTCTGAAATTTGGTGTCTACTCAAATGACTTCGAAACTCAAATTTCTTTTGGCATTTGTCACACGCGTAATATTTTTGTTCATTGTGAAGTGTGTCTCGGTGTGTTATCATGCTCGATTCATTTCCAGTAAGTGCCAGCTTTTGAGAAATGTCAAAAAAGTATTGTTTGTCGTCTGAAAAAACAATGTCGTGATCACTTGAATTCTTTTCCAAAACAAATTCTTTGGGGTTTTCTTCGATTTTATTCATTTTGGTGCCTCAATCAAACGATTGATCAATTTATTAAGTGTTACGGAATTTGAATGAGTGAAATTTATTTCTGTTATTGTGGCTTGCTTCGTCGTGAAAGACAACATTCAAACTAATTTATTTTCACTGCAAACATAATCCGTGTTCGATGTCAAAATCATTGATGATTGTATTGTTTACAATCAAGTTACCGATTTATCATTTTAAACATTGTTCTTACAACATTTGAAACAATTTAAAATTCTTACTTGACAACTCTTCAAGAAATTTTTTGGCCGTCTGAAACTAAATACTTTCAAATACACAAGAATCAGTTCAATATCGAGTTCACACAAAAAATATATAGTAAATAGATTTTTTTACACATATATAATAAAAAATATAATATTCATTCCCAAAATTTGCCGCCCTACGCCGTGATGCGATGGGCGTTCTCCATGAACCGTCATTGACCTCGGGTGAACCGATATAGGTCACTCTTGATGAGTAGTTTCATGATGGTTATTGCGAAAAAGAACTTAAATGGAAAAATAAGTATGGTTAAGGCCAGAATGTCTCGCCTGAGGTAAGATATACCTCAGTGAGAGATCAAAATTTTAGAGTTTTAAAACCCAGCTAAGGAATTCTTAACATTAATAATGGCTTAATTACCAAAAAATTACCGTTTAAAACCACTTCAAATATAGCAAAACTTTAAGCATCTACAACTAGATGGCGAGTATCAGTACTTGTAAATCTGCAAATGGCAAACTATATATAATTGTATAAGTGAAAGGACCAGAAGGAAAGAAATTAGAGTTAAGTTTATATGAAATGCGTCTGATGTGAAAATTGGCATTTTACAGATGCTTTGAGAACAATTACAATCGTAGAAGTTTTTAGTAATGAGGGTTTACTAAGTAGTAGTAGACAAGTGTAGAATAGATAGAAAATTAATTACATAAAAATAAACGGAATCATCATTTTTAATTCTCACTTGAGAATTGCAAGCATAAAATATACTCTCTTCCTAATAAAAAAATTTAAAAAAAATAAATAAAAGAGGAAGAGCGAGTCGGTGAGAGCGCGTGTACGAGCAAAACCTTCTGGGGAGGAATTGCGAGCTGCAAGAAAAAAGCAGCGTGACAGGTTCTTCTTCTGCGGCGCGCGCGCGCGGGGACGCGAAAGACATGCGAGCTTCCGTCGAAGAAAGAAATCCGAGCCGTGCGAGGCGCTCAGTCAGCCGAGCGGCAAAATCTTGACTTTTACACGCGCTCGCGAGCCCGTGATGCATCGTGCAATGCGCACATCGCAGCCTATTATATGACTCGTCGCGCGGTACGCTCTTGTGAGTGGCCCTGCTTAACGGGCGCACCACGTCGCGTTTCGCCTTTGCGATATAGCCGCGACGAATTATCCAGCATCGTCGCATAATCGATCTTGAATTTTTACAGACTCCGAAATTATCCGAGCAAGCAGTCAACGCCGAGCTGACAACTCTGAGGCACGAGATTCAGCTGCTTCGTGAGCGTCTGGAGCAGCAGAGTCAACAAACTCGAGAAGCCGTGGCGCACGCTCGACTCCTTCAAGATCAATTATCAGCGGAAACCGCAGCTAGAGTCGAGGCTCAGGTGACTACTATTTTCTATACCGACAGTCTCGTTTCGAGCCTCCGATCGTAATCAAATATATTTTTTTTCTCTTCCTCAGTCCCGAACGCATCAACTGTTGATGCACAACAAAAAACTGCTCGAGCACATCACGAGCCTGGTATCGCATCTACGCGAGCAGGAGCAAATGGCCGGCGTCCAGCAGTTGATGCCGGGTGTCGTGACGTCGAGCCAGGGACAGACACCGAATCCACTGCCGGACATCGCCGGTCTCGGACAGGTAACGCTCTATCGCATCGAACCCTGACAGTCATCCTCGACGTTGTTGGCACCCAATCAAAATCCAAAAGCTTTTTTTTAGAGTGTGCGTGCACGTTGCAAACTTGATAACTACAAATTCAAGCCACTAATACCGACCGACAGGTCGGCATTTTTGTGAAAAGTGTTTGTTTTTAATTTTCACTTTGCAATTTATGTTTATTATGCCTAATGTTTTTGCTATGCATTGTGTACATTCGTTTATTTTACTTCGCTCCATCGACTGATTTCAATGAAACTCCTGATTGTTTCGGCGTTTCGAAACAATAATTTAGTTCTTGATTAAATTTCCTTAGAACATGGAAACATGTCACAGTGAAATTTGAAAAACAGTTGATCGATCGAATGAAAATATCTCCATCAATTTTTATGCTTTTGCACTCGAAAAATTTGTACATCCGTATAAAATTTTAATTATGAATACGTATTATCCTCGAGACTGCGCGAGCCAGCAATTTAATAATCAATATTCACGAATTTTTGAAAAAAATTTTTAGTGATATGTTGAATTATGCTCCTCTTATACTCAAAGAAAAACTAATTTACGGCCTGTATCTCCAATACTCAAGAGAATTGTTGAACTCTTATATTTCATTGTACCTTTTTCGAGTTTTGTCGAAAAATGTCAATGAACTTTCGTGCTATCGGATTAATTTTCGATACTCGACCATAAATACTAAGAAAATTCAAACACGTATGACGATAAGTTCTAATAAAATAGTCGTAAGTTGTACATAGTATAATTTGTTTTTTGTTAGAACTTGAAAATGCGATTCAATCGTAATAATTTCCGTTGCTCCGGTTAAAATTAAATTAAATTATAAAACGCGTTTGACGTTTCAATTTGATTAGTTAATTTGTAAACTTGTTTAGCTTAAAGAAATATTTTTATATTTGATCCATAATATAATTATTACCGGAGACACACTGGAACCGAACTTGATTAAATATTATCCCTGTGACAGCCATAAATAAATCTCTTGCGTTTAATTCCTAGAGATGTAAGCATGTACAACTCCATTAGCGATGTTTTTAATAAAACAAATTTTTTTGTAAATAAAAAGCTTCGTTTTTCTTTATTTAAGCTGCTTTAATATTTTTTATCGGTAACTTGTCGCCGGTACCCGACCGCAAATTGGATTTTAAAATTATGTTGATCGATGAGGTCGATGTTATCGTCAAGTCACAGAAACACGCTCTATATAATATTTTGAAAAAAAACTCACTATCGTGTCTTTGACTACATCTCAAAGGCATGAGACTTTAGACTAGATTCAATGATAAAAAATCAATACGATTAAATTTGCTTCTAACCAAGCTGCAGCGTGACAATTGCAAATTATGACAACAGGTCTTTCCTCGAGATTTTGGAGTTTGTGCTACTAACACTTACTAGGTAATGTATGAAAATGAAGTTACTTTTTATCTTCTGCATGATGCCACATACAGAAATAAAAATACGATTCAGAATTCGAATAAATTATTAACAATCCCCATATTTAGTTATGTCCGGTCACAGCAGCAGCAGTGTGGAGCGCGCCGGCAGTTTGTACTTTGATACCTTATCATTGTTCTCGTTGCCCAGCTTTTCAACATCCTCCCATCCAAGCGCTCTGCTGCCCTCAAGGGCTCGAGCAAACTATTCCGACATCGACAAGAAACAACGACGCGGAACAGACGCGATTATTGAATGACCTGCAAAAAGCTCGCTCGAAATTCTGCGCTTTCCAGTCACCACCAGTGCATAGTAATTCGTTACCGCAATCGCCTTTGCATACGGCGCTTAGTGGACGCAATGAAGCCGTAGATTGCGCGACTTTGCCCCGAAGCAGAGTCTCGGTTGGTACACTTTTGAATCTTTTAACATCAAAACAAAACTTTGACGAATGACACTTTGATTTTTTTTGCTACAGAATTTCGAAAGATCTCGACCAATACCAGCGCCGCGGAAAAAGCCAGTCGACAAATTTGATCAACGAACGCCGACTCCGACTCCTCGAGTTCGAGAAGCAAAAGAAACGACATTCATCAAGCCTCTAGCGATAAATACCCAACTTCGTCGAAAAAGCACAACCGATAAGCTGTCAGGAACTATACGAGCCAGCGACCTCGTGATACCAAAATTTCGAAGCAAATTAGCGACCCGGTCAAATTTGCCGGAAGATTTGGATTCGCGTCCAATTTACGATGACGCACCGACGATACCTGAAGACAACTATGATTATCCTGTGATAACATTGAGCGTCTCGAAAGACAAAACCAACGCTTCGGTGCCCAAAATTCGAGACGATGAAATGTGGCCGGACGACGAAGAGACAGTGAGAATGAATGATTTGATCCAAAATACAAATAGCCTGAGTTTGACGGTGCCAAACTTTAGACGCAATAGTCACTAGCATATTGTATAAAAAAACGATGGCCATTTATGTAAAATCAATGTGATATGTAACTCGATTTTTTCTATTTTAAATGTATGACTTGTGATAATCGTGTATTTTTATCATCAAAAAGTTTCAAATGTTTAGTGCCAATTCAAGGATTTTGAATGCCAAAACATATTTTGTATTTTACACTCATAGTTTTAAATATCTCTTAACATAACCAGAAATGACTAGATGCAAAATCAATAAAATAAAAATGTAATAATTTTAATCAATATAAAATTATTGCACATGAGCGTCGTTGTGTAAAGATTTCTCGATTTATTGTAGTTGCATTTATTAATAATATACAAATAATACTCATGTACACAAGAATAAAGTGTCAAAAATTCAAAAGTGCTAAAGAAGATCAATCTCAAATGCTCATTCATACAACACGACTATTTTTATTAAAAACGGTAGGTATTTAGGGGCTATAGAACTTAATTTTTGTTCCTCCATTTTAATAATAACACATACAGAAAATGATGAAGAATTCTAACAAACATTCCGCGAATAATTTTAAAGTGGTACTTGCTTGTAAAATTGTAATTAAAAGATGCTTGACATCATAATTGTTTGCGATAAATTTTTAAAATTTCGTTGATTATAAGATGTCTAAGAAGTAAAATTAAAGCATGATGTAGCAATTAAATTGAGTAATTAATTCAGTAAATGAAAATTAAGAATTATTGTATAAAGAAAACAAAAATATTCGACTACTGCCTTGATAAAGAATTGACAAGGGAAGATAGAATAACGTTTATGCACGCGGCAATATAACTTAATATAAAAGAATTTTAGGTGACAGCGACAAGTATAGTTCTTATCAATAGTAAAATTATATCGGATAAAAAAATTCAACAAAAATCTATTTGAATAAGTTAATTTTCATTGTCTATATTTTATGGATAGTAAAAGTTAATATTTATAAGACAGCTGTTGTGGTCATCTTGTATACACCTACATAATTAAAAAATTAAAAAAAGCTCCTTCTTGTACTATTATTTAAAAACATATAATCAGATTTGTTAACTACCTTTTTTTAAATCATTCAATTTAAAAAATTTCAAATTTGGGTCGCACAATTAAAATTTTCATTTTTCTGTTATCAATTAAAATATTATTTTAACAAGTTCATTATTGATGTAGCTGACAGTAACTCGAACGATACGTGCAATTTTATTACGCGAAGAAAATAAGTGTTGCCAACGTAAGCCGACAATAGCCTGGATAAAAATTATAAGCCTAATTAGTAATTCATTACATGGACAGGTAAATGACTTGAACTGTTTACCCGCGCGCTCATGCAGGAACGGCGCAGAGACAGAGTAGGGCGAAATATCGTGCACCAGCCCAACCTCAGGTATTATATACCGAAGGGAATAGGTGTGTCTCTGAATGGCATTGCACGCGCGTATATGACATGTGTCGCTAATGCAATTCATATATATGGCAATGTGGAGCGGGCGATGCACACGATGCGCGTGTTTTTTTATATAATTCTTTTTTAATTCCGAGCGATCATAGCGCGCGCTGCTGATACGTATGCGAAGCCTTCAGTCGCGCGAAGAGGCCCTTTGCACCAACAGCTATCAGAGCTTGCATCAAAGCAATCGGTGGCTTAGAAGAGTTCGATCGTCAAAATTGAAATATATTGCGCTCATTGAACGAGGTGTAATCGTTTGAACACTGGGTCAGAAAAATCGACGCTTTAATTAAAAAAAAATGGAAGAAAAAGATAGTCCAAAGGTAGAGTCATCGTTACAGGTGCCCGAAGCATCCAGCACTTTGAGACCATCGTACAAACAGCAGCAGCAGCAACGAGCTCAAAGGATTCTCAGATTCGATGCGAGCAGCGTCGCGAGAAATCAACCGAGCCTCGAAATTCGTTTTGGCACTAAAAATATGCTCGAGCCTGTTTTGCCGCAAGTAAGTCAACAATTAACAAAATTAATGGTGCTTGATCTGAATCATTGGAATAGATTTTGTTTAATGTGCGAGAAAAATAACGAATCAAAATCATTATTCGGTTATACTGTATGTTCAAACGTGTAAGGGACGTCGTGAGTGAGTGAGAATTAGAGACCGAGTAGAGCCTTATAATCGGAGCGAGCTCGAATAACGCGCCTCGTCCAAAGTCAAGTACGATTTCGAACTTTTTATGAGAATCTTTTACCACGCTCTTTCAAAAATTATATGTTGAAGTGGAATGTTTCATCGTTAGTTTTACTGTCTCTGTACTCTGTGAAGATGCACTTTCTGTAGAGTCAAGTACACAATCGATCGCAGATTAATCACAAGACAATTACGAAGCACGATCGTGTGTCGGACAAGGAGTTTGCACGAGGAGATAAGCAAAGTCACCTAAAAAAGCTCCGAGCATAATTAAACAAATTGGTTGCGCACAGCTAACAACCGAACGAGGGGGTAGTACAGGGTATATTAGAAAAGAAAAAAGCTGAAAAATTAATGCGTTTATGGCGTGACCGGAACGAGCATTTTAAGTACAAAAAAGGTGGCGATCTTTTTACGATGCCCGTGGCTGTATAGGAAAATCTGATGTTTTAGCGAGAAATAGCGTGACGCGCGGAATATCGTGATTTACGCGCGCCAACGAGAAAGAGACGATACATTTGCATGCGGGTGCTATACGGCTGTGTTCTACTACGCAGAGAGAGAGAGAGCTAGAAATATGACAGAGGTAGATTTATGTATAACTTGGACTATAGAGTCTGAAAAATGGCGTGGGCGCGACCGTGGGGTTTTTTTTTCGTTACGAGGCCGAATCGATGCGCGTCCAGGCGATATCGCGCTCCCGAGAGAAAGAGATCGAGCTCGCAGAGATAAGACGTTAAGGAAGATCCTGCGCGGACAATCGGGCTATTACATCGAGTCAAATAAAGGGGGGAAATGCGAACAGGTCGAGTACTACGCGTCGATCGGACGCTCGGAACTCTGAATTATGTGTGCGGCACAGGCAGAGCAGCTATTATACAGATATATCGTGCTCGAAGCCGTGTCGAGCGCATAGACAAACAGGAAAAGCCGAGTGTAAGAAGGGAGCGGCCACTGACACGCGCACTTCTGGACACAGGCGCCTATTACGGGGTAGAATACACGCTGGGTACGCGAGGAGCAAGGAAAGAGAGAGAGAGAGACAGAAAGAGAGAAAGAGAGCTCATTATCGCGAACGCAGTGCGTTGGCAAACAACACTTGACCCAGTGCTCGCGGCTACTATATACCTCGTGATTATAGCCCCGCAGCTATCGAATCGGCTCTTTGTACTCCTGTTCTCTTTCACACGAGAATCAACAAATTACACACTGATCGAAACGAGATGCACGGGGTGAAGGGCCTGGCGCGACTACTCCGCGGCGATCGTCGCCGTGACCCACCGCCGCCGATGCTGGCCCAAGTACCACTCGAGGTTCGCGTCCGCGACGATATAGCCAAAAAAAGCTTCGAGAGTTAACTCACGTTGATTGTGGAATAATTTGTAACGAAATGTGCAACACTCACGCAGGTGGAGGCAGCAACGAGTGCGGGCCAGCAGGTCGCTCAGGATCGGCTGTCGGTGAAGTTCGCCCTGGCGGAGCGGGCCGACGGTAGCGAGAGGTCGTCGCCGCCGAGCAGCAGCTTCGACGGTCTGGACGAGTCCTTCAGTCGTGCCACGGTAGTGACTCCTCGAACGGACGACGACGACGACGAGGCTGGCGACTTGAACGAGGCGCCGACAGCCTCCGACACTCTGGATTTGGCTCATCATCGTGGCCGTTCCGGTGAGTCAATTTTGGTCAATTATTACGCCACGGAAAGAATATCACAACTGTGTGCCACACTTATTTATCACTAGAAACTCTTTTACACCTAAACTATTTCAATTTTTATCTAAAAGACACTTTTGCGATGAGTCTTGATCCAACGCTCAACTTACTGGCTACAGAATGGGTTTTTTTTTACTGTTTTCGCAACTCGACATTTTCATGTAAAATTCAAAAAAACCGTTACAATATTTTTGAGCTCGTTTCATTTTACAATGGTGCAACGAAGACGTAAAACGCTTGGCTGTCTCATTTGAAGATACTTTGCGTTTATTAACCGTTCATCAAAGGAAGTTATTTTGAAAAGTTCGATTAGAACTGCTGCGACGTCAACCGTCGTCATGAGCGCTTCATTGAATTTTCTACAGTATCGAAGACGGTTAATTTGAAATTTTAAGCTTCTGACTTATTGCACCTTACTCCAGCAGCAATTACCAAACAAAATTTACTAATCAAGAACTGCAGTTAGAATTTGTTTCGGTTCACTTATGCATCGATATGAGCATAGGGATAGATGTAGATAGTAAACTAATTAGATCACTGGTGGCAACACTGCTCACGAGTCATAGAGTGAAGCGCCATCTCACCGTCACAATTATCACAATCTTGGACAAGTCCACTCCGAACTCGAGACAGTTCAAATTCATAGAATTTTTGCATTTCGCGTGACAAAAGCCTGTCGTTAAACCCACGCGATTCATCTGTAAACTTTCAGCATCATAAGACTTACAGAATTAGTACAGATCGTTACAGTGTCGCACAACAGGTGTTATCAGTTATACCTGAATAATCACCGGCTGTTCACTGTGTTGTATTCGCAGTTGAAAATCGAAACTTGAACAATCGTGTTTTGTTTTTTACGCCGTACGCGTGTGAGTGAGTACGGTAAGTGGTCGGTTGAGTTGCTCAGATACTACTCTAGTTTTTCTAGTCATAACAAGCGAAACCCAAGCCAAAGATCATGTCGAAAAGAATCTCGTCCAAAATATTCATCGACGCCGTAGCTAACAACAGCTTTGACGAGATTCAAGACTCACTGAGCAAGGGCGCCGATGTAAACGTCCTCAACGACAAGGGCGAAACTGCGCTTCACGTGGCCATCACCCAGGACAACGTCCCACTCGTCAAATTTTTGCTGGACAAAGGCGCCAATTTGGAAAGTCGAACGAAGACGCGAGACACGGCACTACACTTGGCAGTTGCGGATAATTCGTCGTCGACTGCCAGGGATAACTTGCAGCTCGTCAGCTACCTTCTAACTCGGCCATTCGATGTTCGGGCAAGAAATATCTACGGTGAAACTGCCTTGCATAATGCCGTCAAGTTCAGCGACAAACGCGTAGTGGAATTGCTGCTCGTTAACGGTTTTCAACCCAACGACGTGACGAATAATGGATCCACGGCTCTGCATTATGCGCTCTGTCGCCCTCGCAAATACGAGCAATTACTGGACATAATCAGTTTGCTCATGCAGTTTGGTGCAGAAATAAATGTCAAAAATAAACTGGGCGCAACTGCCACTTATCTAGCTTTCAAAACTAAAATATATAATAAATCTGTTATAAATTATTTGCTTGATCACAATGCTGATATTAACTGCACAACGAAGGATGGTTTCACTTTACTATTTGAAGCCATTAGAGAAAGGAAGCTTAGTTTGATTAAATATTTGTTAGAACATGGAGCCAATATTCATGCCAAAAATAATCATGGGGAAAACTTGATTCATTTTGCTATAAAATGCATATCTAAAGGTAAATGTATTCAAATATCTTGTTCTTCTTTACACAAAATTGTATGCTTAATACACTATTTAATACATTTTTCAGATAAAAAACAAATTAGTGTGGTGAAGTTGCTTTTAGAATTCAAGATTAATGTTAATGAAAAAGATCTGAAAAATAAAACTCCTCTTCATTATGCCCTGAAATATGCGAATCATAACTTGGTCAAGTTATTGATTGAAAATGGTAGTTTCATCAATTGTAAAACATATAACGGGGAATCACCTTTAACCTACGCCATAAGATACAATAAACTAGAATCTGTTAAATTTTTATTATCAATGGGAATAAATCCAAATGGTTACACAGATAATAATTTTTATCAAACTTACTTGACACTAGCAGTTAAAATTGGTAATAAAAGTATCGTTGAACTACTCATTGATCATGGAGCTAATGTAAATTCATTCGAACCCACAGATTATTGCCAAAGTTGTAGCAATAGTACTTCTCCTCTGTCAGTATCGATTTCAGCAGGAAATGAAGATATTATGAAACTTCTCGTATCAAAGGGTGCCAATGTGAATTCAACTGAACTTCACACAGGCACACCCTTACATCATAGTGTAAGATTTGCTATGTTAAAAGTGAGTAAATTGTCCACGATTCAATATCTCTTAGACAATGGTGCTGATGTGACCCTGGAAAATACTTATGGAAATACAGCTTTAATGATAGTATCTGGCATTGAAGATTATTTTAACATTGCTTGTATTTTAATTAAGCATATGGCAGTCATGTCAACAAAAGGGGATTACATTGGAAGAAAAAACATGGAAATTATATTAAATAATTCAAATTATTTAAATTTCTACAATCAAGTTTGCATAATGGAAATTTCACAAATGGAAAAAACTATTATTGATCAAAATATAAAATTTTCTGATGTTCTGTTATCGAAAGAAAATGTTTTAGTTAAATGCATACGAAATAAAAAAGTACAAGAGCTTTTTCAAAAAACTGATGATAAAACGATTGAGAAGTTCCCAAACCTTTGGAGATATTTAAGTAAAAATTTGAAGGAAGGAAAATACAGACTAGAATTAGTTAATAGACACAGTTATTCACTTCTGTCGATCATTTCCTGCCGATTACCTTTGGAAATAGCTACTAAAATTTGCTTTTATCTCTCAAACGAAGATCTAAAAAGTTTAGGTTACGCATGTAAAATTAACAAAAGTGTACAAGTTAATTTAAATCAAGGAAACTCAATGAAATTGAGAAAAAAAAGAAAGTTTGTATAAATTATGAAAAAAACTACTCAATACTAAACACGAAATTTAATTTTTTCATCAAAATTTATGATTAATTACTTGACTGGTAATTTTCTATTAGATACAATAAGTCATTTAAAATGACAACCTCATAATATATTATTTTTTATAGTGATTTATGTAATGAGAAGTTTGATGTGTAACAAGGTATGCTTTCAAAATAAATAATGTTATATTCATAGTAACTTTCATTTTTATTTTTTTAAATTGCACTTAATCTATATTTCATCTTATATATCTACATATATATATTCTTCACTGAGTTCTGAGTTCTGAGTTTCGTACAACTCAGTGGACTCATTGTCAGATATTAATAAAGTTTTCATTGATCGTCTATCTATTCCTAACTTTTTTGGAAATCTTACTGTTTCTTTTTGTAGATTAGCAGAAACAATCACAATTTGGATATTTGGATGTAAAAATTTACATATATTATATAGTTCCTTTTTTAGTCCTCGTTTAAATATTTCATCACATTCATCAATAACTACCATTTGTATTGATGCTGTTTTCAAATAACGTGCTGCGATCATAGCTATAAAAAATTATCGTAATATTAAATTTTAAAAATTCAATAATTGACTATTCTATTTTTGTTTGTTGGTACAAGGTACTAGAATTGTGAAATTTAAAGAGCAAAGAAAAATTCAAAATAGTTCATACCATTTTTTTGAAAGTTTAAAATTGCTTATGAAAAAGCAATAATTTCTGATCTCTTACCTAATAGGTATTTATCAAACTCTCAATTCACAATAATCAAATTAAATGTTTTAATACGTAAAAATTCTAAAAAAAGAAAGGAATAAAAAATTGATTATTTACCTAGAATTGTTTTAGGAGTTCCAATAACCACATGTAGTCCTTCATTCGGTACTTCTAGAATGTCGTCATAATCAATGAATGCATAACTCCGAACGCCCATAAAATTTCCAAGAGCACGAATTACTTTATCATTTAAAAGAGCTTTTCTTTTGGTCGGCGATAACACTAATACCTGGGTTTCCCTTAATTTGGTATTAACTAATTGTATAATAGGTATTGAAAATGTAGCAGTCGTATGAACATTACGATCCTTATGAAGCACAACATCTCTACCCAGGATAATCGGTCCAATGGCACGATACTGAAGCGGTGTAGGCTTGATAAAACCTGTGTTATAAGAAAATATGAAAACATTTTTTGATGAAACGATGATAATTTATGCTCACAACAAGAGCATAAGTTAAATTAATTTTCAAAACTCAAACATTATAATTTTAACTTTCGCAGTAAAATCCTAGCTATTAGTTTAATATAGTACTCACCATATTTAAAGAGGATATCTGATAATTTCTTATTAAGACAATCAAAAATATTACTAATGTGGGAAACGCCGCTTTCAAACTCGTTATTTGAAAAATCTTCCCCTGTATCACTCACTTCGTCCTTTTCTCTTATAGCTACAATTAATTCTGCCAATTCCTTATCAAACTTTTTTCCATTCAAATATTCTTCATCAAAATTTTCTTCATCTAAATTTTCTTCATCTGAATTTTCTTCATCAAAATTTTCTTTATCTGAATTTTCTTTATCTGAATTTTCTTTATCTAAATTTTCTTCATCAAAATTTTCTTCGTCAGAATATTCTTCATCAAAATTTTCTTCGTCCGAATATTCTTTATCAAAATTTTCTTCGTCAGAATATTCTTTAGCCATTTTAAGCAGAGCAAAAACTTTCTCTATGTGATCGACTAGAGAAATGAACTTCGAAGGCAGTAGCTATGTGGTTGGAAAACTAACGTGTTCAGAATTTCGTTAGTTTTCATTCAAACGCGCGAGACAATAACACACAGCCAAAAGTGGATCGCGTGCTCGTGTTTGGATCTGTCAAAAAGTCGGAGAACTTTCACTTTTCTTAAAGTTATGCGCAAGTCGGTGATGCTATGTGCGCAGAGGCAGAAGCGTGAAGCGCCAGTCAACTGAAATTTGAATCAGTAATAAACAGAATACTTAAACGAATAAACAATTTTAATTCTTTTTTTATTTAAAATAATTATAAATCTAACCAAAAATCCATCTACATAGCATTGAAAATAACACAAACTCAAAGAAAAAGTTGTCCAGGAATAGCAAACGGGAGTACAATGTTATCACTACGAAAATTTGCAGTGAATTTGTATGACTTGAGATCAATTTTTATGATGCTGTTGTAATAGAACATAACTAAATCGATTCGCTTGCTTTAATTTGTACATAACAGTGCGATTAACAAACGACTTTAATCCCGATCGCTTTACAGGAAACAGAATGATGGAGGAAGAGAGCGACTACTCCGCGTCAGCGAGCGCGATCATTCTTCAGCGTCGGAACTCGTCGCGGCGCTACAGCCGGCGCGGTCACAAGCGCCGGGCTTCCTCGCCGTTCAGCCCCGAGGTCGAGAACGTCCTCAGGAGACGATCGTCGGTATTCACTACCAGCTCTGGCGAGTAAGCGTCAATTAATACACGATTACGCGCGAGAATGATTTGATTTCGAAAATTTGAGCTATATCCGCTAATCCTCTTCGATAGCACTGCGATCTCGATGGACGACTGCGGCGTCGGTAGCAGGACCGCCGCTGCAACCAACACTGCTCTGGTCGAGGAGCAGCGCATCTTTGAAAATCTCAAGCTCCACAAGGAGGTGCTGAACGGCGTGAAGCAGCAGCCCTGGCCGCTCGGCCGCAAGCTCAAGCTCGTCAGGCAGGCCAAGGTCTACGTGCGCAAGCACGAGGGAGCGCTTCAGGAGCGACTGGCCCAGTCGCGCAGCACCCGCGATGCCATCGCGCGAGCCTCCATCATCATTGCCAAGGTGCTATTTTAGAAATTTTTATTGTTATATTTCATTTTTGTTGATTTCTCGGTACAAAGTCGGCTGTGGTGGCTGCACACGCAACGAATCGTAAGAATCAGTTTCTTTGTGAGCGGAAAAAAGCTAATAAAAGTACACTTTTGGCCGATTTACGACCCGGCAGCGAACCAGGAGTGAATTGATCGTTGCGTGTTTCTTTTATACTATACATAGTTCAACGTGTCATTGATTTAATCGATCGAGTAAGGCCTATTGCACTGCTCTATACAAAATAAATCATTGTATTTATTAAGAATTTTCACCATTTACGAGGGAAAATCTAACTTAAAATGCAAAGATTTTATTTTAAATAAGCTGTATCGTGTTTTTAAATATTAAGTAAGATGCGGAAACTCTGTAAATCGGGGCATAACAGACTCAAAAGCAGTCGACTCGATGAAATATAGCGATAAGAGACGCTATTATTAGAATTTTTAATTCAACCGAAGGAGTCACATGTTGGTACCAGCCATAATTCCACTTACCTATAAAGTTGTTTAACACTTCGCGACGGTATTATATACTTCTCGTATAGGAATCGATGCGTCGAGTTCGAGGCAAGCTACACGTTTTCATTATATTTTGTTTAGTCTCTCAGCTCTCTATAACCACGCGCATGTTATGTAGATAAGTACAAATGCGACGTCCTATTCACCAAATGCCAAAGCCCTCCGTTCGCCGAACGCAAAAATGTCAACACAGTGATCGCGAGCGCCGAAATCTACGAACGTGGGCATAAACATAATTACGACTTAACAACTGATTTTACGCGAGCGCGCTACATGCATTTAGGGTCAAACAGAGCAGATTGAGCGTTGTTCCACTACATTTGCAGCCGAGCTGTCGAATAGTGACGACGTGCCAGAGATACTTGCCTGCGCAGAGCCTCGCACAATCCTTCGTGGCAACGCATATACGGCATAGCCTGGGTAGTCTACTGAGCTACAGATAACGCAAAAGTAAGTATCTTACGCTTTATATTTCATAAAGTATCCGTGGCAGTAAACGTAAGGTTGCATTCGTACGTTGTTTATCTTCTGCAAATCGTAATCGAACTCGTCGAAAAAACAAATGACTAACCTACCGCTCTGTACTAAAGATATCTTACGTTTGGTCAAGCAGTTATTGTTTATGAACTCGTTTCATGTATAATTCAAATACGAATTATGAAAAGAATAATTTGTGCATCCTCGAGCACATGTTTAGTCTCGCATTTATTTTAGTTGCACTAGAGCTGCACCTCAGTCTTTGCATAAAATCTTAAAAAATGAAAAATGTTCGTACGGTAAGAAGAATTTAACGGACATGTCCTCGGGAACCAATGAATATGAAAATCATGCTTCTTCGACAAAAGTTAAAAAATAATTGAATTTCAGATGATGGAAAACAATCGAGAGAGAAGTTTCATACCATTCCTCGCAACCATGGACATACTACCTCGATTCGGCGGCGAGTTCGACTCTGTACCCGTCGAAGAGTGGCTCGAGCGAGCGGGCAACGACGCCAAGATTTACGAGTGGAGCGCCAAGGAGCTGTTCGTTGCCTGCCAAAGAGCTCTCACCGATTCGGCGCTTCGCTTCTACAACTCCAACGTGAAGCTCGACTCTTGGGAAAAATTGAAGGCCGCTCTGATCGAGAAATTCGGCCGATCAGACGGAACAACTTCCGCGTCCTCCTCGTCGGAAAGTAGCAGAAAAACCTCCGCAGCCAGCTCGACGAAGTCTGGCGAGAAAAATACCAAGCCTAGCTCGACGAGTAATGGACAAACAATCCTCGGATCCTGCTCGACGACGGTTCCTAAAGACACACCTAATAATGCACCATCTAGCACGGTGAAACCCAAAATCTACCAATCGGGTGTTATCACCGTAGAGGACCCTTATTGCAATTCAAAATCTAAGGAAAGCAACATCGAAGACCCTGTTTATTTTGCTACGCTTCTATTTTTGAAAGATGAACCCGTGATGAAAAATTCCCTAAGCGTCAGAATAGGCGGACTTTATGGCAAAGCTCGCTTCAGTACCGCCGCCGAGGTCAACATCATGCGTCGAGATTTTTGGCATAAAATTCAAAGGAAAATGAGAATATCCGCCGATCCTCCTTGTTGCTTCGTCCAAGACGGTTGCGGCAATAAGCACAAACCCGATGGTCGCGTGCAACTATCAACGAGAATAAATGGACACGCCTATCATTTGAATTATGTCATTCTGGATTTGCTCGGAGCTATGCCAGAAGAAATTATGTTGGGCATTCCTTTGCTTTCTCTCGCCAACGTCCGCTGGAGTGCTGACAAGATCCATCTCACACCTACAGCGGAGTCCAGCCGTTAGTAATTATCCTGGCTTCGGAGAAACAAAGCGGCGGTCGATGTTATTTTTTTCAGTTGAAGTAATACTCTGTAACAATCGTACAAAAATATAATTTTTTACGCTCACAATTAACTGATCGATTATTAATTTAGTAAAAATCAAAACTTTCGTGCGATCAAATGAAATTATTGATTCTTCTCTCTTTATCAAATTAAAATTTAAGTAATAATAGCGTTTAACCATTTTTAAAAGATTCCTTTTTTAATGTACGTACAACAACCGAAGCGTAACCGATGTGTGTATCGATTTATTTTCAAAGAATTGGCAGCACTTGAAACGCGAGGTGATAAACGCGAAAACGGTTCTCGTGCCGTGGGAGCGACGCATCAAGCAAATCGAGTCGCAGTTCGGCTCGGCCGTGGCCTCCTACTTCATTTTTCTGCGCTGGCTCTTTGGCATCAACTTGGTCATCTCGGCCGCGCTGGTGACCTTCGTGGCGATCCCAGAGGCAAGTATTTATGCTCGTAACAATAAAGAAACGCGTCGCAGATTCATCAGGAATTCGTAACGCGACTCGCGCGTTAAACAGTTGCTGGCAACGTTGCAGAACGCAACGATCGCCGGCGAGCGCAAGACCATGCTGCCCGAGGAGCAGGCCAGATCGACCCACCTGCTGACCCTCTGGGAATTCGAGGGCGAGCTCAAGTACTCGCCCTTCTTTTACGGATGGTACGCCAATCAGCACAGCTACAAGGCCTACAAGCTGCCGCTCGCCTACTTCCTCGTCAATCTCGTCGTTTACACTTACAGCTTCTTTGCCATTTTGAGAAAGTAAGACAGAGACGCGTTACTTACACGAAGAGAGACAAGCTTTCATCAATGACTCTTTATGCTCGTTAATCGCCAGAATGGCCGAGAACTCGAGGATGAGCAAGCTGTCGGAGAAGGAGGATGAGTGCGCCTTCTCGTGGAAACTCTTCACCGGCTGGGACTTTATGATCGGCAATGCCGAGACGGCCCACAATCGAATCGGCAGCATCGTGCTCGGCCTCAAGGAAGCCCTGCTCGAGGAGTCGGAAAAGCAACGCGACGAGAGAAAGTCTCTGCCCGTTCATATCTTTGTTATACTCGACATTATTGCACATTCGCTTTTACAAACCCTCTACTCTGATTGTATACAATCGATAAATTTAAATGCTTAATAATTACTAAAAAAAAAAAAAATACACACAGCTGGAAAATCATAAGCATCAGGATCGTGGTGAACCTGCTGGTGATCGGACTGCTGGCGGCCTCGGCTTACGCCGTCGTCGAGGTGGTCGAGCGCAGCGAGCACATACCCGAGGAGGAGCGCGGCAACTGGTGGCGCCAGAACGAGATCACCGTCGTCATGACCCTCATCACCTACAGCTTTCCCATCATTTTCGAGCTGCTCGGTATCGTCGAGAGCTACCATCCGAGAAAGCAGTTGAGATTGCAGCTCGGCAGGTACGTGCCTTACTCGCCCTTATTAGCAGTCACCCGTCACTCGACTCATCTCAACTTTGACTTTGACGTTCGCGCACAGGATCATGATACTGAATCTGCTTAACATGTACTCGCTTATCTACGCTCTGTTTAAAAAAATCAACTCGTCCGTAAGTAGTAGTTGGTATCGACGACGAACGCATGCGACGGAGAAAAACCCAAGACTAGCTGCTAATCGGTTCACTTTCGCAGGACGAAAAGTTGCAGAGCCTCAAGCCATCCGATTTCCTGACCAACGTGAGCTGCGTCGACCAGCTGGTGCCGTGCAGCGGTACGCCGTCCAACGTCGTGTACGCCGCGTCGACCATCGCCTCGACCTTCGCCACCGGCATGAGCTTGGTGCTCAACAGGCCAAATGTTTCGCGTCCCTCGGTTGCTGCTGCTACGTCGTCCTCCGAAGAGCTCGAACTTAAAACCGAGCTGCCTCTTTATCCAGCCTCGGACGATTTTCCTTTCGCCGAGAGCAAAAGCAACGGCAACAATAACAACAGCAGCTACCGCAACGACGTCGTTACCGCTACTGGAGCCTTGAGCTTGCCGGGAAACGATACGAATCCGTACGAAGCAGCGTCGCTGAGACTTCGAAACTCCTTGACCCAGGACACGCTCGAAGCCGACAACGCGCTGAGCTCCGACGACGCCTATCCCCACGTCGATTACGATTACTACGGCTCGTACGAGCAGTCGGACAAGACCAATTCTAGCAACAAATCGGATTTGCCGGTTGGCACCAAAAGCCCGTTCAGGGACAACGAGTCGGTGAGCGACGGTACCGCGGCAGCCGCCACGACGACCATCCCGAACATCGAGCTCAACGTCACGGTTCACGACACCTGCAGAGAGATAAGCCGCATCGTTCAATGCTACGTGCGCATTTGCGAGAATCAAACTCTTACTTTTGACAATTTTTCGGGTAATTTATTGTATCGCTTGGATCGATAGTTCAATTTCATTTGTGTTTGTTTGTATAGCTTACACGACTGCCCTGGATTTAAAAACCCGTCGAAAACTGCGCGGCCTCTGCTGGGAAACGATGTTTGGCCAAGAATTAGCCAAGCTCACGATGATGGACCTTGTCCTTACCGTACTGACTACCATGATCATCGACTTCTTCCGGGCACTGTTTGTGCGCTACATGAATAATTGCTGGTGCTGGGACCTCGAGAAACAGTTTCCACAGTACGGCGACTTCAAGATAGCCGAGAACATTTTGCACCTGGTTAATAATCAGGGTAACTAAATTGATTTTCACGACACTTGAATTACCAGTGATATTTATTTAAGTTACCGATCTAATCTTGTCCGGCCAGGCATGGTCTGGATGGGAATATTTTTCAGTCCGGGTTTGATAGTGCTGAACGTCGCCAAGCTCATTATCCTTATGTACTTGAGATCCTGGACAGTTTTGACGTGCAATGTGCCGCACGAAATTGTATTCAGGGCATCGAGGTATAAAAACTCTGCAACTCATCGCCAAGTCTAACACTTTTTATTCTCTGCAATCGGTTTTTTTACAGGTCCAATAATTTTTACTTGGCGCTGCTTTTGACGATGTTGTTTTTGTGCGTCCTTCCCGTTGGCTACGCAATTGTATGGGTTGAACCATCGTGGCATTGCGGCCCATTTTCCGGCTACAAACGAATTTACCATTTGGCTACGACGAGTCTCCGAAATGCGTTGCCCAATTATGTTCTAGAATACAGGTTTTCACTTATCTAAATTTTATGCGCTTTGTTTGTACATAGCTTGCATACTTTTTATATTCTTCTTAAACATTTTCTTTATTTGGCAGAATTTTAGATTACATCGCTTCGCCCGGTATAGTTATACCACTTATAGTTCTCATGACTTTAATCATTTACTACATGATTTCTCTGACGAATGCTTTGAGGGAGTCTAATAACGATTTGAAGGTGTGTATCGAACTAGTATCGAACCTCATTGGTAGTCAAATTGAACTCAACAGTTCAGTCAATTCATTTTTACGATGCTTTTTTCGCAGATTCAATTGAGGCAAGAACGCACCGAAGAGAGACGAAAAATGTTTAAAATAGCAGAAAAGCGACACAATGAAAGTGAAACTCCTTTTACGAAATGGAAAAAAATTTTACCCAATTTAGGACCGAGAAAATCTATTGATTTAGCTTCAACGAAAGGTTGAAATTTAAATTATTTCAATTACAATGCTAAATGAATGGTTTCTTTGACAAACTGTTTATCGAGCGACTTGATAATTAACGAAAAAATTGAAAACTTTTTTTTCCAAATATGAATCTGTTTATTTTCAGCTAAATTCGCGATACCAAATGCAGAACAGGAGCAAACAAAGCTTCAAATTGATACAAATACTCTAGACGTGGAATCTTTACTAGCGAATGAACACTTATCAAATCTGGATCAGTCAGAAACCGTCACTGAAAATATTTCAAAGTCTCTGTCAGAGCTTACTGAATCGGTCATACCAACAATTCATATTAGTCCTGAAGAAGTTGACCAGAATAATTAATTTAACTTCAATAAAATGAGTGTTGTTCTTATTATTTTATTTTATATTTGTTAATAGTTGTTTGAAACATCGATTTTTATGATTTATTTAATGTATTGTAAAATAATTCAAATTCCAGATAAGAATGAAAATTTTTTTAGAGTTTCACTGGAAATTTTTTTAAAAGCTACGTTTGTTGCCTGCGTTTTGTTGTTTTTTAAACACAGACGAAGCTTTTTGGAAGATTATCAGTAGAAATTTTAGAAAATGTGTTAGAAATTTTTTTTTTCACTCTGACTTCGATATCTCCTCTAAATAAAGCTTGTACTTTTTCACTATACACAAGTTATAAGATAAGGATAATATTTATTTAATATTTATTTAATATATATTTCTGTATTGACAATTAGCATTTATAAAATGTTATATTTGTTAAATATGTTTCAAAGTCCACTGTAAATATCGTACAGTAATAAAAATCTAAATTGTAAAAATTTTCTTGCACACTTATTTCTCGCTTATTTTATCTTATGTCTTATAATATTTGCACCAATAACTATATAGCTTATAAAATCACAATTTATACATTGAACTTCTAAATTAAATCTTTCTTAATATGCACAAGTAAATTTAAAATCTAATACATCTATGTATAGAGCCGTTAAATGAATTTAAATACACCTATAAGTCTCGTCGAGTCACGTATGCTAATATAAATGCACATTATTTAATTTATTTAAAAAATTAAACGTACTTGGTTACGTTTACGCTAATACCGTTTTAAAAATTGACAACATGCATATAAAATGTTATATGTAAATGCTTTATGAAGTAGCACGATTAATTGAATTCTTTATTTTCGGTTGTAATGCTGCATTCACGGACGCAGCATTAGCCGAATCTCAGGAAGACTTGATTTCGTCGACATTGGTGTAGTTGATGAAGCGGAGCCGTAATTGCAGAGCTGGTCTCAATTTTCTTATTATATTGTCAAGCTCATTCTTCAACGAATCCCCAACGAACATATACTTTATGTGATAGCTATTTTGATTAGAGTTAAGAAAATACCATTGTGGCTATTCATATTATTTTTTATGCTGAATTTATCATTATTATATTTTAAAAAAATGTAAAAAAAATTTTTAATTTGATAAAGGATACAATAAATCACACACAGGATCCATTTGTACGAGATGACTCTGCGATCGGTTAACTTGCTCCAACATACCGTACAGGATCAACGTGAGATCAGTGAGCGATTTTGGACGTTCGCAATTTAAACGTGTCAAAGTTGGGCCGATCAAATGACACGCAAAAATTAATTGTTCTTCGTTATTAACTAGGGGTTGCAGTTTTTCCTTCATAAATCTATACGAAAAAAATTTTAATTTCATACGTCAATTGGAAATACGATAAATTAAAAAGCATATACGCACTGTGTCATGGTATAGATTTGACCGACTCCAGCGTGATGCCACACCGAATGGGCCAAGGCCAACATGTAACTGTACTTGTTCTCCAAAAAGCTATTGTGGGTGAGGTTGAAGTTGAATAATTGAAAGGGCGATAAGTTGTCGTACTGCCACTTGGTCAAGCCGGGACTAGTAATAGTTTCGATCAATCGGTCGTGCAAAGTCGACCAATAACATTCCGGCAGAGCCGTCATTATTATACCAATACAATTGATCCACATGTGAATTTCATCGGAGGGAATGATCGTGTAGCCTTTCGCAGCGACATCGAGCAAATTATTCGCAACTACATTGGGTGCCACTGGTAGGGCCATCAGTTCCACACATGTTACGTACAACATGTGAGCCGTGGGGTTGGGGAACTCATTGAATCTCCAGTCGGTAGAAGGAAATTGAGATCTACCCGATATTGCTGCAATATAATTGACAAAAGTTGTTCATGCTCGTTTGAAAATTGACATGCTCGTTTGAAAATATATTGATTTTTTTCTTACTTTCAACTAATCTTTGCACTAAGCGAACGTAGTACTCGAGTTCGGGTTGCCAATAAACATCATCGATTGGACGAACCATGTATCTTTGGTAAGCGTCAGACAAGGTCCAGCCTGGTGCTCGAATTTCTCTTAAAGAGCCTAGTATTGCTGTGACGAGACGTCGCTTTAACGGCTGCTTGTCTCTAAGTTTCCTTTCGTAATAATGCAGGGTATTGTATAAGTATGTAACTGGTCGATCTATGAAACGAAATAAAAAGCATAACAATTGTACTATTATAGTATTTTCTGTTAGAAATATTATTATAATTATATAAATTAGTACCATGAAATCTGTATAAACAACCCAGGTGTTCCAAAAGCACTTCTAAGCTTTTGGTAACTTGTGGTATTTCTAAATGCCGATGAAGTACAATATCGAAAACGGGTAAAAAACGTAAGCACACGTTGCCAAAATAAACAGGAAAGCTTTGATATTGATTGGGACTGCCTGATGACTGTTCCATCATGCCTTCGTTAGCAAACTTTTCCGGATATTTTCGATGAAAAGCCAAATGCTTTTCGTGCCAATTAGATTGCTTCCAATGATCTGGTGAATTTTCTTTGACAAAGTCAACCACACGACTACGAAATTCAGTCGCTTTGAGCAGTAATAATTGAATTATATAAAAGCATACTTGTGCTTCATTTCCTTCTAATGTTCGCAAAGCCTAAATAATCGATAATTAAAATTAACGATTTATTAATTCAGTTTTTGTTTTTTGCGTTAATAATTTTTTTTACTTACTAAACATAATACTAATCTATCGAAGGTGACAATATTATACTTCCATATCATACCATTGATTGCATCCACACATTTGTTAACATACTGACCATCACTAGTAATGCTTGATACTTCAAAAACAATGTAATCACAAAATTTTCTAAGGTGTGCCGACAGTGCTCGTGCACCAATTCTTTCCAATATTCTAAATTAAGTAATGGTTCATTAACATTTTGGTCTTAGTAAAGGTGAAAATTCGCAAAATAAGGTGTGCTCTTACTTGTACACTATTGGACTGATTCGATCAGTTTCAAGAATCATTTTCCATAAAAGACAGAGAAACAAAGGAGGACTATTTGGAACGGAAAAATGTGCAATTATATCGTTTTCATTGGTCATGGAAGCCCAGTTCCTATATTCCTCTTCAACAGCTTTCTACAAAAGAAAAAAGTAGGAGTCAGTTAGTTACACATTTTTTTTGTTTGACTAAGTGAATATTATTATGTAACGAAACTATACCTTTATCTGTTGTTTTTCTTCTTCTTTGATACTATTTTGCTGGAAAAATTCACTCAAAATTGGAGGAAAGCACTGTAGTGTATGATCAGCCCACGAATGTGGAGTATTTTGCATTATTGTATTCAACAAATCCTTACACCATGTACCACCTGTGTCTCCTCCAATACCTATTACAGGCAAAAACATGTATGATAAATTTGAAAATTTTATAATCATTTTGTAAGAAATATACCTGTGATATGCATTGATCTTGCCAAAGTTATAACTAAGGCTCTATTTAATTCTTCAGAGTCTGCTGACACAAGGGTTTTGGGCTCTGATAAAAATTTTGATAAGTGTGGCTCTACTTCTGCCGAGCCCAAGCCCGTTATCAATCGTAAAGCTGTACTTTCAACACTGAAATACACAAAATCATATGAATAAATTCAGGAACAATGACAAAAAATAATAACAAAACGGTTAATACCATAGGTGTAACTGTGTTTGATTTGTTTGAGGTACAGCAGCTAAATTATGAAGATGACTTAAAATTTGAACTCTATATGTAGGCTGAATATGATGCATACGATAGCTGAACATATCGAGTAAAGTATATAAAATACCCCATGCATGTGCTTTGAAAACTGTTGGTAGAAGATGACCTAGAAATGAATTTCATGCACAAATTAAAATTGTATCTTTTTACTTTGCAGCTTAAAAATGTTTTAACTTACTTATAAATTTTTTTATACCAATACTTTCCATTTCTGTATAGACTAATAATCGACTATAATTCTCAACAAGAGCAGGTGGCAATGGAGGACTATTTTTATTGGAAGCTGACTTGGCCACATGAGTAACAATACTGTGTATTAAACTCATCTTGACATGACTTGTTAATGAGTCCAAAACTGACATTGGTAAAGGAGCTGTTGGACTATTAACTTGGGAAGAATTGTTTTGTATTCCTTGCATAGGTTGCTGTTGCTGATTCTTAGAACACAATTTTTTATTACTTAATTGAAAGAGAAAAATTATAATGTATGGATGTGACAGATTACCTTTTGAGTACCTAATATTAATTCAACTAATACAGCCATTGGTCTATTGAATAATTCTAAACTTGTTGAATATGCATTGCAAAGTAGGGGTATTTTATAATCTGTTCCCATACTTAGTGGAGTATTTTGCAATGCCAAATGAAGGAATCTGAAAATAATTTTAAAAAATGTAAATTGTGACGTTTTATACATGAAGAGATAAAATTAGTATGGAAAAATACAACATCAATAAATAATATAAAATATATCTAAATCTTACTCGTAATGAATCTTCAAATTATGAGGTATCATTTTATGAAAATTCGAATTATCTGCATGGATTTTTTTTAGAAGATGCATCCAAATAGATATTAAAGCTAATTGATGAGTACAAATTGGTTGAGTCAAATCTGGCAGTGGAAGTGGTTCTTTTTCAGGATACAACAAATCATAGAGTTTAAAAATTGGATAAAAAGTACTGGCCTGTAAAAAATAAAAATATACAAAATATATTAATGTGTTAACATTTTAAACTAAATTTATGGTAATAAAGTCATTACAGGTTTCCTCTGAATACATCCAGATATGAATTGCAATAATACCCACATTAAATGATCCCTTGATTTTTTCCACTCTCTTCCTGCTAGCTGTAATAAAAAAAATTTTAAATATTGTAAAATAACTATGCAATTTCTATTTCAAATCATAATTATAATAACCTTTTCATGAATAGCCATGACAAAACTGGGAAAATTAGCAAATTGAGATAAAACATAACATATGAGCTGTGAAGAGAGGTGCAGCCAAGGCCAATGGTTAATAGTTGTATCTTCTGATCCTTCAACAGAATTAGGCTCATTCTCTGATCTTTCCATAGTTCTTATCACAAGGTCAACAAATTGTTCTTCCAGTGCTACACATTTCATGTTCTGTTGCTAATAGATGTAAATAATAATTATTTTAATTGAGCTTGCTTAATAGTAATAATTGATATTGTAGTTAACACATTTTTTGTTTTTTATGAATGTATGAGAAATTTAATTTCAAATTTATATTGCAAAAAATCGTAGGTAAATGTAGTAAATGCAAAATGATTTTTGCACCCATATAGTATGATAATTGACAATTAGATTGTGACTTACTTGGCTTATCATTTTATTTTGTAATCCTAACATAGAAAAAACCATGTCTTTGCTATAGGGTTGTTCAAGTACATAACGTAATAATTCTGTTTGAGGTTTTAATAATTCTTGGTCAAATGGTAGATGTCCTTTAAGAGTAAATTGCAATGTATTACGATCTAGAAGCCATGGTACTACTAAATGATCGCTATATCCTGTGTGCTCAACTACTGGTAACATTTTTGAATGACCAATAATTGTTATCATTTGTGCAACTTTTCTAAAACTATCAATGAAAGTAGATATTAATTTGGCAAGCTGAAAAGAGTACAATTTTTCATTTTATTTTTGACACACTGATTAAATTGATAAATTAAGTAAATTTCTGTTACCCAGTGAGGCCAGACTTTATTTTCTGGATATTTTTGAAGTTCATCAATAATCAAATAACTAGGTATTAAACAAGCATTTCTATCAAATATGTACTGAATAAGATTTTCTAAAACTTTCATTTGTGGCTGTACAGAAGCATCTAATCTTGTGGGTAATGAGTGTGCCCTATCTCTACAAGCCTACACAAAAAATTCCAATTTAGAAATATGTATGGTTCTATGGACTTTCACAGAATGTATTATAATACAACCTTTATGATTACTCGAATTCCTTTGTAATCCACCCCACCAATAATATGTCGAATGACAGTAAAGCATTTAATCCAAAATTCTCCATTCTGATACTGAAGTTTATCACAGCTTAGAATACATTCGCATACCATTCTGTTAAAATAAAATTTTCTTAAAGGACATCTTATTTTATATATAGTGGTGTTGATTTCAATATGACATACCTAGCTGATAAAACATTAGTAGATACTAGATTTTCAAGTAGAGTCATAATAAGATGCATTCGTCTGTAATTAGTTATTTCAGCAGCTGTATAAAGAAACTTTCTTACAGCACTTTCCCGTTGTTCTAAGCTCAGAATCACCATAGCATTTGTCAAATCATTTTGCCATCCCTTGATTTTTTCCTTTTCTTTGTTTGTATTATGAACTATGATGCAGCTGAAAGCTTCCTCTATGGCTTCAACTTTCTGAAATGACACAGGGAAGAATTTAAATAGTTTGATTTTGAATCAAGAGGGGAATGTTGGAATGTTGAGGGCTTTACCAAAATATCATTGAGGACAGTGAGAATTTGCGACTCGCTACCCATGACGGCAAAATGAGCTCGCGTGCAACTTTATTACAAGTAAAATACTAGAAAGCTTTGGTGCTCCATCGAGCACATCGTCATTTCATCTGAAACGCATCATTATTACGGCAGCTGTTACAGCTACTCGAGAAAGAGTGTGCGAAAGCCTCCAGCCGGTACTCCGTTTGCGTTTGCTGGGAAAGCTCCTTCCGTCAACTCAATTTGATTACGCATGCAAGATGTGACAATTGATCGAAAACATAAGCTTCGTAGCAATGGTTCACCGCATATTGGATGCAACTTACAGGTTAGGGCCTCCTGACAAAGCAAACAACTACCCGGCGAGCGGATCGGTCTGTCAAAACGAAGAAGCCCTAGGAAGGTATTCGCTTTCGCCCTTGCATCGTGTCTCGATTCGCTTGCACATTTACGTGGTGATGGCTCAAATAATTACCGATGATTTCCATTCGACCATTGGCAATCGTAGCAGTCGCATCTTTATGATGTTTTCGATATAGCGTGCACAATTTGCCGCACAGCTAAACAATATACGCACTAATTAGGGTAGAGCCGAACTACTGCGCTGCACGGATAAGTACCGACTAGTTGATGTATTAGTACAACATACGCCGTTGTTTATATTTACGTTTGCGCTGCTCTATTGCAGCAGTAGCGGCAGCACACGCTAATATAGTCTGTAGTCGCCACTTGGCCAGCAGCACCGTCTGCGTAAGTGTCGGTGTATTTTATGTATGTATACACACAAATCTATATTGCTCCTAATACGACACTGACAGCGCGTCCCTTTTTCGATCTGCTTTCGTTCCGGTTCGTATCCAATATGCCATGCCCTAATATTGCTGCTGCTTATACAGCCTGCAAGTCTCATTGATCCTGTGTAACTCGGCGCCGGCCTGCACACGCATACGAGTCGGCGACCGGCGCAGAAAGTCGCGCTATTGTAGGTAGATCGCGCGATAAAAGCATACACCTATCTTGTCGTGCAGTTCGAGACCTGCGCTCCGATCGAGCACCTGTTTGGCACGCGAGTCTTCGACTGATTTCTCTGTAATAAAGTTTGCATTGCGGGGCGGCGAGTGCATTTGAAATAGATAGGCTCAATCGCTGCCTGCACTCACGGTCAAGATAATTTTGACGGCCTTATCTGTGCGTGATTAGGCATTATTAACCATTGGTAAGTGCTAAAATTGTAAAAGCTAATCAGCTGTGTCTAACTATCGCACACAGATTTACTAAGCAAAAAATTGCGAAACTCATTGAACACGCCATTTTACGGGAATCTATCGTGAAACGTGTCTTCAGGATATAATCAATTGCTTTATTGATATTTTATATCTCACAGGCTGCAGTCGCGACTATCCCAACGCCTAAATTGGAGCAACGCGAAACAAATTTTTCGATTGAAAGCTCAGTAAATTTTTCATTGACAAAAATGACCTTACATCTGGGAGTTGGTAAGTAAATTTATTATTTAAAGCACCTATAGGCTACAAGCTCTTTTTCATTTTTAATCATTTTCAGGCTCTGAACAGCCACCAAAAGTTGATGGAAAAATAAGGCTTTACAGTATGAAATTCTGCCCTTTTGCTCATAAAGTAAGACTTGTACTGGCTCTCAAAGATTTACCCCACGAAATAGTTAATATAAATTTAAAAAATAAACCAGAATGGTATTCGAAGGTACCTAATACTGATAAAACTTATTCAGTAATAAAATACCATTATATCAATAATTTTTTAATATTCTTCAGATCCATCCAGAGGGAAAAGTACCTGCTTTGGTAGATTTAAATGATGAAGTAGTTGTGGATTCAAGTGTTATAATTAATTACTTAGAAGATAAATATCCAGAACCATCCTTGAGAAATAAGGATACTCTTAGCAAGGATTTGGAATTGATTGAATCATTTGGCAAGGTGATTAAATAAGATTCTAACTTTTGATTCATACAATTAGCAGTGCATTAAAATATGTTTTTCCTCAATAGATTGTAAAGATCTTTTCATCTTGTATTCATAGTAAAGATAAAAGACCTCTTCAAGAAGCTGTAGATGAAATTTCAATTCATTTAATTGGCTTTGAGCAAGAATTGAAAAAACGCCAAACCACTTTCTTTAAAGGTTCATCTTCTACACAGAACTATATAGTAGTTATACTGTCGTAACATATTATTCAAACTTTCGTAAATGTTTTAGGAGACACCCCAGGTATTGTTGATATTGAAATGTGGCCATTTGTTGAAAGATCCAAGGCCTTAGCAGTCATATATAATGAAACTTTCAAGTTTGAAAAAGAAAAGTTTCCCAACTTGGTAAGGAACTTTTTTTAAATTTAAAGAAAAAACAAATTACTTTAACATTGTTTTATGATTTCAGATGAAATGGATTGCTGAAATGAAAAAGCAAAAATTTGTTACAGAAAATTCATGTTCTTATGAAGCATTTGCCAAAGTAGTAATGAATTCTTCTAATTCTGAAACTTTTAGTTACGATGATTACTAGTTAATTACAGGTATAGTACAGAAAATTTAAAAGAAACGTTTATTGAAGAGCAAAGCTGAAATTCCATTCATAAACATCAAGAACAATCTGCAATTAAATTATAATTAAATGATCAATGATCAATAAAATTATAAATTGATAAGTATTAAAGAAAAAGAGTTTGCTCTGTTGAAAATATTTTGTTTTCTTCATTTTTTCGTTTTTTGTTTTTGAAAATATATATAGTAATAGGTTTCATAAGTAGAATCATTAACGAGTTTATTGCTTTTTCTAGAAAAAATTATTATTTCAATAATCTCTTTAAGACATACTCACATATATACAAAATTGATAACACAAATAAGCATAAAGAATGTCTTGAAGTAAAATAGGAATGTCTTGAATCTGTATTGATAAAAAACATTACCCGGAACTAACAATGCTTTCTAAATATATTTTTATATTTCTAGATTGGTTAAAAAGGCATCATTAACTTTTCAATACTTATAATCAACAATTAATCAGTAAAGTACTAAATTAAGTTTGTACTTTAGTATAGGATGCAAGTGTAGTACTTGAACCCGTATTTATTGACAGTGATAGTCTTTTCTTAAGACTGTTGATTCTCGTCAGGATTTTTAATTGCTATGAAGCGTAGTCTCATTTGTAAAGCAGGGTTAAATCTTCTTATAATACTCTCAACTTCATCTCTAATTGAATTTCCGACAAACATATACTTAATATGATACATCAGATCACAAATCGTATCCATCTGTTTTAAGTGCGTTTGATTACGACTAACTTGTTCCAACATTTGATATAACATAACAGTGAGATCTGAAATATATCGATTTTTCTCAATGACTAAGCGGTTCAGAGTTGGCCCAATTAAATGACACGCATATATGTATTGTTCTTCAGTTTTTACAACAGGTTGCAATTTTTCTTTAACAAAACTAGAAAAAAGAAGAATTATTAATTTTTTTCACTTCTTGATAATAGAAAATACATAATTAATAAACTTACTGAACAATGTTGACAAGCTGACCAACTCCAGCATGATGCCAGATAGAATGAGCCAGGGCCAGCATGAAGCTATATTTATTTTCATAAAAGCTGTTGTGTATCAGATTGAAATTAAATAATTGGAATGGAGTTAAATCATAAGGCCATTCAATTAGATCGGGACATGTGATGATATCCAACAGCCGGTCATAAAATGTAGACCAATAAGAGTCCGTAAGTGCTGTCATAATTATACCAATGCAATTAATCCATTCATGAATCTCGTTAGACTGGATCACAGTGTTTCTAGAAACGAAAATAGTAGTAGCTAAAAGATCATTAAAAGGTAAAAAAGTAACACCAGAAGTCATACTTACCCTTTTGTTACAACATCTAATAAGTTATTCGCTGCGACGTTTGGTGGAACAGGTAAAGCCATTATTTCCACGCAGGTAAGATGAAGCGTATGCGAAGCCGCATTTGTAAACTCATTAAATCGCCAGTCTACTCCAGGGAATGCAGCTTTACCAGATATGGCTATATGAGAATAATCATTGACAAAATTATTAGAAGACTTTGAAATTTTACAGCCAGAAGCTTAAGATTTATCAATTACTTACTTTTCATTAAACGTTGAACTAATCTTACATAATAATCAAGCTCAGGTACCCATGGTGAATCATCAATAGCAGCCTGACCAATGTATTTTTGATAAGGTTCAGTCAAGAAGAATCCAGGGATTCGTGACTCTCTTGATTCCATAATAGCAGATACTAATCTTCGTTTTAAATTAGGATTGTCTATTAATCTTTTCTCATAATAATGCAAAGTGTTGTACAAGTAGGTTATAGGTCGATCTATGGAAAATTAAAAATTACGTTGAAAAATTTAAAAGTAAATTTTTTCGATGTAAGAATTAAATATTAATAAAATGTATGATTACCATGAAACTTGTAAAGACATCCTAAATGATCCAGCAAAACTTCTAAATTTTGTGTAACTTTTGGAATTTCTAGATATCGATGAATAACAATATCTAGTACTGGCAAAAATCTCAAGCATACATTACCAAAATAAGTAGGAAAATTTTGATACTGATTCTGACTACTTGAAGCTTGCTCCAAAACTCCTTCTGGAGCAAATTTTTCTGGGAACTTTCTATGAAAGGACATTTGCTTCTCTTGCCAATTTGATTGCTTCCAATACTCGGGTGAATTTTCAGTGATAAATTCTTGAAGTCTATTACGAAATTCTACAGATTTCAACAGCAGTAACTGAATGATGAATGAGCACAACTGAGCTTCATTACCTTCCAAAGTTCTCAGTGACTATTGAATGAGAGTTTTTATTAAATTCAATAAATATATTATATTTAAGATTTAAAAGAAATTACTTACCAAACATAAAATTAATCTATCAAATGTTACAACATTATATGTCCATATCATGCTATTTATGGCATCAACACATTTATTAACATACTGTCCATCGCAAGTTGTACTTGAAACTTCAAATACGATATAATCACAGAATTTTCTGAGATGCAGAGATAAACCTCTGGCGCCGATTCTCTCAAGAATTCTAAAATAAAAAAAAAGAATTTTGATTTTTAATTTTACGACATAACGAATAATCACATCTAAATAATTTCTTACTTGTATGCAATAGGATTAATACAGTTTGTTTCAAGAATCATTTTCCATAAAAGGCAAAGAAACAGTGGTGGTGTATTAGGAACAGAAAAATGAGCAATTATATCGTTTTCATTGCTCATTGAATGCCAATTATTGTATTCTTCTTCAACAGACTTTTTTATTTGTTGCTTTTCTTCCTTCAAAACATTTGTATGCTTGAAAAATTCTCGTAATAGAGGCGGGAAACACTGCAGAGTATGATCTGCCCAAGTATGAGGAGTATGTTGCATGATTGCATGAAGTAGTTCTTCGCACCACATGCCTCCAAGAGCATCATTTCCGGTTGCTGAAATATATATTAGTGATTTTAATAAATACAATTTTACGATGATTTTAAATCATGTTATACTGTACCTGTTATATGCATGGATCGAGCAAGAGTAAGTACTAATACTCTGTTTAATTCTTCAGAATCTTGAGATACACGAGTTTTTTGTTCATTCGTAAACCTGGTAAGATGAGGTTGAACTTCTGCATTACCCAGAGCTGTAATTAGTCTTAAAGCTGTGCTTTCGATGCATAAATGTAGCTGGGTTTGATTAGTCTGTGGTGCTGAAGCTAAATTGTGAAGATGACTCAATAATTGTACTCTGTACTGAGGTTGAATATGGTACATCCTATAACTAAACATGTCCAACAAAGTGTATATATTACTCCAAGCATGAGCTTTATATATTGTTGGTAACAGATGACCTGATTATTTAAAAAACAAAAATTTTTATGGTAAATATAAATTTCAAAAATTGTCATAAAATAGTAAGAAAATGATATACTTACTGATGAAGTTCTTGATGCCAAGAATATCTATTTCAGTGTAAACTAACAACCTGCTGTAAGTTTCAACAAGTGCAGGAGGTAAAGCTATATTACTCTTTGATTGTGCTACTTTCATTATATATTGAACTACTGAATGTATAAGATTCATCTTTGCATGGGCAGTCATAGAGTCGAGAATAGATATAGTTAATGGTACAGTAGGTGGATTTACAGATACTGAACTGTTGAGCATGGTAGGCGATTGCTGTCGTTGATGAGGCTATTGAATTGAACAAAATAAAATTTGCTCGCATTAACAAAAATTAAATAAAAATGATTCAGAGTAAATCAAAATTCTTGTATTTTAAGAAAAATTTCAACTATTCATGGATTTCTTATTTTGTCAATAACAAATTTTTAATGAAATTTTTCCCAAAATAACAAATTAATTTTTGTCTTGATATAACTTACTTTACTTATAGTATCAAATAATACAGCCAATGATTGACTAAAATAATCATTTGGACCCATGGTAGAATAAGCATTACATAACAGAGGTATAGTGTAATCTGTGTCAATGGAAAGAGTTGTTATTTGAGAAGCTGCATGTTGAATGAACCTGTCAGACACATTAATTAAGAAATTCAGAAACCATGGCAAACTTATGATCAATTATTTAAATAAAAATATTACTCATGATGTAGTTTTAGATTGTATGGTATTGGTCGTAGACTGGATGTGGAATCTTGGGCTTTTTTCATCAAATGCATCCATATGCAAATAGGTGCCATTTGATGAGTACATTTTGGATTTTTTAAATCTGGTACTGGAATAGGTTCTTTCTCAGGATACAAGAGATCATACAACTTTAAAATGGGAAAAAAAGTTGCAAGCTGAAACATTTTAATTTAAAAATAAATTAGGTTTCTAAAATATTTAACAAAAACAAAAATGTAGCACTTACAGGAGCCCTGCTTACTGTACCAGATATAATCTGAAGAAAAACCCACATTAAGTGATCTCTTGATTTCTTCCACTCTCTTCCGCTTAGCTAAGTAAAAACAAATTGAATCAATTTAATATGAAAATACATTTATGTTTGTGATAAAAATTTACTCACTTTATCATGAATCGACAAAACCAGACTAGGAAGATATGCAAATTTGAACACTACATAATGTATCAATTGGGAAAACATATGAATCCATGTCCAGTAGGTAGGTGATTTTTCATCTGCTGCTTCTGTTGGAGTTTCATTTTCAACTTTTTCCATACTCCTGATCATTAAATCTACAAGTTGTTCTTCTAATGCTGTACACCTAGAATTTTGCTGTAAAGCATAAAATTATATTTAACCCTTGAACAATTTAAATATATTTCAAATAAAAAACTTACTAATTTTTGCAATCTTAACATGCAGCAAGTGAAATCTCTGCTATAAGGTTGTTCCAATACATATTTTAAAAGATTCGTCTGAGGTTTCAATAATTCTTGATCATAAGGAAGAGCCCCTTTCAAAGAAAATTGTAATGTGTTATGATCTAATAACCATTGACTTATTAAATGATCACTGTACCCTGCATGTTGTACAATTGGTAACATTTTAGTATGACCAATAACTGTTACTATTTGAACAACATTTCGGAAGCTTTCTATAAAATTAGATATCAATTTTGCCAGCTAAAAACAAATAGTTATAAATTTTTATATTGCTGATACATTTATATAAAAAACAAGTAAGATAATGTTTATGTACCCAGTGAGGCCAATCCTGAGTTTCCATATACTTCAAGAGTTCATTAACAATTAAATAGCTTGGTAATAAGCAAGCATTTCTATCAAATATATATTCAATAAGGTTTTCTAAGACTTTCATTTGGGGTTGGGTAGAAGAATCAATAACTGAGGGTAATGTATGGGCTTTTACTTTACATGTCTGTAATAAAAAGTCAAAATTAAATTAATAAAATATACTGAAAATGGATTTAATAATGTAACTTTAATAAAAAGAATAAAAAGTTGACTAACCTTCATTACTTCTCTAACACCTTTATAATCAACTCCTCCAATTATACGACGAATCAGCGTAAATGAAACGATCCAAAACTCTTTGTTGTGATAATCTAATTTGTCACAGCTCAAAATACACTCACAAACTAATCTGTGAAAGCAGAAGATTGAATAGATGTAATTTACAGGACTTGAAGAAAAAAGTATTAATGAGTAGCTGGAGTTTAGGTAAAAGCAATTTTACCTGGCAGGTAAGAGATTGGTCATAACCAAGTGCTCAAGTAAATTGGTTATCAACTGCATTTTTCTGTAATTGGTAATATTGGCTGCAACACCAAGGAACTTTTTAACCATGCTCTCTTGTTGCTCCGAACTCAGCCCTTTGAGAGCCATTGACAGCTCCATTTGCCATTTTTTGATCTTCTCCTTTTCATGGCTGGGATTATGTACGATGACACAGCTGAAAGTCTCTTCGATTGCTTCAACATGCTATGCAATAACAAAATGAAGTACGTAAACAATGATGTTTGAAAGAAGCGCGACGTAAAGAAGCGATTGAGGAGTAATCACGCGAATTGTAATACTCACCAATATTTGATTGAGTACGGCGTGGACTCGAGCCTCGTTACCCATTTTTGCGCGCACTTAATCGTTCGTATACAACCGAAGCAACGTCAATGTGTGTTCACTATCTGTATTTCTTCAGACGCTTATCATGATTCACACGCGTTTAATGACTCTCGTCCTGATCTCTTTCCAAAAACGACTTTAAAAACAGCACATGATCTCGAGCCGACCTAATGGTTGTGGCATGCTGCTGTGTGCTGCTTAGCTTACTGCTGCTGCTGCTGCTGCTGCTGCCAACGCTGTGCTTGCTACCGTTGGTATATAAAATCAACCTATCTCATGCACCACGCAGCGCGGGGCACGGCGCGACTATATACCATGTATATTACAACATTGGGACGAGCCCACAATCTCCGCGCGAATTCACGCCGCGCATGCTATATTGTGTATATCGTCAGATCGTCCTCCTCGATGTTATGATCATCGTCGTTTTTGCAGTTGGTGCGGCGCGTGTACCAGTAAATATATGTACCTCCCTCTATATTTATAAACCGCCGAGCACCTTGCTCCGATATATAGATAGTATATATATATATAACGAGTATTGCCCTGCACTGCACTCGGAGTTTGTGTGTATTATTATTATTATTATACGTGCGCGCGTGCATATACCGAAGCTTGTGTGTGTGCAGATATAGACTCGAGAGTCGAGACTGGTCGACTGGCGCGGGGCCTGCGAATCAGCGATTGGTGCAAGCCCGAAACAGCTTTACTCCGGCATTATATGTATGTAGCAGGTATTATGCGGGTGCACCGGGTAAAGTGACTGTAGCGAACAGCTGCACATCGGCTCGCTGTCAGCCGACTGTTATTGTTGACGCGTAATGACGGGCATCGGCCTTATCGGAGCTCGCGCGGCGGTCAGAACTCAAACTCAGAAGTCGTTAAAATTTTAAAGGTTAGGCCTCTCGAGATTAGAGCGCAGCACTGCGCGCCGACTGCGTCAAATCCGGAGAGCTCGTTTTTTTGTTATCTCTTTTAATTAACGGCCAATCTACTCGAGTGTAACATAGTTAAACCGTATTCGTTGTAAGTGATACGAGTCAGAATTGGCGGTTGGCTAATGCAAGTTCGACAGTTCAAAGTTGCAGTTTGGAGTCTGTACTCTATGTGTTACGATACAGAAACCGGCATCATCAAAATTGAACTCGGCCGAGAGCCGTTAGATGGTGCGCGGCTCTTCATTGGCGGGAATCGGTTGCTACAAGCTCGCACTGCCTCGCTGATAAGCTCGTATTCATTTCGGTCCCAGTAAATCGAGATTCGAAAAATTCGCAACGATCATGCAACTACGAAAATAAAATAGTGCAAATACGATTACTCGCGGACAGCCTTCGTAAAAAAAAAAGAAAACGAACAGAACTGTACCATCAGCACGCAGTAACGTAGACCGCTGGAACGAGCCTGGAACATGCTGTTCGAGGAAGATTTGGTCAAGACGACCTTGATCAGGGGCGACGAGGAGCACTGCAAGGCGTTTCTGTTCGAGGTAAGAAGCCGCATGAATCTCGATCCTCCCCCAATTACGTGCACGCACAGGTCTCTCTGATACAGTAATAATTGCCTTTCAGGCGGCCTTTTGTTGGGCGCGTCAAGGCCTCGCCGTCTACTACTTCGCCCCGAAAGCTCTGGACTCGCTGCCGGCGAGCTTCCACCATCGCAGCCAACTCTCGGCCAACTCGCTCAGGCTCATCACTTTCGTGTGAGTATATAATACTTTTCGCGAGCGAAAAATTTAATTTCTCCTTCTAATGGAACGCGATCTCTCCCCGGCGACAGGTACACCCAGGACAATTTGGCCGCCCAACTGGTCGGTCTGCACCAGTACGCCAAGCCGGCCTCGCTCATCCTCCTCGAGGACCTCGAGGGCTTCGGCTCGACCTCGACGCCGCGTCATCGGGCTCAGCTCTGCGGCCTGCTGCTCAACACGGCGCTCGCCTGCGCGCGACTCACCCGCCAGAGGGTCAGCCTGTGCCTGGCCGCCTGGGGCCCCTCGCCGAGCCGGCCCGAGGTCGAGCGCTACTTCGACAACCGCTGGCAGCTGTCGAGCGAGTTCGAGTCCTCGAGCGCCGCGACTCTGCTGCGACTCAGCCAGTGCAACGGCGGACAGCAAAGTCCCAAGAGAAGCCTGTGCTTCAGCCGCCTGGACGACGCCGTGCTCGTTCTCACCGGGGCCAGCGTCCTGCTGCCTGACGACGACGACGACGTTGATGTCGACGTCAACGACCAGTAAGTGTCTTGTCCTTGTCTCTTTTATTGCGCTTTGGAAAAAACCCCGAACTTTCTTCGTTACTGACAGCAGTGCTATACGATGTCACTGGGCTCAAAACAACGACGTTCTTATTATATATTTACTAGCTTCCTCCTTTTGAGTCCGATTTTCTCAAAATCTGCACAATAACAGCTCGTACGAGGCAAGAGAATAGATTCGTCGTTTGCGGCTGTCGGCTACACGTACAATACACGTACACGAGCTGCCTTATTATAATATACGCAAAGCTGTGAAAAAAAAAATGAAATGCCCCCGGTCTCTGCGTCCCATGTATTTATGACCGAATATAGTCTTTAGAGAACGTAGCTCATTTGTTCCGCATTTAAGAAACGTCCGCAGGTTCGTAGGTGGTCCCACACCACACACTCTTCGCAATGAAAGCCGCACAACTTTTGTATCGTTTTTATTTATTATTTTTTCAATATATCGCATAGCTGATCGCTTTGGTTGGCATATCCTTGCGAATCGGTCCTTTCAATTTAATTGTCAAGCCTCATCTTCGACCTCGATAAAGAGTAAGAGCGTTTGCGAGGGCTGCAAATCTCTGCTCCAGCTGGTACTGATTCTTACTGTTACTGCTTCACACATACAGTTTCTTACAATTTTTCCATGCCTTACGAATTGGTTGAAAAATAAATCGCGTCAATTATTCACGCTCCAATGATAGTCCCAAAAACTGAATGATTTTATATGAAGATTTAACTATTACTTCGTGTATTTAGAAAAAGTTATATAATTTCGTTTATATTTATTTCTATACTAAATGAACCGAAAATTTTGAAAAATTGAGTGAAGTGAGTAAGTGGTAATTTAAACCCAAGTGATAAGTATATGTCAAACCACTAACATTTTTTGCACAAAAGAATTTCGAAAATCATAGCTCTCCGTCTCCGTCTACTCAAACTTTAACTATAATTAAATCGGTTTAATAGTTATCTCTCTTTTTCTTTCTCTCTCTTCAGCATTTATGAAAAGTTTCGAAGCCAAGCCTTGGACAATCGGTTGCTCATCGATCCTTTTCAGAATCGAAGTTAACACAGCGTTCCAGCTGCGTTGGTCAGTGATGAAAGCCCAGAAAATTAGCAGTTTTTGTAACGAACAAACACGTTCACTATTAGAAGGCATTAATTATTGCCCTCGATGGAAAGAACAGTCCGATAATGAAAAGAACAAACAGGCCTTTCATGAATCAAAAACTCATGCAAAAAAGGTAATCTACATTTAGAAGCATTTTCGCATAGGAGAAAAGCTCGTGCTTTTCACGAGGTACGCCGTAGAAACGAGGACATATAAGCTCGGACGCATCGACTGCAGATAGAATGAAATGGCCGGGACAAGCTCTACCGTTCGAGAATATATATAGAAAGTGCCCAATGGCAAGATCGGTGCAGTGCGAATATATAAACTATGCGAAGAAAAGGCAAAAGAATTTCGGTATGGGGCGACGACGACGACGACGACGAGTTGCTGCCAGGCAGTCTGCTCCAACCGCATAAATACAGGCACGCAAGGCAATCGAGTTATGTGTGAGAAGAGAACTCACGCCCGATGCGAATGACCCGCTTTAAAAAGCATTCGGCAACTCTCAAAGGCCCAACAAAACATTTCGCACACCGCTCATTTTACGTACACATACATAATATGGAGTCTTGTGTATCGGGGGATAGCTCCGAGAATCGGTGTTGTATAGTGTGCTCGTCGACTTGCCTAGACAACGCGACGCCAAAGCACAAGGCACGCATCCTACGCGAGCGTTTCGTTGGAGTTTTGGTCGCCTCCCACCGTTGCTGCCGTCGTCGTCGCGCGCTATGTTGCTCGTGTGTTGTTGCTGCCGCTCTGCTTCGTGATTCGTCTAATCTGGCAACGTAGCAGCAATGGCAATGTCTGTTTTACCACCGCCACCACCACCACCACCACCATCGACTACAACAACAAAAATAATGATAACAACAACAACAACAACAACAACAACAACAATTACAAAACAATGGCAGCAACAACGATAAGAGCTGAAGCAACAACAACGGCGTCGATCCTCAACAGATAATTTCGCCTTTGCGTGCCAGTATGCACATGTGTGTCGATACACACGCGCACACATGCACGCACACCCATGCGAGCGTCTCGTAATTCGTTCTTGAAGGATATACCGGTTTTATCGAGCAGAGCGCGCAAATCCCGAGTATCCAATATATAATAATGCGAACGCTTGGGCTTTGGCTATAATACACCGTGTACATGCGTGCGCTGTTGTGTGTACGAGAACGGAGCATCTCGGGGCTGTAGTTTGACGGCACCGAGAGAGTCGCCACTGCTCGAGTATATATTTTATACATACAGGTACTAAGACGGGCACTCGTGCTCGCGAATGTTTTTCTACTCGTATTCTCGCAATAGAGCGAGCCGCCAACGAGCTGACCGCGCGCACACACAAAACGACCGACCAGCCGCCGCATCACAAAAGATATTCGCTCAGGGACGAGAGCTGTACACACATTGATCAAGTGCACTGTCCACAGCTCGCGCGAGCCTTTCTACGCGACACAATGCCCGAACGTAAAATACATAATTTAGGCAAGTACAGTTGTATGCGACATAATATAGCAGCTTAATGCGCACAGGAGGTGTCAACCGAGAGCTCAGGTGAGAAAATTCAAATTTCCGGCTTTGCATCGGAGGGGAAAAATAATGAACTCCTTGCCGGGCCATATAATACACGTACGCAACGAGAAGCGCTCCGTATTTCTTCGTACTTGGCTCGAAAGAGTCCACGGATGAACCTTTAAAGAATCCAAAGGCTGCTCTGGTGTATAGAGGAGCTTCGCACCGACCATATCAAGGTACGGGACCATTTGTGCCATTATAATAGAGAGAGAGAGAGAGAGAGAAAGAGAAAGATCCGAGGCCTCGAAAGCAGCATAAAGAGCCCCAAAGAGTAGCACGAGTCGCGCTAATCGCGTGGTCTGCGCGCGACATTATAAGCCAGAGTCCATTTCAAAGTCGAGTTGTATTATATTATATAGGTAGTGCCGCAGAGATCGTGAGTCGCTGGTGGCTGTGCAGCAGCGCGGCAGCAGTCGGGCAGGTAAGGGGGATCCCCGAGCCCCCCGTGGCTTGGCCTGCTCCGAAGAGGCGACGAGCAGTCTCGGCCGTTCGCTTTCCCCGCCGCCTCACTGTCTGCCTGGGCATATATACTGAGACTGTATACACATACACGCACACAACTCTACACTCGTACAGGAGGTGTCCGATTCAAGTGTTGCTGCCCGATACACGAGTCCGAGTTGCGTGGTAGTAGTTGTATGGTATCTCGTTCGTGTGCGAGTGTGTGTGTTTGCGAACCGGAATCGCGCCGCAGAAAAGAAAGAGAGAGGCTGCTAGCTCGAGCTATATATAATACAACGCGTGCAGCGCACACAAGGGCCTTTCCTCGCGAGCCATGGCTCGTTTGTTGCTCGATTTTACACTCTACCCCGATCGCTCGTGCTGCTGCACGAACGCGAACGAGATGCGATGCTGCTGCTGCTGCCTCGCGCAAATGCCCATTAAGCCAATGATTAATCATGTGCTGCTCTCGGCAGCACTGCACAACCGCACCGTTGCACTGCGCTGCACCGCCGAGAGCTCGCGATTCGTGCACCTATACCCAATCATCGCGTAAATTGCCCATGGATATTTGTCTCGTTGACACGTTTTTTTTCTTCGCTCTTGCCTCAGCTACATATAGCCGTGCAGAGATTCGACGACGCGACAATTGCCGGCTCTGTTCTTTTTTTTTCTGCCTCTTCTACGATATGCTCGACGACACCTGCAGCGCAATATTATGACGTACGCATGTTCTACTTTGACCATGTGTCATCTAAGTAGCCTTAATAAATAGCAAACTGCGCACACACCGCAACCGAGAATCAATTCAAGTTCAAGTTAAAACTTTAACGAGTGCCTTTTATTTATGTAGTATAGCCTCCTCTATAGAACTAGCCGCTAGCAGCATATGATAACAATAAAGAATCTTGCCTAGTAGCGGCCCCATCTCTGGATAGTGGATGTTTATCGTGCCGAAAAACGATTTCGGACGCTTGAAAAACGTTTCTTCCACGAGAGAGCTATAATATATGACTAACGAGCGCAAAAACACAGTTGACGATAAATAATCGTGATGGATATCGCGTATATAAAAAAGAAGATAAGCGCTTCTGTGTGTCGGCAGCTCTGCGGCCTGTGCCTCGATCTCGTCCACGCACGAGTACGCCAAGCGACGCGTGTTGTGTGTACCTTTTATTATACGCTCATTATTATACACGAGAGAGAAGATTAAAGGCCATCGGCCCGTGCGTAGTGTAAAGCGCGTACAAAACGTCCGTTGGATGCTACCGAGGAGGAGAGGTAGTCGATTTTTCAAAGTTTGCGCAACGATCATCCTCGCGCGCGAGAGATGCCATGCGGCTAATTAGCCACTCGAGCTGCGCGGCGATCGTCGTAGCGGGATAATTCGGGCTGACAATCGAAGAATCGAGGCTTAATCATCGTCATTATTATATAGCTATACTATCGGCACTGAATTATTGCGAGTATTTTTCTCAGGCTTCATCGAAACTAACTGCACTTGACTGTGCGATTTTTGCCTCGCGTATCGAATTGCGCGCGCCTCGGCCAATGTGTATAGTCACTCTTGTGCGAGCAGTGTTATTTTCACACCGTTGCGAGAGAGAGAGAGAGAGAACCGTATACAGGATAAAAAAAGAAAGGAATAAGAAAAAAAAAGCGAAAGAAGAAGCGACAAGGCTCTCTTTTTACGTAATATTAATTCGCCCTCCCGAAGCGGAGATTTAGCGGACCGTTTGACAAAAACGACGGCCGCACGCAGAAGAAAATCTGCATAAGGATCATCGCTATAATACAGTATGCGCGTCGACGTCGTCGTAGTCTCTCGTGCTGCTGCTGCTGCTGCTGCTCGTCGAAGTTCGAGAAGCAAAAAAGGAGCAGCACTAAAGAGCAATACGAAAAAGGAATAAACAGCCGAATATAAGCGAAGCAGAAGAGAGCAAGTCGTCGTCGTCGTCGTGGTTTAAGTTGCGCGCGGAGGAGAGAAGAGAAAGAGGAGAAATAAAGAAAAATAAAAGTATATGAGACAGCTCTTACAAAAGAGGAGCAGCGCGCGCGCGAAAGAACCAGACAGCTTGGCATCGCGGCTCTCTCGCTCCTGTGCCCCCATACCCATTTACCCATACACATACAGGTAGAGGATATAGGTAGAGGAGGCCGGGCTCGCGCGATTCACGTTCCACCTTACTCGACAGCGAGCAGCACCACAGCTCCGCGCTCATTTATTATATACTTTCTTTCTTTTCCCTCGACGATTGCTTCATTTTTTTTTGTTGTCGTTTCTTTTCCCTTTTTTTGCCTTTAATTTAAAAGCATATTTGGTCTGCATTAAGATAAAGGATGGCAGCTGAGCCTGATCGATGGGCCTTACAGCCTTGTCGCGCGCAAAGCGCAAAGTTGAAGAAATTATTATATTCCGACGCAATCGCCTCGGATAAGCCGGCTATTTGCCGTTGTCGGTCCTGAAAAACACGTTGCTGGGCCAATCATCGCCGCGGCATACATTATATCACGATTTAATCCTTTCGGTCGCCCAAGCCCGTCGATCTCTTTTAACTTTTTTGTTGCTATTCGACTCCGAATAGATGCGAGCTGTTGTGCGCGTCGCCGACAAGATTTGTCATGCAGCTACGCGTGTACTTTTTAAAGGTCACACCGCCGTGTTTATTATGGTCGTTGGCGGGCGTCGTTAAAAAGCCATCGCGACATTCCTCGTGCAACGGTGCAATATAAGTCTACGAGCACGTTAAAGCTACAGCAGCTCTACTACTTGCGCGCGCGCGAAACGAGCACGACTGCTGCATGTGCGTGCGAGTATGCACGAAAGCTCTTACATATATATAATCGTTGCAAGTATGTGTGTCCGCGCACGATAACTATTATACGTGTGTGCGTTCGCGACACGTATATATACGGAGTGCTCGGCTACAACACCATGGACGATCTCCGCTGCTGCTATGGGTGCCCTGGGTACGTGTACGGGTGCGAGGGAGAGAAAAGGTAAAAGCAAAAAGCAGCAAAAAATAAAAGATTAGGCAGAAGAGAAAAAAGCGTACCGCCGCCGCCGCCGCCGTTGGCGTGAGCACGAGAGCGACCGAGTCGTGTTTCGTTCGGAGCAGTGCTGCTGCAGGCGCGAGCAAAAGAGAGCAAAAGAGAGCAAAAGAGAGTAAAAGAGAGCGAGCAACAAGTGCCACTCTCCTCCTCTGCTTGTGTATAAGATATATATACCTACTACTATATATGAGCGTGTGTGTATGTATGTGCGTGCGCGCGAGTACGCGTGTATATATGCTCTCCTACATATATGCTATATGTATATATGCTTGCCTGGCCGCTGGGTGTCCGCGCGTATATATAAGTGTGTATATATGTGTGTATATATTGCCGTTTTGCTGTGTTGCGGCTGCTCTCTGGTCTCTCTCGCGAGTGGCAGTGGCGGAGGAGACGACGACGGTAGTCGCTCGGCAGCACTCGCTACGACCGCACAGATCGTCGATCGTCACTCCTCTCTTTTTTGCAAACATCGGCATAATACACGATCTCGCTCAGTCGACAGTCAACGACGACGACGACGACTCGCGGCCCAGCACATTTAATAGAGCACGCGTTGATATACTCGTTGCGTCTATCGCGCCGATTTCGAGCTCGTTCGCCTTTATAATACAACTACTATCGCGCGAGCTGCATATCGCTGCCAATCGCCTTCAGATGCCTCCGAGTCATCGGCAGCAGCGATTCGGAGTTTGAGAGAGGTGGTGGTGGTGCACTGCTACTGCTGCCGAGACAACAACAACAACGACGACGACGACGACGAGCTGCTCAACCGATCGCAAGGACGGCGTAACGAGTTAGCTGCAAGCCCCGACGAAGACGTTTGAGGGAATCATTCAGTGAATACTACTCTGCCCCTCGAGCAGCCAAGGCCCAGCCGACTCGCGAACATCAAGGGACAATGTCGCGAGGAGGGGCCCTTGGCTCGACGACCAGGGCGATGCTCCTGCTGCATCTTCTTTCGATCGTTCTCGTTGCAGCCGCAGCCTCTTCTTCTTCTGCTTCTGCTACTTCGTTCGATCAACTTAACAGCGGCAGCGATATCAGCGTCGTCGGCGGTGGCGGTGGCGGCGGAGCCAGCGACTCTGCTGCTAGGGTATGTCTTCAATAACTATATACTACTATGTATCGTTATTACGAGCTGTCGAGCAGTCCAGAGTGTGAGAGAGAGAGATAGAGAGAGAAACAGACAGAACGAGCTGAGAGAGAGAGAGAGAGCCTGATCAACATTTGCCTTGAAAAGCGCCGTAGCAGCTCTCGAGAGCTGCTCGACGTATACACGTTCCTCTCGCTTTTCTCGGTGCTCGTGTGCAGGCTGCTGCTGATTGATAACGCGTATCCGTGTGTAACTCACAGCTCTGCTCCGGGTAACTCACTCTGCTGCTGCTTGTATCGCTCTCGTATGTATAAATGTATCGCTTGTATACGACGTTACACACATAGTGTAATTGTACTGCGATTGTACTCTGCTGTGTGTCTCTCGGCACAGAGAGAAGAGTCAGAGACACGCAAATCGCGAACAGTAAGGAAGAAAGTTTCCAAAGAGTCAACAGCTGACTCAGATAAGCTCGAGACGAGATCGGAGTCTTTCTCTCTCTCTCTCTCTCTCTCTTTCTCGCTCTGTCGCGACGACTTTTTATAACTACTGCAGTCGCGCCCCGAGAGCAACGAACATCCAGAGCGACGAGGTGTAATAGCCGATTCTCTCCTCGCGAATATCAAATTTACATATAAAAGTATATAAAACCACTCTTGGAGCGCCAAAAGCTGTGTCCGACTGCGCACGCTATCTCTCGTGGTACTTTGTTATGCAATTGAGGCGACTCTATATCGGATATAAACGTTGAACGCGAAGCTGCGTGCGCCAACTCTTCGTTTTCGCCGCGGGTGCTCGAGCTTGTAGAGAGAGAAAAATTAATAAACTAGAGTAACCCGTGCGTGTACCTTTTGTAATCGCGAATATATAGAAGAGCCGCGGTCCAACCAGCCTAAAGAGAAAGAAAGAGAGAGAGAGAGAGACCGTACTGAAAGATGAGATTTACTATTTACTATTTTAGTGCGAGCTCCGAGCCTCGCGAGATAAGGATTTATCGAACTTGTATGTAAAGCCTTCTCTCTCGGAGCAGTACATACATAAACGAGAGAGAAAAAGAGACACGCCGAGAGAAAAACAGAGACGGAGAGGCTGAAAGAGAAAAGGATAGAGAGACGGAGCCTCGTGTAGTATCGCTCTCGCTGCGTGTGTCACTCCGCTTATAATATAGCGATGATAATTCAGCAGCAGCAGCAGGCATGCATGCACGCGTGCGTGCGTTTACTCACACGCACTTGGCAAATATAAATGACATTTATGAGATAGTTCGATATAGGATATAGAGGAGCAGTTAATATGTAGGTGCGCGCGAACGACGCTCGTGATTGCGGTGTCGATCGATCGCTGACGGCCGATCGATCCGCGATTCCGAGAATAAAAGCTCCCGCGATACGCTCGTGTTACTGTGCAATAAATAGAGATAGAGCGAAGGCGCGACTCTGCTCGGGAGCCGTTTTTTCTTTTTTTTGTTATTAAACTTGTACCTGGTCCGAGTGATACCATTAACTACCGACGCACTATCAATCTCATTAATTTACCCTAATCGTCGAGTTGGGTGTGACGGGGGAGCCGCGGGACAGTGTAAAACGACATCCCTTCCTATATCACACGCGAATCGGCAGCTATATTTTCTGGCTTCGAAACGGTCGAAACTCTGTCGTTTCTTTTCTCATTGAGCTCGTGTACTTCGGGGCTTCGCCCGACAACGCGTCTCGTCGTGCAACATCCGGCCGCACCGAGTAAACATCTACGCACGGAGCGACGATCGTGCTTGTGTTTATTATTATGTTCTCTTGGCTCTCGTCCCCCCGTAAACAAGCTTGAATGGACGCTCGTTATCGGCATTATGGAGCCAAGATTTAATAATCTCGGGTCGCGTCGTCCCGCTCCATGTGTCTCTTCTTTTTTAACGCTACGAAAGTCTCGTGCTCGACACGTGTAATTCTCGGGCTTGCGCTACATTATTCATTGAAAGGATCTCGTCTCTTTCGCAGGAAGAATGCCGACGCAAGATAGCCGCGTGTAGCGCTTCAATGGAAGCCAGTGGCAGCCTGGAGGAGAAGGAGGAAGAGGAGGAGGAAGAAGGCGAGCAGCAGGAGGAGATCGCGCCAGCTCTGTCGGCGACGGCGATCTGCGGCAGCGACGGCGTCACCTACCCGAACCAGTGCAGTCTCGCGTCGCAGCGCTGCCTCGGCCTGGCCGTCACGATGAGGCACCAGGGGCCGTGCCTCGACGGCGCCGAGCCCCACAGATCCAGTAGCAGCAGCAGCCAGCAACGCCCCAAAGCGGCAACGGGAGCGGCATTGAGCCCGTGCCTGCAAGCTCGGGCGACGTCGCGCGGAGCCTCGAGGATCGCCTGCCGGCCCGACGGCAGCTACGCGCCGGTCCAGTGTCACCAGTCCACGGGCTACTGCTGGTGCGTGACCGCCCAGGGACGGCCCATTCCCGACACGACGGTGCGGGAGGGTCGGCCGCGCTGCGCCGCCTGGGCCGCCAAGTCGTCGGAGACCCGAAACGGTGGTGGCCGCCAGGGCCGCAAGTCGCCCAGCTGGAAGCAGCGACGCCAGTACAACAGCGCCAGTCGGCACCGCTCGAACGCCGTCTGCGATCGTCAGGACAAGGCTCGCTTCAACGCCAATCTCATCGACAACTTCAAAATCGAGTACAGACGGATCAACTCCAGCGCCGAAGGTAAATATAACGCGCGGCTGAAAGCTCTCCCCTGTTGTCGTCGCAAGCTCGTCCATTCAAAATATCATTCGACCCCGTGCTCGCAGGTCCTGGCGAGAAGAACGTCGAGCGCGTTCTCGGCTGGAAGTTCGACAGCTTGGACAAGGACGGCGATGGCTACCTCGACCGGGCCGAGTACAAGGAACTGCGCAGGCTAGCTAAAAAGGTCGTGCGGCCCAAGAAGTGCGCCCGAACGTTCGCCCGCAGCTGCGACCTCGACCGGGACCTCAAGCTGTCCCGCCAGGAATGGGCGGCCTGTCTCTCCAACGACTTTAGCCGTAAGTTTCTTTCGACTAATCATCTCGACTCGTGATTTTTTCTAACTATATAGAAGGTGACAGTAGTAGTGGTAAACAGAAGTAGAGGTAGCAGTTTATTACAGTAGTCTTGAACTCTGACACGGTGCTGGTTTCTCCGCGTTCATTCGCTCTCGTTGCGGAGAAAATACTTTCACGGAGGAGACGAGAGTCATTGCCCAGCCGAGCTTTACGCGCGCGCGCGCGTAATTGACATAATTGACGAAAATCAGCGTCGGTTTCGCTGCCGCGATCTCGACTTATCTCTACGAGCGACTCAATATACGCTTACACCGTTCGTGTGTACAACGTGCGCAGCGTGTACGAGTCAATGCACCGATACGCAGTATACGCGTTTCGAGGCACGCGTATACTAACGACGCACTTAGACACGCCTCGCCTAACTGCGCGCGCGCGGCTTCTGCGCGTTATTCGACCGTATTATTGGCACGAGTAAACGCGCGCGTGCAAGCTCTCGGTTGAGAGACGAAACGAGGCGACAGTTTTTGCAACGGTGGCACTAATTTTTAATCCATATACGATCGCCAGACGCAGTCGATCTGGTAGCGGCACCGCAAACCTTCTGGAGAACTCAGCAGCACAAGGATCAAGGTGAGAGTTAGCCCCCCATCGATTTACGTCGTGCATACATTCGCCCTTCGCGAGATTGTCCATTTATATGCTTTTGCACGTGTGCTCGTGACAAGTTGCATTTTATGCAAACGGATATCTAAAGCTCACTCGAATTACACGTAACCGAGTGCTTGGCGAATAAGTGCATATCTCTTGGCATCGAAGACATTATATCGACAGTGGCTTCTTTTTTTTTACACAACTAACGTTTGCGACTTGCTGCTTTTCTGTTTTTCTTGCATTCAAACGCAGAGCTTTACAACTGACCGCTTGGTACTTGCTTTTAAGATAGTGGTCGATTTTTCATATAGTTTGTGGCGTATAATTTGGAATGCACGAAGCTAGTTCTTGAAAAAATATAATTTTCCACGCTTACCAAGTGCACGATTTAAGAAAAAATTATCGGCGTTATACATCGCTGTTGCTTTTGCCTTCGTAACCGAACCGAAAGCTCGAGGCGAGCTATATAGCTTTTTGCTTGATTTCGCATCATTTTTCAACCCACAACGCTAACGAAATTTTCCGACTCAGTGCTCAAGGTACATCATCCGTCGGCGGTGCACTCGAGGCCAACCTTCAACGACGATCCCCCAGACACGAGCGATGATACGGATGGTGAGTAAAGCTGTGCGAGACCTAGCCGATGGTCCTTATCTGTCTACGTTTCCTTATAAACTCATACTTATCGCAAATGCATTGATTTGTACGCAGCCAACGACTGCATATCGGACCGACGCTCCGTCCTCGAGGATCAACGCACCAACTCGCAGAAAAAGTTCTACATACCGGAGTGCACGCCGGACGGCCGATACCACAAGGTCCAGTGCTACTCGGGCTACTGCTGGTGCGTCTACCAGGACACCGGCAAACCCATTCCCGGCACCTCGTCTCAGAACCAACAACCCAACTGCAACCCGGTGCCCGCGCCTGTGCGCCCCATGAAAGGTACACCTACTTTTCGCTACATCCCAAAGCTCTCAAAGCTTCTTTTCGAAGATTCGTCTAGCTTCAATTTACCCCTTCGGTTTATTCCTTTTGCAGGTTGCCCCGAGGCCAAGAAGCAGCTCTTCCTGCGCGACCTCATGGATCTGATGCAAAAGAAAATGAAGGCTTCGAGCACCGATTCCGATGAGGCCACCGACAACTGGCAAGCCTCGAAGGAGGAGCGCGTCGCTACTTGGCACTTCGTCATGCTCGACAAGAACAAAAACAAGGTACAGTGGCCCTCGTCCTCTATTATTACGTACCGGTTGCCCTTCACACGATATCCAATCCAATTTTTTCTTCGTCCGCAGATGCTCGAGCGAAAGGAGTGGAAGAGCTTCCGCGCGATGGTGTCGAACTCGCGCCAGCTGCGCCGCTGTGGCAAGAAACTGCCGAGGTACTGCGACGTCAACAACGACCGGCGCATCAGTATGACCGAGTGGCTGAGCTGTCTGAATGCCCAGAGGCCCGTGTCGGCCGGCGACAGGCCGACCGAGAAGGCCGCGACGTCCAAGCCCCGAAGAATGGGCCCCAATCCGCTCGATCAATTTCTCAACGACGACGATTGAACGCCGATTCTTCTTTCATCCTTGAAATCTCATCGAAACGAGTCGTCATTTGCCGCAGAACTTTCAGAAAATTATCGACATCCAATGAATTAATTGAGATATATTTTATAAACACGCATAGATTTATAAATATTTTTACTATTAAATTAATATGTATAGCAGACGTTTCAACCATGTGATAAAAACGGTCGAACAAAGTGTTAATTATTCATTCAAAGTTATACCGGTGTCGGCCGTTAGCGATACTGTATCTATCTTTTTAGAATTATGCATTAGTGATTACAACTATCATTATTATTACAATTATTTTTATTATCAATAATATTTTATAATTACTTTTAAAGAAATGTCTACTCATATTCACGATGTGTGCACGGTGATCTCTCGCAATCAGAACCTTGCATTTTGCAACAATGTTCTCGAATGATCAATTTTTCTGCAGTTTTTAGTACTGTTTTTTTCTCTATAAATACGCTATTCACCCTGCTGGGTGATTGCACTCGATAAAAATTTCAATAGATAAATTATATACATATAACTTGTGAATAGCATTTACAAACAAATTTACGATAGTACTGCAATATTAATGTGCTATTTTATTTTTATTCTGTTTTTCTTTTGCTGTAATAGCTGAGAAATATATCTTTATGTTGCCATCGTTTTTGTAGGCGCCAGTTTTCCATTTAAACTTTGCCAGAAGAAAATGGATTTTTGAATCAAAAATCTATATTTTGTATATCGACTATAATGTATTGTGGTCAAAGAGGAGATTGCAAATCATATTCAATCATATCAATTTTTTGAGTAAACTAATTTTCCAATTTTAATAAGTTAAATTAATTTAAGGAATTCCTGTTACACTACGTTTTTGATACTTTTTCCGCTGTTTCAAAAAGTTAAGTTGAAATTGTTGAAATTATATAATTATGCGTTCATTATTATTTTAAAACAACAATAGTGTACTTGACAATCATAAACGAAATGTTAACTTGACAGTATGTAAATATGTTTAACATAATTTGTCAAATTTTAAAAACTCTTCAATAAGTATTAGTAAGTAAGTCATGCTTGTATCATATTTTTATAAATAATATAATTTATTTTGCTAAAAGGTGCTACTTAAGAGAAAGGAGCATACTATGTAATTAAAAATTAAAATTATAGTTCCTTCACTTTGAACGTATATTATTTTTAATGACCTTAAAAGTATAAATTATAGGACGTTTAGTGTGGTTCATCCATTTTCATTAATGTGTTCATTTTCATTGGTGTGAAAATCTCGCGAGTCCTTTTTGAGCTTTTTATAGTCTCTTTTTCATGATTGAAAATATGGGGTTCTGATTCTAAGGAAAAGGATTAATAATTGTACAAAGCAATGGGCTTGGCAAGCATTATGGCATTTATTATTCATAAACTTAATAGACAATGGAGTAGATTTATACACGGGGAATTTATTCTTTATTTCATAATAAGATGCGATGAAAAGTCTATACATATGTATAATATAGTCACAAGCTTAGGATTTGAAGAATTTTTATTCATGATTATGAAAATAGTCTTTGAAGTTTTATTTCATCGAAACTCTCGTTGTAAGAAACCGACTTTTTTCAACTTTTTGTTTCAATTTTTTTTTACAATAGAAAAAGAGTGACTGGAAGACTAAAGCAAATCTCTAATTACTTTGCAATAAATTTTTTATATTTATTAGTTAATGTGGTAAGGGAATACAATTTTTAGTCCATTTTCATAATCGGTAGACTGGATTTAATCTTAGATTGCGTTTTTTATTAAAATATAAATAGAAGAATTCAGAGGCAGGTATTCTTTTTAAAGAAAACAATATACATACTTAAATCCTTGCTTTAACAAGAGTTATTCTGTACACACGCTTTCTGACACGAGACAAGATGCTTTTTCAAATTGTATTGCTAATTATTTTGACACATTTTTTTACAGGCATTCCTGTAAGCAAGATTGTTTAGTATTTGTTCCTTATTTGAAAACTTAATATGACACGGTTTTAAATATTGATCAGAACAGCTTCTTGCTTATCACATGATTTTTTTTTCATTATTTGAAAATGTCAGTAACTCGCGTAAAAAGTCTTTGAGTAAAAAATACTCGTTTTTTGTGATGGGTGCGCAGATCCCGAGAAACATACACTGTGCTTGGGACTCAGCGCTCGAGTCACGAACTGGCTAGGGTTAATTTTGCCCTCTCGTGTAACTTTCCGTCGTCCTTACTTCTCTCTCACTCTCAATCGTATACATGGTAGTACTCCGTTGGTTAAAATGTTTCTTTTTGTCTCCAAAAATTGTGCGACGATAATTCTTACATAGAAGTAGGAGGCTGGGCACCGCCCACCGAGCTTATCACAGTCGTTTGGGTGCCGCAGCACAGTACGTATACGTGGTTTTCACTTTTTTTCATTTTCCTTTTTTATTTTTTCTTAATCGATAGCCTTAAAACCTACCTAGCTTCTTTTAAAACTTTAAAAACATCTGAACCTCAAGTAAAAGTCTATATATTCTCTCAAATTTGAATCAAAAGACATGTGTGAAGCCTCTTCATTTTGCTCATATAATATAACTCATTCTCGTATTTAAATATAAAAATGCTTAATTGCGATTTCTTAATTATTGCTATTTGACCGGTTTAGAATACATCTTTCACTTCGGTACTTCATCAGTTTCGGTTTTATTTTTTTAAATATTTCTCACTGAACACATTGAACGAAGAAATATGATTATAGTTAACTGTGTAGACTTGCGTTCACAAGTTAATTTTATGTACAAAATGGACTTTACTTTATTAGTTATTCTTGATTAAACTTTTTACGTAGATGAGGAACAGAGCCGTTTTCATTCCTGACGATATAATCAATAGCTTGAAATTACGTATTTTCATCTTTACACTCAATCCTTTTTTTCAAGCAAGCAAAATGTATTATGGACATCGGCACAATTAAAACTTTTACTTTCAGTCTAATTACTGTTTATCCATCTAAAATTCATTTCCGTGCGAGTGCAATTTTTATTCAATCATTTAACTTCCCAAATGGAAAGCTCAAACCATCTCGTATTATTTTTACGTATACTCGGCAGGCTAAAAAATACACCATACAATTATTACTATATAAATTTATGTACATTGCATGAAACAGCTAAATGCTTTTATTTATGTGTTCTGACGTAGTTCATTATCTTTTTTAAATGCATGCACAAAAAACGACACTTAGAGTTCAAAAATATAATCATTGCTATTTATAATATTTATATTTGTATAATATATATATTTATTTATATATTTATAATTTTCTGAGCGTTTAAAAATTATCAGTGCACCATTTACAGTTCATTCAGACTCGTAATAAAAATTCATTTTTCAATGTGTTCAATGATGCTCTAAAGAAATCAAAATTATTTATAATTTAACTGCAAGAATCTAAAAAAACTGGTATAAACTTGAGTCACCTTGCATTTTAGGATCATTTTGCATCACAATCAACACAATAGTTTGTAGAACATCTTTTTGTTCATCAAAACAACAATAAATTTTTAGCTTTTGTATTGATCAAATAGTTGTTTTATGTCGATACTGCGCACGATTATAAAGCACAGACTTTCAATATCACTTTTTTGATGCTTTAAATCATTTCATTTTTAAACTTTGGAGGGATATATTGTGCAAGTTTGGAGTAACCACACTCATCACAATCACATGGCACAAATATATTTTTTTTCGTCAATATTAAGTATGAACTCTTCTAACAACGGGTAAAAGTTATCACGTTAATAAGCTTAGTTTAATAATTACAAATTATAGAAACAAATAAATGAGATCCATGTTTTTACTAAAAACAGCAACGAGTTCAAATGCGTAAAACCATTCGACCTTACACGACATGCTACGTATGTACTACCAATTTTCATATGTGATTGCTCGTAAGAAAATCATTTTTCCCTTAAGTTTTATAATAGTAAAACAACCGACTTATTTAAAAGTTGTATATTATATAGGAACTTGCACAAGAACGAGTTTTTCGAGTTTTATAACATTCAAAATTAAAGTTATGTTATTGAAGAGATTACAAGCTGTATGACTCATCAAATATTGCGATCACTTGAGTGAAAATTACACACTTACGGCATGCGCATAAAATCGTCTTTCACGCTATCAGATACTCTCAAATGAATGTGGGTAGAAATCGTAAACTTAACGTTCATGATTTTACTAAATGTGGAAGTGACTACTGTACAACATTTACTTTTACATATTTCAAGACGGCAAGGAAAGCCAGTTATAATTCCCTACTGACATGCATTACTAGGACTTACTCAATAAGAGAGTGTAATAGGCGCATTTTTATGCAAAAAAATGTACAAGCTTTGAATAACCTTACGGGCACGCGCGTTTTTAGATGGTAAGTTGGTATTTTCTTATTTTTCGTATACATTCGAGTATATTATAACGTATAAAAGTGAATCAAGTAACTTGGTCGAAATTTTAACTTGTGCAATTGCACATCAGCACACTTTTTGGTTTTATTGCCATTTGAAAAAAATCATTGGAAGATCGTTTATCAAGATATACGATACAATTGGCAGTACGTCAATGCAATGAGAAATTATGTTCATCACAGATAACTGTCTCAAATTTTCATTAAACTTATTTGTTCGAAAGCATAACTAGAAGTGAGCCAATGTTTTTTTTTAGTAGAAATCGAAGATTTAATTCGCGTATTAGATAGCGTCGACGACGGAAGAAAGATTTATATGACTTATGTCTTAGGAAATTATTGAAGTACGGACGGACAGCGAACGCAACAATCTGAGTAAACTATTCAGTTGGCATTTACAACTGTTGTAGACGTGAAACAATCGATTTTTTTGGAGCATTTTCCGAGAAACAACACAGCGAGATTCAAGATGAAGACAGCATAAGTAGTTTGAGAGCAGAGAAGCTCCTGGAATTGGTCAGTGAACGTAGGACTTGTTGGCCTTGGAAGCAGCGTCTTCGGTGTCGTTCTCATCGTCATCCGTCCGCAAACGCACCCCATTTCTGTCGATATCTACAGTAGCACAGAAAGATAGAATATGTAAACATTACTTCTGTCAAACAATAACTATCGAAGGTATGCTAAGGAACATTGTTCGAACCAGGGTAATCGGCTTCACCGTCGCTCGAGCCATGATCGGAGCCGCTGTCGGAGTCCTCGGATTGGCCGTCGAAGTGCGAGCGCGACTTGTTCGAATTGGTGCGTTGCTTCGACGTTGACATGCTGGCTCTTTGCTGCTGCTGCTGAGTCAACGCTTCGGCAGAGAGGCCCTGGGCACCCGCGCCTTCGATCATGGGCTGCAGTATTCGCCGCCGAGCGTTGATAAACCAATTGTTCACTTGAAGAAGCGTCAGATTCGTTTCGTTGGCTATTTGGCGCTTTTCGTCCTCCGTCGGATAGGGATGCTACAAGCGAGAGGCGAATAATGATGAAAACCAGGCAGAAAAGAGAGATGCAAAATGAATATCGTACTCACAATGAGATGTCCGAATAGCCAGGCGCGCATAATGTTGGTGGCGTGTTTCGGTAAGACGCTGCGCTTGGGTTTGCCCTTTTTGCCGGAACTCGCGGCAGTCGAGGTGGCAGTCGAGGCCACCAGGCCGCCGTAGCCGCAAGAGTCTTCATCGTCTTCGCTCTGAAACGACGTCGGCGAGGCACCTCCTGCTGTTTGGTAAAAAAAGGAGACACAAGATAGAAAAAAGGCAAAGAAAAACGAGTGTAGAGGCTGCGGGAGCAGTTTGCGTGTGTGTTTTCGTTTGTTGAATTCCTCGTTGGGTCGGTCGTAGCGATGCTCACCTTGATACGAGTCGTTGGCCGACTGGCCGGAGTGATGAGTGCCGATGTGCGAGAGAGGCGTGCCGCCGTGGACGGTCCTCGGTGACGACGACGCTTGAAGCTCCTGCGTTTGACTTCTGTCGTCGGCCAACGTGAGCGACGAGCGACGATGCGCCTGATGCTGCTGCTGCTGCTGCTGATGCTGCTGATGGCTGTCCGACACCGAGGACGATCTCGACAACCTCTGCTCGGTGTAATCATCGGCGTAACGCAACGACTGACTCGACTCGCTGTGATGATCGTTGATGCCAGTCGCACCGTTACTGTTACCAACCCCGCCGCCGCCACCACCTCCACTGCTGTTGCTGCTCACTCGGAATCCGTTAGCTCCCGGCTCAACATCATTGCCTGTAGATGACAGCACCTGGCAAATATAGGTTGCAGCTAGCTGTTTCGTGAGCAGGGCTAGGTTTTGGTTCTTTGGTTGTTTGGTCATTGGGCTTTTGGTCGTTTTCGCCCGATCATCATCGCGCGACAAGAACGAAATGATATACATGGCCAAACGCCCGAACGAGTCACGACCAAATTTGAACCGTACATTTGATCCGAATCATCGACGTGTTGTTAGTCTCGAGCCCCAAGCAATCGTTATTTGCTGAAGTTACTGAAGAATTAGTATTATACGATGTGAGAAACGAAAAAAAAGAAAGAGTTAGTATAGAGCTGTGTTCCATCTTGCCACGCTCCTGCGGGGACGGAGTATCGTTTCGTCGAAAAAAATATTACCCCCCCGCATTCGCGATATTCGCAGGCGCGTTTGGCGCGAACACTACAATGCCATCGAACGTATCTAAGCAAATTTCGATAATCAATATACATGTAAGAAGCGTGTCGCCCGCAAACTTGCGGCAGGCCGCGAACGAGCGAGCACATAAACACCGCGCGCGGCTGCTCTCGCACGCGATCTGTCAAAACTTCCATTATAGTTTTCGGAATAAAAAAAGGACCGACAAATCAACTGACAAACACACGCACGTATATATGCTACTCGAGTTTTTCGATGCAAGTTACAAGTTGGAGAAAAGTCACTTGTCGTAGTAAATCGCGCAGAAGCACAATCGTACGTAGTAGTTATGATTCGCATAGATCATCGAACGTGTATATAATGCTCTAAAACACAATGCGCGATGTTAAACCAAGCGGAGTACCGCCACCGTGCGGAGTGAGACTTTTCCGCGAGAGTCAAGTACAGAAAGAAAATAAGAAAATCGCGAGTCGAACTACTCGACGCAAGTTGTTGATGCCACCGCGGACCAAGAGGAACAAGGATTTTCAACGCATTTTTCACTAGATAAAGAAATAGAGTGTGTGAGAGAGTTAGAGAGAGAGAGAGTCGAGGATTCAAGGAAAAAGCGCTACTTCACAGTACAAGATGCAAGCACAGTGCACATGACACGTACAAGAGTACCAAGAGGTATATGAGCATTCACAATATCTTATCGCATCGTCGTCTCGAAAGATGCAATAATTCCTCTTGGTACGAGTTTACAAAAAACGGGGTTGCAGCTTACTTTATCCGAGCGGAGGCTTGAGCAGGTGTCACATAATATGTACTTGACGTTTTTCGCCCAAGCGTCCGGGGAAAAAGCTGCAGCTGTTAGTTAATTTTGTTTAGAAAGCAAAGCATACATCGAAGGATTATCAAAAGAGTAGAATTCATTTGCAATAATCGCGAGCTCGCCTCGAAGCCGAGCCGAGCGCGATCAGTAAACACCAAGCGAGTAGCGATAGTACATTACACAGGGCAAAGACAAAAGGAGGAAAGCAAAGCTGCTGCTGCAAAGCTCGCGCGGCGTGTTAGTATACGAGTCTATCGACTTCTTGCAAACCTGTAGGGGACTGCTGCCGTTGCTGCCGCTCGACGGGGCCAGGCCGTCGTGGCCGCCGCCACCGTGTCCGTAATCGCTGCGCAGCAGATTCTCGCTCTGCATCTTGGACTTTAAGCAGGATATGTAGCGATTGCAGAAGTCCTTGCAGAGCTCCTGGACCTTTTCCAGCTCGAGCAGGTGGATCCTCAGCACCAGGATGGCCTCGATCATCTGTCCGAACGAGAGAAACGGAAACAGAAACGAAAAACAGAAAATCGAGAGACAAGTTCGAGAACGTTGCTCCACGAAAAGGGCAGACGCGCTAATTACCAGGCCATCGATCTCGGGGTCATGCACGAAGCAGGCCTGGCGCACGCTCGCCTGCTGCTGGAGGAACTGCTGGAGCTCGCCGTTGACGTCCTCGGGCGACGAGTCGTAGCTCAGCGTGGCGAGCTCGCATTTCTCGAACATGTAGCCGAGCAGCGGGAAGAGCGGATGCTTGTAAACGGCCCGCTTGTCGGCCTCGAACTGCGCCTGGTCCTGCTGGTGGATCGCGTAGTCGGCCACTCCGCTGGCGGGATCCTGATCGTAGCCAGGAGTCACCATAGCTAATAGCGCTACCGCGGTGCTGCCCTCTTGCATCCTAACATTCCTTCCGGCTCTCGGGATGGTGCCTCCTCCGTTGACGAACGCGCGCTAATTTTCCAGCTCGGCCCGCGTCCTTGCTCCCGTTGGCATTCTCGGCGCTGCGACTTCTGCAATACGGAAAATCAACCGACTCGTTACACCTTACATTCGGAAACTCGATTAAAATTTATAATATTTAGTATTTCGACTTTGCGGTAAGTATGAATCATCGCGACGACGAGCGAGTACATCGAGGCCCATAGAAATTGATGGCTCGTCGCGAGACAATCGCGTTGACATTTTCATCGCCGAGACAGGAGCGTCGACAGCTCGACTCGCTCGTCCTTATATCTCTCGGGTTCGACGAGAGTTTGTACATTTACATGGACAGAGGCGGCTCTCTCGAGCAAGTATAAGTAAGTAAGTATTGTGTATGTGCGCGTGTGGGCGTGCTCCTGCCGCCGTTGCTACCGTTGCTGCTGCTGCTGCTGCTCATGCTGCCTTAGCAGTATAAGCGGTAGTCGAACGAGCGCTACTGCATTTAAATGTCATCATTAGAAGAAGTACTATAGCATTCTGCGCGCTCGCCTATATAGGCTTTAGCTCGAGAGAGCACAAGACTGTCTCGCGCGCGCGAGAGAGCTGCGCTGCGCTATATACATACACATGGGTACTTTCTTTGTACACCCCCGCCGCCTGGCATCCGTTTTCTCTGCGCCACCACCGCCACCCCCTCTTACGTGTATATACATAGTGATACTACGGCTGCTCGGCAGGAACGAGAGAAGAGAGACAAGTTGGCGAAAATTCTTTTGGAGATTCGAATTTTCTCGACGACAGCGTCTAGCCCAGCGAGCGACCGCTGTCGCTGCTGCGGTTTACTAGTGCTGCTGCTGCTGCTGCTGCTCCTAGCCGCAGAGAGCAATGAAAAGCGCATGTGTTGTGTCTGCGCGTCGTCGTCGCCGCCGCGTGTCTCTCTGCGTATATATTTTGCGTGTATAGATATATATGTATCGTATGGAATACGCTATCATCCATGCATATATACGCGCGCACACATACATACATATATTGAATAAGTTGTGTACATGTGGCCGGGGCACATTTGTGTAGGTGCCAAGTTAAGCAGATACCGAAGGGGGATACACGTCGACGAAGACGACGACGACGCGTACTTTTCTTCTTTGATGAAATTGTACCGAGGGTTGCTGCTGCCGTCGTTGAAAGAAAGAGAGGGACCGATGAGAAAAGGCGTATCGCTAAACTAATTTTTGCCTTATACATACATTTTCCTCCCTGGCTTCCGTAAGCTTTTCTTGGCGCGCGATTCGCACTTTTTTCTTTGCTTCTTGTTTTTTTTTTTTTTTTTTTTTTTTTNTTTTTTTTTTTTTTTTTTATTCTTGCAGCCATTCGAGGTTGCAACGCGTGCAAGCTCGTCGACAACTAAGACGAGCTTTATACGTATTCCTTTCTTTCTCTTTCTCAACGCGTTGAAAAACTGCAGAGCGACCGATCGAATTTTCAAAAAATTTGCAAGGATGAAAATATCTCGGAGCGAAAGCTTTGCTGACGAGTCGAGTTCGAGAAGGAAGAGAGAGAGAGAGAGACGAAGCGAAAATGAGAAGCACGAGCAGCTATAAGGAGCTCAATTTTTAAAATCGCGCCAGCTCCGCTGCGTAACGTAAGAGTGTGTGCGTGGGCGCGCGTGCCACATACAAGTTTAAAAAGCACGCGCGCGCCCAACCCGCTGCTGACTGCAAAAGAACAGGACGAAGAATATGGAAGAGAAGAGGAGTCTCTCGTCGAGTCTCGCAGGGGATTTCTCTCCTTCATCCCATTCCTTTTACATACAATATATATATTGTGTACTATATACATATACACGGAGCATATTCTGTATAGATATATACAAGAATGTAAGCTGCTGGTGTATATACGTAGCCAGCGCAGCTGCGTGTTCTTCTTCTTCCTCGCGAGGCTGCCAGACGTATATACGCAGAGTGAAAGAGAGAGAGAGGCCGAATTCGTATAAAAAGTATATAAGGAGGAAAAGTAGACTCGCCGTATCTTTTATACACACGCCGCACACTGTACCAAAGCTGCCGCTGTATACATGTATACGTGGCTAAAGGAGGAATGAAGAAAAAACTCTGAGAAAGAGAGGAGCCAAGCATCGAGCTTTTCAGGCAGACGGCTCTCGCAAATTCAGACTCGACGGCGCCCGATTCAAAAAATTCCGTACAGGCAAAGCTGGCTCGAAGAGAGATAGAGATAGAAGAAAGCTCGGACTCGAACGGTGGCTAAATCGTACGCAGCTTACAGGAGGCGATGGAGCTTGTATAACGTAGAGGCCCCGAGGCCTTTGGAACGTGCGCGGCTACCTCGTACGAGCCGAATTATAATAAAAGCGATGGAAATTAAAAGGGTCTCGGCGAAAAGGGCGCGGATCGGGAGGAGAGCTGCGTTGGCTCTGCTGCGGTAATAGAGCAAGCACGCGCGCGGGCTTCAGCTGGCAGCAGTGAAATCAAAATGAAAAGCACAACTCGCTTACGCTAAAAGTGAGCCGAGAAAGAGAAAGAGGAGCAGCAAGGAGTTACGTGCCCGTGTACACAGATATAGCTTCGACTCGTCCGTATATATCTGCTGCTGCTGCAGCCTTCATCCCTTCGCATACATACACGCGGAAACGGCGCGCTGTGTACCGTGTGCCGTGTACCCGCCGCGAGAAGAAAAGGAAAACGAAGGAAGAAGTAGCAGCAGCAGCGGGGTATATATAGGAGAAGATTCGACCTCTCTCGCTCCGCAGAGCCCATTACTCGCAAGTGGCGCTCGGGTCCGAGCTCTGCACCGATGCTTTTGCTCTCTCTCTCTCTCTCTTTCTTTCGAGCTTTTCTCTCTCTCTCTCTCTCTCTCTCTCTCGCCGTGCTATTACTATATAGATATATACGCGAGTATAGCTAATAGCTTCGAGGTAGTTTTCCCGCTCGATATTTATCCGGACGAATAGGCGGGGGTGGACGACGAGTCTTCGGGCGTTAGTCTTCTCTCGCGCCGTGTCTCGAGCTTCGGGCGCGTTTAATCGGAATCGTTTGGTCGGTCTGTTACTTGTTATATATACTGCTCTATACATATTCGTCGTCGTCGTCGTCGTCGTCGTCGTGTGCAGGCATGCGTCACCCCCGTGCGTGCGATTCAAACGCGGCTGGCCTGCACTGCCGCGAGACGATCGTTGCGCTAAAATATTATAATAACAATAATAATAATAATAATGAGCGCGCGTGTCAACGACGAACCGGCGATAATGAGGCAAGCCTCATTAGACGAGCACGGCTATATAAGTCGATTCGGGCGCCAATTATCGCTGAAATCAGTCAGGTGTGCGTTTCCATACGTAAGCTCGAGCGAGCAGCGCGCATAGCTCGTGTGTTTATGTACTTTATTTGCTCGAGTGAGCTTTTTAAACTGCCCCCAGCTTATGGCCAGGCTTAGCGCGCGCTTCATTAAGGAGTTAATCAGCCGCGGGTAATTCGCCACTTGTATGGGCTAAAGCTGTCATACGAGTCGAGTGGCCGAGGGAGGAAATGAATCGACGTCTCTGCTCTCTTAGTTTTCGGAGCTCTGTAGCAAATTATTCGAGCTGCAGGTACGATTGACAGGTCGGAGTATTTTGCCGTTGCTTCTGCCAAAAGCTCGATTGTCTAACTATCGACGGGTGCGAGGATGGAAAATGAAATTGGTCGGGAAGTTGTGCAGGAGGATCATTCGTTTGGACTTGGCCAGAGCAGTTACTGAAATCGGGCCCCTACTTGACTCGATCTACAGCCACGAGTAGTTCCATGTGGATAGATAAGACATATACAATGCTGGCATTATAATAGTGTCGAGCGAGAGAAGTGGGCGTTCGCCTTTTGCCGGTCTCTTTGCTTCCCGCATTAATAACCACTATCTCCCACGAAGGCTACGAAATGTAAATAGAGAGAGACAGAGAGAACGAGTGTCACAGATAATCTGTGTGTACGCGCAATGTGTAGTGTCACATGCATCGCAGCGCACACACACAAGTACACGAGACGCATCCCCCCTCTAAAACAGCATGAGTCGGATCATGAATCAGGGTATATTGTAAATGTGCAAAATAGGAGTCGCAGCGGAGCGTGTGACATTATTGGCGCCCACTGAGCTGTACTGTACAGCAACGTCAAAGTGTCGAATCGGATTTTAAACAAAACATATCGTTGGCAGAGTCTCGAAGGCTTCGTTGCAACGATTACTTTTGTGACTTGCGATTCTCGACTTAAAAACGCTCCGAGAGCTCGATTCCTCCAAGTTCATCGAGGACCGAGACACTTGTGCATATACATCCTTGGATGCTCGATTGCATGCGCGACTTTGAGCAATTTTTCGCGCTTACACGCGCAAAGCTTCTAACCTAGAAAAGAGGATGTGTGTGTGTGTATCGGACGCCGCTCGGTCGAATGAATCGGACCCTCGCGCGGACGGCGGCCAAAGGGCCCGCGCGCAGCTCGAAACTGCAACATTATAAAGGCCTCGGGGCGCACGTGCGCAAGGCCCCGCTGTGGTATACATACACGGCGGAGAGTCCAAGTCCTCGAAAGCTCGCGCACAGTCCCTCTCTGTATACACCTCTCTCTACACCCCCTGCCTGGTTGGCGTTCGGAGTTTTGCCCCCCTCGCTCGCGCGTACGCGGCAGGCTGGCAGACTGCATATAAAAAGGATGCGAGCGACAGGGACGGAGAGAAAGAAGGACGATGACTGCTATAATATCGATTTATGCCAAGGCTGCTGATACGTCGCAGTGTGTGCGCGCTCGATGCCTCCGTGTGTTGGTATACACACACGCAAACATTTTCGGTATATTTGTACACACACACGTACTTACACTTATACACATGCGCTACTACGTGTACCTATATTACGAGAGCTTAATAATTACAAAATTAGACCGGCAAAGCACGCGGTAGCAATGGTCCGCGCTCGTCGACTCGCGACTGCAGAGTTAAAACGAAGACGGACTTTCGCCACGCACTCGGCGAAATTTCGTCCTCGGCGTTTAAGGTTAGGTGCCGCCGCTGCTTCGTGTGTGTACAATTCCGCACGACAGTGTCACGGAGCTGCTTTTTTATTATGTGTATGTGTACATGTCTTACGAACTACGTATGCGTATCGTTGTTACGAGCTCACAGTCGTTGACGCTGACAATTCGCTCGAGAGCATGACGCAAGTTGACGTTCGTATGTTTATGTATCGTGCGAAAGATTGAACGAAATTACCTGACGTTGGTGTCAGTGGGCAAGTATCTCGAGCCGGGAACAAGAACTGCTTCTTGTATCCGGAGACGTGAATGTACAAGGAACTGCTACTGCTGACGCTGATGCTGATGCTGCACGACCGAAGACTTTGCCGGCGAGGCGCGTCTCGAACTGCTGCTACTCAACCGCAGTTGCAAAGAACGAAACAAAGTAAAAAACACTTGCGAGTCGATCGTTAGTTGTCAATTCACACCGGCTAACTTTCTAGGTGCTATGTGCATCTATGGCTTTTGCATATAGACAGGTATCGAACTGAAGAGTCGCGGCGATCGATGCCGAGACGTGGCCGTATATTTGTAAACTGCAGATCGTGCGTCACTGTCACCGGCTTAATTCATATTATTTAGCATTTTATCGAGCGCTATACACTTTAATCTCCGCACTGATTTCTGCACTTCTACTGCTGCTGCTGCTGCTGCCGTCTGGCAAAGTGTCGAGAGAGTGTCGACTCACGCGGTGCGCGGCGGCGGTGGCGGCGACGACGACGACGACGACTTGGGCGGCTGCGGCTCTCTGTTGTAGTATGTGTATGCGCTGCAATGCAGGCGGTAAAGATGACGCAGTGTCCGGAGTCAGCGTATCCATATAAAAACTGCGACAAAAGTCGACGACGCTATATCGAGTCCGATTAGACCGGATAACTGAGACAAGTCGATACGATCGTGATGATTTCAACGCTTTCTCTTTGGACAAAGTCTATAGAGGTTCGGCGCGTCAGTGGTTTATCATGTAATGTACACTTGACTCCGAAATCGCGCGAGCGCTGCGCTTCGCTCCAAGCTTCGAGGCTCACGAGAGGCGACTAGCGCGGTGCTGGTGGCGGCTGCGGCGCGAGCTCGGTCACGCAGAATCTCAGTCGAGCAAGGATATTCGGCGCTATCTTGCGAACGTGCAAAATGACAGTGCAGCAGCGAGCAGATACTGCCCCGCACGACTGGCGAGTCGCGCCCCCTCGTTATAGCACGACTGACTTCTCGATGGCTAGTCGGCGATCCAATTTACCGACGCGTTCGATACTGTAGGCAGCGCAGCGCATTGCAGACGATATCTGTCAAACCGATCGGCTTGTGCAGCGGATCAAGGCCCGCTGACGATGCCCATGCACCTCACTTGACATCTCAGACTTGGCTATAATTATACTTACTATGGCTTTATGATGCTGCAGCGAGGAGCACGTGCGGTGCTACTGGCCGGCACTGATGCCTTTGATACGTCATAATAGCATCCTGTATAACTTAGTCTTTCTTACTTTCTTGCTTCGCCCATGTGCGTGTTGCTGAGGGTGGCTTGGTCAAATGACAACATAATGTATATATTATAGATGACAAAATTATAGCTAAACCAAGACTTGTGGCATGTGGATTTCCATCAGTCGATTTATAATGGGAATCACTAAAAATAACGTAGAAAAAAGGAATTCAAATGTTCATGCAAGAAACAGCTCAAAAGTCAATTTACCACATTCAATGTATATTGTGAAATATAAAAATTGTTTTTATTAATTTTAATACATTGTTACAATAGCGTTAAGCTCAACATGATTTATCAATATTGTAAAAATAACAAGTGATCTCACAATCTTTTCTACTGCAAATTTACATTCACTTAAACTTTACTATTTACTTAATTTACTATTTTCAAACGTTAAATTAAAAATGTTTAAATATAACAAGACAAGAACATAATAAACATTTAAATGAAATGATATTTTCCTTGTATCATGCAAACCTGTGATGTTACATCACAACATATTTCAACTAACATGAGCTTAATTTAACAAAACTATCCAAACGATACATAATAAAAAAAGTATTATTATTATTAAAGAATAGAAACAATTTTGAAACACTTTTCTATCCTTCCATGAAAGATTGTAAAAGCTTTACCAATACAGGCTTCGTCATCTTATTTAAATTCTTTGGATCAATAGTTGATTTAGAATTGAGTTTTAGAAAATTTTGCACTTTACTTTCTAAATGCTCTGCATTGTATTTTTGAGCAGCTAATAAAATTTGAATAGCATTTTCAGGGGACAAATTCGCATTTAACATTTTTCCACATTTGATTTTCAAATTTTCAATTTGATACTTATCGGCCACTGCTAAAATTTCTAGAACTACATTTGTTTTGGTACTTACAATATCACCTGTGTAAATGTATCTCAACATTTCAACCAGAATATTATAAGGTATATCAGTTATTGTAACATAATTACATTTTTTCTCCAACATGTCATGAGTAAACATAGCTTTAAATACTGGACTAGAAACAGCGAGTATAGCTCTATGAGCTGGGATATGATTTTCATCGGAAGTTATCAATTCAACATCGCTAAATTCTGTACTAAGGAACAATGAATCCAATTTCACGTTGTTAATTTTGTCATCTTTGTCGTCGATGATTTCAGAATCCAATGAAGATTCAAACCTCTTGAAAATTTCTATTTCACATCGAATAGTTACAGTATTTTGAGAAGAAATCAGATTATTAAGACTTTTCAAACTAAAAAATTTTTCGGAACCAGAGTATGGTTTGGTTGCAAAATCTAGGTTATACGTTCCTTTTCTAACCACTCTTTTATCATTAATAGCTGATAGTGTGCATCTACATAAGAGCTTATCCGGTTTTTTTGTTGCATCAGGTGTGAAAAGAACAGCTAAGCCAATGAATTCAGAAGTTTTTTCGTATATGCCTTGAGGATATAAGTGCAATTCGAAGCATTTATCATTGTCACTTTCAACGCCGAATTTTGGGGATTTTATTGCCTCTCCAACATTTAATTGTATTAAGCGATAGTTTTTGATCGTCCATGTGTAAATGCACTCCTTTGAAGTAACTGTAGTAGAGGCCTCTATCATTCGTTTTGATGACATTTTGATCAAATTACTTGTATAGTGTTGAGAAACTAATCAATTAAGAGAGAAACTTTTAGAGATGTATGCAATAACAAATGAAGAGGAAGTAGAAATTTTATATTCATCGCAACTCGCGTGAGAACTGAGCAGAATCAACTTACTCTGTAGGCACCGCCACTTGTCAGAAACGTGGCGACTACTTATTACCTAATAACCTTATATTCTTATGCTACCGCGCGCGGATGATTTGAGCTCAGAGTTGTAAAATTAAGGTTGAATTGAATTTGATTTTTATAATTTGAGTCCATGAAAAAAACATTGAAATTAATATTTTTTTCACTCCAACCCGTTAAATATGATTTTTTTGTCAAGAATCAATTCATTTCAGGAATTTCAGAATCAATAATAAGGTTTAAATAGTAAACTAGTCACGTTTAAGAAAATTTGGTTTATTTATTAGTTTTTTGCATTTGTACATAATTAATTATTCAAATAGGAAATGTTTAAAGTTATTTACCATTAACGAAGTTTAAATCAACACACATTTCAACATACATTTCAACATACATATTAGATGTAATTCAAAGCTATTTAATCGCACGCTGTTGGATAATTGTCATATATAGCACCTTAAAATTACGTGGATCCAGAAGTAGTAGACAAGTGATCTCGACACATTGGTCCGACCACCTGTTTCTCAAGTATTACAACGAAGATGAGGTTCTTTATTGTTTTCAAACGTTAATACAACTAGCACATCCTATTGTCCAGGGGAATTTCTCCTTGAATAAGGTTATGTCCTTTTAGCGTACTTACGGGAATATTCTCTTGACTCTGAACTACTTGTATTGGAGAATAATGGTTTTCACAGGTTGATGCATCTTCGGGCACTAGTTGATCGTGTCTCTTCAATCCTTTTCCTGACTCCAATCCAATCTCCTTTTTAAATGGGGCTTTGTCCTTCGTTGACATAGTCGCGATCGGTTGATCTCTTCGCCACTTGTGAATGTTTGGCCGTTTTATCAAATTTGGCCGATAGTTTGACCTATAATGATAATATAGCCGCGGTGAATGCTGCACGTCTCCTAAAATTTACGTGCTTTAGTGCATCTTTGATGTCATCGAAATCGAGTACTGTTAAATATGTGCACCCACCTAGCAGTGCATTATCAGCCATTGATACCGACCTATCAGCTAAACTCTCACTAAAAATCACCCATGTAGGATTCGAGGCTACCGCAGCCAAAACACGCGCAGCTTTCAAACGTATATCGACTCGTCGTCGATCTTTTGGCAGCGAATCGGCATAATATAATGGTTACGCGGTATCGCCGAGGAAGCGCAAACCGCCGGCGGCTGCAGCGAAGCCGATCGCGATCCCGTCGCGCTCGTCGAGGCATCTCTCTCCCATGAGTCGCTGGCTGAATAAAACGCGGGCCCCCTTATCTTATCTAGCGCTCGAGAAGAAGCCCCTTATCGCGTCGGCAGTCGCGGCCTCGCGCGTATACGCGTCGGAGAATGACACACAGTCACCTGTCTCGGCTCGTTGCTGCTCGTCGATCGTCGTAATCGCCTCTGTTCTCTCGAGTGTTTGCAAGTGTTTGTGTGTGTGTGTGCACATAGCCATGGCTCGGGCGGACGTTCTCATCGTCGTCGCTTGCCTCTGCCTGTGGGCCTTCTCTGCCTATGACCAGGTCGATGCTGCCGACGCGACCGCTACTGCGCCGAGCAACAGCAGCAGCAGCAGCAACACTACTGCACCACAGGAGCAGCCCCTGATCAAAGTCTGCCAAGTTTGCAACTGCACAGGTGAGTTGCCCGTCGAATAAAAACCGATTCGCGTTCGATTTCTCTTCGATACGAACCGATCTCTCCGTGGACGACCGGAGATCTACGCCTCGAACGACAATTAAACACGTCGCTTTCGAAATATTTGTATAATAATGTGGCCAAAAGCTTCGACGATGAGCTGGACGCGCGTCGCGCGTCTATAATCGTGGTAGATTATTGATTTTTCAGAGTAGATAAAACAAAGGAACGACAGATAAACAGTCGAGTGTTCGCTGATAGATAGTGTGACGCACCTTTTCACGCTCTAGGCCTTTGCTTTTATAATTGACTTGTGAAAACGTGTGCCGTTACACTCACACACACACACACACACACACACACACACACACAAGCACAAACATTTGGTTTGTATTCTACGAAAACAGCGATTGCGACTACACGAGACTCCATTTTTGTGGACGCGATGTAAAAGTAAGTTGTCAATAAGGACTTTTTATTTGTGCAGCAAAATCTGATGGACTGAATGCATATCTTGAGTTGGCGCAACGAGGAATCCTCCTTAATCAGCCAACCTACTTTTACTTTGCACCCACCAAAAAATATAGAGTTTTTTTAGTTAAACAAGCTGTCTTTTGGTATCGTGCCGAGTTTGTTTATCGTGCGTATAATCGTTACATGGAACTCGACTTATCCTACACCGAGTGATGAGCTATTTTGCGCGCTCGCTGACTCGACTCGCGACACACATACACACAGTCAACGTCCGGGATTATAATCGCTTTATCGATACCGCAGTCATTTCCTATTTTGCAATATTACACTTCAGCTATTTATGAATACATCGATGGAAAAAATGAGCGTGTGAATCATCACGGTATATTGATACGCTAATTCTTTACTTCTTAAAAAAACGATATCACACCCGAGCCAATTATTGAATATGCTCATTTTTTTCATCGATTTCCCTTAACTATGTATGTAATATAACAGAGCCTAAAAAAATCTATAATTTGCGCTTTTACAGATGACACGGTCGATTGCTCGAATCGCAAGCTGCAGAGCAATCTGCAAGATCACGAGTGGCCGACTCAGGTCCTGAAGCTGGTCTCGTTCGACAACAACGAGATAAAGAGCCTGAAGGCCTTCCCCGCGGCCAAGGTCGAGCGTCTGTCCCTCCGTGGCTGCGGCATCGGCCAGATCGAGCGCGCCTCGTTCAAGCTGCTCGACGGCCTGAGCGAGCTCGATCTCAGCCACAACCTGCTCAAATACGAAAACTTCAGTCCCAACTCGTTCGAGGGCAACTACAGCTCCAACGCTTACGAGCCGCTCGCCAAGCTCGAGTCGCTCAATCTGTCCTCGAACCTCTTCCACGCACTGCACCACGACATCTTCGAGCACGTGAACAATCTGAAGCGCCTCGATCTGTCGCACAATCCTTTCGAAAATTTCGACTCGCCGAATGCCGGTCAATCCATCGCCGGTTTGGTCCATCTCGAGTACCTGGACATCTCCTACTGTCAGCTCAAGACGATCAAAGATGCGATTTTCCACTCGTTCAGGTACGACACCGTTCATTCTTCTCGTGTACTATAAGCTTTCAGCGACGTTCAATAAATGTCGACCCTTCCATAAATAGGTACTTGAAGACGCTGAATCTGGCCGGCAACGAGTTTGTCGATCTGCCTCCCGCCTTGGACGATGCCCCCTGGATCGAGAGCCTTATCCTGGACAACAATCCGTTCGAGGTATTCAAAGAGGACCCCGTGGAGCCGCGCAAAAAGTTCCCCGTCATGCGAAGCTTGACCTCTCTCAGCTTGAAGAACATGACCAATTTGAAGATAATTGCGAACGGAGCCATGTCGAATCTACAAAATCTTCAAGTTCTCGTCATCGAGGGCTGCAAAAATCTCACCTCGATCGAGGAAGAAGCCTTCGCGTTGAAGGTAAGAAATCGGTCTTTCCTTTTTCGCATTACGACAGCTTTACTATAACACTGGCTTGATTTTCACAGAGCAACGAGAGCTACGTCGTGTGGCCAAAACTCAAGACGCTCAACATATCCGGGAACGCGCTGCGCTATCTGCGATCTGGCTTGATCGCTCGATGGGACGACGTGAACGAGCTTCACGCGCTCGGCAATAACTGGAGCTGCGACTGCGAGAATCAGTACTTCGTACGTACAATCCCTTAATTATAGTCACGCGTTTAATGCGCAACAACTATATCTTATATTCTATCTCCGACAGATCGGCGATCTGCTGGCGAAAGAAGGCAAGCGTCTGATGGGCGACGAGTACGGCAAGCTGCTGTGTTCGGAGCCGCCGGAGCACGCCGGCAAGAGCCTGGAGTCCCTCGGTGGCCGGCAATTGCGCTGCCTCGACTACTACGGCGCCCGGCCCGAGAAGGACGCGATGCTGCTCGTCGGCGTGCTGGTCGGGGTGCTCGTCGCCATACCCGTCTGCATCGTCATCTACCTGTTCTGGAGGCGAGGCTTCTTCTTCGTCGGCAGCCAGAGCCCGGCCAGCTTCTCTCGGGCTTTTTACAGGAGGGCGCCGCCTTACAGCGAGGAGAACCACTTGTAATTTGTTTGTGTGTATACGAGTATGTGTAGTATGTGTAGTATGTGTGTGTGTCTGTGTGTGTTCCAAGAGACGATGGTCGGAAACGAGCAGCCGGTCGTTTACGTCGATTATGCTCTAATTATGATAATTAAAAATTCTTTGTTATTACTTGTATACAATTATGCCGATCACAGAACTTTGACCGATTTTATATTTGCGTGTAAATGCCAAAGATAGAGAGGAGCTGGTGTCAGCTAGGAAATATTTTAATATCGAAATAAACATTGCGTTGAAATTTTACTCAGAAAATATTCATCACATTATTTCGTCTTATTTCTGCCTTCCTAGTATAACATATGATAACAGATCAAGAAATGAATGTATAGCGATTGCGCTTATGCTAGCCGAGTGCGTATTGCATATTACGACAAGCATCTCGTGCATGCCTTTACTTTTTGGATTTATTTTGCTATAAATTTGTTAAACTAAGGATCGTAGAAAGATAGTAAAAAATGTATTCTTTGGGTTGAAATTCTTAACATCAATGATAGTCTGATGACTGACATCTGACCATATAAAATTTTATTAAATATGTTGTAACAATTTATTGGTTTGTTCCAGGGCCGTAACCAGAAAATTTTTTTTTGGGGGAGGGTTATCTGGGTTACTTATGGAGCTTGGGTTACCAATACCATTAGTATAAAAGGTAAAATCAAAAGTTTCGGGGGGTCAGAACCCCCGTCCCCCCGCTGGTTATGGCCCTGGTTTGTTCTTAACAACTTTTTTTATTACATTTATCTCGCAAGTATGAAACGCATTTGTAAATGGCTTGAAATGATAATTTAATTGTTTGAGAAAATTTAGAACAGTTGTCAACCATTTCAATATGATGATATTATTTTAAGACGCCGTCACAAGGTGGCGAATACTTTCATCTGTAAATCTGCAAGTGGTAACGTTAAAATAGTTGTATATAAGTCTTTCAATAATAGAACAGGTTTACAAACTCGTGATTATGTCTCCCAGAATACTTGCAGTAAAAAAATTTCAAACGTGCATGGCTTTCAAACCCTCTTTTCTTCAACACTACTGTACATGATAAATTCGCGTAGAAAAATTAATTTGAAGCGAGTTCAATCATCGAGCTGAAAAGCAATAAAATATTCGGGTTGGGAATGTCATTATACATTCAAGCAGCGTGCTCCATGGTAGGTCGCGCGAAAAGAACTTTTCTGCGCGAGTCTTCATTATTCATCCTTGAAAAATGTTGAAAAAAGTAAGCTAGTCGTTCTCAGATTTTTCAATGGAAAATTACGGGATAAATTCTGAAACGCCCTACACTGTTTGTGAAAGACGTCGCTATGAATAATAGAAAGAAAAATTATCATTGGCACAAAGTTATAACGTGTGAGCTTATGTGCGTTATACCGTCAACAATAACGCACATTTCTCTATGCTCTTATGTTTGTACCTGCACATGCTCTCCAAAGAACACAGAGAGTTTACACGCATTGAGTCTGCCGGTGTGCGAGTATACCCGGGTAAACTGAGAACGGCAATCTTAATGAGTTTAACCGATCGATCGAGCAGTAATTTCGGGGGTCGTCGAAGGTATATAGGCACTAGCTCGTATTCATATTATAATTACTAGCTTGTACACAGCAGCGTTAGTTAGGATGGCAGATAAGGATATGTGCGAGCAGCAGCAACGACAACAAAGAGCCCCGGCCGGTGGTCGCCGCTGCTCATCGTCATAGTGTGGATGGCCAAGGCTCAAGGCTGCTGACGCTGCAAGAGGGCCGGCCAGAGTGGGAGTGCGGTCAGCACGACTCCGTGCAGTGTATGCCGAATATATACGGTGGCGAAGCATAGATTGCGGTGGCCAGGCGAGTAACGCAATTAGCCGCGCCCGGTTAATTGACTAGACGATCGCTCTCGCTCGCCACCAGTTTCTCTCTACTCCGCGCCAATCAAGCTCGACGCTCCTCTCTCTTTCACTCTCTCGCTCTCTCTTTCTCAATTATGGCGAGTGTTTGTGCAAGTGTGGGTGTGTGTGTGTGGCGTGTGCTGCTGCACTCGATCGACGCCACGCGCCGGTCGCACGTCTAGCTTATATAGAGCATTTAATTTATAAGTACGACACGATCGCGGCCATCTCGATGAGCAACGTCTTTTATTTCCCTCTTTACGTAGCATAGATTCTACTGTCTCACTTGGACTTGCAAGTCTTTGTCTCTGCTTCGTGCACGATGATCTTGAGCTGTGAACATTCGTACTTGAAAGAAAGCTTCATTGCTGCAACGTTATCGCTTCTGCGTTATAGTTTTTGTGACTTTGAACTTGATTTTGATTTTCATGAAATTACATCAAGTTTACTGCATTTAGGTAAGTTATATAAGCACGCGATGAGTATAAAAATACCAAACAAATACACTCGCATTCGACAAAGGTCGAGCGAAACTTAAAGACTCTTTTAATTTTTCATGAAAACATTAGCGTGATGAATCCAAAATCCTAGATGATAATTTCTTTTTACATCTTTTAATAAATTGTACCTATACATCGAAGAATAGCTAAACTATTGAATTATTTATAGAAAGAGGACATTGTACTCGATCTAGGAAGATTTTCAATAAATTTTTACTTCAATAAGTTTTAATATAAATTTAGTACAAAAAACCATTATGCTAGCATACTCAACTTTTCCTAAAAATATAACAATTATTACTTCCTTTTCATGTGAAGAAATTTCACTACACATTGATGTAAATGTTACTCTATCATAAGCGAATAAAAAGTAATTAATTAAAGGCGCACCGAGCACCCTGACAACGAGCTAGTTTGACACATAAAATCCATAAAAGCTCATAAATTGTAGATCGTCGGCCGCGATAGCAAAAATATACGAGAGCAAACGACGGCACACACGGATCAGTAAGGAAAAAAGCGTCGAAGCAGGTTGGCAAATGACAATTCGTCGATCGGAGACGAGCAATCACCGACAGTTTACAGACGTGATGGCAGTATATGTACATACGTCGTTGGCAAAACGAACGAGCGCCAAGACGAACGACGACTGCGTAAAACGTCGCGCCCGCGAATATCTCAATTTAATCGCGCCGTGTGCCGTGCGTCGCATGGCGACGACTATACTCGAGTATATATAACAGTACGCGGACCGTCGCCGAGTGGGATACGCCCCCTCCGCGCGCGGAGCTGCTCGAGGCCTCGCTACATCGCAGCACACACCTACCGTCTACGTCGCGCCCGACCGGGGGAAGGGGACGAGCTGAGCCGAGCGACGGCCTCCTCGCCGAAGCTGCCTCGGCCAATCGACGCGCGGGCCTACGCTGCGCATGCGGCGCGCCGCCAACTTTTCCTATAGTCACTGGCTTTTGCAGTCTCTCGGGTCGGCCGAGCCGGCACGTGTGTATCTCGTCGTCGTCGTCGATAGTTCAAGTTTCGCACCGACGATATATATATTTTAGCCGTCGACAAAAGTTTCTGCTGCTGCTACTGATTGTCTGGCTGGTGTTGCGCGACGACGACGATCGTTTAAGGGATGAGGTCGCGGCGCTCGAGCGCCGAGGACGCGTCCGAGGGACGTCCTGCTGTCTCCCTCGCTCCCTCCGTCAGTTACTCATACTCCTCATAGGTTGCACTCTTTACCTCTCTCTCTCTCTCTCGCTCGCTTCCTCTAGCGTTGTCTTTTGGCCTTTTCTTGCCGTGCCTTCGAGTCTCCGCAAAGTTCGGTGGTGTGCAGTGGACTCCCGCAGCATGTATAAAATATCCCAGTGACGGTGTTTCGTGCATTGGTCCTTGATTAAACCAAGTGAGTCCTTCAAAAGTGAAAAAAGCTCGCGAGATTAGCGTAGCCGGTCATCGCTCGGAGTGCAGCCTCTCTTTCTGGGGGAGGAGGGGCTCTATACAGCAGGGCTGCACAGATCGATCGTCCGTCTAGCGCATCGTGTCGTCGAGCGACAGATAATATAATAATAATAATAATAATAATAATAATAATAAGTCGGCAGTGAGGATAATCGACGCGCCAGTGAGTGCGGTTGTGCAAGCTCGCGAAAAAAGCTCCGAGATATGTGAGCGCCCGTTCGATGCGACGCAGTGCCGAGTGCTTCGACTGAAAGTCGATTCGCCTAGGAGCTCTCGTGTAAATCCTTTATTAGTTAGATACATTACGTGGTGTACAAAGTGCGTCGACTTTGGCCGTTTCATCCTCGATTCTTATGCTGCTGGATTTGGATTGTCGGCTCAATATGATAACCAAGGGTAATTATTCAACTTTCAGCTATACGAGCGACTTCAACTGTGTAATTTGCTTCCGTATCTAGTATACATACTTCAAATCCAAAAGAATAAAATTCATCGCGTTATAGAGTAGCATATTGTACTTTATAAAAAGCTACGGAAACACGATTTAAACTTTTTTCCACGGGTTTTCAAAGAGTAATCTGAGTGAATTATATCGACAAAAGTGCCGCAAGCGCAAATTACTCTTTTGAAAAAGTTACCGAACGCAAAAAAAGTGATATCCTCATTAAAAAAAAAGAAGATTTCACGCTAAAAAGCAGTTGAAGCTTTGTTGAAGGTGCATGCGATATAGCAATTGCTCTCTCCAATCTTCGATGCGATTTATTGATTGCGCACACCCTGACGAGCTTTTATACTGGTCGCAAGCTCCACAGTTCGTTGAGCGCTCTACAACGTGTCTTCCTAGCAAATTAACTATTTACGCAATTCGCAAAAAAAATCCTGGTAATGAAATTGTACTCGTTCAGAAGCGATGCAGCCATCTTGTCAGCAACAGCAGCAGCAGCAGCAACAGCAGCAACAGCAGCAGCAACAAATCCAGCGAGCCTACCCGAGCAGCAGCGCCGGTCACGGGGGCAGCAGCTCGTCGGCGGCTGCCGGCCGCACCTCCTTTCTCATCGAGGACATCCTGTCCAAGGGCAGCGCGGCCGTCGCCGTAGCCGCCGCGGTGGCCGCCGTGTCGGCCGCGAGCTCGACCACGGCGCCGAACGGCAACAACCGGGACAGCAGCGGCGGCCACCACGGCAGCGACGCCTCCAGCAATAATCACAACAACAACAATATCAGCCACGCGAGCAATCATCATTTGTCGTCGTCGTCCTCGTCGACGCATCCGCATCACAGCTTGACCTCGTCGCACCAAAGTCAATCTCATGCGGTAAGTCGTAGTACTCGCAAACGCGCATCTTCGATTATGTGCGAATAAAAGAATTTAGAAAATTTTCAATTTTGTGAAATAGCTCTAGACTTTAGGTATTCTCCAATATTAAAAATTACATTCATTGTATAAGCTACTAATAACACATACGCTCGTAAGCCAAGTGCATTGATGTTATCCATTCTATATTACGCACGAAATAATACAATTTTTGCAAGTTTATTCATATCATTTGAATAAGTGGAAATCTTATTATTTTCTTAGCTACTCGTTCAACGCCGAGTCAAGATTAAATCTGATTTTTGGGATTAGATTTGCAATTTGTTAATCGTATCTTCGCTACTGTCGAGCAATTCCGTAATCAAATAGCGAATTTATGTACGATCCATTCGTCGGTGAATCAGTCCTTGCGCTTTTACACCACGGAGTCTTTTTTATTAAAAAACAAATCATGCACCTCGAATAATTCTCTTCAATTACTGAAAACGCTAAACTAGATTTTGAATAGAACGAAATTTGAATCATATTTAAACGAAAAATTCACATTGCTGTAAAAGAGACCGACGGAAATTTTTTTTTTAACACTGCATGCGCGAATCACGGGTTTTCTAACCTTAAAGCGTCAGAAAACCCTAGTTTCTCGCAAGCAGAGTTAAAAAATATCGTTTGCAACTAGTCCGCGAGGAAATTGACTCACCCAGGAATCTTTGCACCCTCGCTACGCTCGGGTGAAAACAACTCCTGGATGAGTCAACTGCTTCGCGCACTTGTTACAAAATATACTATTATTTTTGTTGAGAAAACCGACACAAGTTGATTTTGTATAACTTTTTCATCGAATATTGCTATTTTCACTATTGGCCTTCTCTCGGTATATGAAATAGAGAAAAATCCTCGATAGGTAGGCCAATTATTTTCTGAATCGCAAGCGAAAGATAGGACATCACAGGAAATATGTCGACTTTATTTTATTTGACAAATCTTTTTGACTCGAGTATTTGAACTTCAAGTTAACAGCCGTGATGTATTATCAGAATGTAACTTGGATTCTCTGGTAGAAATAATCAACACTTTTTTGCCAGCTTTTGATCAACGAAAAAGTTGCTTGAACAAAAAAGGGGCATCAGAAGTGGACCTAACTATCTCAAATAAGATAAAAATGAAATGTATTCAAAACATTATATACGATTATTTTAACTTTACCACTTGCAGTTTAGTTTAGTTTAGTAAGTTTTTATTGGCATCATAGTTGGTATACATTGCCATAACGCTGCTGTTACCACTTGCAGTTTTGTACATAACATTACTCGCCATCTAGCGGTAGAGAATCAAATTAGTTGTACTTAAAGTGGCTGAAAACTGGACTAAATGTTTGTAAAAAAATTGTATCATTATTTTCAAGTCATTTCAAATGCGCTGAATATCAGTAACATAATTTAAACAAAAAAAATCTTCAAAAATAACCCAATGAATCTTCGTGAAATTAACATTTTAAATAGTATAATTTGTTGACCATTAGACCATTATTAATGTTGATTATTTCTATCAAAGCTGCTTATAATTTTCTCCTCAATTTCTTTTATTAATAAAACAAAGATGAAAAATTACCGTATTCATTGTTGGCCGAATGAATTCGATTACCATTCATTCGTGACGGTGCAGGCGTGCGAAGTTTTCGAAATTGAATAGTTTGCTGATTATCGCCCGTCATTATTCGCGCACCGACGTATTTGTAACTGAGAAAATGAATAATTTTTCGAACATTTATGCAGTACCAACAGTTCGCCATCAACAATCTGCTGCCGGCCTATCCGACGGCACCACCCGGTGCGGCGGCGGCCTTCTTCCTCGGGCCTCTGTTCGGTGGCGCCGGTATGGGCGTCGGCGTCGTACCCGGCGTCAGCGAGCTCGCCGCGCTCAAGCACTGCCGTCGGCGCAAAGCTAGGACGGTTCGTACCCAATGAGGCTTACATTTTACAACGAATAAATATTGGTTGCTTCGAAAAGTAACGCAACTACGATTGCCATTACGGCGACTGCTCTTTGTCCTCTCGCGAACAGGTGTTCAGCGATCACCAGCTGGCCGGCCTCGAGGCGAGATTCGAGGCGCAACGCTACCTCAGCACGCCGGAGCGCGTCGAGCTCGCGGCGGCGCTCAATCTGTCCGAGACGCAGGTCAAGACCTGGTTCCAGAATCGACGCATGAAACACAAGAAGCAGCTGCGCAAGCTCAACCAGGGCGGCGGCGGTGGCGGTGCCTCGTCGCAGACCAACTCCAGCCAGAACTCGGCCGGCAGCTCGACCTCGGGCGGCACGAACGTGTCCGGCGTGGGCGGCGTCGCTCGCTCTCCGGCCGGTGAGTTGACACTAGTCGCATCTTACTATTATTATGATCGTTGCTTTAAATTTATTCGTGCCAATTGCGACTGTCTCGCTCTCTTTTTGCTTTGCTTGCCCCAAATAAATTGACAACAGAGATAACAGTATATTATATAGCGTTAAATCTATAAAAAATGGTTCGAAATTCGAAGAAATAATTAGATACTTTAATCAATCGTATTATATCGTAATCATCAACTCGCTGCGTACAAAATTTGCCAATGTTTCTCTTCTACTTTTTTAATCATTCGTGCAAATACCGACTTCGGGAAAATAATAAGATACTTGTAAAGCATGGTAATTACATTCATCGAGAAAGTTAAGTGCGATCATAAACCCACCATCGCTATTTTATTTCGTTTGTGCCTTACAATTTCAATTCGAGAATGTAACTTGAGATTATTTTCTGTATTAATATTGGGTCTCCAGTATTGAGATTACGGCACACAAACATTACGACTTCTGTGTGATCGCAAATCATCGTTACGTTTGATTGTTAAAAGTTTGATTTTAGAAGTGAATACATCTCTTTAGCTTTGTGTGTAATCAATCTCTTTTCTCATCACGTAAACAAATCGATAAAGCAAAAAAAACTTATTGGATCAGTAATGTCTCTGAATGATAATGGTGTTAACATTAGAAAATTGATTCCATTAATCGAAAGCTTGAAAATTTTTAAAGTTGAATATTTAATTCCATGATTTTCAAAAAATTGTCAAACTTAATTTCTTTTGTAGTAATCACGTACTAATGTTTATTGAGTTCATTTATTAACGATAAATTATATTATTATTTAGCTATCAAATTGATAATCATATTAAATAGTCAATTATTGATTTTGTGTAAAAAAAAGAAGAAATAATGACTTTCTAACATTAATAGTTTTATGAAATTTTATGGTATGTTTAAAAAAAGGAAAAATGATTTTTATAAGTACTATTGTACGTATAGTTTTTACTCTACTTCTGATGTTTAATTTTTCTTGTCCATAATGTAATCTGTCCTTAGGAATTGCCCATTAAAACGCCATAAAATCATTTAGAAATATTCACAATTAATATTTCAACAAATTCAAAAGGAATATTTTAAAGCTACAAAATTCACCTTTTAAGTACAAAAATCATCTCATTACGATCGAAGAACTTTACTTGTGACTTTTAAGACGCTGAAACATTGATTTTATATTTCGTAAAATCAAATTACCCTTCTGTCTTGCGAAAAAAAAGACATCAAGGCACGCGAGTATAACAATTAGTACCGTAAATGGAGAAAGAAAACACGCGTTAGACACAAGATCGCGTAATCGTTGTTGTTACAGTTAAATCGGACTTGTAAAAAACGGTTTGGATATTAAGTAATAATAAACTTAATTTTTCTCCAAAAGTGTATTAACTTTTACAAAACTTAAATATTGTTTTTACATTGTAGGAACTCATGATATTCATCTTCATTCCATCGTCAAATTGACTTTTATGATTCTCGTTACATTTTTGTATAATTGGTAAAATTTTTCATCTATCTTATAATGCAAGTCGAACGAATCTGGTTCTGTGTTCCATGGTTCCATTCTGGTTCGGGCGATCAACACTATCGCATAGTTTTTCTAATTCATCAACGTTTATTTTCTCGAACAGACGAAATAGTTCCTCGTAACCCATATTTTTTGCAACTTTTAGGCGAAGGATGTGCGGAAGATTCAACGAGCAATAATCAGTCATGAAAAGATCGGCTGACAGAAATTCCAAATCCAACATCAGCCTTATAGCAATGTTTGAGAGGTGTCTCCTTACAATGAATCTCGCGAATGTACTTCTACACGTTAAGTTATCCATTTGTGGGACACGCCAATTTTTTATGTTCTTCAATATCGAGTAACCCTCGTTGTAGTTCATTTCACAAAGTTAATGGAGCGAGACGTCTTTGGTTATCTTGATGTTTTTTATTTTCTCAACTTCTTCCCCTTTGGTCATTCGAAAATATTCATAATCTTCTTCCTCTTCCTCTGTTGTTATCCATGATGGGAGTCTATAGTTGCGCCAGAAATTTGGAATTTTTGATCTTAACTGCTCGCATTGTTTGCTCATGTAATCTTTAACTTCTGGTTTCATATAAAAGCCAAATTCGTCGTGAAGAAGTAGTTGATCAGCGATCTGAACAAAAATATCGACATCTTGATTCTTATCACCAGCTAAATAATATGACTCACTGGTATCTTTCACTAACATACGGTCGAAATCGTTACCATGAATCCTTGTCCAGCATTCGACCATTCTGAGTTTCGTGTGGAAATCCATTTTGTATCCAGCCGACTGCAACAATTGCATCACCTCGATAATGTCCAACGACAAAGCGTACGTCGTCAATTCGAGCGACGAGAAATGTTGAATGAACATTCGCTTCTCGTTCAGACTGCTCAGTGACACTCCGTGATCCAAGAGCGACTTCGTGAGGGCGACGTCGAAACGCATCACCGCCGACTGCAGCGGAGTATCTCCGTAACGATTTCGCGCCTCCAGATTGGCTCCGCTATCGATGAGAATTTTAACGAGCTCATCGACTGGTACATGTCAAGATTGACGCTCACGCCTTCGCTCAAAAATTTCCTCACAGTTCTTACATCGGCCACCATGCAGGCTGCGTGAAAGTACGTGTAACCATGAGCGTCTCAGTAGTTTTTTCGGAAATAATATGGAGAGAAATCTTGCTGTGGAGGGTTCAGAAACATATCTTCAATGAGAGATCTATTGGTTATCTTTATCTTCCTTTTCTGCGTCGATTCGAATCCTTCAGCTAAATAATGCACAGCAGACTTTCCATCTTCGAATATGAACTCGTGTATATCAAAATTATCGAGAGCTTCCATTATGTTCTGTTGTTTTTTGTCCAAAGCATATTTAAAAAAAAATATTTTATCTTCGGCACTGGGAAAAAGGCTGTGGTCATTTATTAATTTATATAAAGAAAAGCGCAACCGACCATCATTTTCGTATAAATAGCAAAATTCTTCACGTCTAGCACTCACTGCATATATGACGTATTCCACGCTCGACCAGACGGTACGCCCGCGCGGGTCATTTTTTAATGTATCGCAACTTTTCTAACTCGCCGTGGCTGGCGCAATTGGGCCTGGAAAAATATTGCACACATGCATTCCGATAGATTTTTGTCTGTTCTTTCCAATGGTGGTATCAGTTTTTCAAAAAAAGTTAATTTTCATGGAGAAAATTGACTTCAAAGTTAACTCAATTTTTCGGCAAATTTACCCCCTTCGATTTTGTTCGAAGCTATCTCAATCGAAAGGTAATCTAATAACAAAGGTCTGTATAAAATTTCAAGTTGGAGACTCAAACGGTTCAAAAGATATGAACAATGAAGTACTGAAAAACGTGGTTTTACGACGACGCACGAAGTAAACAACAGAACGAGCTCAGCTCTGTGCTCTTCACTAGTTTTCCTCGAATTTCGAAATTATCAATGGTCAAAACAAAGTCATTACAATTCATATTATTGGAAAAATAACATTATGTATCTCTTGTCTAATAAAACTAGTAAAAAATTTTCTATCAATGTTGCATACGGGAAAATGAGAAATCAAAAATTGATTCCACGCATAGCGAACTGATGAAGAGTCTAGTATACGATATAAAAGAAAAGGCGTGAAAGGTCAGCGCTTTTGAGAATAATAAATATACTTACAAGGCAGTTGATTCAGTTGCATATGCGCGACAGCTGTCACTACACGACTATACGGTAAAATAAATCATTAGACCGGACCTCGATTAAAGTGCGCGCGTACTACATATCAAAGGCCGAATTTAACCGGGGCTTTTATTCGAGCTAGCGTTGGTGCGGCAATTTTGCAGCACGTAAGTACTGTACCAGCAGCAGCAGCAGCAGCAGCTTCTAACGTTTAGCGTCTAACGTCTCTGCGGAACGTCTTGGCGGCGTTCTCGAAGCAATCGTGCGCGCACACGTACATACGCGTCCAAGACTCGTCCAAGTCGTATATTATATATAAAACGAAGTCGAGTCGAAGATGGCGCGGGCGTGGCCATCCTAAATCACTTATGCTCGTACTTGTAGTACATGTACGTATACATGTAGGAACGACGTGCACTTTCGAGCCCAAAAGAGAGAGCGAGAGAGAGAGCTACATCTTACTATATAGGCTGCAACCAGCCACTTTGCCGCTGCAAACAAGAGGTAGCAGCCCCCTATATGCGATAATATACACATAGGCGCGCGTGTCTTCGGCCAAAGGCTCGGTAATTGTGGCTCAATCGGGCCCTGATTGAATTCGATCTATACCATATAATGCAAGGCACGAGTATCTATTATGCATGCGTATAAGCTATAACATACGACGCATACGATTTAAACTCGTAAAGCATCGACTCGTTGACCAAGGCGCGATCGTCGCGATCGTATTATTGTTGTGTTGCATGTACACGACGGACAGAGCGACCGGTGGACTTTTCGCTGAGCGGCCAGCTGGACCGCGAGAGCCACGACTCGAGCGACGGACTGGCCGACGACACGGACGAGGACGAGATCGACGTGCTCGGCGACGAGAGCCCCGGCTCCATCAAGTCGGCCCAGCAGCAGCAACTGCGTCGGCGCTCGCCCACGACACCGGGCGGCGGTGGCCTCTCGTCCAAAGATCAAAGCAGCGCGGCGGCCGTGCATCTGAATCACCCTCGACCTCTGCAGCCTCACCAACACAGCCTGCATCATCACCATCATCATCATCATCATCATCAGCAACAACAGCATCATCTCAATCACCATCAGCAACAGCAACAACAGCAGCAGCAACACAACTTGCATCAGCAGGTCATTGGACTGGCGCACTTGCAGCGGCTTCACCGCTGATACTGATGATGATATGCGTCGTGCCTGCTGCTGCCGTTATAGTCACATATACGCGTGTACGCCTGAAAACGAGCCATATTATATAAATACGCTTGTGTCCGATATCATGTAATATATAAAATAATAAAATACGGAATATAATTTATACGTAAAAAAAAGGAAGATTAAGACCATATTGTCTCTTGTGGAGCTTTTCTATACGCACATGTTTAAATGAGCTCTCGGACATACGTGGATAGGATTTTTTTTCAATTGGAAATTCAAAAATGGTCGATCGAATTCTTAATCATAAATAATTGTAAGTCGATCGGAATCGCAACGCCAGACTTTATATCACCACGCGGATGAGCAACCAAAAATGTAATTCTCATAATGCCCTAGTCATTAGTCAAGTACGCAAAGGCTTACAATGTATATAACAAGTGGCAACATTTGTGCATGATCGGACTGACCTTTAATGACGAAAAGAAAATTCAAATATCTGTTGTGCAATTCTCAGACCAATCTCTTAATTGTCAGTCTGACTTACGCGTAAGGATTGAATTCATTGTTTTTCAAGCGAGCCTGAATACAGAGTCAATCGGCAATAATGAAGTCAACTTGACTCGCTCTTTAATATTTTATTTTTCCATTAATCACAAGCTCGATTCTAAGTTGTTCGCGCGTGCGAGTCACGGAGACGTTGCAATCAGTGCAATTTCAGCAATTGATTATTATTACTCTGTTTTATTTATTATACATAATATTAGTCGTACGACATAAGTATAAAAAAATATAAATATATGTAAGTAAGTGAAAATATATTTCGTTCGGTTTGACACATTGAATGTCTTTTGTATAAATTTATTTAAATTTGATATTCATGTATCTATTAAAGATTGCAGAGCTTGAAAGAAAGTCATTGGAACCGCGGAGGCAGCAGCAGATGAGACGCGACCGTCTTCGAATAAAAGGTGAGTAGATAGAATAGCCAATAAAGCTGTAAAGATCCGAGTTGGTCGTAAAAGCTGTCCCACTACTTGATTATTGCGGTAAGAAGGGAGGTAGTAAGGGGCCTTGTTTTCTGCATCGGCACACGACCCATCGGTATAACAGTGCCTCGTAATAAAGTATCGTACAAAGAAATAAAAGCACCTGCCCCCGCTGAACAATGCAGCAGCGATTTTATACATTTAATTGAAGACACAATCGAAAGTCGGGATCGTGCGCGCTCGCGCGAGTCGAGTCAGCGAGTAAAGCAATGCGCGCGAGCGAGCTTAAAGCTCTCGTCGTCGTGGTCGGGGCTATTGGAAGCCATGGAGATGTATAGAATTACGGAAATAGCGGAAATACGCGGCGGGGGCCAATCGACAGAGAGTGAGTGAGAGAGAGAGAGTCGAGAGCTTACGCGTATATAGTGGAGAGATTGTCGAGTGTCGCGCGCGCACTTGCGCACTTGCGTACTTGCGCGCGGCAGCCTGCAATAAGCCGCGCATATATATAGCCGTCGAAGGGCCGGAAGCTGCGCACGGTATCGAGCTGGCGGCGGCGGCTACAGAGGCAGCAAAGGGACATGCGACACGATGGGATGTCTATATATCCTATCTCTCTATTGTACGCAAAGTATATATGTATATAATGTATGCTATAGGTAGCTATGTATAATCGAGACGCGACGAGTGTTATTATTAAGGGGTTCGTAATCCCCTTCATGCCCGTGAAGAGCGGCGGCGACGACAAGCGAAAAAGAGATGGAGAGATAAAGAGAGAGAGAGAGGCGAAAGGCTACGAAGCTGCTGCTGCTGCCGTTGGTGATGCTGGGCGCGTTCAGCCATCCGTGGCGTGGAATGCGGCGAAAATAATGAAATAAAGGCACGTACAATGAGCGTATAGCTGCCCTCGGCTCCCAGGCAGCAGAAGCGACGCCAGGTACATCGGGGCACACGCGCACATGCATACATTTAGCCCTTACACACGTATACAGCCTGGCATTGCTATAGCTATATACATAGAGGTGCGCGCCAATGGAGGGTAGGAGGGAGGGGGAGACTGAATTAAGCTAAATTTAGTGGGCGTATTCCATTTATTTTCATTATTATTTTGATAGGGGGGCTAGATAAAGAGAGCGAGAGCTATATAACATAGAGAGAGAGAGAATAAGAGCATCTGGCTTGTAATCAATGATTATCGCGGAGCACAAAAGTGGCGTCCAATTGGGCGCCTAATGTACACACGCGACACACGGGGCATAGCTGTTGCCTCGCTTTAGTAGCTTTATACACGTGTATATTATAGGTGCTGCAGCGCTTTGTTCGACTTGATTCTCGGTGTACTACATCAAGGGGGTGACAGACTCTCAAAGTGGCCGCTGCGCCGCGTTTTAAAGAATGCACCGTGCCGTGCACATAAACATACGTAGTAGTAGTACCCACTGCATACGAACGTATATAACACGAGTTGGGCGTAGGTCGATCGCGAGCGACACGCGTCTACGTATAGCAGTGCGTAGCTGTCGAGGATCAATCGGACCCAATTGGCCGACGCTAAAGCGATAAGCCCGCGGGCCATCTCCTCCCTCTCTTTCTCTCTGTCGACTCTTGTACTCGGGGCTTGGCTTTGAATCGGAAATTTAATAAAATTCAATAAGCACACGCCGAATGAATATGTAGCGAAACGTATAACATGGTCATTGCTGCTTGCCTCTTGCTGAACTTTGGCTTTGATTTCCGTGCACACAATATATAGAGTCTCGCGCACCAACCCCGCACGCGTGTCTACAGCCCCTTGTTACGCGTTTTTATCCTAGTCCTCGTCGTCTTCTTCGTCTTCTTTCGATTTCGCCGTTTATCACGACCATCTCGAAAGCTATGTGAGCATCTCGACGATCGGTGCTTCTTCTGTGTAGTTGCCACGCTCCAATTATAACGACGTAGCGCCGCACCGCCGCTCACCTTTCCCGCAAGTGCAGTAGCGAATAAAACATCTCGACGCGTCCGCTCGTAACATGTCGTATCGCTTTCGGATTTCGTCAAATTTCGACAAATTGGCGGGAATTATCATAGATATATTAACTCAGCGTAGTGTATGCTTTACTCTACGCAAACTTTAAGCGCGCTGATCCCCAATTAAAGGCAATGAGGCTTTTTATATATATAGCGAGGATAATCTGTGGACGTCGCGGCGCGTCCCGAGCTTATGTATTTACGCGACTGCGATGGGGGTAGTAGTAGTTCGTCGCCGCATTTGTCGCGTTTCGTATTACAGCAGCACCAACAGCAGCACAAGCAGAGCCTTGCGCGCTCGTTAAGTCGTGGAATCGTCGGGTGCGCGGGTGGATATATATATAAAAACGTCGAGGCCGCAAGCTCGACTGTGGCGCGAGCTAAATCCCCGGCACTAGGCGGGCTCAGAGTCACGTCTCTCTCTCTCGTATACAATATAAAGCAACGAGTGCAGCAGCAGCAGCAGCCGAGTCAATTAGCGCCGGATCGAGGCTCGTAGTCGTCGTCGTCGCGCGTGGCGTACGCGTGTCGCATTATGTCTAGTGCGCCGCGCGGCCCGGCGATAGGCAGCTCTTTATCTCTCGACTATACTATATAGCAGAGCGATGTCGAGGCTAGCGTCGCAATTTAGGAAAATCGCGAATAAAAGCGAGGCGAAAAATTACGGCGATATAATAATATAAAGTAAACGTCGCGCGCGAGTCACGCGATACCGAAGAACTCTTTATACTTCTCTTCGGGCGCGTAAACTGCAGCTCGTAAGTAGGAAACAAGCTCTATAGGACGGGGGTGTCGTTGTGTAGAGGAAGCCTTCGACCCTTCGGGCCGCCCCGTGCAGTCTGCGATGCAAAATTCAAAGTGTCTTGCATACTATGTAAGAGTACCGAGAGGCAGGTCGTCGACGAGGGCGGATAGAACAAGTAGAAGAGAAAAATAAAGAAAGAAACAAATTTTTTGTGTCAAGAAAAATAAAGGACACGAGTGGCTGCTCTCTCTCTCTCTCTGTAGGCTGTCGAGTCGCTTCTTCAGTCTTTACTTGTGTTAAACGTTGTTGACGGCCCTGTGTGCGCGCAATGAATTTTACGAGGGCCCACTCGAGCTTTTTCTTCGCTTCGTATATAATACGAGCCAGAGCGTCACCGGAGAAGAATCGCTCGTACACATGTGCCCTACGTATATATTATAGCTGCATGTATACGATATAATATAGTACGTAAGAAGCAGCGCAGTATTTTACAGCATTATATAATAGGAAGTATGTGTGTGTATAGAAGAGAAGCTGGGTATCGTGCGGTGTTGTCGCCGCTATTATTACAAGACGAGAACAAAAGTTTAAGCCGCGCGCTCGATACGAGCAAAGATGGCCCGTGTACGACGACTTTATAATAATGACGATCCGCGCATTGATATACCTGCGCGCGCGATCACGACGAAAAGACGAGCGAAGCCACCCTCTCGTCTGCTGCCCCCCGGAGTGAGTGAGAGAGAGAGAAAGAGCTCCCCCCCGCGCGGGCATATACCACGGCTGAGATGAGAATCGTCGATAATATAGGTAATAATTCAGCCGATTCAGCCGATACGAGCTGCTGCTGTTGGCTCGTGCAAAGAACGACTTCGTGACTATCGCTCGGATCTGATGCGGTAATTAATTTTTTTGACAAACACGTCGACGACGTCGTCAGGCTGTGGCTTTATTACGATGCAAGAGCTCCGTTCGCACGTATAACAATAATGTGGCCTCGGATGCTCCGGCAGTGGCGCTGGATTGTGCCTCGCCACGCGCGCGACGGACCACTTCAACGCCGCGCACTTCCCGTCTATCCTCCCATACATGTTAAAAATCAGCGAGCGTGCGAACGTTCATTCTTCACCTGCGACTCGATCGACGCGTAGTTGCGTGAAGAAAATCACGACGACACGATCTATAGCCGAAGAAGCTGAGAAAATTGTCAGATCACCGCGGCTCGTGTGCGTCTGGTGCAACTATCGATCTCGATACACGTAGTAATAGCGATGTATGTTATAATATACGCTCTAGGATGCAGATCTCTCGGGGGGCTCGTTATATTCGCGCTGCCGTCGCGGCCGTTGACGCGTGCACGTGCCGTGTAATACACAGTGGTAAGTAAGCATCGGCCCGGACAGATCCTACTTGGACAGCTCGCATAAGAGTCGACGACCGTAAATGAGTCTCGCGTTGCAGCTCCGATCGTATACGCATATGGAGTCGCGCGAGCTCACGTAGTCTCGACGCGAAGGAGAGATGTCTTGACGAGAGCTGTCACGCCGTTTATATACCGCACATAGACGCGGCTGTCGACTTAGAGCCCCGCAACGACGACGCGGAGATGGATTTTTTCGCCCTGAAACAGCCCCTAACTAGCGTGTCCTGTTGGTATACGTCGTGTCGTACGTGCTGTAACGAGTCGAGTGTATATCGAATATTGTGTACACACAGCCGTGTATACACCTACTATACCACTGCGCTCGACGGTCGAAAATACCGCGTCGATTCTCTCTCTCTCTCTATATATCGTTGCGAGACGTGTCGAGCTGCGTATCTGTGTACCATATACGTGCCGCGCGAAAACAGCAAAGAGTACAGTGAGTGAGAAGGCGGCGACGGCAATTCGCACGCCCAATCGGCCGGACTCGCACGTCCGCTCTCGCACGTCGCCGCTATCAAAGCAGCAGCAGCAACAGCAGCAGCGACGCGAGGCAAAGTATAAAATTCAATTATAGCAGTCGCAATCAGGGAGCTTTGAGCTGGCCGCAGAGCGCCTATATGTCGCTATATGACACATGTGTGTATGTGTGTATAAAGCTCGACGTTCGACGCGATCCAACTGTTAAACCTATACCTGCTGCGAAATGACAAAACCATAGGGCCCAACGCGACTGGTCCCCTTGTACTACATACGCAGCTACATATTATAATAGACATATGAGCTTTCGAAGCCACATATAATTATTCTGTGCCCACAATGAAATGAATGATTCGACTTGCGATGCGTGGAGTGGCTCTTTGGCAATTGGTCGATCTGCTCGTCGTCTCGTGGCTCCTCTCCTCTCCCTCCCTATCTTTCTCTCTTTCTCCAGAGTTTGCAATTAATTGCCCTTTGAGGCCTAATGAAATGCACGCTACATATGCTACGATTTTCGTGCATTTAAGTTGTGTACACGTATAGCAGCATGTTTGTACCATAGATGTACAAATGGGGTAGCTGACAAACGAACGCGACCGACGGACAACGGCTGGGCCGCCCCCGCTTGCTCCGAAGCACATGCAGACGTACACACGCAGTCTAATAGGTGCACGTGTCGCTTAACTCGATTAACCATGGCAATCGGACGTTTTTTCGACTTATTTGGCGTGCATACGCCTCTCGGCGTGTTTTCCTATGCGCCTCTCTCTCTTTCTTTTTCAAGCAATGCATGCAAAGAAACGAATCTAAGATTGCCGTCGCTTACTACCACGCGCATGAAAAATGAGCAGCTCTGTTACTTATGTGCCTCAATTACAACATTTTTTTCGGCACTTGTCTTGTTAATCGGTTAATTTAAAGCTACTGCCGCTGTCGCTGCTTTCCGTCGGTTGGCGAGCCGACGGAAAACTTAATAGACCATTTTCAATGAATATTGAGCTCGTAATTCCTTATGAAACAACAAATCGAGTACTCATACTTAGTACGTGAATTTTCAGTTTCATTACATTGAAATTACAGGGTATTTTAGTGCATTTGACAATTGTTTTTTTAATGAAATTCTATAACTGCATATTTTCGGAGTGAAGATCTTGTCTTTTACGTTTTACGTTTTATAATATGTCTTTATTGTGGAGGTACATATATACAAATGCGTACGCAGCCCGACTTTTAAATTTGTACATGATCTTGAAGTAGTTTAGGCGCCCATGTTAAAACTAGCCATATATAATAATTAATTGCTTTAGCCAGGTAGCGGCTATTAACGTTAATGACTAATAATGATATGAAGAGTAAATCTCATGGAAATATTAATAATAAATTGTGTCAGATATCTTTTCAGGTATTGCAGAAAACTTGTATGACTATTTTTACTTTTCCACTTGCAGTTTTGCAGATAGTGATACCCGCCATCTAACGGTAGACTCGCCAAGTGGTATTATCGTATTTACAGTGGTTGAAAACATTAAAATGTCATGATCTCTTGGTTATTGTCATTTTGACAATAAATCTTAATTTAAAGTGCACTTAGTACTCATATATTAATATATAATTGGAACAGAAAAGTCGCTTACAAAAAGCCGATTAATGATAATATATTTTATAAGGGCTAAATGGTGATTTTTTCGATATTAGGCCATTATTTATGTTGAACATTTCTAACAGATGTACCATATGAATTATTGTTAACTAATAAATGCCATGGATGCTCGATAAGTCGACCACCTCAAACTTATATTAAGAAGGCTCTATACCAATCATAACAATAGTACAGCGAGGCATCTGTCTGTCTCTTTCTTGCATTAGGCAGACAACCGCTCGCAGTATTCGAAACCAATGATTTTGTTTAATTACTCATTAGTTAGTTCGTTAAAGGGTAATTTTTAACATACCAATCGAAAGCTTGGAACTTTCTCTTTCAGAAAATATATTTTTTATCAAGATGGTTGATCTTTTAAATTAGTTATAAACAATAAAAGACCGCTTCCCATAAGAGCCCGTTTCAAAAGTTGGATCGTCAACCATATGTTTTTTTTTGGAATCTCATTTTGAAGATCTAACTAATCGATTGATATAAGTTTTATCTTGTTGGATGATCTTTTGTATTATGTGTAGAGCCTCCTTAAGGTGTATAATTAACTAGAGATACGATGATTTTAGGTGTGAATTTCAGTAAAAATCCCCGACGTCTGAAGATTAAGAGTACATGATACAGGAAAAAGTACTTACTAAAAATATATGTTCTAGATTAGAAATTATATCAATTAATGTAGTCATTGGTGTACACCTTTTTAATTTTTACATAAAACGAATATTCTTATGATTTATTACATTTTGATTTTAATAATACAAAAACACATTCAACATAACTAATATGATTATTAAACTAATTGGATCTAATATAATATGATAATATAATTATAATATTACCTACCCGATTTACTAAATCAGTCATTAATTACACTTCATCCAAATAAATCATTCCTTGAAGTTCGTTGACAGTAAATTAATAACCAATAAAAAGTTAAGCTTGAACTATTTCAACCTAGAAAAATTGTAATTACATTAGGAATTGAAATTATTAGAACCATTGATGTAATAAACAATAAAATAAATTAAATATAGTTATTGTCACGATTGATGCATTCAAAAATATAAATAACATTGAGAACATTAATAAGAAATAAGGTAAGAATAAATGATAAAAATATTGAATCTCAATAAACAAGTATATTGATACTACATACTGATACACTATAAAAAAATTTTTAAAAAATATATTTTTTTTATCATCAAAATTTCCTCATCAATAGTCTAAATGGACTAAAAATAATTATCGTATTAATATTATGATGTTACACGCACTACAAAACAATAAGCTGCTAAAACTTTAAATCTAAACTATCCAAGCCGTGAAAAATTTTTAATTTATATGAAAACATCATTTTCAACCACTAATTGAATTAATTGGTTTTTTATTACTTCTTATATATAACTTGGTTGATTAGATTAGTTTTTATTGATTTTACCTCCTTTTCTACTCCACTACTTTTATCGGCAGAGTAATTATGCTACACTCCATTATATATGATGTATATTATTACGCTGTCACTTTCCCAAAAAAACTTTCCCTTTCTTGTTGCGTCCGGTTAAACCACGAGAACGACATTATATACAAGTTTCAGTATTCAAGATTTCATCACTAGATCAGACCAGTGTCTAGAATGTCTAGAGTCAGATACAACGTGTTCCTGCCTGTCTCTGAAGGCATGGCTGCTAACATGTCTATCGGGGGTACGTTTTTTTAAACTTTCATACGTCAAGCCTAAAAACGTGCCAAAAATTGATCGATTTGGAAATATTTGACCTTTTTTGTTTGAAAAAAACTATAAAATGTCTAACTTTGACAACGATAAACCAAATTTAAACCGATCAATTTTGATGGTGCCACTTTCTTCTTCTGTAAACTTATACTAATTAGAGAAATTATTGATAAATAAACTTAAATTATTATTTATGGCAATATTTGAGGATATTTTTATTTTTAACTTAGTTCAGTAAGTCTCTTTACTAATTAGACAAAAATTCGAGCATTCATATCTATAGAGGTTAACTTGTTCGGACTTTAGCGAATATTCAAAAAGTAATAAATTCGCATCGAGTTTTTGAACTTCGTGCTTCAATTGGTAACGTTGCTCCAGCACGTACACATTTCGCGGTGTGTATAACAAAATTTTCGCGACGGAGCATTGACTACTTCATAACAGAACGGTATAAAATAAGGTTCGCTGACGTTGCGGAGACGTCAATTGCGCAGACGTCGTGCTCGGCTCGCCTCCTTTGCACCAGCACTGGTTCTTCTTTAGCAAATCTCAACATTGCATATATATAGATAACAGTGTATCGTATAGCACCTATGTGAGATGTATATATTTATATACGCGTATTTCAGTATAGTACACTCAGCAGGGTCTAAACACAGCTGATCAGCCCTACCTTTGAGACTTTTTTTTAGTAAAAATATCGAGTGAAAAGAAATTGTGAGTTCGTTCAACTTGCTGGGTGAAACTTTAAATCGATTCTCTTCGTCCGACACGTAGTGGAAGATAATTTCTATTAGGCTCGATGAATTAATTGTGAAAATGATTGAACGCTCGCTTTTTACGTATACTTACACGTTCGCTGGCGAGCGTACAGCTCGGTAATATATAAAAGTTGAATTGGTCGTCGATCAATAATTTACAATTTAACTTTTTTTTTGCAGTTAATTATTCACAAAGAGCTATGGAATCGGGAGTAATCATGTCTCGTACAGAAAGAAAAGGTCAGGATCCGTCCATCGCGCGATTGATGGAAGCATGCTTTGCATCAAAAGAAGAAAATGGCTATGTCAATGATGAACGTCCTTCTTCACCACCACCTCATTGCAGTATTTGTTTGGAGGATTTTGTAAACAAATCTTTCTGCGATACCTGTCTGCACCCATTTTGCTTTACTTGCCTTCTTGAATGGTCAAGAATTAAAAATGATTGTCCATTGTGCAAGCAAATTTTCAAAACTATTATTCACAATGTACGAGCTGAGGGAGTCTACGACGAATTTAACATTAATTATCCAGCAGCTGTCAACATTGCTGATACCCAAAATGTGCCAATTGTTGTTGATCTCCGTGACAGGATCAGCAGGAATCAGTCTGTTCCTTCTACTCAAGGAAGTGTCATTCCATTTGCTAGATTCATGTACAGAACAACTGTGGGTTCAAACCAAAGATATAGATTGATTCATTTGAATCCGGAAGCTGTTAGACGTCAGGTACAACTTCCAGTGATTAGACCTCCAAGGGAGGAAAATCAGGATGGGTTTGGAGTTAGACGGCAAAGATATCAAGATCCCTTACATTTTCGTACTACAATCTATGCTCAAAATATGTGGGCAAGACCAGTCACGGATATTTTTGGTAGAGTGCGTCAATGCTCTGCTGATAGTTTGAGGAGACATCCAGCAGAGAGACAACGTTTGATTCCATTCCTCAGTAGAGAATTGACAGCATTATTAGCAAACAATCCTGGACGAGTTGCTTATGTCATGAATGTGATTTTAACTGCATTAAGTAATAATGATTGCAATATGTACAGTGCAAATTTTATTAATGTGGTTAGAGAGCATGTTGGCCCCCATACTGATCATTTTATTCATGAACTTGCCAATTTTGCAAATTCTCATTTTGACCTTTATGGTTACGACCGCTGTGTCACTTATGGGGACCCTCCTACTCGACCAATACCTGTAAACAATGATAGTGACTCGGACATACTTATACTAGATGATACATCTTCAATAAATGAGTCATCTGCTGGTCCTTCTAACATTGAGGCTGGAAATTCTACTGCTAGTGTTTCAACAGACCCTCTAGCTCCACCTTCCTTCTTACCAAGGGCTGTACAAAGCCAAGAACCTACAAGCTCACTGAGTTCACCTCAAAATTCTTTGAGAAACTTATGCCCCCCTGGATTTATAGCGGGTCCTAGTATGCCAGTTGAAGAAAATCAAGCTAGATTAGCTACAAACAACAGAACTCAAATAAGCCCTCCAGAACGAAGTTATAATCCAATTATCATCAGTTCGTCGTCAGAAAGTGAAGATGAATGTCAAATAGTAGGCTATGTGAAACCGCGTCATGAAAGAACACCTGTAACTATTGATTTGACATCATCATCCGATGGTGAAATACACGAGGAAGAGTTCTCACCACCAACCTTTCATATTCGGTAAGAAATTGTGTACATTGTATTAATAATCATTTATTTAATTTATTGCATTAATTTTCATAAATACTAAATTATTAACGTTATTTTAGCCGACCAGCAAACATTCCAACTATCAGGTCTCCATCACCAAGACCAGAAAATTTGGGCCATGTCGGATTCATTCCAATAACCATACCCACGTCACCTGTGAACCAGAGACCGAATCTGCTAGATTTATTTTCCAGGTCTACTACAAGTGACTCGTCGATAACTGATAGCGACAGCAACAGCGATGATAATCCACAAAATTTATCAACCATCAAGTACTCAACGCCTACTCGGTCTCCATCCATGCTCAGAGAAATTGAGGCGGCAGCTCTAGAAGGGCATAGAGAAGTTAAGCACGATTCGTCAGTGCCAAGCATCATTCCTAGACGTGTATTGGATGATGCCTCATCAAGCGGGGCTGAATCCGACGTCGACGACGACGACGATTACTCCCCGTCTAAAAGATTAATTCAAAAACAAAAACGAAGCATGCACGAGGACATTCACAAGGCCTCTGGCAGTGGCTTCAGATCTACGCAGTCCAGTTATCAGCCGGAAAACAATTGTTCGTTGAAAAATGAAAGTATTTCACGAAAGCACAAGAGACCGAGAAGGTCCCACAGAAGAGTGTCATACAAACCGGTATCGGAAGATACCGATAGCAGCAACAGTGACAACCAAATTCAAAGCGAAACCGATAGTGACAGCGATAGCACTCCTTTGAGTAAATACCGAAGAAAACGACCGCGTCGATCGTTGCCAGTAAGAAAAAGGGAGCGATCCTCTTCGAGCAGGACCGAGATTGAAAGCTACCAAGTTAAAGCTTCACCTATTTCGGACTAGTAAGTACTAGTCTGAATTTTAGGAAAAAAAATAAACTGCTACAGCCCCTGCCTTGCGTTCTGCGGTGATTCGCAATGGCTAGGTACATAAAACTCATAAAACAAATTTAAACGATTTGCACTGCATTCTAGACTTGAGCTGCTGTTCATAAATCCTGTTATATAAATATACATGCTTGTATATGGGGCAAATTTCCTGAAGTGTCCTAGCGCTCTGCCGCACGTCATTTTTTGGCCGAATCACTCAATTTCTAACTCGCTGTAAAAGTATCAAAACGCCCCTCAAAAAAATAACTAGCTAATGATTTCGATAGGAAATTTCCTCAGCTTTCTGATGGTGAGGTCCGATTTTCCGGAATTTTCCATTTTCCCCTCGGAAAATGCAAGTAAACATTCAAACTCGAATATCTCGAAAAACGCCACTTTTTTTGCGTTTTTTATTGTTTCAATCGAAAGATGAGGTCTTTTTACATCGGACATGGTAGTTTTCAGAGTGTATTTTTTATGAAAACTAAGGAAAATACGAGAGGTTTTAGTTAGCGCTCGGCCGCTCAGCGCGATTTCGAGCCTTGCGCGGCTCGCTGTAACTTGTAACTCGCTCTTATGACGTTGTGATTTGGCTGGAAAAATTATTAAACATATGGTTTCGATAGGAAATTTTCTCAGCTTTCTCATGGTGTATTTGGATTTTCCGATAATTTTCATTTTCACTAAAAAAAATGGACTTGAATGTCTATTTTCTACTTTTTCTAATGAAAATGTAAATTATCGGAAAATCCAAATACACCATAAGAAAGCTGAGAAAATTTCCTATCGAAACCATATGTTTAATAATTTTTCCAGCCAAATCACAATGTCATAAGAGCGAGTTACAAGTTACAGCGAGCCGCGCAAGGCTCGAAATCGCGCTGAGCGGCCGAGCGCTAACTAAAACCTCTCGTATTTTCCTTAGTTTTCATCAAAAATACACTCTGAAAACTACCATGTCCGATGTAAAAAGACCTCATCTTTCGATTGAAACAATAAAAAACGCAAAAAAAGTGGCGTTTTTCGAGATATTCGAGTTTGAATGTTTACTTGCATTTTCCGAGGGCAAAATGAAAAATTCCGGAAAATCGGACCTCACCATCAGAAAGCTGAGGAAATTTCCTATCAAAATCATTAGTTAGTTATTTTTTTGAGGGGCGTTTTGATACTTTTACAGCGAGTTAGAAATTGAGTGATTCGGCCAAAAAATGCCGTGCGGCAGAGCGCTAGGACACTTCAGGAAATTTGCCCCATATATTCAATTTAATTTTTAAGTTACAAAAATAATGTCACATACTATAGAATATCATGATTTTATTTTCATCAACTATATTGTGAAGTTTAGTGCCAGTGCAATCGTGTTTTCGAATTTTATTTTTTATAATTACAACTTTAAAAAGATGATATTGGTAAAAATGTTCTCACAAAAGTACTGAATAAAAATGAACTCTTTGAGGGTACATTGTTATTTAAAAATATTCAAAGAACATTCAAGTAAAACTATGAAAATTCATACTTAACTGAGTCTTACAGATTGTACAAAGAAATCACATCAAATGAAATAATCTCGCATAGTTGTTAATTGATAATAGTATTAATGATACTTGCATTTTGTATAAATTTTAATTAATGAATTCATGTAAAATAACTGATCAAACTGTAGCATATATTCAGTAATTGAATAAAACCCAAATAAGTAAAAATAAAAACAATTATTTATTTGATAAATAAACCTACATGGTATTCACAATATTTTATGATTATTTTTCACTAAAAAAATGAATTCCTTCTTTATTAAATGCAGTTAAAACTCTGAAAAAAAATGTATGATAAAGTACTTTTCAGTGCAATAATATAGTCAAATCTAAAATTCTCCGAGAGAATGTAAAAAATATTTACCTGATGAAGTCATCAGCATCCATTGTTCGTGCCCGCATTTCAGCTATTTTATGCATTGTCAAGATATCATCAACCTTTTCTTTTATATTGAAATTATCTGGAATAGGCTGAAAAGTTGAAAGATAATGGTAACACTTTGCAGTTTAAAATATTTCATTTGAAAAATTAAATCAACCATACTCACAATATTATTATGACTACAATAAACTTCATAATTTTCATTGATAAGTTTCAAATTTGAAGTTAATTTAAAAATAGCAGATAATGTTCTATTTTTTCTACTGAAAAGTAATCTTGTTAGCCCATTCCATTCTTGGAAATTAATGTTTGGTTGTGGATTTTTTGGTTCTATTCTTACAACACAAGATTCAACTTTTGGTGGAGGAGTGAAATTGTTTTTTCCAACATTCAATAACTTATCAACTTTAGCAAGCAACTGTGCGTTCACACTGAGTCTACTGTAATTTTTTTCTCCTGGTTGAGCCATCAATGTGTCAGCAAATTCTTTCTGAAACATAAGAACCGCACATCTAGAAAACGTTAATGTAATAAGTTAAAAAAAAAGCAAATAATCTTGCATTAAAAATGATTGAATATGACCAAAAACTTACCTAAACATTGGTCTGTGTTCTAAGAGTTTAAATACTAATTGGGAAGATATTTGGTACGGAACATTGGCAATGCACAAATCAAAGACAGGCAGCTCTGATTCATCATCAATAACATCACCACTTATGATTTTTAATTTTGCTTGCATGGGTGTACCCATCACACGTTTCTCCAATTCAGACACCATTCTTCCATCAATTTCATAGGCAATAACTTTTTTAGCATTTTCCAGCAATTTTACAGTCAAATTTCCAGTACCTGAGCCAACCTCTAAAACAACATCGGTTGATTTGATGGCAGCTTTGTTAATGATACTCTTGATAATAAGAGGATTTGACAAGATATGTTGACCGTATTTCTTTTTGAAATTTATCCCTGTAAAAGAAAAAAAGTTGTACATTAATTAATTGTTGGCAAGATTTGAGTTGACTGAAAACAGTGATGAATCACCAATGAATATACCTTGGCGGAAAGCTTCTCGTTGTTGAGAAATATTTTTTTCCCTCAAAACTTTCGGCATGTTGATTGTTGACACAACAATGATGTAGAAAAAAAAACGGAGTGTGCAAAACAATGTTTTAGCGAAACAGAACAACTAGTAATCATTAAGAACGGTATAAGCAATGACAACTGACGACGCACGTGGCTACGCTCGTACTCGCGACGGAGTGGAGAACACACGCTTTCATGCGTAACATAGCATCGATTTCGATTGCCATGCGAAATGTCAAAATTTCTTAACTGTGCACGCGTTAAACCATAAATAAAATTCAGACAGACACAGTTTGAAATGTATATTTTTTTCTTATCATACGCAGAGTAAAAGAGCGTAAAATCTTTTTATTGCATCCTAATTTTTTTCCTTAATGATTTTTTCAAAATTTATTTGACTCTTCATTCGGAAAGCGGAAAATTCCACAGATTTCTTGATATATAATTTTCATGATTATAAGAATTATTGAAAGAATGTCAAGGTATCATAATTTATGATTATTTGAGTCTCATGTTAAAATAGATTATATCAAATTAAATCGTGCCTAATTTTTAACGGATATAATAATACTTGTACTTTGTAAGTAATTTAATAATAAAACCCAAACAAATGAAAATTAAAAATTTGATTTATTTTCTAATAAATCTATCTTATACTCACACTATTTTATGACAAACATTTAAAGATACCAATAAAAGAAAATTCCTTCATTTTTCAATGCAGTATAAACTCTGGAAAAAGGTATAATTATAATGATTGAGTATTCTTTATTGCAATAATATTCCTAAATCATAAAATCTCAAGAAGATTATAAAAAATATTTACTTAATAAAGTCATCAGTGTCCATTGTACGAGGGCACATTTCAGATATTTCATTACTAGTCAAAATTTGATCTACCTTTTCATTTATGTTGAAATTGTCCGGAATAGGCTAATAAATTAATAAAAGACAATTATTATACGTTTAAATGTGAACTTTTTGATTATGAAATTGAATCAATTATACTTACAATGTTATTAGTACGACAATGTTTTGTATAAGTGTTATTCATCTCAGTCAAAACTGTTGCTTCTTTAAAAAGTACCGACAATTTTTTTTCTTTTCTATGGAAAAGCTTCCTTGTTAGTCCATCCCATTCTTCGTATTTAAAATCCGGTGGCGGATTTTTTGGTTCTATTTTTAAGACACAAGAATCAACTTTTGCTGGAGGTTTGAAATTGTTTTTTTTAACATTCATCAACATCTGAACACTAGCATATAATTGTATGCTCGCACTAAGTCTACTGTAATTTGCATCTCCTGGTTTTGCAACCAACTTGTCAGCAAATTCTTTATGAAACAAAAGAATTGCACATCTAAAAAACATCAGTACGAGAAGTTAAAAGGAGTCCCAAAATTCTAACGTCGTAAAATAGTTGAATGCGACAAAAAACAAACTCACCTAAACAATGGCCTGTGCAATAAGAGTTTGACTAACATTTTGTAATCAATTTGAAACGGAACATTGCCAATGCATAAATCAAAGAAAGGGAGATCCGATTGGACAACATTACAGTTTAAAAGTTGTAATTTTTCTTCCATCGGCGTACCCGTCACGCGTTTCCGTAATTCGGCAAACAATTTTGGATCGACTTCATAGGCGATAACTTTGCTAGCGCTTTCCAGCAATTTTACAGTTAAATTTCCACCACAAGGGTCGAGTTCCAAAACGATATCGGTTGATTTGATTTCAGCTTTGTCTATGATACTCTGGATAATATCAGGATTATCCAAGGCGTTACGATTCAAATTCTTTTTGTAAGGTACATCTACGATGGATCGAGGGAAAAATCGAACAAAATGAAAATGATTCGTTGTATAGACGAGATTTGACTTTGATTCGAAATGGTAGAAGTGTAAATAAACGTACTTTGTTGGTAAGTCTTCTTTTTTGAATATTTCGGCATTTTGACAGAATAATTTCTCCGGACGACAACGGAATAGAAAAATGTTACAACAGACCCGAAGTGGTAGCGACGATCGATGACGGACGTGTTCTTATCTTGCTCTTTTCGCGCGATGTTTTGCTTATAACGCCCTTACTTTTGTTTGTTATTAATACACGGTACGAAAAGTCACGCGTTTCGCGGCGAATAATGAAACGAGCGACGATCGTTCACATAATAGCGCGTAACGATTTTCTCTTGTTAAATTCACCGCGCTAACACCGTGATTTTACTTTGTGTGTATGTCAATTGTCGACACATGTATGAGGCGTTTGTTTTGATTCTCCCTCTACTTTTCTACCGAATGGATCGTTATACACGATTTCTGTAAAGTTACCGATTGACGATATTACAGCGTTGCATATACATCGCTCGCAAATGTGACCAATGTTGTAAAGTTCATTGGTATATAAACAGAAGGCGTAATTTTTTTGGCATTAAAATTATGTACTTAGGTAAAAGTTGAACAGAACACTCATTTACAACTGCATTCGATGGGACCGATGTTCTAAAAAGAGCAGCGTGATTCGTACGAGTTTGCTAAATTGAATTATATTTTTAGAGAGTCGCGAGATGTGCTGGTATATTAGCACGCGAATCATATGCACAGCATGTATATACGCATAAAGCTGCCCTCTGTTGCATTCACGGCTTTACCTCTTCGGCTCCGAGGTAAGTTGCGTGACATCAGGCCCACAACGCGTTGACGTCATCTTGAGATCGGTGCGTTGTACACAGGATTGTATACACACGCTATATGGTTGTTTGGGCCGTCTCGGCCTCGGGGAGAAAGGACAAGTCCGTGCGTGGGGGATTGGGGAGCAGTGGACACCGCTGGACGCATACATATAGCACTCGCAGAGTCGAATCAGACGTCGTAATAATAATAACAACAACAATAAATATAACAATAATAAAATCGCTCGACTAGCGTACGCCCCGCTCGTGAGCGCGCGCGTGTGTGTGTACTGTGTATGTATATATGTACGTTATACGCTCGCGAGTGCAAGTGTGTCTGTGTATGTGTGCGAGTGTGCGCGCCCAAGTTCACCGTTGATAATACCACGAGCATGCGAGTTGCAGAAATTGCGTGAATCGTGGTGACCTGCGACTTGTGTTGTGTCTTCGGAGTTCTGCGTACGGTCCTCGCCCCGTCCGTGCAGTCTGCACTGCTCCGCGCGCGCGGAGTCGATGTTATTATTTTATACATTGTGCAGCTCTGCGTCTCGAGACTGTGCGCGAAAAGTTTCTGCGACCATTGCACGCATAGTAGAGGTGTTGAGTGGCTCGCGCGGGGCGCTGCACCCGATATTGCATGTGTATTTGATGTAGGGGCCCCGGAGACCAACCCATCACACGCACGCTTGAGATAAGCAATCGTAGCCTGTTTGCGCGCAGATCTGAGTTGTGTTTTGATATTGTGACAGTTGTAGGCAGCGATTAAAAGGCCTGCCGTTATCTTGCCAACACGTCCCAGGTTAAATCAATTGTTGCGCCTATAGCTCGCTCGTCGGAGTCGATAAAAATGCTCGGTTGCGTGTGCTGGTGGTATCGACTCGATCCGACCATGAGTACAAGCATTTCTGATTGATAAGCTCGACTTTCATTGGGACGACGGTGGGTCGATTAGAACCTACAACTCCTGGGCACACGGACACACAACGGTGCAGTAATGGAGCTCAAAGTCTGGGTCGAGGGTATCCAACGCATCGTTTGCGGAGTCACCGAGACTACCACTTGTCAGGTAAAGCACTGGGAATTGATTTTTCAGCGTAAAGCTCTTTACTCTGTTTCATAATGTAACAAGTGCTTTACTTATACTGTGCAGGACGTAGTATATGCACTTGCCCATGCAACCGCTCAAACGGGCAAATTTACGCTCATTGAAAAATGGAGGACCAATGAAAGACTGCTGGCACCTTATGAGAATCCCTTAAAGGTAGTAATTCAATATCGAGCAAGTGATTTGTATGATTACGACAAGTTTTGCTCATCCAGTGACTTTGCATCTCATTGTAACTTTGCTTTTTTTAGATTCTTATGAAATGGGGTGAATATGCACCCGAAGTACAGTTGGTACTGCGAAAGTCAACTCCTGATGGGAACAAAAGTAATGTGCCTACTAATTCAAGAGGAATGCATGCCAATCGCCCCAATGGCATGCAAAATCCATTGGCAGATCACTGCCTAAGTACCAATTTTCATGATAATGTCAAAGGAAGTCCAACTATAGGATCTGATTATGATGAAGGACAAAGTAGTGGTTTAGAAAGAAATCGTGATATTAGAAAATCATTAACCTTCAGTGGACACCATGGAAACTTGAATGATTGCAGTCCAGAAATTCAAATGGAAAACGTTGCCATAGTTCAGCCAACGCCTCAATTAAAATCAAAGGAAATAGGAGCTAGAAAAACATCTCAAAGATTTGCTCAGTCTCCTTCTAGCCCATCTAACATTGATGGTATGTAATAATTATCTACTTTTGGTAACAATATACTTATTACCCTTTTATAATTTCAGCAGGCAGCAGTATTTATGCATCACAGAAAAAGATTAGAGAAGTCCCCCCGTATAGAGAACCTCCAGGGCCTCTTTCACCTCCTCAACAGCGAACTCTACCACCTTATAGAGACCCTCCACCTCCAAACTTAGGTAGCCCTGGAAGATCTCAGTATTTACCTAACACAAGTAGCAGTCCTCATCTTCATAAGGAAGTAGTATCATCAAGTAACTCTGCTAAATCTAAAAGAAATCTCATTCAGGTTAGTTGAACTAAATAAAGTTTTCTCTATAGTGGAATGGTTTGTAATTTGTCTTTGAATTTATGGATAATTGTTTTTATAGGAATTTCAAGAATCCAAAAGTCCTAATCAAGTAGCTGATCAGGTAGCTGGCCCAGGACAAAATATGGTAACTGTTGCATACACACAGAGATATGTTGAACTCATCAGACTAGTCAATAGGCAGAGAGATACTATTAATGCTCAACAAGCAGATTTGACTAAAGTATGTGGAAATAGTTTACACGAACTTGAACTTAAACTTGGACACTAAATAAAATTTTGTAATGACTTATATTTTTTAGTACGATGCTGAAATTTTATACTGGGAAACAAGAAACAGAGAACAAATCCATCAAATGGACTTTATTTCTCAAGAAGCCAATAGAATTGAATCTACTAATAGAGCCATTGAAGAGCAGGTAAGAATATTGAAAAAAACTTTTGATCATTTTCATTATGTAAAACTGACAATTGATTGTTCACCATTACTTTGTAGATAAAAGAATTAACGCACGTTGAAGAAGAGAGCGAAATAGTTAGACAGCAAGAAAAAACATTAAAGTCCGAAATAACGCTATTGCGATCAAAACTTGCAAACTGCGAAACGGAATTACTTCAATGTAAAAATAAAATTCGGTAAATCTAATTATATTTTCTTTTATCATTTAATTTTTTGTTTCTCTATAAAACAACTGTAATGATTATTTTAGGCTACTAGCTGAAGAACTAGCGATAGAACAGCAACTCATTAATCGAGAAGCTGATGATAATCAAATGATGGAAAGGAAATTAATAACAGAAGTTGAGCATCTGCAAAATGAGTTAGAACAAGCGAAACGCTCTGCTGATATGAGTAATCAATGTGCAGACTCTCTAAAAAATGAAGTTGTAGGTTTGGAAGCTGCAATTGTAGAAAAGAAAATGCAAGTTGAAAGACTTGTAGCAGATATGAAGGAGGCAAATTTACAAAGTCTGACAGTAGCTTGTCAAGACGAACAAGTCAAAAACCTGTTAGAAGGTACTGCATTATATTTTCTGATCTACATTTTTTATATCGCTATTCTTGAATCAATACAAATGATAATTTTATTATAGGAGCTCAAAAACCAGGAAGCACTAGAAAAATGATAGGCTCTCCAAGACAGTTGGAAACTGCAGTCCCTACGAGTAAAAACCCACATGGTGTGTGGGTGTAAGCAGGGGGAAGTGATCTCTAAAATTTGATATACAGTTACGGTAAAGAAAAACGTATACATTTAGTATTAAAATTTGTTTGCCTTAAATGAGTTTAATGTGTAGCTTACACTGCCATATGTGTTGAATCACAATTTTAATGAAAACCATATATTGTTGTAACTATATCTATAAAATAATGATTGATTAAGAAACACCATTTATTGTTACAAAACTAGAGTGTTAATATCATGTATCTAAATATCTTATCTTTTTTATATTGTATTGCTCGTTTACCAAAGCATATTGAATTTGTTGATGTAAAATGATAATGTCTATTTTCCTGCTAATAATTTTTACTCGTCAAAAACTTTGAACATCAAAATTGTCAAAGCATGTCTATGTATGTAAGAGAAATACTGAATTGTAGAAGTTTGTGAAACGAAAGAACGACATAATAAGAAATAATTGTCTAACAGATTCGTAATCATTGAGTTCATTTTCAATCTATCATCATAATCGAATAAATAATAGTTGACCGCTGGCGTGCAGGTGTGAAATACTAATCGAGCGCATCGAAACGCATTCGTTTGGCGGGTGTCTCGTCGTCGACATCGGTCTGCTCGCGAGTGCGGACGTCGCTTTCGGACGGTTGGAGCTGGTCGCTGCTCGTCGGGGGTCGAGGAGCTTCGAAAATGGACGGATCGTAGTTTTGATTGGCTTTGGCGAGGAGCATACAGCCGACAGTTTGTTTGAACAGACTCGGGCGCTCTATGTCCAGGAGGCTCATGATTTCTTGGCGAAAAGCTTGGTCCTGACTGCGTTGGAATATCCCGTGGAGTGCCGACGTCAGTATGCCGCAAGACACGACGATATCGTCCATCGGAACGATGTTCCAGTAGATGTACTTGCTGTTGTTTCTCCTCAGGACGAACTTGATGTTGGGATCGAGCTGCTCGGTATGGAGAATGTAACGCAGCATCAAGCTTGCAAATGAGTCGATGTGTTGAACGAGCACTTTGAACTTGAGGAGGGAAAAAGATAAAAAACCTTCGATAGAGTCAAAAAGCGAGGGATACACTGCGCTCTCGGGTTGCAGTTGATACCGACCAACAATTTGAAGGAGACGTAGCGCTTGATAGCTTTGAGCTCCAGCTGCTCATCGTCGCCCGACATCGGTTCGTCCTCCATCAGTGACAGACTCGTGTTTCTGCGGCAGACGATTTTCTGGTCTCTAAGGACTCGTGACTGCTGCAGCTCCTGCTGTTCCTCTGACTCCTGTTCCGTTTCGCTACAGGTGGACGTTTGTCGTTGTCGTCGCCTTGGTCGCTTCACCGGGCAGCTCTTTTCCCGTACGAAACCGACGATCGCGTTCTCGTCCGTTCCCAAGATCAACTTTTGGGCACTCACTTGGCTCTTCATACCCTCGAGCATGAAGAATTTGAGCTCGTTGCATTCGGAGCTGCAAACGGTCACCTGAGCCTCGAAGAAGTCGTCGCACAAATCGGTCAGATCGAAGTTTATCTTGGCGAACACTTTGCACTTGCTCTGGCGTCTCTTGTGCACGACCTCGTCTACCATCTGCGGAATTATACAGCACAGCGAAACGATAATTTTTTGTGATTCACTCGTGCTTCGATCTCGTAAAATACAATCAAATTTCAACTCACCGATTCAAAAATTTTTACGAGGTCTTCGTGATCGATTTCAAAGTGATTCATGATTGAAATTTATTAGACTGATGGATGACTTTTTACCGGACACACTTGAGACTGGAGTCTGTGGGTACACACGAGCTTTTCGAGAGCGGTCAATTTTGAATTGAATGTTCGAATGCATGTTTGCTTGAGCGGTTGTTAGTTCCGATTTTCGAGTTATATTTGAATGTGGGTCGGTAATGTAGAAAACTTTTCCGACTGTTAGAGTGCAATTTTTCGCTCGAGCTTACGCGCAAATTGTATCAATTCAAGAATTTTTAAATAGACAATCAATTAAATTGACTTTATTAAAAATAAGTTTATTTATCTTACATTACATCAGGTTCACAAGCAACAATTTACAATTATAAAATGTGTACAAAAGGATAATAGTGAAAAGCTTATAGTTAACGTTAATTCTAAAGTGAAAAGTTAATTAACTTGCTGTTGTTGTTGACTGTACATTTCGTATTCATTAATTTTGTTCTCGAGATACACGCAAGTTTTCTCGATTTCGTAATTTTTCGAGACCAGACCCACCCACTCGGCGTCGAGGGCCTTGAGCTTTTCGCCGCCCTGCGTCTGATTGGACTTTCTCTGCCAGTTGATCTCCTGTATGTTCTTCTTGATGTCGGCCAGCTGCTTTTGCGCGTCGGCCACGGACTTGGCGAGGACCTTGAGGTGGGCCTTCCAGGCGCAGCAGCCGTACTGCAGCATGAGCTCGAGATTGGTGATGCGGGTCGCCTGGTGCTCGAGCTGGGCGTTGCTGTTGTCGACGCTCTCGAGCCAGGCCGTGGCGTCGTGCAGCTTGCCGGAGGTCGGCGGCGGCAGCTCGTACCGCTTCATGTTGATCACCTCCATGGACTGGCGATTCTGCAGCCGCTCGAACTCGTGCTTCAGTATGTCCGTCTCGAAGGACAGCGACTGAGCCGAGCTCGAGAAGACGTTCTCCAGGTAATTCTTCGTGGGCCTGAAGCGGCGTATCTCCTCCTCGACCATGGCCACGGCGGCCTCGCGGATTCCCGGATCATCGTAGCCCTGATCGATGTAAGGGAGTGCGTCCACTATCACCTCGTTCGTAGTCATTACCGAAGATTGAAATTAAAAACAATTTGAATTTGCACCGTCTTGCCGTGAATGCCCGAGTCTTCGAGGGTTGATTAACCTCAAACTGCCAGACGTTTGTAAACAGAAACACAGACTCTCACGCGGCGCCGCACAATCGTACTTCTGACTTGTGTCTTCTGCTCCGCTTTTCTGCTTTGGCACTAGCGAGTAGCGACATCGCTCGTCACTCAATTACGGTTTGTAAACATTTCGTGATTACTACACGTAAAATTCTGTTCAGTCAACAGCCAATATATCAACAAGTACATTCGTTCAAGTTTACTACCGCTTAAATTAATCTCAAATCTCTTCCTATTACGATTTTCATTTTGTTCTATAACATTTATTCTATAAATTTTTTTCTATAAATTTTAAACATGGAATTTGCTCTACATGTATTGAAAAATCCGTCTGTTATCCAGAGTATCATAGAATACGCTGAGATCAGACCAAACGATGTTGTTCTGGAGGTATGCTCTAGTATTGGAAACATAACTGAAGAATTCTGGAAAAGGCTATAAAAGTTATTGCCTGTGAAGTCGACCCAAGAAAGGTTCTTGAAATACAAAAACGTGTGATGGGTGTGCCCATACAAGCAAAATTAGAACTTTTAAACTGTAATGTTATTCCATCGGATTTTCCTTTCTTTGATTTGTGCATTGGCAATGTTCCAAAAAAAATTTCTCTGCCTTTAATACAAAAACTCATACATCACTTAAAGGAAAAGCCAAAATTCAGATACATTTTTTATTATCAATTACTTACAACACAAACATTTTTTAATTATTTTTAATATCTTATATTAATGTTATTATTAGATGTGCATAATTTTTTCATTTTTACCCATTCTGATCTTATTTAGTTATTAAATTAATTAATTAAATTATAAACACTGCAAGTATCATTAATACTTTTATAATTAATTCCAATAATTGCAATTATCAATTAACAACTAGGCAAGATTATTTCATTTAATACGATTTCTGTATACAATCAATTAAGCATGAATGTTTATACTTTTACTCAAGTGTTTTATGAATACTTCTCAATAACAAAGTATCCTCAAAGAACAATCAATAGATAATAGAAACTACTAAGATGTTCAGTTTTCGGAATGAGGAGTCAGTGAACTATTGCAGAAAAAGTTATATAAAAATAGGCATTTCATATTTGATACAAGTTTGATGATAATTACTGACACTTTTTCTTTAAATGCCAAAGACATTGCGTTGACCTGCCCCTAGATGTCGCTATGCGGATGATAGTTCCCGCAAATGACTAGTGAAAGCTTGTTTATATATACGATATACCGGCTCCGACACCCGGTCATTAAATTTCAACAAGCACTTCGTGTCTTTAATTTGAATGCAGTGTTTTTTTAACCCTGCCAATCCATTATTTTTTAACGCTGACCACAACCTTCATTTTAATTGTATGAGTTGTACAATTATTGCTCAATTTTATGTTTGGCAATTGATTTTGAGAGTCCCTTTTCTGAATTTTTAATAAATATATTTTGGGGTTTTGACATCATCACATTCAAATTTGATTTTCATATCATCATTAAGTTCATTTTCACAACTTTCATTTGATTGAATCAGTGACATAAATTATCAACTCGTACAGGATTTCTTAGCAGAAATATTAACGATTATGGATGTTTTTTGATATCGGGTGAGTTGTCAATTATGTTGCCTTCGTGATTAATAAGCACTGTATCTCCGTGCTCCTTTTTCACACTGAAATAATTTCAAGAAAACTTAGCATATTATGCTATAATATTTTTATACTTTCATTCTTTAAAAATTAAAATTACCTAATGACATATTTTAACATATTTTTCGATTTCATCTTCTTCGCTTGTCATTTCGCCAACAATTTTCGTGATACAGGATGGTCGGGGAAAGGTGCTACACAAATAGATCCACCCACATACTCGAAAATGTAAACGAAGGTGTTTTAATAATAACTCTCGGCCTTTCACGTGCAAGACACGCGATGACAATTATTCACACTCTTGAATTGCGATTCGTTATAGCTCTGAAACCACATTACGCTAATTACATTCAGTGTCGTGCAGGCTTAGCGTGAAAGCCTAGAAATGGGGATCGGCGATATCCAGTATCAAAATCATCGATCTTCCAAAAATATTGGTATCAAAAAACCGAAAATTTTGAAAAAGTATTGCCAAGCATTAAGTAATCGAATACTCCATTAATAAAGTTTTTTGTAGGCAAAAATATAAGAGGTACGAGACATAAAAGTCGGATGCTTTCAAAAAAGTACGAACGAAGTATAATTAATTATTTTATTTATTTTCCAATCGTATTGTTTATAACTATTTTAAGATCTATCATTTTAAGATCGATTGAAGAAGTACTCTAAAGTTCAAGAGTAGAACAATTCAATTAAATATAATATTTTTCAATGAAAATTTCAAAATTTCGATAAAGTGGACAATTTCATTTTGAAGAATGTTGTTGGTTATTACTAAAATTTTTTTGTCGACAATTGTTTAAATATAAATGCGCACTGAAAACGTGCTTGTATTAAGGATAAATGAATGATGGCAAATAAAACAAATTGTTTCTGTATCACAGTTACATATAAGTATATTTATATAAAAAAAAGAATAAACAATACATGGCATTGAATAGTACGTGACGGCAATACAAAATGATTTTAACGAATAGAAAATACACTAACGCTATTATTTTGTATAAAACATATTACAGAGCGACAATTTTAAAAACTTGAGTTATTATTCTGAGAATTTTTACCGTGAGATTAAACTTGTGCTCTTCCTTATTTTTTGTTCTTTTTTCTTAAGTTTAGAAGTAAAAAATTAATTTATTTTCTTAGAGATTAAAAAATATTTCCAGTCATCGCGAATCGAGAGAGAATTATTATTATAAAGTAAAAAAAGTCCTAAGGGTCGGCTAGAATTGAACATACAATTATGACGCGCGCACGACCGGCACCGATCGTGCGCGACGCCGCAGTAATTTGGCGAATTAGTAAGCGTTTGCCAACGCTTTTGCGAACGCGTCGATATAGTTTTAATCAATGATAAAAGTGTTTCGCAGCGTCGAGTAGTAGCATATATAGTTGTCAGTCTGTGTTTGTAGGGAGAAGTTTATGTACGGGGGGCAGGAAATCCGGCTGACGAAGCTAATTGCTCAGCTCGCTCAGTACCGCTGTGGTGGCAGGTAGGTGTTGGCACCGGCTGGCAGGGTACCCTTTCTGCAGTCGCAGGGTACACCGGGCTCGTGGTAGTGGATGGTCTGTTGTTGGGGGGCTGGCTGCGGCACGAATGGAGCTGGCTGCAGGGGTTGTTGTGGCACGAACGGAGCTGGCTGCACGGGCACCTGTGGCACGAACGAGGGAACTACTGGGTACTGTTCGACTGGCCTTGGGGCTGGGGCGCCGTTCATGACCGAGTTGATCCATTGGTAGTCGACCACGGCGAAGGTTGCGACCTGTGGGCAGAGACAGAAAAAAAAACAAGATCAGTGGATTGGTCACAGCCGGTATTTCAGTTGCGATGGAAATTATCGTCATCGTGCTGCTGCTGCAGGATGCGTTGGTTCAAGCAGAAAAAAAATGCGTTGCATAAGGTCGCGATCTCTTTCTCTCTCTCTCTCAATCTCAATCTCGAATTCCGGACTACTTAAGTTACATATAGGTGTATTAATGGGAGGAGCACACGAGGCTTCTTGTTGGTCGGTTGCGTAAGGACGTGGCGGCGGCGGCGGTGATCACAATATTGTGCAACTCGAGCGCGCGACCTTGGCCAAACGTCCATTACTTTCCAAAATCGGCAAGGCGAATCTCATGTATGCGCGCGTTGACGCGATCATCTATCATCCTTATTTTCGTCGATGGCTCTCTTAAAATTCCGAATCGATAAACAGCTCTCGGTCGCTCGAATTTTTTTTCCTTATTCTTTTTTTTCGCCTTTTTTTTCTGATAAAAATGCTAATGAACGCCGCGGACGGACGCGCGCGTGTGACACAGCCCGAGGGCAAAATGCCATCATCGTATTATATAGACACCATCGGCGCGAGAGATGGGACGTGTATTCAAATTTCGGCGAGGCGCGTGGCAAAGCGTGATTTTATACGAAAAAATGATAATCGATTCTCTTTCGGAGTCGACTCGTGCACGGAACGCACGAAAATGAAGATCGTTTTTGGCAATAGCCAAAAAAAGTTTCCTCTTGCGTCAAAGACGAGTTTAGAGAGAGAGAGAATACCAGTACCGCGAAAAAATTGCGATGTAAGTAATATCGATGACAAAGCAGCATAAACCTGGCGTCAATAGGCAGGCGTATGCATTATTAATGAAATCGAGCCGAGTTAACACGAATCGAAGGCGCAACGAGGCCGCGTTTTATTAGAAATTATTGCCCGAGGTCGTTGGATCGGTCGCGCCTTACTTTTTATATCCGCACGAATTCATAATGCAACAATTAATAAAGGAGTATGGATATGTGTACCTGGTTGGTGGGCAGGCAGCCGGTGTCCTGGCTGTAGACGCCGACGAGCTCGTAGAATCCATCACCACGGTCGCAGGCCAGTGGGCCTCCAACATCGACCTGGCACATGTTGTTGGACTGGCGTTGAGCCTTGACGCAGACGAGACTGTCGTCGATCTCGAGCGGCGACTCGGCGCCCTCCAGGCGTTTCTGGCAGTCGTAGGGGCTCATCAGCTCGACGTCGAGCTTGTTCATGAGGGCTCCGGCTACGTGGATCTGCATGATGGTCTTGCCCCATCCGGTGGAGATGCAGCGTCTCTGGGCTGGCTCGAAGGCCAGGGGTTTCTGTGGCAGGCAGATGGTGTCGACGTGCTGGTCGAGGTGGAAGTTCTTCTCGAGTACGAGCATGGCCATGTCGTGGCTCGAGCTGCCGTGTCTGTAGTTGGGGTGGGTGACGATCTTCTGGACGTTGATGACCTCGAAGGGCAGTGGCTCCTCGTGTTTCAGTTCGTAGCCGAGCTTCCATTCTCCGGACTTGGCGGAGACGTCGCTGGCTTCACGTCTATACATTTTGCGAAGGAGGAAGAAAATTGACATTAAGTACCATCCTTGTCATCGGTCATGGGTGAGTGGAAAAAAAAAACGTCGTCTTACCCGTAGACGCAGTGGGCAGAGGTGAGGACTACGTTGGGGGCGATGATGGCTCCCGAGCAGAGGAGTTTCTTCTCGCTGTTGGACAGGATCATGGCTTGCCATGGGATCATGCCGAATGGCACTTCGACGTCGTGGAGGGCGTACTGGCTCTGGACCTTGTTAACGAGTCCGCACTGAGCTCCGGGCACGTGGGCTTCGATCACTGGGGCTTGGATGCGCATGGGCTGCTCCGGTTTCACGATGTTCTGGAAGAAGTTCTGGACGATGTTTGGTCGCTTGGTGGTGGTGGTGGTGACCGGGACGACTGGAGCGACGACGATCGGGCGCTCGGGTTGAGGAGCAGGCACGTCTTGAACGACGACCTCCTGGGCTGGCTTGTTGAACAGGGAGCCGAACTGGTTGGCGATGCTGTTCTGGATGTTGCTGATGGTCGGGAACGAGGGGAAGTCAATGGTCTTGGGTGGGTTATTGGCCTCTGGCACAACTGGGGCTGGCATCTGGACCTGACCGTTCAGGAAGACGTTGTTCGACAGGATCGGCTGACGGACGGGCTCGACGGGCTTCACGACGATCGGCTTGACGGGCTCGACGACCGGGAGGATGGGTCTGACTGGCTCGGGCTTGCGTATGGGCAGCTGGGGCACGAACACGGGCTGGGCTGGTCTCACCGGGACCACTGGGGCTGGCTGCTCGGGTTGGACCGGGGCAACGTTCTCGATGACGAGGGTTGGCTCCGGGCGCGGGGTGGTCGGCCTCCTGGCTGGGCGGGTGATGGCCTGCGAGTCGACGGCGGCGCCGGTCACGGGTGCGATGGTCACCGGGCGTGGGGTCGTGTAGTTCATCTTGTAGATGAGCGGGAAGCCGTTGTCGTCGAATCCACCCTTGTAGTTTGGTGGCAGATTGCCGCCTGCTGGCCATGGGTCGACGTAGTCTGGGTCACGGCAGCACTTGCCGACGACTCCGTTCTCGGGGTTACGGCAGTCCTGAACGAGCGAAGGGGCGCAAATTATTATCGACATCGTTGAAGATCGTCAAAGTCCAAAGGTCATATAGTCTACTTACCACCATGGGTACACGTCTGAGAAGCTGATCCTCGGTGAATCTGACCGGGCTCTTGACGATGACGCCGGTGAGATCGCAGAATTGCTCTTCGACGCAGATCAAGGCGGCGGCGCAGCCGAGTTGTGGCTGTGGCACGAACGTCTCTTCGGGCCTTTTCGGTAAAAGTGCCTCGGGATTTTGAGCAGAGCCATCGCCTGCAAAATAATCACGATTCGAATTAATTTCATTCTCGGGCGCGAATTTAATCGCGTCTCGCTAGGCGCATTACAATATAACACGAGTCTGCATCGTATTACACATGTAGGTCAAGCGTGTGCAAGTTTTGGGCGCCGCTTTCGGCGATTATTGTATGCGCGTATGTATAAATTGATTCGCGCGCGAGAACGAGAAACGTACTTATTACTTTCACGCGAGTGCGTCCGTGTCTCTTATTGCGAAATACATCTCTTTGGGTATCGTTGCGAGCTTTTACGAAATTTTCTTTCCCTCGCTCGCGGAAAAGTACCGATAGTGCGTGGTGACGAGCCGAACTTACCGAACGGCGTGAAACCTTCATCCGTCAGAGCGGCCGAGGTCACTGCCAACAAGCCGATCGTCAGCAGGATGCACTCGAGGGCACGCATGATCGGGCGCGCTTAGAGGAAGAAGCTTATGATACACGAACGATTTGAAACTAGCGACGCGCGGGAGAAAATCGAGATGAAATCGGCACACGACTCATCGAGATTCGACTCTCGAGGTAAGAAAAAAAAAAAAGAAAATTGAAATAAATGCGCGAACAAGTTGAACCTCGAAGGGCGACTGAAACTCGTCGGACGCGCGACTCGAGCCTTATATAGGCGGCGGCCGGTGCGGCACTTTATTATTATAACACACATACCGATTTTCGGCGGGGCCGCGCGCTCTTGTGCACACGATGCGTTACGTGGGCTTACGTGACGCGCTCGCGACGACGAGATGCAATTATAACGATCGCCGCGCGTAATGCGTGTATATTATTATATCGAAGAGCCGAGCACGTGAAGAGCAGCACGCGTCCCAACTTTCTTCGCGAATCGAATATAGTTGAACTTACTGTACTCGTCTTGAGGAGGTAGGACAACGGAGCCGGTGGGGTTGTTTGCGTCTGGCTCGGGCTGTGGCAGATACTCGTTGCTGGGTGGCAGGTATTCGTTGTTCTTGCGCTCACCGAACAGGGCATCACCCTCGGGCCTTTGATCTGTGAAATGACGAGTTGCATGGTTGGTTCATTTGTTTTTGCTTTTGTCAAATAATTTCGAGAGAGACAGTAGAGGTAGTAGATAGAGCGAGAGTTCGGAGCCGCGGATGCAGTGTCCACAACTCGAACTCCGATTTTTTTTTTTAATGATATATATGCGAGCACCACACACTGCGTCGTGTCGTCGAATAACGAAGATGGGCTCTTACCGTAGAAATCGGCATTGACAACGGACACTGCCAAGCACGCAATGAGCACTAAACACTTTGTCGTTCGCGCCATGACTTATAAAATAAAATTAAAAAAAAAATTTGACTAAAACAAAATCTCCGCGCGAAGGGGAGATCGGATGTGTCGCGCTTCCGAATGGCCAAGTGGAACTGAAGGTTCTCCGGTGAAGACGACCTCTTTTATAGGCGTTACATTAGGCCCCGCGAGAGCCGTGGAATCAATTACGCACACAGATACAGATACATACGTACACACGTATAAAACGTGCCTAAGAAATGTGCGCGCGCCTTTCTAGCAATGAGCATATTCGCGGCTTTTAATATAAAAAACCTCGCACTCCCTCTTCCCGTGCGAATCGACCATTGGTCCAGTGTACGTATGTATGTGCGTGTGTGTGAGCGTGTATAGCTCGAACGTACGAACGAACCGAGTGACCTTAAGATTATTATTCATCGTGACGATCGTCGTAGTTGTAGTAGTAGTAGTATTATATTATAAAGCATATATAAAAGCGATTGGCGCGCTCGTCATCTCTCGGGGGCCCCGAAAACCCACAGATGTGCGTACGAGCACATCGCATATCTGCCTTGAAGCCAAATTTTTTCGATCGCGCGTCTCTCTCGCAAAAGTGTGTAGTAAGTTCGATGGCACGCGCGCACATGTTCGGCTCTTACGCACGCGGGTGGTGGCTTATCAGCGGCGTGGATGCAAGCGTATATCATTATATGGACAAACTTTCGCCGGCGAAATATTGTCTCGTCGTCGTCGTCAGCAGCAGAAGCAGCCACCCGCCTCCGAGTAGCAAGTGTGAATCGATCGTTATTCGATAGTAACCGGCTGCCGGCGTCTTGCAGTGCAGCACTTTGAAATCGTATTGCGCGCATTTCACGCGGATGAAAATTCTTTTTACTTGTGTCAATTGCATTTCAGTAGCAGCGCAAAAAACAACGAGTGTGTAGAAAAAAAAAAACATCAACAGTACGCGAGTAATCGGTTGCATCGTCGTCGTCATTGCCATCGTCGTCGCATCATCATCCACGTCGTAATTTTTAATGCTCTAAGGTCGGGGCGCGTGAAAAAGTGTTGCGAGCGTTAAACATCTCTCTCTCTACCCGCGCTAGTGTGACTATGAAGTAACCGCGCATTTCTCTCTCTCTCTCTCTCTCTCTCGCACACTCACTGCTGCCCATCATTCATTAATCCTCGAACGATAAATAATAATCCTCTGCGCGAATAAGGTAAAAACGGCAGCAAATCGAAATTATAAATGACGAGAGCGCGCGAATACTCAGTATTCGCTGAAAAAAAAAATTTCGTCTTTCAACCGATCTCGTCGAGCGCACACGGGCTCTCGCGCGTAATTGCCCGATCCGAATGAAAAGAAGAAGAAAAAAAAAACGAGTTCTCTTTCTTTGTCTTCTAAAACGACTTTTTTTTCCTTTTCATTTTTTTTTTTTGCTTTTACTGCTCTCATAGGCACATTAACGGCAGCGCTCGTTATTATTACAATAAAGTATGCAAATGCGTGTGTGTACACGCACGAATAATTCTAATAATATACACTTGATAAAAGGTGGCAATTTGCACAATATGAAAATAATGCACGCATGTATGCATGTATGTGTGTGTGTGTGTGTAAGCAGCAGCAACAACAACGGCGTCGAGAGGCGCATTCGTCGTGTATAATGTTACAACTTGCACGACAGCTTCGAGCAGCATCCAACGTTCATGTACACACGATAAACAACAACATTATTCATAATTACCGGCTACAATAACAACGTATATAAGTACGATCGCCGATCGTTGCAGCGAGAGCGAGCAATACCGGACGAACTCACAGTCCGACCGACAGAATCCCGGCGATGAATTACCGATTTCTTTCTTTTCTCTTTTGCATTTTTCCTCGCCTCTCTCGCGTCCAGTTTTTCATGCTGCGCTGCGATCTGGTCAAATAAAGAACCGATCGCGTATAGTAGTAAAGCACACGGGGCAACCGATCGCGTACTACACGTTACGTTGTACGTTTCAAGTGCAGCTTCGCGCGCGCTGCGGTCAGTGTTCGGCGCTGAGCCGCTAATATATAATAAAGCGTATGTATGTATATGCACTTATATATTCCACGCGCAAGCGAGAGGGAGAGAGCCGTACGAATATTACGCGCTCGCGCCGAATGACGTACTGCCCAGAGGCGAAATTATTATATTAATGCAAATTTATCATATTATTATTACGAATTAGACGCGCCGCGGATCGCTGCATTTCAAATGCGATTGCATGTATTATATTTATATACACACGTATCGAAGCTATATACATGCAACGAAATGAATCATCGTCGAGTTTGCGTGCGCGCGTATCCTCGAGTTCTCTTGTAGCAGCGGCGATCCGATGCGCGAAAGCGAGGATCGTTTCTCGCGGGGGCCCGCGCTGAATGCCGCAAGCGGCTTCTGTTTCACCTTTTTCTTTCCTTTTTTTTCAACTGCTGTCACTGCTGCTGCTGCTGCTTCTTTCGCGTGTGTCCGCCCTCGAGCCTTCGTTCTTAATATGTACATAATGTATTCTATATATTTTTAAATGAGTAATATCATATACGTACGATCGGCATACATTATTAAGCGCGCTATCACGATACCGACCCACTGATATAGTTTACATTACATAATTGGCGCCTTCGTTTGAGTATTCCAGCTATGAGAGTCGATTGCTCAAATCGTCATCTGCACGCGCGCGCACTCGATCCTATATATATCTTTTGCAATCGGCCAACGATCGACCGCGAGCCAGATCGGCAATCGCGGCCAAGCCATGCTTGGATATTTCATAGATTTTCATATTTTATATATTATTAAATATTATAAATACGAGTGCTGCTTAGCTGTTGTACACCTGCAGTGCCTTTAACGGCCGGCGAGCAGATTCATTAAAAACAGGCATACGCACAGAATTAAAACGTGACTCACAGAAGTACGCCTGCGATCCATCCTCGTGATGATCCTCGTGATGATCCTCGTGATGATCCTCGTGATAACCAAGGGTGCAGCAAACGTGTCCGTCTTGGTTGCATAGATCCTTCTGTTGACAAACGAGAAAAAGTGGTCATTATCTCAATTTGTGCATATCATATTGCCCGCTTTGTATTGGGACTGCCGGTAGAAATTTTTTTTCCCAAATATAGAGTTATGGGGCAGACAACGATTAAGAAACGCTTCTTTTTCGTCGGATAAAAGGAAAGAAAGAATCGGTTACGTATGGTCGTGCATTGAATAATATTCGATCGAACCAATAGTACAAAAACGGAAGCACCAACTTGAACTTCCTCTCGATATTTATCATTCATTGATATATACAGCAGCGCGAATGATTTACGTGGCGCGTCGCGCGTAAAATCGCTCCGAATTCGAATGAGCTATCGGCGCAAGAGGAGGAGTACAAAACAAACGACATAATGTCCGCTCGTACTGCTTTTTTTTCTTTGCGAAATTGTGCGAGACGCTACGTTGCAGCTCTCTTAGAATATTCCGCGAAATCCCATAAATTAAAACGCGATCACGACACATTGTTTACCGATGATGATTCGCACGAACGACGAAAAATCGAGTAAATAGTCGTCGATCGTTTATGGGGGATTCGTATATACGCACGAGCATATGTAAATAATTGCACGACTGCCGCTGGCGCTTACGTAAGGCGCCGATTCGGTCGCATTTAACGTACTTATATGTAAAAAAAAGAAGAATCAAATCTATCGAGTGGCCATTGTTGTTTTTGTTGTGCTGTTGTTGTCATCGCTATGTACGTAAATCGCAATGCGTATAATATGTGTGGGACGAGCATTACCAACGCGGTGGAGTTTATGTGAGGCGCTTCTCTCTCTCTCTCTCTCCACAGTACAGCGGCCGCGGCGAGACTTTGCTACCTTTTTTACGCGATACGCGCGCAGTATTACACATATGATCGACGCGTCGCGCGATTAATCGACCAGCCGCGTTTAAGCTCCTTTGACCGAGACTCGCAATAACTTATAATGTGCCCGACTTATAAGCCTCGTCGCGTGTTGCTGCCGCTGCTAAACAGCAAAGAGGCGTAAACAAGAGTTGCGCCAGTGAGCGTCCATAATACCGATCTGGGCTAAACCTTATCGACTGGAGATTAGAGCATACGAGTCGTCGATCGCGTTCGAATATTGCGGTCACGGACAATGGACCACGAGATCCGAAGTTCGAGTGCGCCGGGGCTAGTATCGAGCGATGAACCGTATAAATGAATATCATGTATTACGTACGTAGATATCGATCGCGTATCGGCTGCATACGTGAGCGCGTCGAAAGCGACATAGGTGCGATCGGCATATTATAATATCGTCGGGATATGGTATCGTCGGGCGTTTATCTTAAATTCCTATTACGACGTCATTATTATGTATCGAGGAAGGAGAGACCAGAAGGTGTATTGCGGATCTGCCGCGAGTACATACACAAATAAAATCGATTCGTTTAATATACGTCTGAATTGTGGAATATCGTGTTAACGATCTACACAAGTTATTTTCGTCTGTTATTTTTGGTATAGTTAATTTTCGAATGAATCAGCGTTTTCATCATACATCGCGCGCACACACACGGTCTTGTTTTTGTGCCTTTTTTTTTATTATGTGTGCGTCCGAGTCTCCAATCATAAATAACGATTTTTGCAATAAGACGATGCAAAAGGAATTTTTCGGAAACCGCATAATAAATAGGTTTTTGGCTTTTAAAGCAGCAACAGGCACCACCACAAACGATATTAAATGTAGATTTCAAGTGTAAGAATTCGCGTCATTGATTTTTTGGCGCGGTAACAAAGAGAGAAGAGAGAAATGCGCAGAAGGACGAACACGAATCATCACCTCGGTGGCTCCTTGCCGGATCGATAAGAGAGACGATGATACGCGAGAGCCGATGAAATTTATTAGCAAGGATAAAGATACGAAAAAAAAAAAAAAATTAGATTTGTGTAAAGGAAATTTCCCTTGGATGATCGCGGGTCCACATCAAAACGCTCGTAAATAGCTTCCAAAAATAAGTTTGAAATGTAGAAAAAAATGCGAAATACTTTGATGGCCGATCACCTTGGTATTTAACATCGCATGTAGTAGTAGCAGCACCTGGTCAACTCATCTGTTCCATTTTAGTACGTCCTTCGGTATCGTATTAATGTATATATACATGTATATAACGTCACGATTTGGTATCGCGCAGGTGAAGAACAAAAAAAAAAAAAAAGAATTAAAAAATTAAGAATAAAAAAAAAGGAAAATCCCTCGAGTTGGCGCTGGGACATACGATATCCGCGCGGATCGCATCGGCCGGGCAATTTACATTTTTTCGCATATAATAAGCGTGGCTCTTGGCCACGCGCGTACATGCGTGCTCTTTGTCGCGGACGCGCCAACATCCGCGTGATATCCGTCTATGAATCAATGAGTGAGAATTTTCTCGAAACGAGAGAGACTTTTTATCGGCGATGCGTGGCTATATTTTTTGGTCGAATCCGGCAAAATTGCCGAGAAACCATATCTATTTGGAAAAAATAACGGCCCGGCAGTAAACATCTATTGCTCAACGAGCGGCGCGCGATGATATTTGAATCGCTTTGTGCGCGCGTGTAACGATACAGTACACACAACTTTTACGCGTGATCACGATGGTCACGATGATCGTCGCCTGCGAATTCGCATGGATTTTGAGCGCGAGGCACGCGGGGGCTATTTATATCTCAAATCGAGTCAAAGTTCTTATACGCATTATATACATGCCTATCTTACACACCGTACGTATACATACAAAAGGCTAATTTTCAAGTATTATACGCTTGGGATCGCGCGGCATTAAGATGCATCCTTTTCGACATTAAGCGCATTTTATATCGTCTTTGTGAAGCTCCTTGGTTTGGCCTTGGTCCCGAATTCCGGTTTCGAATAACTGGTCGTCGTCGTCGTCTTCGTAGCCGCAGAAGCGTTTATACGCGATATATAATACCGAGCGATGCGGACCCGACTCGTCCCAGCCACACTACTCGCATTTTTTGAAAACAAGGTTTATTGAAACGAAATCGCAGCTCGCCTTGCTCGCTCTGGGTCTCTTTGATAAAAAAAAAAGTCATATCTTGCGCGTGACAAAATCGTCAAGTTATTTTCGCTCGAGGCCCCCGCAGGCTTAGAAATGCGTGCGTGCGTAGTGATCGATTCAACGAAAGGGTCGCGAGTAATTCGGCGCTGCGATGACGCTCGCGCGCGATCCTGAGCTGTAAGAGGTATGAGCTGTACATATTATATGTGTATGCGTATTTTTATAATACATTCGATACGAACGCACATGCGTTTAACACGTAACTTGGCCCGACCATCATCATCATCATCATGATCGTCGTCGTCGTCGTGTAAACGCAAGAAATCGGAATTCGCTCGTGCGGCGGCGGCGGCGGAGAAAGTGCGCAAAAAACCATCTCCGCATATCTGGCTGATTTTCCGTCGGCTCATTTTTAAATACATTATACATGTGTATATATTAATATATACAAATCGATTCGCCCGAGTGTTGTATATTACATACAATTGGCCAAATCAGCCGGCTCGTCGTAAAAATATATCATTTGAAAAAACCATTAGCATATTAATTTCATATCACGAGATCTGCAAACTCATAAAACTCGTCTAGTTCGCACGGGCCTCGAATACACGTGAACGCGATCGATTCGGCCGGTTATTCATTTATGCCGAATGATTAGAAATATTCAAATGCCTCGACTTTTTGTTTGCCACGCCGAGCTCGTTGTGTGTACGTCGGGGCCGTATGTGAAATTTTTATTTTTTTCTCTCTCCCTCGTTTCACAAGATCTGTTTTTAAAGGTCGATCAATTAAAGCCGAGTCATTAAATATATCTATTCGTTTCGGGTGCAGGGAGTTAAATTTCGTATTACACACAGGCTTGCATACGGTTTCGATATAATATAATAGTGACCTTCTTCTAGAAGTGCAGTGTGTGTTCGAAACGAAACAAACGAAATCGAATACATAATAATAATAAAAAAAAAGGTAAAAGAAAGAGCTGCGCTGCTGCACGCGGGTCCAAGAGAGAGAATCATTGTGTCACTCTTCTGGATTTAAGACGTGACGCGAGCCGAGAGAGTCGCGAGTGTGTCGCGCGAGACATATTATATATACCTTTGAATTATAAACGAGCAGCAAAAGGTGGGCCTCGATCTATGCATAAATAAACATGCTCGTTCGCGCGAGACAAGCTGCACACAAAAATACTAACGCGCGACGACAATAACGATATAATGAATTCGTTGTCGCATCATCTTGTTCGAGAAATAGACACGTTACATACGGTGAAATCGATCCCATACGAACCTCTTTGTGGTTGCTGTTGCTGTCGATCGCCGGAACGTACAAGCCGTCGATGCATAAATTGGCCGGTACGCAGATTTTTCCTTCGCCGCGGCTACAGCTACTCGTGCGACGAGTACGATCCTCGTCGTCAACCTCGTTTTCGTGATTTTCCTGCACGTTCGATTGAGCCTGGACGTATCTCGTCTCGGGCTCCTCGTGAGTGAGGTACGTGGGTGCGATCAGCGCGGGTGCCACAGCCGCCGACGCCGTCGATTCTCCGGATGCACTGGCGGTCGCGCTCGATTCAGCCGAGGCCGATGCGCTGCCACTGCCCGAGACCGTGGATGATGATTGCTGAGCGGTTCCCGTTTGAGCTTGTAAATTACTGCTTCCCGCTTGTGAGATGGCACCCGCTGCTGCTGCGGCACCTGCATCTGTACCACCGGCTTGAGAAACGACTCCTCCGCCTCCGCCTGCAGAGGGTCGGAAGGGTCTGTGGGCCGAGTGTATGGCCGAGATGAACTGAGCCGCCCCCGAGCCCGCAACGAAATGATTGCCCAGAGCGGCGAGTCCAGCGTATCCAGCCAAGATGGGGTGATTACCTCCGCCGCCTCCCAGCAGACCTCCTCCTTGACCAATTCCTCCGCCCGAGCCTACGAGTCCGCCCTGACCTCCTCCGCCACCTCCCAAGTGAATACCTTGATTCCCTCCGCCGGACCCTCCGAGTCCTCCTTGATTTATTACACCGCCGCCCAGATGGATTCCTTGATTGCCTCCACCGGTGCCCCACTGGATCCCTTGACCACCTCCACCGCCTCCCAAGTGGATTCCTTGACTTCCTCCGCTGGCTACCCAATGGATCCCTTGATTACCTCCACCGCCTCCCAAGTTACCTCCTTGACCTCCGCCTCCACCTTGGGTCACGATTTGCGAACCGATACCCGACTGCGAGCCACCGGAGCCTTGCAAGCCCGAAGAAGACGCGACACCACCACCGGCTTGGGGCAACGACCCGCCACCTTGGCATATGGTCTGTCCCGTGCCCACGATGACGGGTGGCCTGGCCGTGGGCCCGACTCCGCCGCCGATGTTACCGATCGATTGCGACGCCGCCACGCCTTGTCCGTTGAGAATCGCGTTGGCTATGACTCCGGATCCGATGCCTCCTCCACCGCCTCCCTGCGCGTTTCCCGAACCGGCGCCTCCGCCTTGACCAGCTTGGCCGGCGCTACCCGGGGTAATGAGGGAAAATAACGCCGAAGTTTTCGCACTAACCGGCGTATCCCGGAAGAATGGATTTTTCGCATTGATCACTGGCGACGGCGCAGGTGGTGGCTGCAACTCGGTCGACGTCGAAGCCACGGAACTCGTCGAACCATCGCTACTGTCCCCGTGAAACGGGCTCTCGGGTGCATCCTGCCACCAGTATCGATGCGATCCGTCCTGCATCGGCGCCGGCTTGATACGATCGTGCGAGCCGTCGATCGTTTGATCGGTATCGTTGGCCGCTTGCAGCACGTCGCTGGCAAAGTCATCGTTGTGACCCTGAATATTGAGCGTACCCGTGTTTGGATTCCAGTCGAACGTGCCGACGGCGGTCCTGCCGTGAGCATCCACTGCTGGAACTGCTGCTGCGGGCACCGAGACGACTTGTGAAGTCTCGTCGGCATTTGCCAGCGCAGCGACGAAAATCAGACACAGCAAGTGACGCGCCATGATTTTTGCGACTGTGCCCTGTGCAACGAGAACGATAGATAATTTTTATCAATTCGAACTTTGTCGATTAAGACTTTTCTCGAGTATTTGAGCCTCGCTGTCACCTGAATTTTGTTCTATCTGTTCAACGCGGCAAGAGACGCGCGCAACACCCTTTCTCCGAATCGAAAATGCACTATTACCGAAGATGAACAACACACTAGTATGCAGTCGGGTCGACTGTCGATGTCGCCAAATGTATTCTTCTCTTATATTCTGTTTCTGCATTCGATCTGATTACTCCGGCTCTGGGCTCGTATGCACATTTACCCCACCCAACGTGTGTGTGGCTCTCATCTTCATGTTAGAAACCTGAATCTTGCATCTTCTTGCTGCTGTTGTTGTTGTTTTTCGATTCTGCAGGAATAAATATGCACATAATTCCTTTTTGTTTTGTCTTTTATGCATATAGTCCCTCGAAGATACCGACGAAGATGATGATGATTGTGATAATGTGGCCGCGCGTCGTTTTCAAAACGACGTTTTCCAGTAATTTTGTTTATCTACAATTTACTTTAATTATTATTAAATAAAAAGTCATTAATTTCAATTTGCACGCAGTTTTACGAAGGTCGATTGAAAATGATATATTCATGAGAGTTGAATCTTAATTTATCTGGCTTGAACGTTCGGGGTGATACTTGAAGCGAAATACAGCCTGCTTACAAATTAATAGAGATTTGAAAGCTTTATGACATTTCATAAATTCACTTTTTATTCGTTCATTATTGTAAGTCACGAAAATATCGTTGAACCCTTGAATGATTATCGATCAATTTATCCTTAAGATATTTGTTAAATAGAATAAATTAATCTCAGTGTAGATAAAAACAAAATTCCTGGAATATAAATAAAAAATTGGGTATTTTTAAGAAACAGTCATCTTCAGATAATTTGTTTCAAATATTTTCAACTTTACACGTTATCTCGAGCGAATATAATGGCTGCAATTTACCAAAGTCTTCGTTCTCATTAGTCATACGATACAATTTTTATAATTGCAGAGCTACATCGAGAGCAGTGCTTTTGTGGCGCTTCATCCGTCGCGATAAATGGTATATAAAAGAGATGTGGCGTCATACTCTGGCTCGTATACTTACACATCGCAATTAAAATACGCGAAATTTAGCTTTTTGCAACCGGTTAGGTCCAAAAAGTAAGAATTTATTTTGGTGAATTATCGAATCAACACTCTAATCGAGTCTCAAAAACGTTCCCGTGCCATATAAGCTAAATCCCATTAGAATAATTGATTGATAAGAAGGAGGTAGCTTTAAGTACTTTAGATATAGATGATTTGATTATGTTAAATGTTAATAATTATTTTATACACCCTTTGAACTGACCAAATCAGTGAAAGATATTAAATTTTCAATGGATATTTGAGTCAATCTTGGTAAAAGTTTTTGTTTTCAGTCTCATAGCTAAAATGTTGATTTATTTTGAGCATAAATTTGTGACACCCAGAAACATTCAAAAGCGAATTTTGAATATTTCTCACGTGCTCGCCTCTCGTCATTATCGATAAGTTTATTACCTATCCTGACAACGCAGCTATATTCAATAAAATTATTATCGATTCACGATTCATCGTCAATAAATTCTACAATACCGACTTAAATAAGAATGCATCGATCATTAACGAATTTTATTTCTTAAAATTTTATCTTGATAATCAAGAAATTGATTTAGTAATAGGCAAGCTAAAGCCAATATCTGCAAGTACATACATTTATTTTACGTCAAATATTATAAAAAGCATTTTATCAAATGATAAAATAACAAAATAAAAAACCAATGAATTTGTTCAAATTGAGTCAGGCCAATATTGCTTCTGTCTCTAGTTTAATAATGAATATAATATGAGTTTGAATAACGATGAAATCATTAATTTATATTCAATTTTGTTGATACGATTAATTGAGAAGCAGTCTGTAGAATACGAAAAAAAATATCCTCATTTAATTGTTTTTTTACTCATCTCTTCTTTGCTACAAGGGGATCCTGAATAACCGCTATTTTATTCAATATTTTCTCATAAACGTGGCTATTATGTTTGATTTGACTGTCTCAAATAGTCGCAATACTCAGCTTTTATATTTTTTATAAACCAAGCAAATAATATTTTTTATGGCCTAAACGAGTACCCTAACGAACTATTTTGATCCCAACAAAGAAATGTATGAGAACCTGTACAGTACGTTTAGGAGTCAGAGATAACAAGAATAATAAATGATCGGTAGAAAAGCATAAACCTTATTAGCGAGTCGAGTCAGGATTTAGATACTTGTTTGCGGGACATTGACCGCTGTGATTTTACTTAAAATTCATTGCTTTTTAAGTCTGGAGCAGGAGTTTTAGCACTTCGAGCAATTGTGTTCAGTTTTGTGCTTACATAATATTACGTAGCAAATACTGTGATTTGATGGAACTTTCATCCCGATCGAGCGAATAAATTGATCGATTCATTATTGTGGCTATGTGCCTATAGACTGTCGAATTTGGAGGTCAATGACACTTAGCAGCAACTCTGCATCCACCTCTATGTGTCAAAGTACATCATTTAAGACTACTTGCCAATTCTGAATAAAATTTCCATCTTTCTATATCACTTGCTTTGCCGATTCGAATGAAAAAAATTATTCATCTCTAATGAGCCAATTAAAGATACTATTTTTTTATGATCGGATTACGAGCTCACTTAAATTTGGACCAGGGACACCGAACAATCTCGATATTTTTATATACTTGGATTATGTAAGTATAAATTTCTATGTGTGTTTACACCCTTCTATGAACAACATCTTACACAAATTTGAGAATATTACTGATTTGTTTAAAGCTATAATAAGATGACAATTTTAATTTTTGAATAAATTTTTGAAATAAAAAAGAGTGTGATAGATTTAATCAATTTTAATGAATTAAAACTTGTTAAAGTTTTATTTTTGTGTTTGTTTCATTTTGGCAATAAAATTAGTTTAAAAATTATTATTCTTTCGAACCTACTGCATTCACAAAATTATCGAAAACTCTTAAAATTAAAAAAAAATTAAATTGGATATCTAGTTAAAATTTATTTCTTGAACTTATCTTAAATTCTAAAAAAAGTTTTTTTTTTCGATCATTTGAGAATACAAAATCTATGAAAGTGATAATTACACCAAGGACAATCGCCTCATGATTTTGTGATATTTATTCGAATCATATTTCGATTCAACTTTTTGTTATAGTATAATATCAAATTTTTTGACTATAACATCACATTATTACAAACTGTTTTTTATTTTCTAACTTCTTTCTCAAGATTTTCATCATCTTCTCTATTACTACAAAATTTGATTTTTTCATGAATTTTTTTTTTTTTTTACCAGCCTTTTACATATCTCGCTGTAGTTCGTAACAATTAACTCATGATTTTTTCAAAATTTTTTTCGTATTAGGTACAATAAAATAACACAATGAGATCAAAATTTGGTGCACTACAACCATTTTATATCTTTGCTTGCCGCCGCAGCAGCACTACCTTATGGCTACGGCTGCATAGTGCATGAAGCTGTCAAAGAATGCCATGCATGCACTGCGTGTAGTCTGCACTAGCAGAACGTTTCTTTGGAACGTCAGAAACAAAACACTAGCAACAACTGCGTGTAGACAGAAATCATAGTACACAAACTTCACTCGGTTCTTATCTAATCGGTAATTTTGTATGTGTCACTTCGATTCCAAATAACAATAAACATTGATGAGGCGTTGACGCGTAAAATGTGTCAAACTTGACTATCGAGCGTCCACAAATATTTTTTTTAAATTGAATACACAAGGGTACAAAGATGAAGTGACAGCTCATGCAATTGAAGAAAATTCGTCATTCCGCTGGCTCTCAGTAAATGACTCAGTAAATTCTCTCAAATACTTTTTCATTATCATCGCGTAATGCAATATTGCTATATTGCGAGCTGCGAAGTTTGACATTTGAAAAAATTCGCGACATGTTCGATCTCTAAGGTAAATAATACATTGTATTATATCGTGTATTACAATATTGCATAAAAAATGTTAACTGTCATTGGAATTCAGCTTCATCCATACATGACGATTTTACCTTGCAGCAAATAGCATATAATTAGAGACAAACTTGCATTGTAACTGATGATGCAAAAATCATTTATCTTGAAAAATGGCAGAAAGTCAACAATTTTTGGGATGGAAACAGTATTCTATGGAACCAGTAGCTTTTGCACTAACATTTGCTTATTCAATATGTGGTAATTAATGGTTTTTAAACACGATTGTATTTAAAATTTCATTAAAAATCTAATGATGATTGTTAAAATTTTTTTAGATAATGTCTACACTGACCTTATCATATATCAAACATGCAAAACCATAACTGGTTTAAATAGTAGTGAATGTGACATCCTGCATGAAAATAGTACTACAAATAGAGCCAATGAAATCGAAAAGTTAGTGCAACCTCATACAGGTTCAATATTTATATTAGATTCATGCATAAAGACTATTTTTCCAACATTAATGGCCCTATTTCTGGGACCATGGAGTGATAAAAATGGCAGAAAGCCATTGCTGATAGTGCCCTTCCTTGGTAAGTTTTTACAAAACATTACAATATCTTATCAAACAATTAATTAAAACATGGATTTTCAACTGCCCCAGGTTATGCATTATCCTATGCAATTTTGGCTTTAATGAGTAATTTCAATTTAAGTCCATACTGGTTTTTATTATCATCGATACCTGGATCAATACTAGGTGGATTCCCCACAATTTGCTTGACATTCTGGTCTTATAAAGCTGATATTACGGATAGTCAAAATAGAGCTTGGCATCTTGCATGTCTTGAGACATTTTTCTTTGGAGGATTTTTGGGTGGACTATTTGTAGGACCTTACACTTTTAGACATGCTGGATATATGGTTGTGTTTCTCATAGCTTCTGCAAGCTGTTTGAGTGCAACTATCTATTCAGTTTTCCTTGTTCCTGAAACAATACAAATTCAGCACCAAGTAAAATTTATCTTTATGATTCTCTCAATTGATTGAAAATCATAGATTCAATGATAACTAATAATAAATATTTTTCAGAGGGCTTTAAAAGATGTATTTGACTACAAATTAGTAAGAGATTTATTCAAGGCAGTATTGAAATCAAGAGATGGATTTGATAAATTTTTAGTCTGGAGTTGTGTCCTATCAATTGCTATAAATGTCTCAATTATGGAAGGAAATGGTTCCATTCTATTTTTATTTACGAGTTACAAATTACAATGGAATCTTTCAGACGTTTCCATATATTCTGGTACCAATCTCCTACTCACAATCATTGGAATGTTATTACTGATCAAACTTGTTGGATCAATTTTAAGTAAATATTAGTATGATATATATTTTCTAAATAATTTTTTGAAAGAATTTTAATAATTTCAATTGCTTTAGAACTACCTGAAACTGTCATTGTTGTGTTGTCCTGTTTATCAACTTCTATAAGTTGTTTGGGAAAAGCTTTTGTATCAAAACCATACCACATGTACATCACTGCAGGAATTGGCATGTTTAGTGCTTCAGCTGTTCCAGCTATCAGATCTATAGTGTCAAAAACAGTCCCTCAAGATGATTTAGGTAAATATTATTGATTTATGAAATTTTAAGAAACATGTTACATAAATTAATTATCTTGTTTTAGGAAAAACTTTTTCAGTAATAACAATTGTGGAAATGATTATACCGTTTGCTGCTACACCATTGTACCTGTACATTTATACCCATACACTTGATATGTTTCCTTGCCCAGTTTGGTTTTTGTCTGCTTCATTGCCAATAGTTAATATTATATTAGCTATCATGATAGAATATAGATGGAAAGTTCTTAAAAATACTCAGTATAGTGAAATTGTAACAGAAAGAGATTGATAATGATAAGATTTTTACAATTTTCATTATCAAAGTAACTTTTATATATCCTTTATTTTTAATTACTTGACAAGTATTTTATATTAATATCATACATTGTTGAAAAAAAATATAAAATAATTATTTTTTAAAAGTGATCAAAAATTCTAGTAATAACTTGAATAATTTTTCGTAGTTATATATTTAAGGTAAATGTAAAAAGGGAAATTTTTATGCAAATGTACAAATTTGTGGCCTCAAACAATCTGTGATAAAAATTATACAATAGAATTTTAAATGTGATTTTAGTCATAAGTATTTCTAAAATTTTGCAAAGTACTATGCATTAAAATGTAATATCAATTAATAAATAACACATTTTAAATTAAGAACACAAATAAAAATCGAACACCTCAATCACATGCATTATTTTGTCAATTTAAAGTTCGTCATAGTAATCTACATGATCACCAGACTTGTACTTTTTTGCTAAAAGAACTTCAGTAAATTTTCTAACAGTTTGATCCGTGGTTAAAGCAGTTTTATTTTTTCTCATTTCTTGGAATGTAGTTTTCACATCTTGATCACCAACATTATTAGATATTGTTGCAAGCATATCTGTCTCTACAGGACCTGGAGAATAATTCAGAACATTTATGTCTGGATTTTCTTCAGCAAAGACCTGTTGATATAAAAAAATTGTGAATTAGGTAACTTTATATTCAAATTTTGAAACTTTTTCTATTGAAAAGTATACAAATAATGTGAATCTTATATTGACCTTGAAAAACATCTCTCGAGCTGCTTTTCCAGTACAATAATATCCAATGGATTTAAAAGGTGTAATACCACACAAAGAGGTGATATTAATAACATTTTTTTTAATTTTCTTATTATTGAAAATATTCATCAAAACTCCATTTAATACAGCTGGGGAAAATACATTTAAATCATAATATTTCCTCCAGATGTCAAAATCAATCATTTGAGTAGTTGGTTGGGATACATCTCCAACAGATCCAGCATTATGTATCACTACCAATTGGTCAAATTCTTCCGGTTTCTTACCTCCCAATGACTTCAATACAATATCTAAAAAGATTTCATTTTAATTCATTTAAACTTGTAATATAATTTGTTTTCTTTTTCATTTTTTAGTTACCTTTCAATTGATCAGCTTTTGCCACACTCAAATCAACGCTTTCATATTTAACACTTAAATTTTTTGGTAGTTTATTTGAAGTTTCTTTCAATTTTTCTGCATTTCTTGCTAATAATAAAACTTGTGATCCATTATCTAAATTAGATGAAAGTACTTCAGCAATTTTTTGTCCGATTCCTTGGCTAGCGCCAGTAACTAAAAGAAATACTTTTCCTGAAAATATTTTTCCAGCCATCTTTTTTTATAATCCGTTACAATCTTGAGTTTGAATATCAGATTGGCTATCTGTTGACTTGCTTTCTGAATCTTCAATTTCCGGAGCTTGAGTGTCTTGCTCTTCAAGTACTTGTTGCAAATGATCAGCTTTTAATAAATGAACAAGTTCAGTAGTTGTAAGAGCCTGGAAAAAAAAGTTTATATAAACTTCTGAGCGATATATTCAGCCTTGGATATTATATAATAAATTAGTTATCATTTTTTATGTAAGTTACAGCAAACATACAATTACTAATATTGAAAGAATACATAAAATAAAATTCTTATGAGAAATAATCAAACCTGTAAATGTGGAGCTATGTGCCTGATAAGTGGATTTGCTGCTAGTTCCTCTGCTTCTTGTGTTTCAAGATTATGTCCATCGGTAATTAATCTAGCTATGCATTCTTCTCTTGCAACAGACAGCGAATTAATGAGGTCACGCTTGGAAGTTCCTCCCTGAATCGCTTTCAATTTTGAGTCTATAACGGAGAAAATTAATGAAATTAGTATTTACACATTGAGAATCATAATATTTACTTCAGCAAATGTTTGACAGTTTGTAAATTCAAAAGTCAATTAAAATCAAGTGTACAAAATACTCACGAAGTCTGGCTAAATACTGAGCGGAATCAGGCAATTTCTCCAAATCCTTCTGATCAGCAGGCGCAGCAGCGGCGTTATCAGAATCGACAAACGAGTCTTCGAAAGAGTTATCTTGCTGAGTCGAAGAGTTTGCCTCAACTGCAGCCGAGTCGACGCCCGTAGTCCACGGGTCGGTGTCTGTTGTTCTCATGTTACCGCACTTTTTCTTATTTGCTTCTCCCTCCTTATAATGCCTGTGATATTATATTATGTATTGCTTGGAATATCGTCTTACGCGGCTAGTGAACTCGCTTGACTTTTTTTTGATACTGTACAATAAAACAACTAGATATGCAACGAGAAATGCGCCTTTTACTTTTTACTCGCACACTACTTCGGTGCTGCGATCGACGTCGTCGTGTGCTCGGCTCGAATCAAGGACAACTGCGCATTATACACACATTGCAATATAATGTCTGCTACGGACACTTGAATCAACATTACTTGATCTATAAATGTGGCGGTAAATTTAAAGCAGTTCGGTATTGTTAACATTCGTTTATTAAAAATTGCTTTCAAAATGTTTTCTTATAAAAGTCAACGTAATCTCCAGACTCGTATTTTTGTTGCTTCACAACTTGAAGGAGATAATTCGACGTTTGCTCGGGCGTGACGAAAGTCTTGCTATTGATCATTTCTTTGATCTTCTCTTTCAGATTTTCATTAGCGCTCTTCTTCAATACGTCGTGAAACATGTCGGTCCCGACGTATCCCGGTAAATAGTTCAGCACGTTTACGTGGGGATTTTCCTTGGCAAACACCTACGTGGAAAAATACGCGCAACAAGTTTTTTTTTTAATTAATCGTTTGCACAATTGCACAATTTTAATATAAATATTGTTACCTTGAAGAACATATCTTTAGCGGCTTTGGCCGAACAGTACGAGCCGACGAAAACATCGGGCTCCAAGCCCCAGTAAGAGCTTATGTTGAAAACGTATTTACGGACGTTATTGCTGTGAAACGTGCTCATGAATACTCCGTTTAACATCGCAGCAGAGAACATATTCAAATTGAAACATTTGTGCCATTCATCTAAATTTGTCATCTCGTTTGTAGACTGCGAGAAGTTGGCCATCGCGGCGCAATGAACTATTATCGCTTGATTGAAGTTTTCCGGTTTCTCATTCTTCAATGATTTATCAATGATTTCTGTAAAACAAAAAAAAATAACACGTCAATCTTCGAATTATATTCTCTCCCCCCACACCAAAAAATTGGCGCGCAGCAAGTGTTTACACTGTATCTGTATGTATATTCACCTCGCAGTTGACCAGCATCACTGGGCAGACTGAAGTCAATACTTTCGTACGAAGCGTTGACACCATTTGTCGCGATCTCGTTGCTCGTCTTCTCCAGATCCGTGGAATTTCTGGCGAGCAGCAAGACGCGAGATTGACTCTCGAGATTCGGGCTGAACGCCTTGGCTATGCTCTTTCCAATACCTCGACTGGCTCCGGTCACCAGTAAATAAACCTTTCCCGTGAAAATGCCGGGCATGATGAATTTTTCGATGGTTCCGATACAACAAACGATGCAAATTGACAAATCTTTTTAATCCCTCGAATACTCGATGTACAATTTATAATCAATACTGTAACCGTGCGAAGATAAAGATTACGGAGAGTAAATTATATCTCTCTTATCTGCGAGAACTCATTTCTCTTTCGAGTAATCGCGCAAAACGCTGCACTCGCGCAGTTTCATTAACCGCAACTTACAAACAAAACCGTCGCGTTCGCGTTCGCAAAGTGAAAGTCTCAAAGAAACACACAAATCAAAGTGATAAAGAGGCAACGAGGAGCTGAACCGTAACTCCGAGCTACACTCTGCAAGAGATTTCGTATGAAATTGTAATTTTAAATTCACGTGTGTTTATTTTTAGTACAGCCCCAAAAAATATATCAAAGATCTTGGCAAAATACTATTATCAATCACTCGGTTAAATCGAACTCGAGATTACTCGACGCACAAGTATGGAGTATCAATACACGGCACACACGCTACCGCAGCGTGCGGTGGCCCGAACAAATCGAAATCTCGATGATGTTGCGGCGTTCGATAAAAAAATCTCAACGCAGCTCCGACACGCGCTGAGTGAATGACAGGACAGACACCTGTGTCGTACTCGATCGAGGTTCGATCGCGAGCACGCTTCTGCTTGTTTTGCAGTTTTTTGAGACGACGCGATTCGTTCGTCGCCGCGCGCGCATCATTGCGAAAGTATATAATAACAGTGATCGTCGTCGTCGTCGACTCGTTCGCGCAGTCTCGTGCCTTTCTGCTCGGCTTTGCGTGTATGTCAGCGATGTATACACGCACTATTGCACGTTATACACAAACGCGGAAGACATGAGTGTGTGCACGAGTAGTAGTACCCTTCCTCGGGACGGTGTCTTTCGCTAGGCTCGCTTATACTTTCTGCCATCCAAAACATTATAATATCGCGCGATCGTGTCGCGAGCCAGTGCCACGAAGCAGTGAGCGCCGTATACAGAGTAGAGGTGTACAAGATCGGGACAACACACACAGCTGGCCGTCAGCAGCATGCTCGTGCTCGCGAGTGAAATTCAATTTGACAACTTTACAACGAGCGTCGAGCGGTAGTGATTAATTTCTTTTTCTCTTTCCTTTCGTTCTTTTCCACCGATCGACAGACAAGCGCCGTTCAAAGATCTCGCCTCTGATCGCGGCGCGCAAAGTCGAGGCTGAACTCTCGACTTTTATGCAATATTAAAAATAAAAAAACTATACGTAAATTAGAGGTGAAATAATTTGATCACAAAAGTAAACATGAGTGAAACAACGGTAATGTGGATGCTGGTGCTGGTGATGCTGGGTGGCTCCTATCTTGCCGGCTCGCTGCCACTTGTGATGAACCTGTCCGAGGTGAGAGCTCATATGTCAATGCCCAAAGCGTGCATCTGGCCTTTGTTTGTTTTGATTGCAATTTTCTTCGACAGATGTATACATAACCTAGCTCTTTGTTTTTTATTTATTAATTCGCTGATAAACTGATAACAATGATCGAGTGGTATAGATAACTGTGGAAAAGTAACATTTTCATATTTATGAAAACTGCCAACATCTATAATTAATCGAACGATCCTAAGTAAATTATTTTCGATGCTTTGTCGTCAGCATTTGATTGAACTTCCAACGCGTTGCGTAAACGCGATTGCGAAATGATTTTGAAATATTTATAAAATAATTTTTCGATGAAATGAGAATTCCACTGACAGAAATTAATGAATAATCGATGCATTTTATACAACTTATTGATTGTATCTTTTAATTTTTCGTTATCGAACTATAAAATTTTTTTTAATATAGCCTGATCTACTTTTAAGTTAGCTACGATATTTATTTTGCATGATAAGTTCATTGTTTAAAAGATAACGTAATTTCTATTGCTTTGACTTTTGTATTACTAGCTTAGGCTTTAGTTTATTTATTCATATGAATAACAAAATTTATTATTTATTATAATTTTCATTTGTTAATTTTTTTAGGACAAATTACAATTGGTATCAGTTCTCGGAGCTGGACTTTTGGTAGGTACTGCATTGTCAGTCATAATTCCTGAAGGGGTAAGAGCCTTGTTCAGTGGAGCCATTCACACTTCAACAACTACGGCACAGGACGGTGCTCAGGATGCTGAAAAGCATGAAGGTATATATTTCAAATTTGCAATCAATTGTTTGAATAATGTTTCATCTTATTTATGCTTGTATTCTTTATTACAGATACAGATCTTCATAGTTTAATTGGATTAAGTTTGGTGCTAGGGTTTGTATTCATGTTATTAATTGATCAATGTACAACAAAAAAAACTGGTGGAAAAGAAAAAAGTATGACTGCTACTTTGGGACTAGTTGTCCATGCCGCTGCTGACGGGGTTGCTTTAGGAGCTGCTGCCACAACATCACAATCTGATGTTGAGCTCATTGTATTCTTGGCTATAATGCTGCATAAAGTATACTAAATTGATTATTTTTACACTTTCTTTAATCAGATTTATCAATTGAAATTTTTTTTATAAATTAGGCTCCTGCTGCATTTGGACTTGTTTCATTTTTGTTACATGAAGGAGTAGAAAAACGAAAAATTCAAAGACACTTGTTAATATTTTCTTTGGCAGCTCCTTGTTTAGCTGTAATTACCTATTTTGGAATTGGGAAGGTAAAGTATGATTTGCACTTTATATTCATGTTTACATATTTAAATTAATTTTTATTATTGCAGGAAGGTAAAGAGACTTTAAGCAATGTTAATGCTACAGGAATAGCAATGTTGTTTAGTGCTGGAACTTTTTTGTATGTTGCTACTGTGCATGTCTTGCCTGAACTCATGACTCGAGTTAATAGTAGTTATACTCACTTACCAACCGATTCGGTTTCTTCTCTGCCTTCTAATCATAATCATTCACATGGACTAAAATTCAAGGAAATTATAGCTCTTGTAGTAGGTTGTTTTTTACCAGCAATAATTACTACTGGACATCATCATTAAATAATTATATATATAAACACTAATATAAATAGATATATTACTGTACAAATTTAAAAACAAATTTTGACTCTAAGTGTTGACAGAATATAACAGAAATTGTCTCATGAACAATATTTCTGTTACAAGTAGAAAGATATATTTTTTACTATTGCAAATATTTTGTATTATTTTTATTGAATGGAACGAGTGCTCTGTACAAATGATTTTCATATTGTAAAAAAAATTTGCATGAAAATTGTCTGTTGATAGATTTTTAAATAAATAGTTGATTTGAAGGGAGATGAAAATTTGTTAAATGATGAGAACTTAAATAGATATACAATTTTGAAAATCATTTTCAAATTTTTGTGAAAATGTAGATTGAGTATAATCATAGGAACAATGATGAATGATGAATTTCTATCTTTACTTAAAAATGTAAAACATCAATTACAAAAAATGTGATAATACTTAGATAATTTTATTAACATTGAATAAAACACAAATATATTGTTACGATAATTTTTAAGTAAGCTGTCACTATTTAAAGCGCAACATTTAAAATGAACAATTTACAAGATTTTTCAATCAAATTGTAATGAAGTAGATAAAATACTTTGAAAATGAAATCTCATGCATTTATTAATTGTATTTTCTTTTAAAATAAAGAACACATTGGGGTAAAAAGAATTTTCAATTGTTATTCAAGTTTATTTAATTTTTATTCATGTACACTAGTTATATATTAGTATTCAACTTTTTAAATTATTTATTTGAAATAAATTAATTCCACTTTGAATCATATTAGAATATTCATTAAAATCATTGTTTTGGGGTTTGAAATTTTTGCATGAATAGTATGGTAATCATAACACACGCAAAAATATAATTTTCCAGTTGTAAAAATACAATTTCTTTCATTAAATAATACAGCATGCAATCAATAACCAAAAACTCTGTTTAAAAAATGTTATCAAATTCCTATGTGTATTTAAACGAGTAAGGAACACATTACAAGTTTTTCAACAATTAGAGTGTAAGAATTTCATTGGCTCTATTTTCCAAAAGAGTTTCCATTGACTTAACATCTTTGCACCAAACATCTAAACGTTGAATCATTCCAGAAATTTGTGAACGATCAAGAACTCGTGGTTGTACCCAAGTCATATTGACAGTACCAGCAACTTGGTCAATGGCACCTCTCACCAAATTTTGTGCCAAAGCTTTCATTACCAAAAGCTCAACTTCACCTATTGGTAAATGAGTCTCTTGAGAAATTTCATCAAAAGTCAATTGCCTGAAATAAATGAATTAAATTAAAAAATTTTGAAATTAAAATATTATTGTATTAATTGTTATAAATTGATTTACCTATTATTAGCTTGGCGTTTGAAAGTCATTTCCATAAGGCATAATAAGGATATTTTTTGTCTCAATTTCAATTCTTGAGCAGCAAGATCAGCAATCTGACTCCATTGTGGTTTCAGTCTTTCCAAAGCAGTTATATCACCTGCATTAAATGCATTCAGCAGATCAATAAGCCAAGAATTTGGTGTTCCTTTGAGTGATTCCAGTACAGGATGAGCAAGAAGCTCTCCAATATTATAAACACCTTCTCCTAATAAAGCAGCTAAACCCAAGAAAAAGGCATGTTGTTCTTGATCTGACCTACTCAGAGTATTCAGCTCAATACAACCTAAATACCTAAAAATATTCACAGCATTTATTAGTATAAGGATTATTTTGTAATGATAGTAATCAAAAATAATATTAATACCTCAAAGCAGTTCTATAATATTCTGCATGTTTTCCTTGTAATCTGTACAATCGGCTAGCTAGGAGATAAAATCTACCATGAACAGATGAAACTCCATCCATTGCATCCAGCATAACTTCAACCTCTTCGATAATTTTTTTGGTTTCATCCTGAACATTTAATTCATTCAAATAAATTTGGCCAATGAGTACTTTTACAAGTGCAACAGCTTCTTGATTACTTTTAACTTTGGGTTCAATTTTCTGCAAGAATGTAATTGCACTAGGTTTGTCCGTGTACTGCTTGACTATGTGTGCAACTATTTCCACCAGCGATAATGGATTGATTCTTAAAACATAAATTAAATTCAATGTTACTCTTCACAAACATTTTCAATACAAATTGAATATCAACAATTTACGACAATAATGAAAACACCAAGTATTTTAATAGAAAAATTTGAAACTTAAACAATATTTTTGAACTATTGTGATTTATATGAATTTTCTGGTCTATGTATACAATACAAATAAAAAAATATAACGTGTATATACACAAAGACAGAATGATGAGAAATTCATACATGACAAACAAGGTTATGTTTATCGGTTGTTGCTATTTAGCAAATAATAACATTAACTTACTTGCTCTCGAAGGTGGACAGAAAGTTGTTGTACAATTCGATGAGGGCTGCATCTTTCTGCAGGGATGGATGGAGCACGAACGACTGCAAACTCAGAGTCAGCTGATGCCAAAGCCTGCAAGTCACCCGGGTAGCATCGATTAGTTAGCGAGAAAAACTCGGCGAAAAACGTGTCGTTCGACGCGAAAATCGTGCAGATGATAATACATACTTTTTGTTGTGCAGTTCCTCGAGCTTGGCCCATTCATCAGCGAGCTCTTGGTCGGGCAAACGTTGTTTTTGACTGAGATAGGCACTCACGTCTTTCGGCGCAGTGGTAGCCGCCATTTTTCGCAAACTGGACTGACGAGACTTTGTAATTGAAAAACTGACGAGCCGCGAGGTTGTGTGTATCACGCAGAGCCACTGTACAATGCGAACGGCGATTCCTGTAATATGCGCCACTTATCGTCAGCTACGCAATCACGGGCGTATTTTGACGGGGTTTTTCACGAACTAAATAGTAGTTCGATTGGAAATTTCAATTCATTGGACTTTTCTGGATCAATGGAAAACTTTCTTATTAATAATGTAATATTGCTCCGGGTATATCGGCGTCTGGTTTATTCTAAAAGTGAATAATTAATAATAATTGGATGTAAAGAATTATTTTTTTTTAATTTTAATCATTAATAAGTTTAAATCGAAAGTAAAAGAACACTAAAATTTATCTACTTGCAAAATTTTATCTAAACAATAATTCTAGTAACTAGGATATCCTATATGAATCGAAAATACTGCAAAACAATTGAAAAAATTCAAAATATTATAAAAAGGAAAATGCTATATTTATATCACTACTCACCATGGGATAAATATTGAAGTGCAGCTTCTCTACTCGCGTTGGGCTTATAGAAGGTCAAGCCGTAAAAAATGAACGTCCGTCCGTTCGGCTGATCGCGATAATCGTAGGTTTTTAGTCTTCAGAAGCGTCTATTTGCTTATCCCTGGTAGCACTGAATAGCAAAAAAATAATTGCGCAGATCCCTATTCGGTAAACTTTGATGCACATGAAGTAGTAGATGTGTCGCCGCTAGGTGGCACAGAGCGAAAATGTAATTCACGTGGATGAATTTATTAAGTATGTGAATTAAATAGAACCAAGAAAGCTTGTAATTTTGGAAGCCTCGAGGGAGGCGAAAGAGAGGTTGAATACAGTGGTCGCCGCTTAAGAGAATCACTGTGTGACAAAAATTTTCATTCTATTAAGCGGATGATTCTACTATCCGATAGGGATTGCAATAACTTATAAATAACTTTGAATCCGAGAAATTATGCATTATTATAATAAATAATTTATTATTATAAATGAATATATATATATATATAATTTATATAATAAATTATTTATTATTAAATATTTATTCAAATCATATGTGACACCATTATAATTTAGTAAAATAGTCATTTATCTTGGTTTGTTTTTTCTTTTGGTCAATTATTTTGAAAATAAATTTTTCAAATTTGTAGTACTCTTCAAAGGATTTCGAACGATGTTGAACTCCTCGTCTCAAGACTTGTAATGCGTTAAACATTTCTAGATTATTAGGTGCGGGTTCTATACTATCATCTTCCTCTTCAATTTCTGATTCATCTGTGTCCAATTTTTGGCATATGTCATCATCTGTTGGCTTTCCAGAGGTTTCTAGACATTCGTCAATATCTATCCACTCGTCAAAAACCTCATGTGTCATATCTTCCGGATAAATTTCGTTCAAGCTAACGTTGCTCGAAATATTACATATTTCATTAGTTCCGTTAACAAACCCAGCCTTTCTAAAACAATTTTTTATCGTTTCGCTAGATACATAAGACCAAGCTTCTTTGATCTGATGTAGCGCATCAAGCAGAGAGGTCTTCTTGGCAATGTCATTGGCTTTGACATTTTGTTGATTATCTAATATTTGTATAATCCGTTCCCTCATTGTTCTTCGATAGTACGCTTTTAATGTACGAATTATACCTTGATCGCAAGGCTGTATCAGAGACGTCGTGTTGGCAGGTAAATAAACCACTGTAATATTTTTCATAGGCTCTAAGTTTGAATGTGCACCGCAATTATCAATGGTTAATAAAATTTTGCGTTTTAATTGTCTATCCCAATTTCGTAGCCAATCAGAAAAAATGTCTCTTGTCATCCACGCGTTTCTGTTGGCCGTGTAAGCAATAGGCAATTGAGTCACATCTTTGAAGCATTGTGGATTCTTAAATTTTCCAATAACAAACAGGTCTTTTTTTTCACCTGCCATACTGGCACAGCATAACAACGTTATACGCTCCTTACTTGTTTTGAAGCCTTTCGTATTTTCTGATTTTAGAGCATATGTATGCTCTGGTAATGCTCGGTAGTATAAACCCGTTTCGTCAGCATTAAATATATCGCTTGGCGAATAATTTTTAGATATTTCTGGCCATTCTTGTATAAACCACTCATTTGCACTTGTAAAATCAGCTTCGGCTTGTTCACCATGTGGCTTGCGATACACAATATTTTCTCGGCCTCTCCAACGTGAGAGCCAACCGTCAGTGGCCTTGAAATTTTCTTTGCCTAATTTCTTTGACAAATCTTCAGCTTTTGCTTTAAGTAACGGGCCATTAATTGGAGCGCCTTTTTCTCTCACTTCCACAAACCATTTCTTCAACGTTTTTTCTACGTCTTCGTCTTTGCCGCATCGTTTTCTCTTGCGGCTGAGATTTTCGTGAGAGCAAGAGGTACTTTCTATCTCGTAACGATTTAATAATAATCTACTAAGAGTAGCTTGTGATATGTTTAATAACAGCGCTGCATCACTTTGTGATAAATTTGGCAACAAATCATATTTTTTTAGTAGCTCCTTTTTTTCAAGGACACTTAAGCCTTTTCTATGAACTATAGCTGATGATTTTTTCATACTTGTATCACTAACACAATTAATTATTATGAGCATGTAATACCGACGGTGCTATGAGAAAGTACTGACAATGAAACTTGTATTTAATCGACAACAACATTGAATGTAAACATCGTCTTCAAACTAAATTTGATTCTATTAAGCGAAAAGTTTATTCACTTAAGCGGTGAATTTTACATGTATAAGGATACGGGAAAATCATTGTTAGGATTTTTGATTCATTTAACCGGCGTATTCTATTAAGCGCAATTCTCTTAAGCGGCGACCACTGTAATTAATTAAACGTGAGTTCTGCTGAGTAAGATCGCTTAAACCACCGTTTTCACTCATTATTTCGTTTAAAAAAATGACGCATTCGTTATAATTGTGGGAATGCAAGTAAAATTTCATTAAATATTCCTCATCTTTTTCTTTATGTTTGCTGCCTTTAATGGCTGTAGCAATGGTTTTAATGATTTTTTGAAATGTCATTTGATGAGTTACATCCGAATGGTGATCGGGGTCTTTCATCAATTCGATGGCCGCATTCAACAGATCCTTTGATGCACTATCATTTTTCTTAATTGTTAGTGAACCAGTTACATTTTCGCCTTGAAGTTTCAACATTCCCATTTTTATTTTTGCTTTTAGTTCCTTCATTATTTGGAAGCTAGAAAAATAGAAAAATTACAATTTTTTACTCTTTCAAATAATGCTCGCATTGCTTCTATCAGATAAACAGATTTTTTTCAATTCATTATTCATGGAAGATGCCCTAACATCAGCATGTATACATTGAGTAATGTTTCAATGATTGATGCTGATGTCCCAGTGAGAAGGACGAAGGAAATTCGTCCAGAATGCCATGAGAATTTTTGGAATTCCTCTTGGCCAGTATGGGTTCTGTACCGCATTAGAGCAATAATTTGACTGTATTATTATTTAAATTTTCTTCCGGTAATGTCAGGTACTCGGCTAAAACTGGTTTTTCTTCTTCGTTCTTCAGCGACAACCCAATTTGGTTGGCATCGACTCCATATTGTAACAGAAGAATCAACATTTCTTCATTGACGTTATCACTGGCGAAAAAACGTGAAGGGGTTGAAAACTTTTCAAGTTGGGACGCCCTGTATAAAAAAAATGAAAAACATTATCAAAAATTTTAAGCACGCCCTCCTGATGAAATTCAATTGAAATCTCAATTGAAATCTCAACTAAGAAATCAATTGAGAAATCAATTGAGAAATCAAATGAGATCTTGTGCCAAATGCTCAATGGGAAATTTGTCTCTGAAATTCACATTCCTTTAATTAGAAATATTCAGTCACAAGTTGGATTTAATGGAACTTACGAAAAATGGAAATTTTATGAAAAAAAACAAGAAATTAGTTAAAATTAAATTTGTCACCAAAATATAATCTTAATCATAATTATACTGAGTTAGGGTAATACTGCTAGTATTCAACGAACTAAGGCTTTTATTTCGGTTAGATTATTATGAAATCATTATGAAGCACTCTCAATAGATTTGAAAATCATTGGTAAAATTGAAGGAGTAAAAAAGATTAGATTATTTATAAGTGTGGTTCTCAATTTCTATAGAATATAAGATATTATAAAAAGTGAAAAAAAATTTCACATAAAAAAATTTTCATTTTTATTATTGTTCATTTAAATTATATCTTATGGTGGTGTAAAACCTGGAGGGTGGTTGCGTATTAGAACGTTTATACCCAACATAATAAATTAATAATTTTTTTTAAGTCGAATTTTGACAAATAGCTACACGGAAACATCTATGTAGTTTTTCTTTATACTTGGGAAAAATTTCTACCCATTCCATCGACCAAAATTTCTGGAAAACTTGTTTGAAAATTCAAGGCATATGACACGTTTTGAAATTAGTTAAATTTATATTTTTTTCCAAATTGAATTTCAAAAAAAGCTACACGGAAACATGCGTACAGTTGGTCTGAATATATAATAAAAATTTCGACCCATCCGATCGATTGGATTTCCTAGAAAACCTGTTTGAAAAAATTGGCATTTGAAAATTGGAGGTTCACCTCAACGAGAAGTGAAAGTAATCAAGGTTTGAGTAATTTTGAAACATTTATTATTGAATATGTATTACATTTTTTATTGAATGTGTATTTTATTTATTTGTTTTCTTTATTATTATTGCTTTATTTTTTTTATTGATTTTTTTTCTTAAATCCCTCATAAAAGATGACAAACGATTGGTGACTACATGTAAAATTTTATATTTTTTGAATGGGGAATGATCAGGCATTGTATCCATAATGTAATCTCCCACCAAACCTTTAGGACAAAAAAAGAAGTAAGAATATTTTTCAAGTTGTATGAAAATTCTTTTACAAAATGTTATAACATACTCATCAGCAATTCTACTTTTAT